CACCCGCGTCACTATAAATGGACGTCAGGACCGATCATGGATAAATAAGGCTCGATGAAGAATTGATCCCAGTCCACCTGCCAATCCATGTCTGACACCGCGGCGTTGGCCTCGGATACCGGCGGTGCCTGAAAGAATTCATAGCCCGCCTCGACAGCTTCCAGCTGAGCAAGTTCTTTTCGCTTCTTTGCCATATTAAGGCTGAGTAGGTGCCGCGCCATCGACAACGCCTCACGCGTCAGTCCTGTATCGGCAGCCTTGACAAGGTTCTCCAAGCCCTTGAATGCGGTGCCGATGTGGGCGGAGGCCGCCGGCGTGTCAATGGCCAACAGGATGCAGGTATACTGGAAGACGCTGCCGATGACGTTCCAGAACAGACGACCCTGGCTAGCTTGCTGCTCGGCCGCCTCCACTGCGGCGTTACCGCTATCAATGATGAGCTTAATGATATCGTCCGGTATGCGGATCTTGAGCTGGTAAAGGCGTCGATAGAAGCAAAACGCAATGTCCGCCTTAGTCACCACCAGGAACGGATGGGTAAATTGGAGCTCACCCAGCGCCTTAAAACGCTTGAATAGCTCCTCACTCGGAGTGGGAGGCTGCAATTCGAGCTGGAACGGAGAATTGGGCGATGGAATGATCTGGATCAGTTGTACGAACTGATCGGCAACGGACCCTGGTATCGAGATGATAGGCTGGCAAGTTACGGTCCGAAATCCTACAGGAGAACGATCGTACTCATAGGACAGCATGTTATGCCCGGCCCACGAGATCCAGAAAATTCTCCTCAGCCGGTCCGCATCATGTCCAACGACAGCGGCGCCAGCGACAGATGCTATCTTCTTGATGTTCTCTTCCTCATGTAGCCCTATCGCTTCACAGAGGTGCATTTGCGTGCACGAAGCGATCCAGGCATTGCTGGGCCGGGTCGTTGCCCGTAGGTAAAGCACTCGCATGCCCCATGCGATGATGTGGTCGATACCATGCAAACGCATGGAGGCCGGATCATCCAGGATGGCTTTGGCGTACTGCACCAGGTCAGACTCCCGCGGGTGTCTGTTGGGAGATAGGAAAGATCCGAGAGCAGCGACGCCAGCAGCCACGGCGGCAAAGGCGACAGCGTTGCTGCCCGAACTATTATAATAATCCCGGCATCGCTGGGCGTAGATTCTTGGGTCCATCACGTCGCCGATGGGGCCCAATACCGAGAAGAACGCACCCGAGAAAAAACTAAGATCCTCCTCCGAGATGAGATTTCCCAGAAAGCAGTGAGCATTGGATGCCTCCTCGGGGCGAATGCCAAAGTTGTAAGCGAACGGCCGCATCTTTGGAGGGCTGTCGGAACCGAGAGCCACACCCAAGATGTGCGGAAATGCCATGGCCGCCGATGCCCCGGAGTATCTGAACTTCTGCTCATCAAAGATGCCCGGGGACGCGCCGGCCACGATGGTGGGACTCTTGGTCGACAAACCGTCGCCTTCACGGCGGTCTCGCTCCATATGAGACCGGCTGCTCGAACTGCGGTCTGTGGCGGCCCGACCCATCAGACGACTTTCACCGTCGAGGCTGACGCGCTTGGCTGGAGGCGGAATAGGTACGCCGCCGCCCATAGTACCAGTGGTGTTGTCGTCGGTGTACCTGCAGTTGTATCCGTAGGTGGTGCACATGCCACAAGGATACACAGTGTCGCATTTTCGCTTGCGCTGATGGCAAGGGATACATGCCTTCCTCACACGCTTGCGCTGGGCGATTGTCGTCAACATGACTGGCAAGAAATTATGAGCTCCAAAGCTCACTGCTGTGGAAATAGAACTGTAGTAGAGTTGATTTTCTGGCCAGCATTTCGGGGCGGGGTTGACGCGATTATGGTATAGATTATTTTCTGCCAGCCAGCGATGGTGTGCATATATCGCTAGACATGGTTCGTGGTATATTAGCTATTATTGCTAACGCGTAAAGCGGCTCTGAAGGGTGATATTTCTTATAAGACAGCTTAGTATCTGGAGGCTGGTGGGCTTTGGAGCCAGAGAGAACATCCTTGGTCTAGCTCAAAGCGGCTAGCGCAACTCCATACTCAGATTGAAGGGGGGAAAGTTTGCAATATTAATGCCGAACCTCCATCAAGAGTGAGCCAACTGAGCATCCGAGTCAAATAGTCAGAACTCAGCAGTTGGCAAAGCTAATGGGGAGATGAAAGCGCTGACCCCACGTTTCAAGTATTGGTCTTTGCGAACGAACCATATTTTGCCACGCAATTAACAATTCGTAGGTCGCCTAGTTCATGCCCACGGACCACGGTTCCATGCCTTGTTGCTGTGGTAGTTGGGGACTGGGGAGACATAAAGAAAATCGGCGCTCATGAATTTGTGTGCTGCTGTCTGTTCGTGTCGCATGTGGCTGAACGGTCCGCATTATTATATGGGCTGAGCTCGAGGAACAATCCTGTAATACGCAACGGTTGATAATTTTGTGTTTTTTTTTTTACCAGTTGAGTATCTACTGTGCTCGAGTATCATAGCAGAGTTCGTTGCCACGCAGCTGAGCTGGACCCTGCGTCAATTTCAAGTCATGCAAAGCTAAAGGTTGAAGGGGCTCCACTTTACTTTATGTGAATGTGATGCCCATCTTGCGATCTTCTACGGCGTATGTCTTGTTGTCCTTTCTTTATTCATATAACCGCTGTAGATGTACTAACAAATCACGTCAACCATTCGAAATCACCACTGATATGCTTAAGGCGCAACTTGTTGCACTTGGGCAGACATTGATTACTATCTGTACTCCTGTTTTGCCTTCCTCGGGAACGCGTCGCCTTGTCTTCGCTTTATGTATAGCCTTATTGCTCCTTTGGCGGATTACTCCACAATGGTGGGCTGACAATTCAGCGATCATTTAGGTAGTAACTAGTAAGTAGATCTTAGTCGAGATCGAACCTCCCGTCGCTGCCGACCCGCCACCCATCCCCAGTTTCGCCGCTGATTTTGGTTCAATTGTTCTTATGTCGGAGCCAAATTGGGATAGTCCCGGGTCGGCCCCGTTCCGTTCACGGCCCGAGCGATCACCAGGCAGTCAGGCACACCACGCAAGCTTGTTGGACTTGGATAAGCTATCCCCGGTCTATGGACATCGTGGGTTGAAAAAAAAAAGGCAATTACTTGCAGCAAGTCGTCTCCTGGGCCCCTGGCTCATACCGCAGTTCAGAAATTGGCACTAAAGTGCTGCTCACTGCACAGATGATGTGTTCCGGCTGCCTTGCAGAACAACTCCTACTGCATTACCCTGCTTCCCGCATCTTCCACCTATATTAGAGGCAGTCGGGCTTTCTCTCATCCCTGACTTTCATATATTCCTGGAAAAGTCGCTTAAGGATTGCTTGATGGCTGGCAAAATGAAACCGCCAAAAATGGCAAAAAAAGAAAACGAAACAGCGCCAGTCGAATGAGGTGGCTATGCGTCCCCTGTCTCTGGAGATTTCTCCAAAAATTGACGATAATCATAAGTCCTTTCTAGAAGTTACAAGAAGCGCAATCGGACTTGTTCACTGGCCCTACGAATCCCCATTTGTTACCCTCGCCATAGGGAATAAGCGATATGGCCTTCCGACTCATTTCCTTCGGAAATCTATGGAGCAACTAGATGAGGAGATTCCTATTTTTGAGCTACTGCAGGTGACGAGGGACGTTTTTTTCGAGCTTTCCCGCAGGTGAAACATGGCTTACAAGGTATATCGAAGGAAACTTGCAGCGATTACTAAAGCCTGAAGATCCAGGGCTTGGTCTACGCGAATTTTACAGTATTCTCGGCCGAGACCATCAGTTTGATAATGTTATGATGAAAATGATTCTCGAGATTCTATCAATTCGCTTACTTTCTACCAGCACGGTAAGTCATTTCGCCGACAGATTGACGATGCGGTGGTGAAGCTGAATTGGCGTTTCTTCTGTATAATTAGCAACAAAGCTCAACAGAATCGACCCAATTAATTCTCTTCCTCAAGAGCCTGAGTCCGAAGTACCTAAACCTGTTACCGAAGAACCTCCTGCTGAAAGAACAATTAAGGAATGGACCATTCCCCAAGTGCCTCCTGATGCTGAAGGCTGGCCTAGTACTTCTTTATCTCTTAGCGATAGTCCTAATGCCGAAATGCTACCCGAGGCTCCTGACGAAACACAAGTTCAGGGTCGCATAGCGAGAATGTCATGGGCAGACTTAACTCTGTATAAGAATTGGGAAAGTCTGTCCTCGAAGAGAAGAGCTAAACAGGCTAGCAAGCTTGCGATAAAGGGTCTTCCTGTTCTAAATGAGGGTGGTTCCATTTCAATAGTTACAACTTGAGAATGATTTCTATCAGCTTAAATCAGTCAATCAAATACTTTACTCCCTGTTTCTAGATTTATAAAGCGCCAAAAGAGGATAAATATCACTCTTAGCTCTTGGATTCTGCAGAGTGCAAGAATGTCTATAAGAGTCCAGCTTCTATTGATTCTAGTGACAAGCTCCTAGGCAAACTTGACCTAGGACTAGTGAGACATGGTCTCTGTCTAGGAGCATACACCTACAGCTTTTCCAATAATTTCCAACTCTGCAAACGTCTGCATGGTCCAGCCCTAGTACAAATAAAGCTAGCGGGTGCAGTCGCTGACTGATGCCCTATCACCTGATGTCTCCGAGCTGGTTGTTGGCTAGTGTCGTCGCCGGGTCATCTTCGTTGTGTTACGAGATATTCCGGCCGACGCGTAGTTAGACTAACTCGACTAAGAATGACACAAGACTGGTTGAAGCAAGCTAGCTAACCTTACAAGTTACAATCCCCGAGCCACCACCACCACTACTAAAGGGAGACTAACTACTACCACAGTAACCACACTCAAACTTCATCTCACCTCACACACCTACCCTAGTAGTCACCTGTCCTTCCCCGGATTCTTCCCCTCTCCCACATCACATCAATCAATCAATCGATCAATCTATTTCTTACAACCTCATCCATCCCTCCCAAGATGTTCCGCCAGTCCGTCACCCGCCCTCTCGCATCGGCCAACAGCGCCATCGTCAACCGCTCGTTCTCTGCCCTGGCCCCCAGAATGGGTGCTGGCGATACTGGTGCTCCCCGCGCCGGCGGCTCTCAGTCAGGGTATGTCGATTCCAATTCTTCCCAGTCCTTCTCAAGCCGTTCCGACCGCAAAGAACCGGCGGGGCCGAGGACAAGCAACATCCATCAACAAGAACCTGGATTAAAAGAAGGGGAAAAAAAAAAAAAAAAAAACTAACACCGATCCTTCTAGTGATTCCTTCACACGCCGCGAAGCCGCCCAGGAGAGCCTGTACATCCACGAGAAGGAGAAGGAGAAGTACGTGATCGCACATCCATCCCCTCCCGGCAGGCGGGCAGACCGGTCACAAGGAAGAAATCAACAAAAGACTAACCGACTCCCTCGCAGGCTCGAGAGCCTCCGCAAGAAGATCAAGGAGCAGCAGGCCCATCTCGCCGAGCTCGACAAGCACCTGTACGCCTTTCCCCCCTCCGCCCTTGATGAATCACCACCACTAACTTACTCCCCTCTCTCTCGCTCTCAACTGCAGTGATGATTTCACTAAGAACCAGGGCAAGAACTAAAGCTCTAAGCCCCATGCATATCTCTTCTACCCCATCCACCGTGATATCTTAGATCAAAAATGACTTCGATCAATCAATCTATGTCATTTCCCCGATGTTATAGTCTCTAGTCTTTCAATGTATTTTATAGAAATGCTGCATGGCCACTGGTTCCCGCTACCTTGTACTACTACCCATCTGAAAGGCTTGACGGAGTCTACGGCAGCATCTAAACGCCCGACATAGCGACCCCCGCTGCACGCGGTGGTAGGGCCGATGCAGAAAGCACAAGCAACTCTAGAACATCACGAATTCATTATGCCTACCGTAGTGTGGAAATGACAAATCGCCATACCGTTTCAAAACCATCTTTAGAGATCCCTTCGCTCCAGTAATCACAAAATATGAAGGAAAAAAAGAAAACGAAAAAAAAACTGTAGTCGTAGTTACGCAATTACCGCCGGCCCATGTACGAGCGGTAGAAATCATCCGCCGCACTTCCACCTCCCATCCCAGAGCTGCCGAAGCCGTGCCCGAACCGAGACGACAGCGCGTGGCCGGACTTCTGGGCAGCACTGACCTTGGATTGAAGCTCGGATGTGCCCTGGTCAATGAGCTGCAACTGGGAGAGATGCGAGTTGAGAATGCGCACGATTTGGGAAATCTTTTTGACAAGAAATACATGTGTTAGCAAACGGTAGACCAAAAAAAGAAGCAATGATCCAACGTACCGGTTCATCGGCCTTGTTGGTCTTGCTCAGAGTAGCCGAAGCACTGTTGACTTCCTCGATCATACTGGTCAAGTCCTTGCCCATGTCGTCCAACTGATCTGACAGTTTCTCGGCCAGTTTGTAGCTGTGGCAAGATTAGCATCTATATTCCCATTTCATCCCAAAAAGAAACAACACCACATACGTTCTCTCACGCTCCTGATCCGGTCCTTGTAGAGCCTCGCCAGGTCCAACCTGCTTCGACATCATCTCGTCCACTTCACGTTCATATCGGTCCAGCCATGAGCTGAGCTCCTCCTGCTGGCCTTCGACAGACGCAAGCTGGCGCTCAATCTCCTGTGTCGCCCGGTCTGCATCGACGGTGCTTCCGTAAAGTTTCTGGACCTTGGTGATATTCTCTACGAGCATCCGATCCCACTCGGCGACCTGCTCGGCCTGCTCGCGGAATTCCTTCTGGTATTTGGTCAGATCGGTGGCCCACCGGGTGATGATCTCGTCCATAGTCTTGTTCTTCAGGCGAGACTGCGCCGGTGGAGTGGGCCCAGCAGTCGAAGCGCCAAGAGCAGTGCCTCCCGCTGCGGTAGTTGTCGGGGCGGCCATTCCGGTGGTCGCTGTGGTGGTTGTCGCCGAAGTAGCTGGTGCCGAAGTAGCTGTGAGCGACGGTTTGGCACCGCTAATAGTTGCAGCGGCACCAGTCGAAGTGCTAGGGGCTTGTGTGGATGGCGCTGTTTCCGCAGGCTTCGACGCATTGAGCCCTCCAAACAGGCCACCTCCAGTAGGAGCAGCCGCTGGGGTGCCCGATGGGGTTGCGGAGGTAGTGCCTCCGAGAGTAGGAAACGCTGGTTTCTGCGGAGTGGCAGAGGTGGTCGAGGTTGTAGCAGGTTGAGTCGTCGAAGCTGTGGTGGTCATACCAAGTGATGGGAAGGCAGGTTTTGAAGCAGTATCAGTGCCGGCTGATGGCATCTTGAAAAGGGAAGATCCCTGGGCTTGTCCAGCTGCCGGGGCAGCCCCGAATAGTGGTTTTGCAGCGCCCTCTGTTGTGGTTGTCGGAGTTGTTGATTCCGCAGGCTTGTCCTTCGCGGCTCCGAAGAGTCCACCGCTTGGTGCCGAAGGGGTTGCTCCGAATGCAGGTTTCTGTTGGGCATTGCCTCCGAACATACCACCGCCAGTGGATTGAGGCTGTGTATTCCCCCCAAAGAGCGTCGGGGTAGTGGTAGCAGGAGATCCTGTGGTGGTGGTGGTGGTGGGCGACGCGATCGACGAGGATGTTGTAGCTGTGTTCAATCCGCCGAAGATGCCACCCGGTTTCTGAGCTGTCTGTCCGAAGAGCGACTGGCCCTGGCCAGCAGCGGTTCCCTGCGGCGGAGGACCAGCAGGTGTAGTGGAGTTAGTGTTAAAGAGCGAATTACCTGGTGGCGCAGGAGTCGCTGCGGCGCCCCCAAATAGGTTACCGGTGGGTTTGGCGGCATTTCCGAAGAGGTTGCCGCTGCTTGTTTGCCCGGCAGCAGGAGTTTCACCGGGCTTGTTGGGTGTCTGTGATCCGCCGCCGAACAACGCCGGCGACTGGGGTGTGCTTCCGGGCTTGCTCTGGTTTGCGAAACTGAACGCAGGTGTACCACCGCTGGCCGCACCGCTGCTAGCACCACCGGCTGCACCACCGAACAATGTATTGCCCGAGCCTGTCGCAGGGCTAGCTCCGAAGATAGAAGGCGAAGAGGTGCCGCTGGTAGAAGCTCCTACATTGCCGAAGAGACCGCCTCCAGAACCAGTGCTGGGGTTGTTCTGATTGGAACCGAAAGCATTGCCAGCCGACCCAAAGAGTCCTCCCCCAGACGCACCGTTCGAGGCTGGCGCACCAAACGAGAATCCTTTCGACATGTTATAGGATAAGGTCGCGGATAATTCGTCAGGGCTGCCCTGGTGAGTGGAAGATCAGAAGCAAAGAAAACAATGGATTCGTCGAAGGCGGAGGTTGAGTTGAAGGAGAAAAAAAATAAAAATGAAAATAAGTCTCGCTCACGGCGCCCGAAGATGGCAAGCACTGTCAAGACTGAGCTTTAAAATAAAAGCGATCCTACGCAGACTCTGACTCAATTGCAGGGGGAAAACAGCGACAGGAAGCTGGAATTGAAATGTATTGAAACTGCTGGCTGTGACCTGGTTTCCCGTGCTTTCTTTTGGGGAAGGAAACGCGCGGTTGGATGATTGGCGGCGGTTAGCGTCTAGGTAGAGCTACATTCGTATGCCTCAGGCTACGAGGCATAAACCTTGTGTCATGCCTCAGGCAGGAGATCGAGACTCTAATGGAACCTGGTCATGGACAAGTACATATTGGCGACAACGTCACCCACGGCACAACATCCCTTTCTCCCCTCCACATCCATTATTAATCTGTTCCTTCAAGCATACCCTGTCCCTGAATATTTTCTTTACATGGGATTATATTGGACTATTTGCCTGTCTTAGATGTCGGAGCGGCTCTCCCGTTCGTCCAGTCCATATTTGGAGCCCCCGAGGAGGAGTGTCGAGTTAGAGGATCCGGGGGCTCAAGACTCAGGTACGGATTCCACACAAGAACTCAAGCGATTTTCAGAACTACTGGGTTTTATCAGCCATCTAACGCTCCTCCTAATAGTCTCCAACAGCGATGAAGAACATTTTTCGGATGCTAGTGAAGGCCAAGAGCATCCCCGTTCCCGTCCGCAGTCCGGTCGCGCGTCCCCTGTCCCGTTGACTCGAGTCGAAAAAGTGGATGACAAACCGGCACACGGCGAGATTCCTGGAACGTCTGCATTTGAGAAGAGGGAGCATGATGCTGTCCCCGATGAGATTGAAGTCATTCCGGACGGATCCCGCAGCAGGAGCTCTTCAACTGTGGGGTCGCAAAAGCGTTCCTTAACTCCTGGCGGTTCACCAATCCCTCGTACAGTCGTTGAGAAAGTCGGCCCAAACCAACCCAGCCACGGAGAGGTTCCTGGGACACTCGCATATGACAAACGCAGGGCAGATGCAGTCCCAGATGTTGTCATCAAAGCTCCAGAATCGGACTCGGGCTCACAATCGCATCACGTCGAGTCGAATGAACCTTCAGCTGGCTCTGATGTGCAGATCCCTGCAACAGTCGTTTCGCAGGTAGATGCTGCGCCGGTTGAAGACGCTACCCCTGGTCCACATGCTCACCGTAGACGGCCAAGCGATGCCTCGCCAGATATGACAGAAAAAATTTCAGATGCACCAGGTAAGCCTCACCTCATTCCTAAAACAGAGAATCTTCGGGAACCATTGACCAATTCAGATTTGTCAAATTCATTATTGGCGAATAGCTCCCCAGATCAAGATCACGCCTCACGAAGAGACTCATTAACAAATAATACTACCGATCTTGATTTCGATGATGAGATGGACGCTCAACCAGACATCTCTGAGGATCCAGTAGCTGCGGACGATTTTGATGACTTTGCAGAGGAGCAAGATATGGGTGATGATGATTTTGGTGATTTCGACGATGGATTCCAAGAGCCTAGTGAAGACACTGTTGTGGGCGAACCGATTGAGCCTCAACAGTCTCCCACTCTTCCTGCAGTTGTAAGTGCCATCCTGCCATTCCTTCAAATTCGATTACGGCACCGGATAGATGTTCGTTCTGCGCTTCAAAGGCTGACGTCAATCCAAATCTTAGCCCCCCCTTATAGACTTTGACGTCTTTCAATCTCTTCCTGATCTCTACGCCGCCTTAGACAAATCCCTCGACAAACTCTATCCTACTTCCAAAGATGTTTCATCGCTTCCCGCCTTAGAACCCATTCAAGACTCTTCTTCCATCTTCAGTACAGAACGGTCCCTGTCCCTTTGGTCTCAACTCGTGGCACCACCCTCCTTGCAACCTCAGAACTGGGTCAAGTCCCGCATTCGCCGCCTCTTCCTAGTCTCGTTGGGTGTTCCTGTCGACTTGGATGAGATTCTTCCGGCCTCAAAGCAAAAGAAGCTGGTGCTTCCTTCCATCAATCTAGGCGGATCGGATACCGCTGGACCTACTGTTCACTCACGCTCTCAAAGCCAGACCAGGAAAAGCGGCTCGCAGGATGGTATCGACAACTCGACAGCGTCTAGTTCAGCAGCTCGACATCGATCATCACGCCGCCGTGAAACATCTTTACCTCCCGACTTAGATCTATCAGCGGTGCGGCGGCTGTGTGCCACTACAGATGCCGCATTGGACGGACTGACTGATGTGGAGTTGAAAGCACATGTGAAGGAGCTGGAGCAGGTCACTCTTCGGGCGAGCTCAGTACTTGAATACTGGCTGAAGCGGCGAGACGGCCTTGTGAGTGAAAGAGAAGCATTTGAGGGTGTGATTGAGAATCTGGTCAATCATGCAAGGCGTGTTAGGAAGTGAAGGGACTACAGGTGATATCATATAATTTGCGTTTGGTCTTCCTTTCTTTTTCCTTCCCTTTTATTTCGTTTGGATGCCGCCACTTGGTCGTCTCGCAGGGGGAAAAGCGCTCGATACCAATGTTATTTCTCTTTCAAAGCGAGGTTGGGATCCCGGTATATGGTCCATCTGGTATGGGATCCTAACCTATTCATGCATACTGGATATGATTTTGTTCCAAGTTCGGGGTGTGACGGTTGTTTCTCGCTGTCAAATAGACATGGTCGGGCTATTTGCTATTCGTGTATGATATCATCGATAAATAGTGTCTGTTGCCTTGCCGGCGTCCTTGGTCATGATATCGTTCTTTTGTCGTTGATTGTCGATATTGTTGACACAAATGACTTCACTTGGTGCCATGTATGTGTGTCTCGAGTCCATACGATTGGGGATATATAGCCCTGTAGAACCGATCTTTCCATTTTCATTTACGAGGGAAAACTCAAGGCCACTTCGAAATCTATATCAATTATTCACATATACACGGCTCATAAGTAGGAAGTTCTTCCCTCCCCATTGTTGAGTTATCTGATGCCGACCCACACTGTTGCCAATCACCCGGCGAAACGTCGGGCCGCAAATATTTTCTCCAAAAGTTTCCCGGCCCAGGTGATAGAACCACTTACCACCACAATTTAACGCCAACATTGTTGCTTTTCTGCCTTCTGAAATATCATATCCCTCAAGCCATTAAGTAATCTCTACAGCTCTCACCATGGGTATCGCCAAGAAGACTCGCAAGTTCGCGCAGGCAAGCATTTCACGGACAAAAAGCATAGCATGGCAGACCCGCTAACCAAAAGCCTTGTACGGCGAAACAGGTCAAGCGCACGATCAGCCAGCGAGACCAGCGCGTCAAGCAGCCCCTGAATGGCAAGAAGGAAGAGAAGAAACCCCAACAGGGCGAGGAGCTCACCCGGCACATCCCCGCCGCGCCCTCGAACATGTTCTTCGCCGCGAACACCGCCCTGGGACCCCCCTACACCGTGCTCGTGGATACCAACTTTGTCTCGCATACGATCCGCGCGAAATTGGATATGCTACCGGCGATGATGGACCTGTATGTTCCTCCACGCAAAATGTGCTCCTGGCGGGTCATGCCTCGTTAAGCTGACAGGTGTTGTTTGTTCTGGCGTGCAGGTTATACGCAAAGTGCATCCCGACATTTACAGATTGCACAATTGCCGAACTCGAAAAGCTGGGCCCGAAGTTCCGTCTTGCGCTGAGAGTCGCCAAGGATCCGAGATGGTCGAGATTGCACTGCGACCACGCCGGTACCTATGCAGATGACTGCATCGTGGACAGGGTAAGCGACAACCTTTCCTCCTCCTCCTCTTCCGACTTTCTGCCGCCCATGCTCAACAATCAATCCACTAACATCCATGCTCCAAACCAACACAGATCATGAAGCACCGCATCTACACCGTTGCCACGAACGATCAGGATCTCGTACGACGTATCCGGAAGATCCCCGGTGTACCGATCATGAAGGTCGCGCGGGGCAAGTACGTGATTGAGCGCTTGCCCGACAGCTTTGACTGAGTGGTTTTCAATCCTTACATCTTTTCTTTTTGTTCCTTTTTGCCTCTTCGAAATGAAGAGCCGAGACCCGGCGCGAGAAGAGCCGATTTGCGGGGTTGCCTCGCACATCTCCATGCGCTGGCTGCGGCCTTGCAGAAGTGGTGTTCTATCCACAGAGTCGTGTCTCAAAGCAGGTTGGATATCGATATCTACGGGAGGACGGTCATGACTTGCTCCGGCGTGTTTCCTGCCAATCAAGCTATCAAGGCGGCATATCCGCGGCCCCTGCTGGCCTGGCTTCTGGGGAGAGCAATAGGCTCGGTGCTCACGGTTGTTAGAAGAGGATCGTTGGGCTTCATGGGAGTTATTATGGTGTTTTCTTTTTTTCTTTCTAGGGCTGGCAGTTGTCTTACGAATACCCATTGATCAATTCGAATTCAATTTATTTTCAGAAAAAATCCTTCTTTCTCTGACAGACGGATATACATTACCGGTGCATTCTCTTTGTGCTTAAACGTCGGAAAAGTTCGGTATTCCCTGTGTACCACGATCCTGTGCGGATGTGTTCTAATGGAAAAAAGATCTTTAATTGATGCGCAACAACATGGAATTGGGTATCTTATGCTATAAACCGGGAAAAGCAAAAAACAAAACAACTCTTGGGCGGTGCGCTACCGTACAATGAATGTTCATGTCTCAATCGAGAAGCCCAGCTTCGGTGTATACTCGACATTTCATATCAATCGAGTTCGATGACCCGGGATGTTGCCGATTCGCGGGAAGCAAGCGACTCTCGACCGACACTCTCGGTCTTCGGTCTCTGCGCTAGTGGGGATGTGACAGGACCGTCGCGTTTGCGTTTTAACGACGGGAAATTAGGCGTCTTTTTGATGCCTCTTTCCGACGTGTCTTCCCCATCAGCTTTCAGCTCCCACGATCCATCCGCCCTGATGTTGATTGCCCTCGCATTATCGAGCCGATTCGTGCGCTGCAGTTCTTCATGGATATTGGCCAGAAAGCCATCGATGACCAGGTTTTGCGGACGAGCATCTGCGCCACAGATCGGGCACTTCCAATTCTCCTTCAAACCCGTTTTCCCAGCCTTCGAGGCTCTGGTCACGATGTATGTCTCGAAATCAAAGCATTCGAAATGCTCGCAGATACTTCCACGAGCAGGGATATTAAATATGCGTGCCATGAACGGATCTACAAGGTTGACGGTGATGTAATCACTGACTATGCTCAGTTCGTCATCAGCCGTAGTAGACGACAGGCGTTTTTGAATCCGTTCGCGTGAATCTGAAGCGGGGAGGGATCGAGCAAGCTTCTTCACCTGAGTGAATCCTAAAATGTCCATGACCTCCACCGCCAGGGCATAAACCAAGTCATTACATTCAGCGGCACTGCGAATGAAATGCAGAGAGATAGTGTTCAAGCCTTCCCGCAGATGATCCGTGATGTCCAAGGGTATGTCCTTGCCGTTGTGAAATTTGCGGCGAACAAAGAGTTCTGTGCCATTCACGAAGATGTACATGGCACTGGGCCAGACAGAATCTGTGGCACACCAGGTATGCTGGGTCAACTCGTTTACAGACGGAGAAATCCGTATACACCGCAGACGGTATAATTGGCTACCGGCCACCAAGGTACGTTCAGAGCGCTGGGCGCTACCACGAGAATGAACTTGGGGAAGCCGCTCAAGATCAGCTTTGGTAAGAGTGAATTGCCATTCAAAAGCGGATTCTGTCTTTCCCAGGGAAGTGGGTGGTACCACGAATGACTTCGAGAATTGAAACAGACTTGAATCCTTCTCACTCGCAGGTTGTGAAGGGATCCACTTTATGGTGGGATCTCGAAGATGTGCTTGATGGACTGCAACTCGAAGTGGATGGAATCGGGCTGTGTTCGTCGGCAAGGAACCTGCTGGAGGAAGAAGCAGGTTGGAAGCCGGACCAGACTGCGGTGGCTGCAGGGGTTGTGGTGCCTGCTGTACCTGTTGTATTTGTTCAGTCTGTCGAACTTGTTGCGGCTGCTGAACTTGTCCCTGTCTCTGGGTGGCAGGGTGCTGGATAGGAGGTCTAGCTGAAATTGTAGAGGCGTGATGTTCAGGCAGATTCTGGTGGACGGGCTGCTGGGAGGGAACAGGTGGAACAGGCGGTGGATATGCTGCCGGCGCAGAAAAGACCGCTGGAGAGCTGGGACTTATACCGAGCGACTGCGAGGTCGCCACTTGGTGGGGTGAATTATAGTCGGGTTGCTGCAGATCGGGCCGCGGCGATAACGGGCGGTGGGAAGCCGGGTGATTATTTAGCACGGGCGGCGCGGACAGAGGGGCGGTCGTCCTTGGAGCAGGAACGCCTCCCATCTGTGAAGGTAGCTGAGAATAAGGGATCCCAGATCGCCTGAGACCAGGGTAGGGTATTTGACTTTCTCCGCCAGAAGCGTTAGTCAGAGGAAAGCGAGACAGAAGAGCGGACGCCGGGCTTTGTGGTGGTACCCCTGATGTCAGAAGCGCCACTTGTGAGGGGCGCATTTGAGGGCTCCGTCCCGCGATAGAGGCGGTGCGATTATTGGTGCTGGAGAAAGAATGCTGTCTTGAGTGAGAATGGAAAGGCTGGGTTGCAGCCTGTCCTCCTGCAGTCGGGGGAGCATGCTGACCAGTCGGCGATGTCTGAGGCCGGGAAAGGGATTTATATGCTCGAATTAAATACTCGTTCTCACGGTTCATCTGCTCCAGGGTCACTCTGGTTGTGAAACGCCTGAAGTAATTCTGCTTGTTTTTCTCGAATAAACCTCGCAAGCGCTCTTCATTCTGGGTCCCATAGATCCTTCGAGACATAGCCAGATATACAATTGATAACAGGACGGTCGATGTGAGGCCGAATTGCATGACAAGCTCATCAATTAGAGGGGGGTAGGCGCGCTCCCGCACGTGGCGATCATATGCCGCCCACCTTTCCGAGAGGAGAACCAAGCAGTTCGCGATCTGGTGGAGAGCTTTACTGAACTCGGGGGTCTGAAGCATTACTCCAAGTGGTCGAGGAAAATAGACGCTCCACCGCAGAAAATCTCCGGATAATCGATGATTGTCCACCAAGAGCTGCTTGAGAACATCAAACCCGGCCGAATGCTGCCTGGTCAGATGTGGCAAGCGCGCGAACTCTGAGGGGGCAAAGGTGTGCAAACAGTATATCTGATGAAGGATCAAGTAAAGCAGATCCTGAGAGTTACAGGCATCCCGTAGAAGACGGATCCGAGGTTGTTCCACCGTCTCTGATAGCATCATTGTCCCGTGAGTTCCCATAACAAAGGCGCGCAGGGTCATCTGCGATTGCGTCCAGAAGGCTTGATCGAAGAAGGAGGTTGAGGTAGGTGGGCTGGCTGGGCTTGCCGAAACAGAACCCGGTGCAACTGGAGAAGGGGCCGTTGCTACCTGGAATGTTGGTTGCCCTGAGTTTGCATGAACCGGGGCCTGCGGGTAAGTAGCATTCACCTGCGGCCTCTGCCCGCCTTGAGCAAGCGCTGGCGCCGCAGTCTTTCTTCCTCTGCTGGATGCCGGCGGCGACGCACTTACGGGCATTGTGCCTCTAACTTGAAATACGTTGGATTGCAGCTCTGTCTGTATCTGCATCGGGCCGGGTGCTGGTGGAGGTGAAGGAAGGATGCTCTGGGATAGACGCGCGTCATTTCGATCTCCAATGCTGGCCGGACTGGGGTGAGAACCAGTGCTTGGGTCCGGAGACGGTAGTGACGAAGCCTGCGACGGTTGAGACGCATCAAACGCGGCAATGGACCCTCTGTTTGGAGGAATGAAACCACTGGCGATGGTTGGAGATGCCGCAGAAGTTACGGGGGGTAAAAGCGAGTTGAAAGACGGAGATGGGAGTTGGTGAGCGTTGTCCCCTGGGGTCACGGGGGACATCCAGACTGGTGTGGAGGTAAGGGCAGCGGTTGTGGTGGCAGTAGCAGCAGGGGCAGTACTAGCAAGGGTGGCGGCGACATTATTGTTTTTCTCCGTTCTATCCTGCTGAACTCGAGAGAAGACTGAGACGGAAGGCGAAGGGAAATTTTGCATGCCTTGGGGGCGACCACCAGACTCATCAACAACTGCGGCAGCAGAGGCAGAAGTCGGGGCTGAAGTAACAGGGGAAGACGAGGGAGGAGAATTATGATGTGTAGTAACAGTAGTAGCAGCAACCGCGACAGGGGCTGGCGCCGAAGATGATGAAGATTGAGATGAAGCATCCAACATCCACGATCTCCGCACAGCGACACCGCCCAGGAACAAGTTGGCGGTGGAATTCGAATTCGACCATTCCAGCTCGGAACGCTGATTATTAGGTAAGTGGGAACGGTTGCGGCGGATCGACGGACTCATCCTCACGAGAATTCATGGTCTCGAAGGGTTGGAGATTTCTAATTTAGTGACGAGTCGAGGTGGATGACGGGGCTTCTCTTTTGTATTTATTTATCAATGTTGTCGTTTTTGTTTTGTTTTTGTTTTGTTTTTTCGTGCAGATCGCGCAGATTAGCGTTGATTCAAGGATGTTGATGCTGAAGTGCGTGGTCAGAGTGGGAGTATGAGGTCAAGAACCCAGAGAGACAAAGAAGATGGCGAGATGGGTTTAAATAGATACAAAGAAGTTGGGGTGAACAAAGAGAAGGGATGATCCAGTGAATCCCAGAGATAGGTAGTGATGATGGTAAGAGTGAAGGTAAGAGTGAGGGTAAGAATGAAGGTGGTATGGTATGGACTATGGGCTGACTACCTTGATGCAGTAGGACATAGACTCGAGTTGATAGGTAGGTAGATAGGTACTATTGTTTGGATGAACAGAGCAGGATAGGCACGATGCAAAAGGATGCCTGTGTATCGAAATATCGAGATAGAAGCCGTGGAAACGTTCTAGGAAGACCACTGCTTCCAGTAACTAGCAACATCACTATGGAACCAGTCTTTGCTCCCCTATAGTAGATGCATTGTCTACAGAATCTCCAAAAGAGGCACTGCTCCCAGGGTCAAGTCTGATATAAAAGTGATGTATAGGCATGCATCATGAAGATGATCCATCTCTGCAGAGCCTTAAGACTCATAACAAAGGTTCTCGGTTGATGCTCTCCTAAGTCTAGTAGCTTCCTCAATACGATCTGATAGATTCCATGGCTTGATGCAAGACCATCCCTTCGAGACTTCGAGTAGTGAAATATGGCGTTCCCACTTGGCCCCGTTCCGGCGTTAAGAATCTGATCCATGTAGAAAGGAATCATGCGATACTGATGACGGCCTTGACTCGATTCTTCTCCTTGCTCTAGGGCCAGAATCAGGAGTTCAGGACCCCTTGGATCGTCGCTGAGACGTGTAAACACAATAGCGAACTGGATAGACACTGCCCAAGTCGTTCTTACTTGTTCCTTGCCTCATATATAGGGCCACTTGTTTAATGAAGACGAGAAGTATCTATCTAGTTGTCGACTGTGGGCTGACTGTTTCAGGTGCGTGTGCAGAAAGTACGGACAGTTGAGACTTGAGACTTGAGACTGTATACCCCCGTCTTAGATGTCTACTCATATATCGCTGGGATCAATAGCGACGATGTTTTACCTATCTAGATATTTACCTACGATCATTGATTCATGTCAAAATGTTTTGCAATACTCTCTCCCCTTGAACCCCTGCTGTGCTCCACATGAAGAAGCATCCTGGAGAGGAATTGTGGGTGCTGTGCTCGAATAGACATATATCTATCCGACAGGGCATCTGGTTTCAACTCTGTGTGCACCAAGCGTTCAAACGATCGGTTATAAATCGAACCATTTGAATTGAGCTTCAAGAAGGCCTGAATCCCAATGATCCTGGAGTGGGAGGTGGCGCTTGTATAGATCTCCGTTGCTTGCCCCATACCATAACTAACAGCCTTGGACAGACAGAACGTGGATGCGGTTAAGCTTGACAAACATGTAAAGACAGATGGACAGCTACATTTGAAGGCCAGGTTCCCTTTACCGTCATCCGATGAGACTATCCTCAGATTGCTTGCCTCGTGCCAGTCTGGTCAGAACCTCTGCTAGTTGATCGAGATGAAGATGGGCAGGCTGACAGCAAGGAAGATATCCACAGACTAACGATACTTCGAAGGAGTTGTTCGCCCGTCGACAGTGAAGATAGTCTAGTTTCATGTTCCAGTGAACTACATACGACGGGTGTTCCTCCCTTCTCCCCCCCCTTGGTAGGAAATTCTAGATGTATATATAAAGTGTGCCATGTCCAGGTGTCAAGTGCGTGGTCAGTAAATGCTCAATGAGTGGCCCAAAGTCCCCTTCTTGGGAAATCAATCATCGCCAAAACAACGGCCGTACCTGTGTCATTTTTCTTGAGGTGGATATCTGAACTATGACTTGTACAACAGTTCTCTCTGAAGTATCGCTTCTGTTGGCTCCAATCATCAATCCTCTGCCATCCCATCTCATCATCGGAGGAATTGGATCTAAAGTATTGTATATCTCTGGTGCCATCTCTCTCTCATCCTCAGCCTCCTCGTCTCTATGAATATGTTCCCTCTTCAGTCTCTCAATTTAAGCTCTGCAAGGACGACACTTTGACATCCGCACGCGCCACGCATCAGTTTCACTTTCATCAATCATCGGTTCATCAACGTCGGCATCAGTTCGCTGTCAGTATTATTATTATTATCATTCTCATCATCGTCCCGTTTCAAACCCGTGGACCTTGCAACCCACCGCTTCATCCCCCCCCCCACAGAAGAAGAACAAGAAGAAGAACAAGAAGAGCACAGCATCACATTTGACACCTGCGCAGCCGCCCATTTGGCGCCGTTCCCACTTGCTACTGGGTTAGCGTCCCTGTCGCAGTGCTCGTCAAATTTCTGAATCCATACGTGGTCCTGGGATCGTCAGTAATCTGCCCCAGTTCCTGGCTAGATCTCGGGAAGCAAAACTTCGAGGCTTGAATTTGTCCTTTGTTTTGTTCTATTTTCGTCCCGACCGGAGTGAATTGAGGAGACATATAGAAAGCCCAACGGTCACCATTTCTCGTTTCCGTCGGATTGTACATTCAATCACCAGGCCACCAGAAAGAGCCGAGTCTGTCTTGCAGTCTTCATCTCTCGCTTCTCCCGCGAGTGTTCAACGGTTCGACCAATATTCGCTCCAATCGGCGCCCACTTCTTAGCCCCGCCGTTTTTTTGGCCCTGTCTTTTGATCTTCCATCCTCTCAAGGCTCCTCAATCCACCTTATCTACGTTCCCTGGTTGAAGGCGGTGGTGGTGCCTTCGCGTGGCTGTCACATTCTTGAACGCAACCGCATCGTCATACGCATTCCGTTTGCGAGCCCCCTCCCTTCTTCCTCACCTTCGAAGAACGCCCCGCCCCCCTTTTATTTATAAATTAATTACAGGAGAGAAGACGAAGACGAGAACATCGCGCCCCATTCTGGCCTCGTGAACTTACAAAAACACATCTTTTACCCCGGAAGGGCTGCAGGCCCCATGTCCTGCGCAATTCTCCCGCTACCACTACTTCTGCCGCTCTTCCTTTGACAACGGACAATCCCGCACTTTGCTCCCCCTTTTGTCACCAGTCGAGAGCACGCAATGGCTCTCTCAACTCCGCCCCGAGGCGTTCGCCCGGGAGATTTCCTGCTTGTTGTCCGTAAGTGGTTTCCCTCGCCTCGGCCCCATCCGCCACCACAGTCTCCCTCCGCTCGTTTATCGATCAGGGCTCATATTGAAACTTTCATGGCTGATGACCCGCTGTTCCTCCAGATGATTTTGATGCGCGAGGAACGGACGAGCTGACTTTGCGACGAGGAGAAAAGATTGAGCTGGTAGAACTCGATGAAGGGTTTGGAGATGGGTGGTACCTGGGCAAAGATCTCAAGACAGGGACAACGGGTCTCTTCCCTGGTGGTATGTTTTCTTTTTCCACATTTCTACAGTCAAATGGGTCGTGCGATGGGCTACAGTGGACATGACTGACAAGGTTGGTTGATTCAGTTTACACAACTGCCGCCCCAAAGATCCCAATTCGGCCTGCGAGGGAAGATGAAGTTGACATGGATGGTTCGAAAATCGATGGCGATGAAGGGCTAGATCAGAACCCAATTGCGGCTGAGGCCGTGACCTCGCCCTTGAGCGGAGAAACCACTCCCCAGGCGTCGCGACATACCAGCGCATCGGATATACAAGTACCAGATTTAGCGACAGACCTCGACTCAATGCAATTCTCTCCCAAACAACAGCAGCGCTCAAGCTCGTCTCCTCTGCCCACTTCGAAGTTGGCTGTTGATATCCAACAGTCGATCAGACAGACTTTGGACGGTCGATTAAATGGCCAGGACAGCCCAGTCATGAACGAGACTTTGAGTGTTATTGATGAACACATTACCGACCTGAGCACACCTCGTCATAGCGTTATCCCCCCAGAACAGAAGGTGAACAATGATTCATCCAGCGAATATAGCAACCATCTCGACCACCGCGTCTCCTACATCCGCGGCCATGAGACGGACGAAGAAGAAGAAAACCAGCCAACGGAGGCGGAAGTGCGGTCTTGGAATGCAGCGGAAACCTCGAAACACTTGCGAGAGTTGGGGGTCGAGGAGAAACACTGTGACATATTCCAAGAGCAAGAAATCACTGGCGATGTACTGTTGGATATGGACCAAGATTTTCTCTTCATGAAAGAGTTCGACTTTGGCGTCATGGGCCGCCGATTAAAGACCTGGCACAAAGTCAAGGCTTTCCAGGAGGAGGTTAGGGATATCAGGCAGCAGTCACAGCAAGGTCGTGGTTCTGCCTCAAGTTATCCCGCGTCGTCGGAGGAAAGGTCGCTCAGCAGGGCCAGTCATGCCGGCCCTTTTCTTCCACGGATCCCTCATCTGTCTCGAGGATCGGCTGGTTCCATGCAGCACCCACGACTCATGAGCAGCGGTGGACCGAGCAACACTACTTCCCTGACTTCCCAGACTCCAAGCTTCATGGACCATATGAGAAGGCCCTCAGCGGCCTCCATTCGAGACATTAATCATCACCGTCGTCATTCATCCATTGACGCTAGTCACCGTATGTCAACCGTGATGGATCCGGCATCCCACTTTGGCCATGTTAAACAGCCCTCATTCGATAGAGCCTGGACTATGACCAGTGGACAAAAGATGCCCTCTCGCTCGAGTACTTTGAACGAAGGGATCTTGCCTCAGCACGCATTTCGACGTCCAGATACTAACGAGTCCGACTCTGCAACTTCCATTTCCGACCGCCACGATGAGCTTGAACGCGGGTACTTCTCGGGCCCTGAAGGTGACAACACGAAGAGTCGGAGGTTGTTACAGAAACGAACTTCTGTGGCTGGCAGCGCGAGCCACTCCAGGAAACCCAGTTACGCCGATGAACATCTGACGGTCAACAAGCGACATTCTCGCGTTGGCAGTGTTGATTCCATTCGAGAGGTGGCTAAGGCAACTCCAGATGCCATAAGTGCACCAGTCACTTCTTCACCCAAGGGCCGTTTCAGGAGTTTGAGCACTCGTGTCATTGATCGACGTGGCCAGTCGTCACAAACATCTAACACCACCGCAGCAACAGACAAGCCTAGCGCTAGCCCCGGTTTCTTCGCGTCGTTCTCGCCACTTGCCCCCTTCGTTAACAGATCGGACACCGACGGCTCCACACGCTCTTCCAAAAGTACTGGGGCTAAAATTCGACGCGCTGCCGGACTTCGAGCTATATCTGACGTCGTTGGTAAAGGAATTGATACGTCTGTTGCTCCAGGTTCACCCATCAGAGATACCGACCCAACCTCAGCCAGAACTGGGTCGACTACCCCATCCACCTCGAAGAGCTCGGAAAGACATAGCACTGAAAGTTCGGTGAAGAATGCAGAGGGTGGGATCTCCTTCCCACGCCCGAGAGCCTCTGTCAAGTCCGGCCCAAAATCGAAGAAAGACACAAGCGCTTACATGCGAGGCTTGGAGAAAAAGTCTCCACAGGAGCAAATGGAGGGTTGCGACTTCTCTGGCTGGATGAAGAAGAGATCCTCCAATCTGATGACCACGTGGAAGCCACGCCTGTTTGTTCTACGTGGCCGCCGCCTGTCCTACTACTACTCTGAGAATGATACGGAGGAAAGAGGCCTCATAGACATTACCGCCCACCGTGTTCTTCGAGCCGATAATGACCCGATTGTTGCTCTGCATGCAACCATCACGGGTGCCACGGGGTCGCCAACATCCCCTTCGCACTCGAATGGTATCGATATTCCAGCAGCAGACAGGTCTTCTAAATCATCTCCTTCAGGCACCAAGGTTGTTGGAGAGGGGCCCTTCTTTTTCAAGCTCGTCCCCCCTAAGACAACTCGCACCGTTCAATTCACCAAACCCGCTGTTCATTACTTCCAAGTGGACAGTGTGAAGGAGGGTCGCTTATGGATGGCTGCACTGATGAAGGCGACCATCGACCGTGACATGAGCCTGCCGGTTGAGACGACAAATAAACAGAAGACGATCAGTCTCAAGCAAGCCCGGATGATGAGCCAACGACCCCCTGCACTGATGACCGCAACAGACATGCAGGAGCAGAGAGAGGAGGTCAAGAGTGATCCACCGTCAACCGGCACAGAGGAACGTGGGGGCCTGAGGATCAAAGGCTTGTTCGACAACGCTCCTGTTGATGATGATGAATACAGGGAGGACAACGCATCCTTGAATTCTCTCGGTGATATTGATGCCGGTCCACCATCTCTTCTACCCGAGTCCCTTGTTGTCAAATCTGACCATTGAGGCAAGTATGCTGGGTCGTTGTACTTCTGGGAGACTGTTCAAATCGGTTTGGCGTTTTAAGTGATATACCCCCGTTCGGATTTGGTGTTCTGTTTTCTGTTTCCGTCCGCGCTTTCTTTCCCAGCAATGGAGACGTCCCCATTCTCTCACACATTCTTCAATGCCGATTTTGCCGGGTGTTTGTCAGGCTCGAGGGAGATGGATATATGATGATATCCAAAAAAAAAAAATACGAAATCGGTAATAATAATAACTCCTTTGTACTTCATATGAAATCTTCTACATAACTGAGCCGTTAACCTCATTTTAATCTCATTTGACTTGTCTGAATCAAAAGTAAGGCAAATGTAAACCAGTGCTTTGTATGAGTATATAGTTCTGCCGCTCAAACTTATTTGTGGCTGTCTAGGCAGGCGGACTTTTTTCTCCCTTTAAAAGTTCCTCGACAATCCTCTATTTTCTAATTTCCTTTCCTTTGTGCTCTATGAGCGCCTTACTTCCCTGAGTATTGTTTCATGAATTTATATTCCTTACTATCAAAAGAGACACTACGCCGATGCGCGCTCCAGCAATAGTCATACCCCCATGTCCCTCGTCCGCCTTCTCCTATCCCGCGTCCTCAATGCGCTCATACCACTCGCGATAGCATCCAGTCTCTACCTCTACCTCTACCCTATATTCCAAGGCTGCGCCTTCCCATTGCCAACAAGCCAAAATGAACATCCCTCCAGCTCACCCTTCGGAACGAACAACCCGCTTCTGTATACCCTTTCGCAACACCTCCGATCGCAATTAGCAGCGGACTCAGCAGCAGCTTTCCGGCTGCTGGTCCTAGCAGACCCCCAGCTGGAAGGCGACAGCTCTCTCCCGAGCCCGGAAGAAGAGCTCTCAGCTCGAATCCTGTACTACTGGACGCTGATCAGACGCTCCGCGCTGGAGTCACCGTCGCCCTTCCACCCCGATGTGTTCAGCAACCTCACAGCCGCGGTACACACACTGTTTGTGGAGGACGTTCCTCGCGCTCTTCTTGCCGCACAGAAACGGGTCGATCTGCTCGGAAATGATTTTTACCTTGCGCATATATACCGCACGCTACACTGGTGGACTCGTCCGACGCATGTCACCGTGCTGGGCGACTTGATTGGGAGTCAGTGGGTTACTGATGAGGAGTTTGATCAGCGGGGAGGCAGATACTGGAATCGGGTGTTCCGGGAGGGCGAGCGCGTTAGTGACGAGATTACGATCACTGGCTCGGCGGGGTATGGAGCAGGAGCAGGAGCAGGAGCAGGCGATGCGCCGCAGCTGGAAGAGTTGAATGCAACTCACTCGGTCTGGGAACGCAGAATTATCAATATCGCGGGGAACCATGATATTGGGTATGCGGGTGACGCCAGTGAAGCGCGCATTGAGCGATTCGAGCGGGTGTTTGGCCGCGCAAACTGGGATATTCGGTTCCAGTATACGCCGCCGAATGCGACGGCTGATTCGGTCAAGCCTACCTTGCACCTGATCAACCTCAATACGTTGACCCTGGATGGACCAGCGCTGTCCGCAGAGGTCCAGTCAAACTCATACGCTTTTATCAACGACCTCATCACTCATCGCACCTACCCTGTTGAGGATAGGACGACCTTTACGCTCCTCCTTACCCACCTGCCTCTGCACAAGAAGGAGGGCATCTGTACCGACGGACCCTACTTTACCTACTTCGAATTTGACGACACGGATGGCCCAAATGACGTTCCCCGCTTCAAGGAGGGCGGTTTGCGGGAGCAGAACCACCTTAGCGACCAACTGAGCGCCGGTGGCGTCTTACAGGGAATCTTTGGCATGAGTGGTAACACAGACGCCGCAGGAGGAGGCTGGGGACGTAATGGTCTTATTCTCAATGGACATGACCATACCGGCTGCGACGTTGTTCATTTCGTCAACAGGTCTATCGTAACGACTGCCTTCGAGAAGAATACGGGCGAAATGTCTATTGAGACTGAGGAGTCCCCTGCGCCATCGTGGACATGGGCGGCGAAGCGCTACAATAGCCGCCGCCCAGAGGAGCGACTCGATGCACCCTCTATTCGCGAAGTCACTCTGCGTGCTATGATGGGCGAGTACGGCGGCAACGCAGGTCTCCTCTCCGTGTGGTTCGATGCCACTCCGGGCGTTAATGAGTGGCAGTATGAGATCACCATGTGCATGGCCGGTGTCCAGCATATCTGGTGGGCAGTTCATGTGCTTGACATAGTGACAGTTCTGCTTCTCCTTCTATACACCCTGTTACCCCGTCCCTCCAAGAAACCGGAGAAACAGCCGAAGAGAACTGTTCCCGAAAAGGGAACCAAAGACGATAAGAAGTGAATAAGTTGGGCTTGGACTTAGCATTGCATCTGTTGTTCTTGGATATGAGCGTGCAGACTATCAGCTTCCCTGGATCTCCTTCTAATGTATTATATTCTTGTGTCTGTATTTATATGGTGTGGTCATCTGCCCGCCGTACTACTGTCTCCCTCATCTACTTTGGATACCCTACGATGAAAACTTTCGCATGAGCAAATGAGGACCGTGCAGTGCCTTGTTCACATGAGTAAGACCACGCCCTTTGTAGCTGTGTGATGTTCATCAGGATGACTTTTAACATCGCTGATACCCGAAGGGAGTATGTTTCACGAGCAGAGGAGAGAATGATTTTGAAGATTTTTTGATATTATTGCCGAGCCGCCAGTGGTAGAAGAAACAATCGAGACACGTCATTTAGGAAAGAGATGCGCGGCTTAAGATGAATTCGGACCCGTTCATTGAAGTTCGTGGTTTTTGTGTCATGTGCACCGAAAAAAAAGATTTCATTCCCTGGTATCGCTGCTTCTATCTCCCCCCCCTGACTTCCAAATCACGACGCCTTTTTGTATGGATTCTTTACATAACGACACCGGCGTTGGAAGCAATACGCTGTTGAGGCAGACGATTAGTGATGCTCTGGTGCAGAATCTCGACATAGGTCTGCAGGGTGACTTACGGGCCAGAGCTCAGCAGCCTCCTTACCGACGGGGCCGGTAATGGCGGATCCCTTCATCTCACCCTTGGCGTTAACGATCTGGACGAAACCATCGAATTAGCAAATCATTTCATCTTGCCATAATCGCACACTGCCACGGCGCTGAATCCCACAAAACTCCCTGGGATGAAAGCCGCGGCCTCATGTGCAAACAGAGGATTGGGTTGTTCTTCTGCACTCACCACACCAGCGTTGTCCTCGAAGTACAGGTAGATACCGTCGGGTCTTCTCCAGGGCTTGCTCTGACGGACGACAACGGCGGGCATGACCTTCTTACGGAGCTCAGGCTTTCCCTTCTTGACGGTGGCCATGACCATGTCACCGACACCGGCAGCGGGGAGACGGTTCAGGCGGGCACCGATTCCCTTAACCGAGATGATGTACAGGTTGCGAGCACCGGAGTTGTCGCAGCAGTTCATGACGGCTCCGCTATACAATGTATTAGTTTTTCCTCTTGTTCCGTCAAGTTGGTCGAACACGTTGCGATTGATGGGATATGAGTTTGGGGCAGAGCGGTTTCGTGGCTGGCGTGGATATGATATGGGTCGTGGGATATCTTGATTTGAGGTCGCAAGAAGGGAAACATGCACAATCACTTCGACAATCGTGTTCGACTTCGGAAGGGTAGGAGGATTGCAGTCACATACCAAGGCAGACCGAGCGTCATCTTGAGCTTGTTGCCGGAGGCGGCACCACGACTATTCAGAATGCAAACATCAGCATTTTCGTTCCCTTCAATGTCTGTCCGGCCTTGCGTCTGCTTCTGCGTCGTAGAAAAATCTCATTTGATCCCAGCACATCCCACCCTTCTCCAAGAGTCTCTATCCGAGAGCAAACCCCCTCCGCAGAGAAATTTCACTTCCTCCTCTTTTTTTTTTTTTTTTTCATTTCGACAATAACCCCCCCCCACGCACTCATTGATCTCCAGGCGTGCAGGAGACTATCCATCTATGTGCCCTTTTTTCGACGACGCAGCGCTTCGCAAGAACCTGGAAAAGAATCATTTGCAACTCACCCTCTGGAAGACATCTTGACTATGTATCACGTTGTCGTGTCGGATACTGGGAAAAGGGCGAAAGGGCGACGAGGTCGAGAGGGATCGGGGCGACGTCGAGGGTTTGCACGGCGGTTCGGGTTTCGAATTGCTCTCGCTTAGTGTGCGTGGTGTGCAAAATCTTGGCGCTTACTTACTATTGGTAGACTGGATCCGCCATGGGTTGGAGCAGTAGCCCTAACACTAAGCTGTGACAGGACTAGTGGGTGATTATATAAGGCTGGGGAAGATGGTGCTGACTGCTATACTACTGAGTACTGACTGCCTTCTTACATCAAGGCCTAAGGATATCTATATGCTGGCCATCAAGATGGAGGTACTACAGCACTAAGAAGTCGTTATGAAGTTTGAGATTCTTCAATGGATAACATGTATGAGTAGACAGGTTAAATAAAGCACAGATATTTTAGTGCAAACTTATCATACAGGGCAAAGACAAGAGGCAAGGAATACCACAAGTATCATATCAATCCCAGGCAAGATAGCAATCAGGTTGAAGTATAAATAACCTCCTCAGTAAAAAGAAGATACAGTAGCTGACCGAAGTGTGAATGTAAAACAAGAAGAAAAACCAAACCCGCCTATCATAGAACACGATGCAATGATCTCGAGTGCCCCCAAACACCATACTACCATTGCCCTTTACGCCAGAAACTTCGAGAGGATGCCTTCCATTAGCGCCGGAAGTTATTCCAGGCTCTTTGCAGGCTCCTCAGGTTGTTGTGTTGAGGTTGGCTCTTTTTCAGTAACTTGCTTAGCCTCCTCTGACTCCTTGGGGGCTTCCTGGTCGGGCTTGACGACCTGTTGATCACTGGAAATCTCGGGAGTCGTTTCCTTCGTCTTGACCTCTGATGAATCGGTAGCTACCTTGGTCTCTGGCTTCTCTGAGGCGTCTGTCTCTTTTGAAGCGGGAGAAATCTTTGCTGAGGGAGAAGGCTCCGTAGCTGTCGTTTCTGGTGCCGATGTTTCAGGCTTTGCCTCCTCTTCCTGTGTCTCGACTGATGGCTCAGGCTGCTTAGATTGCTCCGGTTCGGGGACAGGCTCGCCCGCATCTTCCATGGTGGTATCTTCATCGTGCATCTTGGGAGATGGCTGACGAGAAGCGACAGCAGAAGCCGCAGTCTCTTCTGGTTCATCAATGGCCATTTCAGTTGACTCTACAACGGCCTTTTCATCTGCGCTGGGAGCAGGTTCAGCAGCGGAGGGGGTGGGCGCGATATCAGTAGCTGGTGGAAGCGCTTCACCCATCTTTGCATCGATGGTAGTATCCATCTCGTCATCTGGAATCGAAGAAGCTTCTTGCGGGGTCGCAATTCCGCTGTTGGGTCCAGAATCCAGATCGGCGTTCCGGTAGTTGGCTTGATTCCTCCGCTTCAGCCCTGCAGCTTTAGGATGGATTCCGTTGGCCGCATTCTCCTCTTCATCTTCACTATCACTCAGTTCACCGGGCTTCTCGATGTATTGGTCGAATCGTCGCTTCGTGAACCGTTTATCTTTGTTTTCATCCTCATCCAAATCATCAAGAATCGCGTCTGCCTCGTCGTCCATACCTTCGAGGAGCGGCTCACGAGGTACATCAGTCATCTGCACGGACGGCGCGAAAGCCGTACGCTTGAGATTCTCGACCACCTGAGCCCGAATCTTGTCAAGATAGTCCTTGGTATTGGCATTGTCCATATTCGACGGGCGGACATTCAGCTCGTAGTCGGGGGCGAAGTACTAATGCGACTGTCAGTATTGTCAACGCTCAAAGATAATATGTCGATCAACTCACCTCATAGTAATCATTGTAAGGCAGCTCTGGACCTAGAACCTCCCCGAGAAGGACGCCAGTCTCAAAAGCCCACGTTCGCGCAACATTGCGCATGGTATAACCACCACCACCGACAATCATGGTCGGCAGGTTGAAGCTTTTCACGAAATTAACGCAGTTTGCGTGGCCTCGCATACTGAGATTGAAACAGCCAAGGCGATCACCCGAGAGACTGTCGCCACCGCATTGAAGGACAACGGCTTCAGGGCGGTACCATTCCATGACACTGCTGATGACAGGCTCAAAAATGCTTTTGTAGGAAACGTCATCGATGCCGTCGCGAAGGGGAAAGTTGACCGCATAATTCTTGCCTTGTCCCACTCCAATGTCACGAAGCTCGCCGGTACCCGGGAAATACTCTCCATACTTATGGAAGGAAACGGTCATGACACGGTCGGTGGTGTAGAAAGCTTCTTCGACACCATCTCCGTGGTGAACATCAATGTCGACGTAGAGAACACGTTGCTTGAATCGTAGCAGCTCGAGGATACCAAGGACAATGTCTGATAAAGGCGGACAGTGTCAGTTGCTGTGCAAACCACGGAAGCGCAGCGACTTACCATTTACGTAGCAGAAACCACTCGCTTCACTCTTCTTTGCATGGTGAAGACCTCCAGCCCAGTTGACAGCGATGTCGCACTTGTTGCGATTAAGCCGCGCCGCGCCTTCCATGCTGCCTCCCGCGCTGATCCCGCAGAACTCAAACAATCCATCAAAGACTGGACAATCATCACCGACGTTGTATCTACCCTGCTCTTTTGCGAATTGATCCATATTGTCTGGTGTCACCTTCGAAAGGAAGTCGATATATTCGTCGGTGTGAAATTGTGTCATCTCATATCTGGACGCCGGTTTCGCACGCTGCAAACCATTACCTGTTAGTAGACCATCGATGGACCCAATAATTCCGCAAACCACTCACGTAGATTTCCATCTTCTTGTATAAGCCATAGTTCATGACCAAGCTGTGTGTCATCCTGATACGGTGTGGCTTCATAGGATGTCCCGATACGTAGGCATAGTTTCCAACGTCCGAGTCGTAGAAGTATGCGACCTTCTTACCGCGATCCTTGGAGGCACTGGAAAGATCCAGATCAACAGGAGGTAGGGCAGTCATCTTGGATGAAAATGTGCACGTATGCACTGATGCACCTCACCCCGGTTTGTATATCGTGGAATGGTGAGGTTGTTGTATCCAGTCGTATCTAGGTTGATTATGGGTGATTTGAAGAAGAGAAAGAAAGGAAAGGCACAACAGATGATCAAGGCCCCGAAGACAGGCTTGGATCACGAATATAAGTAAAAAATCACCTCAATGAAATAACAGCAGTGGAATTTGAGGGATTGTGGCACTGAGATAGGATTCCCTCCCATCGATTGGGGAGAATAGAAGAGAGGGCGAACAAACAGTGGAAGAAGTGAAGGGGAGCGCCGAGCAAAGGCCGCGAGGGGAGAACAGGCCGAGACTGCCAGGAGGAACAGCTGTGCCCACCGCCTTCGTCAGCTTGGTCATGCCCAAATGGGATTGCTTGCTACTTAGCATCCCCGAATCGCGCATCTCATTCTCACCAGCTGTCCGGTCATATCTCTCCTTCATCCTTCTTTCCATCTTATCGGTCTTCGCTATCTGGGCTTCGGATCTTCTCATTCTACCTACGTCTCCGCCCTTCGATCTATTCGCCACACGAAGTCTGCCTGTGAAGTGACCGATCAACCACTTCACTATTTGGAGCTTCCCTTAAGGAAGCTATCACTTGCATTTCCTTTGATCTTTTCGCATATTTGAGTCATTATGGATCGACTCAATCGAATGATTCAGGCCGCTCAGGGCATGGGTATGGGGAGCGCAGCTCCTGGTGGTGTAAGCTAGCCCTTTGCGTCATTTGTACCTACCGCTCGTACAGCCTGTACGGATTCAAGGGTCTTCTACATGGACTCGTATCTTTTGAGCACAGATAAAGCGCCTCCAAAATAGGAGGACGACGTGCTCAGAATGGTTGTGCTAATGCTTGTTGGCAAAGGATACCCCGAACCTGATCGATAACTCCGAAACTGTTCACATTTCCTCGCTCGCTCTGTTGAAGATGTTAAGACATGGCCGGGCAGGTGTACCTATGGAAGTTATGGGTCTGATGCTGGGGGAGTTCGTCGATGAATACACAGTTCGCGTGGTTGATGTCTTTGCCATGCCTCAGAGCGGTACTGGTGTCAGTGTCGAGGCTGTGGACCCTGTCTTCCAGACCAAAATGATGGAAATGTTGCGGCAAACTGGGCGGTAAGATTTTGAAGCAGTCGAAGATTGGTTACAATGGCAATACTGATTTAGTGTCTCCAAAAATAGGCCAGAGACCGTCGTTGGCTGGTACCACTCTCATCCTGGTTTCGGATGTTGGCTGTCATCCGTCGATATCAACACACAGCAGTCGTTCGAACAGCTCACTCCACGAGCCGTTGCTGTTGTGGTGGATCCAATTCAATCTGTTAAGGGAAAGGTTGTCATTGATGCTTTCCGTCTCATCCAGCCTCAGACCGTTGTCATGGGCCAGGAGCCTCGGCAAACAACATCCAACTTGGGTCACCTGAACAAGCCGTCCATTCAGGCATTGATCCACGGCCTGAACAGACACTACTACAGCATTGCTATCAACTACCGCAAAACAGGACTGGAGGAGAACATGCTAATGAACTTGCACAAGCACGTCTGGACAGAGGCCCTGCAGATGAACGACTTCCACGAGGAAGGCCAACACAATGTGGAGCGGATGAAGCAGCTCGTCAACCTTGCCGAGGGCTACGAGAAGCGGGTCAAGGAGGAGACGGAACTCACCAAGGACCAACTCAAGACACGATATGTCGGAAAGGTTGATCCTAAGAAGCGTAAGTTTTCAACTCATCTCTTTGTAGCTCAAGCCGCGATACTGACTATTTTCTTTCAACAGACATTGAGGATGTGAGCCAGCAACTGATTGAGGATAATATCGTTGCGGTCTCGCGGCAGATGATTGATAAGGAGGCGTCAGTGGCACGACTGTCTAGTGGAAAGGATGCCCAAAATCAGACGGGCATGGACGTGGACGAAGAGCTGTAGATGACTTAGTGTCAAGAAAGCGGGACGTCTAATGTTTCTATGCCTCTATAATCCAACATTTCTCCTAGTCTGGGGGGAATAGACAAGAAATTACCCATAGATGAATGATGTTCAAAATTGTAAAGCTGGCTGCCTCATAAAGCGAGAACAAAGCCGAAGATAATCTATATATGCATTTAATTGTTCTAATCTTGTATTGGATCAGACTACATAAAATCGTCAAAAACTCCACCCAATGCAGCAAATGGGGGCAAGTCGCACTTCGAAACTCGCAATGAAATTCATACACCATGTCGACATCAAATATTGAAAAGGATATACTGATTCATTGGACTGAATTCTGACATTCAGCTTCTTCATCATGATATTCTGGCTTTGGCTCCTTATTCTCCTCCCCATCCCAGTCGGTCCATCCTCGCTGAGTGCCCCAGAGAATCTTCTTCTGCGCCGACTTCGCTTCATGCAACAGGCGCTTCATCAAACCTCCGCCTTTGAGAACGGATGGGTAACCATCAAATTCCACTTGAACCACATTGGGCAACCTTTCCAGAATCTTTTGAAGTAACTTGCCCGCAAATTCACTATAAAAATCCTTGTTGATGCGGAAGCCTTCAAATACAGGATGAGATGGGTCACACTCGATGAAAACTTTTAATGTCCTCACACGAACCATTTTTTCCAATCCTAATCGATTATTCACTACCCAGTCACGAGGAGGCGAGGTCCAGCTCGAGCCCAGGATCAACTCGATGGTAGTCACGAATGGCCGGTATCTAGCCGATAGGCCTCTGACCGTTGGTGTCCGACACCAATCTTGTATCGGAAACACGCGAAACGTCAGCATGGAGTAGAAGTAATCGGTAGCTTCATCGTGGACCCGCCAGGACACCAGAAACAAAGCGATGCGATTCCGATACGGGGCGATAGGAGGATTCCTTGCGGAAGCGCCTACGCTGCCGTTGGACCGTTGCGATTTCCATCGATACGTCGTGAATAGATATAGATCGTAGATGCGCAGACGAATTTCCGAGGGAAGGTCGAGGAAACGGAAAGGTGTCACAATACTGGACTCTTTCAAGGAACTTTCCTCAACGTCGTGGACAACATTTTGGGCCCCACTCTCCAGAGATTGGTCCTGAATCTTCACCTCCTGGAGGGCATCTGCGATGCTCTCCATGCTGGAAGGAGGCACAGCTCCAAGTGAAGGAGGGGAGGTAGAGTGCATAAGTACGTTAAGGATGCTTTTTCTTTTCAAGAGAGAAGAGAAGGACAAGGTGGCGGTAAGTCAATATCTATATTCATGCCATTGGAACTAGTGAGTTCATCAGAACAACCGCGCCTATATGGACTCGACATCAGCGGCCACTCATATCTCACAATACATGAAAAAGTTCTGTATCCCACGAACGGGGCTGCAGCTTCACTGGAAACCTTTGCTGCGGCTCTTGGGAGTGGGATAAAAAAAGATCTTCTTCAGTCTTCCCAGCTAATACAACCCGGCATACATGGAAAAGAGGCCGTGTCGGGTCGAATTAACGTCTGGGTTGAATCAACTTTCAAAACTGAAGAAGAAAAGAGGAGAAAGAAGAAGAAGAAAGTTGACGATGATCGAAGACGGATTTAAGGCGGCGGAAAGGAGCTGCGTGGGTGGGTTCTGCCGCCCGCCGTATGCAGCAAGAGCGCTTTCGACTTTTCTGGCTCCGCGCAAGTGACGAAGACCGACTGAGTTCTATCATTACACAATCAACAGGGCAGACGACCTTTCTTATCGAGTTCATCTCGTTGTCTGTCTCCATATTATTCTTCCCATCTTCAAAGAACTAGCTTTCGAGGAGCGCTTGAGTGCGCTGTCTTCTCTATCCTACTTCCTCTCGTCATCATGCTTAGCCGTGCCGTGCTACCTCTAACAAGACCTGGTGTCCTTGCTTCATCTGTTCGCGTATCAGCCCTCTCTGCCCCCAGAACGAGATGGTACGCAAAGAGCAGCAAGCCTAAGGCTCCTTACAAGCTGCCGGAATCTATCAAATCTCCCCAATCAGAACAGTCCTCGACATCCCCTCAACCAGAGTACTCGGCGGAACAGACCGAGTTCGATACGAAGGCGGACCCCACGAAGAACACTGCGTCGCAGACTTCTGAAGCTGTGAGTAACATACTGCTAGACTTAAGTCGGGCTTATATCTAATCAAACATGATCCTCTTTAGTCCGAGACTGGTCCGACCGCTCCCGAAAAGGATACGCCTCAAAAACCACTTCCCGATCTCACCCAGGGTATTCCATCTACGCTTTTCGCCGAATTGGAAGGTCGTTCGAAGAAAGATGGACAGAGTGGGTTGAATCTGACCGAAGATCCCTCACGATCGGAAGACTATACGGATGATGGTCGGGGTGGTGATATCCCGAAGGATGGTTACGTCTCATCTCTCGACCGCCGCCGGGCTCGGATGGCGAACCTGATGTATGCACTGTTCCTTATTGCAGGCGTCGGAGGAGTGGCCTATCTAGGACGCAACTGGGAAACAGAAGAAGAGGCAAAGGCACATCCGGAGATTCCGTCCGGCTGGAGTTTGTCTTCCTGGTACGGCCGCATGAAGGCTCGTACGGGCGATATCACTAGCTACTACAAGGATCCCGCCTTCCCGAAGCTGCTTCCTGACGAGGATCCTAACATGCGCCAGCCTTATACCTTGGTGCTCAGTCTGGAGGATCTACTCGTCCACAGCGAATGGAGCCGGGAACACGGATGGCGGGTTGCAAAACGTCCAGGTGTCGACTACTTCCTTCGTTATCTGAACCAGTACTACGAACTTGTTCTCTTCACTAGCGTCCCCAGTATGATGGCAGACCAAGTTCTTCGGAAGCTCGATCCTTACCGTATCATCCGTTGGCCGCTCTTTAGAGAAGCGACCAGGTACAAGGATGGAGAATACATCAAGGTAGTTCCAAAATCCCTATAGCTTTCCAGACGCAATGACTAATTGAGACAATCTTAGGATCTGTCATACCTGAACCGAGATTTGTCCAAGGTGATTCTGATCGACACCAAGGAGGAGCACGCGCGCCTGCAGCCGGACAATGCCATCATCCTCGAAAAGTGGGGCGGTGATGCCAAGGACAAGAACTTGGTTGCCCTGATTCCCTTCCTTGAGTACCTCGCCGGTATGGGCATCGACGATGTGCGTCCTGTCCTGAAGTCGTTCGACGGCACCGATATCCCCGTGGAATTCGCCAAGCGTGAGAAGATCATGCGCGAGAAGTTCGAAAAGGAACTGGAGGAAGAACAGAAGAAGCGGCCCAAGCGTGGCTTGGGCAGTTTGGCATCCGCCCTGGGCCTGAAGTCCCCTCGCAGCCTTGACGGCGAGCAGTCCCCGTCCGAGGGTCTAGCTCAGGGCAAGATGCTCTGGGATCAGATCCGTGAACGTGGCCAGAAGAACTACGAGATGATTGAGAAGGAGATCCGTGAGAACGGCGAGAAGTGGCTGGCGGAGATGGCCGCGGAAGAGGAGAAGGCTCGACAGGAACAGATGAAGATGATGAAAGGTTCCTTCACCAGCGTTTTCGGTGCTGGCAAGCAATAAGAACGACGTTATCTTGCGGCCGTAATGCTTGGTGACTCGTGAAAGATCATGCTCTCTCTCCTATCCGCCATAATGTATAACTGGGGTGCTTTCCTTCAGGGCTCACGGGGTTTTGTCTTTAGAGGGTTCTTTTGGCTCCTGGGGATCACGGGGTTTTTTGTAAAATAGCGTTTTTGGTTGATTCGTGTGTGTATAAATTGGAGAAACGTTTTAATGCTGCTTGGTTTGGACAGGAATGGTAGCGTTACCACCATCTCACCTCTTAAATAATAGCTATACAAGGATATTATGTTCCATTGCTTTAAATCTCGAGCTCTCAGTACTGAAAAACAATCCGAAATAGTTACATTGAATGCTGTGTTTTGGGTATAATCCAAATAAGAAAGATATCCTCCCACGCCTAATAGTTATGATTCGCCTCGATTCCCGTACCCCGCCAGTCACCCATTCCAACACATTGAGATACTAAGTGAGGTTTACATCTTGAAAGACAGACACGTCCCAGATCCCCGTCATATCAAATGGAAAACCATCCATAGTCCCAAAAGTGCCCGAAATTGACATCATATCGTCGACGATGTCATTGTTCGTCTGCGTTTCCGGGAGCGAAATGGCGGCCGGGTTCACGATCTGGTTGTCGTAATGGCCGGCCGGATTCAGGGTGGCTTCCACAGTGGCTCCGTTGCCGGGAAGTCGGTTGAGGATGCGCTCGCAGTGGTCCAGACACATGTCGGCGACGTCCCAGTCCTCTTCCTCTCTGACGCGGCGGAGGATGCTCCGGAAGGTCTCGACGTTGGCGAGGCAGGAGCGTGCGACTTCGCTGTCGGTGGTTTCGAGCGCGCAGCGGACGAGGAGCGTGGCGGTCGATGTGAGATGGAAAGCGCTGTCTGGGGGGGGGATGTTAGAATTATCAATCGACACGGGGAATGGGCAGGGGATTGGCGTACAGGGTAGCCAGAATTCTTGGAAGTTCTCCTTACGCAGCGAGGAGATGAATTGGACAATCTCTTCTGCTGATTTCCGACATTCTGTCTGGAAATATCGGCGAGCTTCCGGGTTATCATTCTCGGAGCTGTTCACCTCCTGCAGTTGATCATCATCATGTTAGGAATCGAGCGTTGAGAGAGAGAGAGAGAGAGAGAGAGAGAGAGCACTATGAGAGCGAGGATAAAACTTACCTTGAGTTCTACCCTACTAATGAGCATCTTGAGGGCCAGAAAGGCCAGCTGCATGCTGCTGATACCCGACACGCGAACCTCGGAGCTGTTGCTTACTGGTGTTCTGAGCCAGTCGGGGAGAGAATCTTCCCACATGTCGAGATCCGTTCGAATCTGTCGAAGTTTCTTGGTAATCTCGCGCAATTGGCTGTGCTGCAGACCATATACCAACGGCAACAACTCTCCCAGGATCTCTGTCAAACGGCAAAGCGCAATATGGCAGTGGGCTGCCTTTACCCGTTCTGTGGTCCGGCATGAGGGCGGTACTAAGACATCGATAGTGGGAAGAGGAACATCATATTGATTCTTCGCGATTTGTGGAGGCACTCCATGGCCAAAGCTCCCCCTGATGCGGTAGTCAGCATGCAATTAACGGGCTGCAGCTTTGGAGGGGGTGCATACCAACGGTCATGTACAACGACGCCCCACCAGAGACGGATGCGATTGTTTTTCTCCTGCGGAGATATCTTCCAGTGACTCGGATCTCGGTTGAGACCGAGACAATGAGCCAAAGCGACAGTGCGGCCGCAGCTGATGGCGTTACCAGTCATCGAGAAGATAGGTCGTCCTGTCAGATCCACTAGAGCAGCGCTGATGGTCGACAAGCCGGGTGCGGAGAATTCCTCGTGGAGAGCAGCCACTGTCATATTGACCGCATACCGCACGTCAGGTTTGGGATGACAGGCGAGCTTTGGTGTATGTTTCCAGTAAACTAGTGACATGGAGTACACCTGACACAGAAGTGATGCTGGTGGTTCGCCTGGCGATTCTGACATGTACGCTTCCCAGAAACTCTCTCCATCGAAAATGGGGAACGCGACATTGAATCGGTCCAAGAAACTAGCGCCACATATCCGTTAGTATGCTCTTAGAGTGTCTGTCGACACCGGATGGGGAAGCTTACAGTCTGACTAAATCATGTTTAAAAGGTCCAAGAATCTGTTCAAGAACTTCTTTCTGGTTCTCTCCAGGAGGTACACCAACTCGCATACCCTGCCTTCGTCTGGAGACGGTAGTGTACAGGATGGGTTTTCTAGGATCGCTTGAGTAAACGTTGTACGGGTGGCTTTTTGGCTCAACCGATTTGCTCGAACGCTCCTCAGGAGGCATGAATTTCTCAATGACTTGGGCATCATCGGCCACAACCGGACCGACGATCAACATTGACTCGTTATGAGGATCGTCGAATCCATGGCGTCTGCGATCGCTCCCGCGACTGTCAGAATAGGCCCGCGGCCGACTGAAGTTCTCCTCTCGTCGTCGACCCGGGTTGGGAGAAGAGATAGTGTCGGGAGTACGCTTACGCTTCTGCCCTGCAGTCAAGCTTTCCCCGACATGGTCAACCGACCACCGTTTGGCATCTGGCGCGTCCGATAGCGAGGGATCCGGAACCGGTTCCTCTTGGTAATGACAATCCGCGCCTTGAACCCGGCATAATAGGCACGATTGACCGGGAATATCAACAGTGCATCGGGACTTGCGCTTCCTGCACAGATCGCACGCTCGAACCTTGTGTGACCTGTACGGTCTAGCCCCGGCATTGAAGCTGGGAGAAGGATGCTTCTGCGTCGAGCCATTCTGGGAAGCTGGCGGCATGACGAGCCACCGAAAGGAATATCTTAGCACAGCAAGACAGACAGACACGAAACTATGTCATCCAACTGGAACGCGCGCTAATTGAGGGTCCTGCAGGCTCCACGGCTGGCGGGTGCTTGAAACAGCGCCGAGCGAGCGGGAACGGAAGCAACGGTTTAAGAGGGGTTAATAATGCACAAGTCGGAGGCAAGAAATATAGTCCTCAGCTAGCAAGAGCTTAGGAGGTAACCCAATATCTCTCAGGTAACAGGAATTGTCTCCAAGGTAAGCTGTAGTCTAGGCACTAGACCAATCATCGGCACAGTCACTAGCGCACAGTCGATGAAGGCGGCATCGAACCAGTTGATGGACACTATGCGAGAGATGCTGCTAATGATCGCAAAGCCGTCCGCCGTCGCTCATAATATGGATCTGGTCTGTGAATGCCTTGCGCTCTACAGACCTAGAGGATCAAATATCGCTGTTCATGAAGAATCTCAAAGTACCAGCCCAGTTGGCGAATGAGATGGTTTTGCGGGGAAGTAGTAGTGGCTACGAGTCTTAACTTCTTAAGAGCTCTTGTGAGTTGTGACTTGTCTCTGTTCCACTTTTTTTTTTTTTTTTTTTCCGTTTCAGTTCTGGCTCTTCGTCTTTTTGATGGTGATTCGATTAGTCGATCCTCTCCAATCTCTTGTTTTAAGGTCGTCTTTTTTTCTCTTTCTCACCCATTTTCTTCTTCCGTATCGGGCGAGATCGGTGTGGAGTGATGACTCAGCATTCGTGACCAACCACGTGCCTCCACTATTTTTATCCCTCCCATACAAAGTGATGGTGAACTTCAGCCATGAAGATGACGGTGAGAAGGAGGATGAGGATCAGAACGAGAGGAGAGGGCATCAATCATCAAAGGTTTCATCTTAATCTCGCATCTGATCATCTCCTCTTCTTTCCGATCTGCAGAGTCGGTCCTATCCGTCATGCTCCTTGTCTTTTGCGGACAGCTAGTTGCAATTTGTATGCTTCTGAAACAGCTCCGACTCTCAGACGCACCTAAAGAAACCCGTCGCCGTTGGTGTGCAAACACAGCCACAGGCATCGTTTGGTGCCCGTGTTGGCGTCCTCATCCTTGCAGCCTCCCCCCCCTAACCCACGTCAATGTCACTCCGCATATCCGATTTTCTTACTGCTCGCTTTGTGGATTGGGGATCTTCATTTGTCTTGTCTACAGCGGAGGGAAATGGTTTCGGACATGATATTGCCTCACCTGATGTAGCTGTCTCCATGAGATTACCATGGAGCAAGATGTTCGCACACCCAGCGTCGAGAGGCTCGGGGGCTCCTTTCTCAGTTCGGATTCCATACAAGAAGAGCATTCAGTGTGCATGGAATCCCAGAAGGAAATTCAGAAGCAGAACCTGCCATCTTTCAGTCGCTTACCTCGCAGTGTAATCGAAAAGTAAGTGATCAGGCTTTTCAGTGACTACGAAGCACAAAGCGCTATGGCGAGAACACTTTACAATGCCTTGTCCTTCGTTTCATATTTTGCGCGTTCTGTGTGTGGGATGAGAGGTGTCCTGACAGCTCGTATAGTATTTTATATCTGGTTGATGCCAACAGCTTTGCATCCCTGGCCCTCCTCAATCGGAAATGGAGGCGTATATCGGAATCAACCGCATTTTATGCGTACCATCTATCCCGGTGTCCATCTTTCACCGCGGTGCGGGAATCTATCACTAGTGAAACTAATCCTGAGAATCTTGCGTCTCTAAAACGCCGATTCTTGTCGGAAGCGAGACGAAGTACATTCGAGGTGTTCCTCAAGCCCCGCAGGAAGCTGATCAAACTAATCTCGTCGTCCATGAGCTCCTCGACGGCATTCCCGCAAGGTGAAGCTTTTCGGTTCGCATTCTCACCTAATGCGCAAATGGTCCTCTGTATCAGCTCGTCGCGAATCCTTGTTCTGGATGTGACGACAGATTGCCCGTCAGTGAAGCACGAGCTCAAGATTTGGAGACGCCCGCTTAATGCGACCATCCTAGATGATGGGTCGCTCCTTGCGGTTGTCTCTTCCGATCATCAGGTCAATATATATAGCCTGACAAGCGAAGAAGCACATCTCATCCAAGATCTCAAGCTGAACGAAGTCCCACGGGCTCTGGCGCTATCCCCTAACGGAGGCGTCTTGGCAATTGCATACAATGACAAAATCGAAATGTATGCTGTTGGAGAAGGGGCTCTCGCCACTGAGCGAAGGGCTGTTCGATGCGACGGAGTTGACGCCATCTCGTTCTCGTCGGACGGCGTTATGCTGATTGGCTCTTCTGCAAACTGCGACAGTAGCAATCTGGTCACTATCTCAGTACCTTTCTACACCGATCCGGAAACTGAAGCATCGCCAAGAGAGGTCCAGGTTCGTATGTGGACTACTCAGATTCTATTTCCAGATCTTTTCCCTGGGTACAGCCACGCGTGTCTACTCCCGCTACATACGGAGGGTGAAGGCAGTTGGGTTCTGGGATTCGATCGGCGCATACGAGCGTTCAGAGCGTTTGGGGTCACCAATGCGAATTCTGGGACAACGTACTTTGTCGGACCTATCTCCGAGAGCACTCTTCATGAGTCTTTACCAATGATGGTCCCCTCTGCGGACTGTCAGGGGGAATTGGTTGCGTTGGGATTTCAAGGTTCCGGTCTCTGGGTGTATGGGGTCCCACATCGTCTCGATATTGCGAGTGCGATTGAACATACGCAAGATCTACCTGATGTTGCTCAAGATCGCCGGACTAGGAACCTAGGCACCTTGCCGCATGACAACTCCCTTCGGCTCGAGTGGGCGGTCGAAAAGCCCAGAACCCTAGTCAGTGGGCATAAAATCAGCGATATGTCTGGCCTGAGCGCTGCCCGCTGGGTCCGGGATTCGCCTTCTAAGTTAGGGCGACGTCGGCTGGTGGCTGTGGCCCCTGGCGGTATTAGCCCTCCCACCATTGGTGATGAGGATGTTCCTGTTGATGGCGGAAGAGTACTCCTCTTGGATTTTGAGCGTTCTCCGACCGATGGGCAGGTCACAGAAATCAATATTGAGATTGGAGAAGCGGAGCCCAAATTGCTTCACGAGCCGAATTCGAGTCTGGACTCAGAAGTCGAGTTAGAACGACGAAGAACTCTTCTACACCACAGAGCCGCTGCTTCCCAGATGAGAGCCGCGCCTCGAGACGTCCACCCCGCTGCACGCCTTGATAATCACCAAACACCATCATTCGACTCCCGCAGGCATACCTCTTTCTTTTCCGGCTCTTCAAATGACATTGCCGATAATGGGATACCGCCACTGCCCGATACCCCCTACGACAATACCCAGCCTCGGTCCCAGGATACACTTCGTCGTGCGGCCACCGCCGCATCTTCGAGTCGCGGGCGCTATAACCCCCTCTATCGTGACCGGTGGAGTCGTATCCAGAACGAGCGGCAAACTCCTCAGGTGCCTCAGTTATTCCAGGTTCCGCATGAGAGCGATGCCGACAACTGGGTCCCTCCACCCCCTCCTTACTCCCGTGAGCCTGATGCACCTCTCCCAGAGTACCTCAGACGGACTCTTCTTCCGAGAAGAACGGAGGCTGCTGTCAGAGCCGGTGCAACAGTCCTCCCAGTTCGCAGATCCCAAACCACTCGTTGGGATAATGCGTCTCAGGAAGGCTTATCACGATCTCCTCAACGGATGAACTCCGTCGCTGGCTCTCTTTGGGATTCACAGGAAGAATATGATCAAGACGGCATTTTACGAGGAAGAGATCATACTGCTCGCCACCTACACGACTCACGGGTGCGGCATTTCGACCCCCAGAGAATCGACAGCGGGCCAGCCCAGCAATTCCTTTCGGTCAACCCTCCTATGACCACCTTACAAATGAACGAGCAGTCTTTCATGGACAATCAATGGCACGCTGGCGGGTATGCCGCCCAACCAACACCGCTGGGAACAAGCCATTACCCGCTTTCTATCTCCTCGCCCAATCTACAAGTTCCAGTTCCTGAGAACAGTGCTGCACCCGTCGTGCAACCCAACAGTCGCCTAAACAGCATCCACCGGTCAACAACTCGACGCTCACAATCCCACGACTTCCGGTTGCCACCCACAGGGATACCACATCTCAATCGCCGCGTGTCCACCGATCCCACGCTCTCCATGACCTCAGCGAACGAGCTATGGCGGAGGCGGATCGAGGAATGGAACGAACAGACCATCTACGAGCGGAACAAAAGGCGAACAAGATGTATCGTGATGTAGTCGTGGCCGTAGATCTCTTTTCTCGTGCTCTCTGCTTAGCAATTCTCGGCGCGAGGCTCTTTTCATACTTGTATTGCGTCTATCTTTCTCCTCAAAATTTGGATACCCATGAGATTGAATCTCATTTGCGTCACTGGGTGCTGTCCTTTTTATTATGATAGATGTGGGCAAAGTCTTTCTGTATTGCAATTTTTTTTGTGATCCATGACAGATATGGTGAATTCAAACTCTAAGCAAATGGTATATCATAATCATAATCATCAGCAACATCAACATCAACACACCAAGTATTATAGAACAGATCACTCCGAATAGAACAGATGGGCTCTTCACTCAGGAACCACCGCCTCCACATCCGCCACCACCACCACCACCTCCTCCTCCACACCCACCACCGCCGCCGCCGCCGCCGCCTCCACAACCTCCTCCCGCTCCTCCACCATCACCGCCACCGCCACTGCACGCTCCTCCCATACCACCGCAGCCTCCAGCTGCAACTCCGCCCCCACAGGTACCGGCAGCGCAGTTGCCGTCCGCGCCTCCGACGAAGCTCATACAGCCGGGATTCGAGACGTAGGCGTCAGGGTGCACGCCGGGGTCACACATGTACGGACCATAATAGGGTATGTAGACCGGCACGCCCCAGTAGATCGGGACAGGATACATGCCCGGATCCGCGGCCGAGGAGCGCTGCTTTTGGTCATCTGTCTTGCCGAGCTTGCGGTTCCTCCTCTCGGCGCGCCGACAGGCCTTTTCGTAGTTAAGTCGGAGCCTGAGGGTGGTCAGTTTCCGCGCATCGACGCCGAGAGCGGCATCCTTTGTCTCGGCACGGACGGAATTGTGGGCAGAGATGTGTGGGTTTTTCTCCGGGTCGGGCGAGATGTCTGGGCGGTCGTGCAGGGTGGCGGCGGCTTCGCGGGCTTTGGCTGTCTTGGAGGAGACGAAGGGCCCGCTGCGGAGGTCCGGGGCGCGGATGGCTTCGCAGTACCAGCATGTACACTCGCTGTAGATCTCGCCGTCGGTGAGGTTCTTGTATGCCCTACTAGTCCATTCAAAGCCCTCGGAGAGTTTGCCCTCGTCGACTTTGTCGTCGTGGTCGATGAACGTGGCAAACCTGGATTGTTTTTTTGAGTGGTGGACGGAGTATTGGAAGTATCGTCCGGGTGCAAGCTGGTGCGTGTGCCAGGCGAGATCGACGTCGAGGGTGGGGACCGCCATGCGGCGTGGGTTATCTACCATGATCTGGAAAAATACTTGGTACTTGCGAATCAGGCGGCCCATGGTCGCCATGACAGTCGGTGAGTGTAGCCAGTCAATATTGTCCATCTTTTGGACAAAGGTACCTTGTCGGATGACTGCGCCGACCAGATCAAGGGCAAAGGGCCCAGTGTTATCCCAGTAGTGAGACATCATGCGGCGGAAAGCCACTTTCTCTCCTCTCAAAAGCATGGTTTGCGAGCCACTGTCATTGGCCTGCCGCATGACCTGTCGATCCTTGAGCTTAGATTCGAGCTTATCGCGCAGTTGGCTGACTGTCGCGCATCGATCTTGCCGGGCATCGGTGTAGTCAAGGAGATAGTTACCCAAGACCTTGACGAAACGGTTAGGGAATGTCATCTGCTGTTCATGCCGGCGTCTACCATTGATAGACTCCGGAACTGCTTGCAAGTTGTACAGTGTCCCTGGCATGGGCAACTTGTCCACCAGGAGAGCTAGGACGTCCTTCCTGAATTTCTTGACTCTCAGTCGCTCGTGGTTGATTTCCAGTTTGCATTTAGGGCACTTCGCGCTAAATTTCTTGTCCGCAAAGCCATCGAACTTGGAAAATGCGCGATGAATGGGGAGAGAGATCCGACCTTGTGTCCAGGGTACTGAAATTATGTCTCCACAGCCCGGACACTCGATTAGCTTCTCCAGAGGGTCGTGTAGGTTGTCCCACGCGCATCGAGTGGTATATTCGAATTTTGTCTTTGCGCCGGCTCCCGCATCATAGTCCAAGGTTTTGTCATTGATGCAGTCATTGATTGCTACCCAAGGGAAACCGCCAGCCCAGGCTTCCATCCTCCCGTCTCGGATGCAGTCCTCAAGGTAAGCTCTGGGGTTCAGCATGTGCGCATGCCATACCATGAGAACATCTGTCGATGATCATTAGTCGCCATTGCAAATGAATGAGGCGAGTCCTTGGTAGGAAGACAAAAAAAAAAAAAGAAGCCCTTTCATTTACTTACCTAAAGGCGGCAGCAAGTGCCTCTTCCAAGGGGTTGTCTGGCTTGGTTCCGTGATTTTATTGTAGCTTTCATCTCTCAAGTCCCGGACGCGGAGGTGTGATCTGGAACGGGGAACGCATAACTTCCACCACTTGGCGTAGCGGTCGACTGCTCTAGCCGTATAAACCGCCCATCTCTTCTCCCGGACCTGGGCGTGAACTTCCTCCACGTGCTCAGGGAACTCGGACAGTGATGGCTCACAGAGGCCAAAGAGGCCATCGGTGTTAGCGATGTTGTCACGCAGGTCAGCCAGCGCGGCGAGGAACTTGAGATGGGCGACACACTGATCCCCGGTGACGGTCGTGGAGACGGCCGACCCTGGATTGCAGGAGAGATTCAGTGGCGGGATGGTCAGTGGTTGCTCATCAAGTTGGTCATACTGAGGCGGTTGGTCAGTCGAGGGACATTCCTCGCTATTTCCTGCGTCATTTTTCACAGTGTTTGTGTCCGAAGTCATATTGACATGTATACTAGGGATTGAAGATCATCCAGTATTGGTGTATGGGATGGAGAGGGGGGGGGGAATCTTGGATGATAGAGATATCTTTTGGAACCGACGGAGTAAGGTAATGTGTTGTATTTGCCACAGATAGATGTTATAGCTCTGAGAGAAACTGCTGTTCTTCTGGCTGAATAGATATTATCAAGTGTTGGAGAGGCGAGGTCAGTATGAACACTTATATACAGTGCTTCGATGTAAGATGATGAAGAACGGGCGGTTATACCAAACGATAGGTCGTTCTGACCACCATAGATTGCCAACTCTGGTGGTATTGTTAAAGATAGCTCAATTCAGTTCGGTGTTCCAATATTGTCATTGGTAAGAATGAAGCTTGTACTCTATTCTTCGCTTATTTCATGCTGTGTTGAAGTGCTACAGACAATGAAGCGGGGGATCATGGGGCAAGGGCAGTGCAAGGCTGAAGACAGAAACGGGGCAATGCGACATAGCCTCCGAATCACTGCAGACTCAATAATGAGCTAGTGAGATTGGATCGATTTGGATCGTATGTCCGAATGGCGTCCGGAGGCTTAGTTGGACTTAGCCTCGTGTTGAACCGTTGGCACATGGTTCGTGGAAGGCTTCCAGGCTTCCAGGTCATGGGCATCATGGCCTGATGGATGCATGTTTGGATTGTGGACCGATAGTCTGAATTCTGATAGACCGGTAGAATCTCGTATAGCAGTGCCTTGTTCTTGGAGGATGGCAAGCCATGAATGAATAATATCTTCTTTGACGTACATGGATTGGAAGAGAAGAGAGACTACGGGAGTACTCCAGAGGAAAGTGCCTTGGGCCCTTGACACCTGAGGCAGCATCACGTGGGGTGCTAGACTGCCACGTGACAGCGAGATCGGACAGTTTGTCCTCGTTTTCCCCCCGCTTGTTACTCATCCACAGCTGAGTCGATTGATGATACAGAACTGAGAGATCATTATTATTATTATTATTAGTTGGTGGCTTGAAGGCAGATCCTACGCGGAAAATACTGTCGGACTTTATTATTATTATTAAGAAGATTATATTCTCGCATCCTTTTTTTATTTTGTCGCCGTGATTCGCTTTGGTGGTGGAACGTGGTCGGTTACCTGCCCCAGCCCGAGGAACTTTTTTTTTTTTTTTCCCCCTTTCAAGCTTTATCAGCCGCCCGCAGCCCAGTTATCGTCAACGCTCCCAGCCTGGCGTCAATCGGAGGATCGTCGAGCGGAATCGGAGGCGGAGGTGCGCAAGGGGACATTCTGGAGCCGAGGGCAGGGAATTCTAATAATGCTTCTGTCGTTACCGGTCCCGTAATGGGAGGTACTGGCCATTCATCCCCTGCTGTCGGTTCCGATGGCTTGGGTCACGTTAAGAAGCGCAATGTCGCCATGGCGGGGTTGGACAGCTCCCCTGGCAGTGTTGACGAGGCCGAGGATCTCGATCAGCGGGAGGAGAAGAAGAGACAGCCAGTGAAGCGAGCCTGCAATGAATGTCGACAACAAAAGGTCGGTAGTTGTTTGTCCTTACCGTTGCCGGCTTCGATCAATTGCTATCCAATACCAGCTGTACTGACTGTTTGCTTCTGCCCCGATAGCTTCGATGCGATGTGGTTCAGGACCCTTGGACGGACTGCTCACGGTGCCGCCGTTTGAGACTTGGGTGCAAGATTGAGTCCAACTTCAAGCGAGTCGGGAAGCGGAGTCGCAACGCCGAGATGGAGCGGGAGATCATTGAGTTGAGGAAGCAGATAGCCAGCGTGCAAGCCAGCCCTGTCGCGAGCATCTCGCAGCAGCAGCAACAGCCTCCCTCACTGCGGTCGGCACACGTCACGCCCAAACAGGAATCGACTCATGTCAGCCCGGCAGGAGTTTATCAAACGCCCTCCGCGATATCGTCTGATCAATACATGGGATCCCACGAGGCTGTTGCATCGCTTCTGGATCTCCGCTCGGGCTATGATGGCTCGAACTTTATGAGGAACGGAAACCAGTTCAAGCGAATTGAGGACGTCGTCGTGGTGCCGGAGAGGGTAACGGAGCTTTTTGATCTGTAAGGAACCCCTCCGATACTTTGTTCAAGCGATATCCTAATCTGACTAAATCAGGTTTTTCATGTTCTATCATCCTTTCCTTCCGTTCCTTGACCGACAACGGTCACCAGACGATCACTACACGGCGTCCCCACTGCTGTTTTGGACTATCATCAGCGTAGGCGCGCGGCGATATCAAACGGATACCCACCTTCTCAACTCGCTGGCTGGTCCAGTCACACGATTAGTGTGGAGCACGTTGGCAGACATTCCGCAGAGCTACCACGTCGTAAAGGCGCTATGCTTGCTCTGTTCATGGCCCTTCCCTACGAGCAGCACTTCGACGGACCCTACGTTTATGCTGTGTGGTATGATGATGCAGGTTGCTATGCAGCTTGGTTTACACCGACCCTCGCATACTCAGGACTTTAGTAAGTTCCGAGTGGAGCTCATCGAAGAGGAACTCAGGGATAAGGTTCGAACATGGGCCATCTGCAATGTCGTCGCACAACGGTAAGTTTTCATGCACTTGGCGGCTTCGTTGCTTTCCATGCTGATGCATCTTAGCGTCGCCACGGGCTATGGTCAACCACCATCGACTCTTTATGACTGGACGCTATTATCGAGCGGGCCAATGGATCCCAACTTCAAGTTGCCCGAAGATATCAAACGTCGGCTGGACATCGAAATGTTCTGCGACAAGGTCACGAGAGCGCTCTACACCAACCGGCGGGATCCTGTTGGGCTATGTAGTGATCAAGAGAGATTGTCGTTGATCTCTTTTCTCTCCCGTGATTTTGATGAACTTGAGGAACAACTCAAGTCGAAGACTGATGGTAAGTACCGCGTTTTCTCGTCGGATCTCTAGACCATTTTTGATTGACGTTGTCTTAGCTATCACCGATCTATATCTACGGGCTGCCAATCTTCATCTGCACCTGTCGGCGTTCTTCGACGACACGACCGGCAGGGACTATCGAGAACGTCTCCTCTCACTTTACGTCGCAACAACATCGTTCCTTGAGTCTACAATGTCTCTCGAGACCGACGTCGGCCCGGTCCTTTCCTACACACCCTACTATGTGTATCAGATGATGGTCGCGGCAGCATGCACACTTCTCAAGTTGTGCAAGAGCTTTTTCGCATCGCACATAGACATGGAGTATACCAAGAGTCTTTTCAACCGGACCATCTGGGCCATTCGGGGCGTGTCAGTGTCCAGCAACGATCTCCCCGAGCGGTTGGCGGAAGTTCTCGCCCAGATGTGGAGGATGGGCAGTACCCAGCATCAGAAAGCGACAGCTAACAGCGCCGAAGTGGATGATTCTCTGATGCTGAAGGTACGGTGCCGCATGAGCATGTCTCTCCTTTTCGACTCGGTCTGGCGATGGCGAGAGGATGCTCAGACGAAAGGGCGCAATATTGAAGGTGTGTTCTCTCGTTCTGATGAATCTGTGATTCTCAACTAACATATCAATCTCAGCTTACCTGAAGAATCCGACCAACCCCGATTCGAATGCCGAATCATCCGCATCGTCTAGCGCAGGGGTGGCAGGACGCACTTCGTCCACGCCGGGTATCCCTGGCGATCCCAGTCTCGCGCCAGCTCCCATGCTCGCACAGGGCAGTCTGGGAGTTTCCGCAGCGAGCGGAGTTGCGAATCTGCCCAGCGGCTTCCTCGAGCCCAACTACGAGGTCTTCGATCCGTTGAACTGGCTCCTGGACGGTCTGGTTGATCTTCCGTACTCCTATTCTGCCATGTCCGGTATCGAGTCGCAGGGTATTGCCTAGACAATCTTATCCCCCCCCCCCTCTTGTCTTGGATTTGGATATAAAACGGCGTTTTTCTTTCACTCTCATGGTTGGATGTTGTTGTTTTTTTTTTCCCCCTTGCTGCGAATCTGTCGTTGTATCATATATATACCACGTTAACACCGCACACCTGGGACCGGAGCAAGGAGTCAGTCGGTTGCCCTTTTTCTCCTTCTCATGCCATTTACGTCTTTCTACTGATGACTACTCATGTACGGAGTATCGATATGACCCAAGAATATACTACTTTAGTGACGAAGAGTCGACCTCTTGTGTCGTGTTGGTGTCTAGTGATTATGTAACGCCTCTCCGCATCCATCTCCAGATTCAACTTCTCCCTTCACCAACTCACTCCCACCACTTCCACTTCTCTTCTCCTTCCAACGCCAACCCTCCAAACCCAAATGTCTCACCACCAACAACAACAACAACAACAACGCCCTGATCCCAAACCCAACCCCCCACAGCCCCAAGTTCAAGCCCAACCCCCCTACCAAACCCACCGCGCCGCCTCCACCCTCCTCATCCCCCACCGCCAAGCCCTCGCCAAAGCCAAACCCTCCAAAGCCAACCAGAACCAGATCCTCCCCGACCGCAGCGCCCACGCCCTCCCCCGAACCACGCGCGCCCCGCCGCAGACCAACGCAGATAAGAACCGCAGACGAGCCACCGAGGTGAATCTCGCGGCGGCGCCGCAGCCGTTGCTGGATCCGGTGTTGTGGTCGCGCATGCAGGAGCGGGCTGGGACTGCGGCTGGGAGCGGGTCGGGGGCGGATGGGCGGAGGGGAGAAGGGAGTGGGTATGGGTATGGGCGGATGGCGGTTCGGGGCCGGATGGGGGGGTTGGGGAGGGGGAGGGAGGGATGAGGTATCATATGGGTATGGCTATGCGATAAATAGATGGATGGATGGATGGGCTGGGACTTGGAGCGGTGGGGGATATAACAGTATGTCGTTGCTAATTGCTATGTGCTCTCTGCTATTTATTTGCTGTTAGGTTGGTCATATACATCATAAGGGTCGTTTTATATCGCATGCAATGCAATGGAAGAAGAAGTGAAGAACGCAATAACCCCCCCCCACCAAAAAAAAAGCAAAAAACAAATTCAAACGAAATATCACACAAGATGTAAATGCATGTGTGAATCATAGACATATATATATCGTAAACCGTAATCGTAATTGTAATCGTAATTGCATCGCCGGAATGCAAATGCAAGCATACATGCAACATTCTAGGTCATAAATCGTTCCAGGTGGGTGGAATGTGGATAAGATAACGAACGTCAAGGCTGCCGCGCAAGTTCTCGCGCCTGCATGCTGCAACCCACCAGCACCGCATCCCCGATCTTCGCCTTCAGCTTCTCCCGCTGTGCCTCGCGCCGCGCCTCCTCGCGCTCCTGGAGCGTACGTCTCAGGCGCCGGCGGAGGCTCCGCACGGGGCGTGCGCGCGAGCGCAGCCGTAGCCTCCACCACGACGCGGAGAGGATGCGGCGCTGGTGAAGCGAGGTCTGGGAGCGCAGCGCTTCGGGGCTGAACAGGGCGCTGCCGACGAGGGAGTGTCGGCTCCGGGAATGGGGGCCGAGGGTGAAGCCGGGTCGCGGGCGCTTCATCTCGGGGCTGCGCGGTGCGAGAGCGGACGGCCCGTCGAAGACGACCCGGGGCTGCGGCATGCCCAGCGAGTTGTTGATGATCTGCTCGGGCTCTGGATGCGGTGCTTTTTCCTGCTCGGCGAATTCTTCGGAATCCGGCGAGTCGTCCCAGAAGCGACGCGGTCGCCAGAAGGGGTGCAGTCGGCTGTCGATATCTTTGTCGGCGGCGCGGTGCTTCGCGGACGTGATGGATAGAGACCGCACGAATCGGTCGAACGAGTCCGATCGCGGACGGACCCCCCATGGCCGACGGAGGGAGCCGAAGCGCCGGGAAGGTTGCCCAGTACTCCCCAGGTGATCACCCGCTACTCCCGGCTGAGAGCCGGCTTCGTGCGTCGGGCTGCCCGCATTGGCGTTATGCACCGGTGGTTTCGGTGGGGGACGGGGATTTCGCAACGGGGAAGCAACCTGGTTCGGATCCTGCTGCGACACAACCTCTGGGGTTTGTGGGGGTCTGGACAGTTCACGATTCTCGGACACTGGGGGTGGCGGTGGAGGGCGCGTGGGCTGGTTGACCAGTAGCAACGACTCGTTCGTGTGCGGGAAAAACGCAACCGTCCTCGCCTCGTTGACCTCGACAATCCCGGGAGACGACGATGGAATCGACGCAGGGGTAAACGGGAGAGACGGCGGACGTAGACCTGCCAAGTCCTCCACACCGATCCAAATGGACTGCGTCTTCGAAGCGTCAGCGGCGTCCCGGCTGCCAGAGCTCGGGCCGCGATGGTGGACGGAAGGTTTCGCATTGAGCTGTCCGGCAAGTCGTTGCGCCATCTCCGGAGGGTCAGTCGGTGGATGGTTCGGAAGCGCCACGGAGGTAAGCGACGTCGCCCGTGAGTTGTCTCGGCTGGTAGGGGCCGATAACGATGAGCTGCGTGGTGGAATCACGGGTCGACCAAAGATGTGACCCCTCGCGTCAGACGCTTGAGAGGAAGAAGTCGCGATCGAGTCCGACAAGGTCCGCTTCTTCCGACGAGGCAGATCGCGAGACGGGGGTCTGCTCTTTTGTCGAGATGAGCTTCGTTGCCGGCTCGACCGGCGGGACCCAGGCTTCGATGGGTTTCTGGTGACCGACGGAGAAGAGCGAAGAGAGGAGCGCCGTTCTGGAATGACAACTACCGGGATAATCTCCAAAGACTGTTGTTTGGTTCCCTCGGTTGAGCTTGATGGAATTGACATGTCTGATGCCATACTCTTGCGGTTTTGCTCCGTGATGCGGGCGGCTTTGTGGACGAGCCGGTGCTGAAACTCCGGATTGGTTTCCAGCGACGTGCGTTCGGACCTGGCCAGAGGTGAGCTTGCGGAGCGTAACGAGGATCTCTTTTCGGTGTGCCGTAGAGCTGGATTGGCCGGTCGCGGAGCTTCGATGATGATCACTTCGATGGTCGACGAGGTCGACACGCCCGACAATCTCTGGGATTCCTCCTCGGCGGAGGGCCAACCGATGGTGATGCCAAAATACTCAAGCGAAGACTGGCTCGCCAGGTCCTCCTGAGCATCCTGGACTTGCTCCCGCAACCGCCTGCCCCGGACGGGGTGCACTTCCTCTCCGTCGTCTTTCGACAAAGACCGTCCGCGAGATCTTTCTGGCCTGGCTGACGCACTTTCCCGGTCGCATAGCATGCCATTGTTCCCCTCGTATCGGTCGGGCTTGAGGAATCTCACGGTCTCGCTGGACGGGGTCAGAGTGGATGCATCGTCGCTGAGGCTGGGATTGCTGGAGCCGGCGGGGCTGTTGCTTCGAGACGACCTGCGTGTCCGTGGTTGATGTCTCCGTTGACGACGGAGGGACTGGCTGGATCGATAGGGGGTGATGGTTTCACTGTCGGAGATCATCTCCCGTGCTGTCTGGAAGGACTCGGCTCGCGACGAGAATGAAACGCGCCCGAACTGACTGAGACTCGGGCGGTCGGTTGAGGGGGTCGTTCGTGGGGGGGTGGTCTCCGGGGTGGGCGGATGCGACGGTTTTGTAGGCGTCCCGGCTCCATTGAGATTGTAGTGGATCGAATGGGATGATGGGGCGCTGTGCATTCCTGATGCAGGATGAGGTGGTGTTTTCTCGCGACCAGCGCGAGGCGGCGTCAGCGGTAGATTCGGAGCCGTCGCGGCGAGGGCTTCACTCGACCGATGGCCATCATGATCCGGCATGACCGGGGGAATAGTAGTGGTGGTGTCACAGTCAGCCTGCGAGTTGACGTTGGTCTTTGGGGACAGTGACTTGCGGGACTGGCCCACGGTCAACTCCGGTGAGGCGTGAGAAGCACGAGGGACATCCACACCAGACATTGTTGTTTCACTGGAGACAAGACAACCAAGGACGGAAGGGAGTCCAAAGGAGGATTGTCACGGGTAGATCAAAAGAAACGCCGCAAGATGGACATGGACATGGACATGGACATGGACACTGGGGGCTATTGATGATGATGATGATGATGATGATGATGAGCTAGCTACTATTCTTCAGATGGAAGCGGTGGGGAGCGAGAGGATTGGAGCCTTTGGAGACCACAACATCGCGAAACAGGGCGAGAAACACTGACGACCAAAGTCGTTGACCAGTCGGATCCGATCCCCTCAGGGACAGTTGTTCGGGACTCTTCTTTCGTGGTTCTTTATTTTTTCTTTCTTTCTTTCTTTCTCTTTTCAGGCACCGAAATCAGAGGGTAGAAGTGGCCACGAAGGACGAGAAGAGGTGCTGCGTGCGACAAGGGACTCAACGTCGTGTTGGCCAGCGTGTGGATAATTAGGACAAACCGTAGGAGGAATAGAAGAGGAAGTCAGGAACCAGGGGTCAGCAAATGAGACCCGATACGGAGAGAATGTAGGTAGTCTCTCAATAGGGAATGCGAGGGGAGGATCTGAAGCATTCCACGTTGCAGAAGTCTCGAGGGATATCCGAGTGATATATAGAGTAGGAGTAGTAGGCGTAGTAGATACTTTTGGAAGATAGTTATTCTCCAGTGTCTAGTGTCTAGCTATGATCTTTGTCTTTCTCCCGGTCAGAAGTTGAGTATCCCAGAAGAAATGTCTGTCTGTCTGTCTGTCTGTCTGTCTATAATCCAAGTCAATGACTGTATATGCCCTTGGAGATGTGGCAATGATGAGGGAGATCGATAGTGTTACTTAGTACTCTGTATTATTACTAGAGACTAATAGATATTAGATACTAGTTCAGACATGATCTAACACTCTAAGATTTCTGTCTTTGTCTCTCTCTCTCTCTTTCTCTCTACTCATCAGTGAAGGTTCATATCAAACTAGTGATGACATCGAGGCTGAAGATCCCCCGACGTCATTTCCCACGCCTCTCGTTTCCTCATTTTCGATCGACTATAGAGTATAGTAGACTATAGTAGATATAGACTATAGACTATAGACTATAGACTATAGTAGAGTAGTCATTCTACCAAGTGAAGAAGAGACCGTGACTGATGACGATGATGTAGATTCTCATCTATCAATACCCTCGTCTTCCTCCATCTCTCCTCCGGACTCTGGGAGTGAGTAATCCGACACCCACAAGTTACAACTGAGATCATCTTCATCTTAGCGTTGACTCTCTTTGATTTCTTCTTCTTCTTCTTCTTTTTCACCTACTTATCAATATAGGGTGTTGGACTGACTAACTATTACTACTACTATGACTACTATTCCCACTACCAAAAAGGTGGCGGGGTAAACAGGAAAATTATTCTACTTTTTTTTCTTCCCAAATCATCATCATCAGCGTCATCGTCATCGGACTCATCCCATCCTCTTTCTTTCTTTCTTTCTTCCCTCCTCCATCACTTTTCTTCCTTTTCTCTCTCTCTCTCTCTCTCTCTCTCTCTCTCTTTCTCATCCATCATCTCTCATCTCTCATCTCCTCCATCTTCCATCTTCCATCTCCCTCCCTTACCTCTCCCTTGAAATCATCATCCCCCACCCCCCCAATTCCCCTTACTCTTCCCCTTGACAATCCCCACAACGACACATCTGTGGTCCCGATTTCTCCATGATGAGCACAATTCAAAATCTCAAGAATTTCATACGTCATGGCAAACAAGCCCGTCTCGTCACTCCCCATGCCGAACCCACCACCGACGTCTCGCCCATTCATGCAGAGCAGCAACGCCAACCACAGGGGTCTTATCCTCCCGCTGCTGGAAATCTCGATGCGATCGATAGCAAATTAGGCCATGTCCAGCAACAACAACAACAACAACCACAACCACAAACACAAACACAACAGACATCCCCTGATTCCCAATCCAAACACGGCCGTACCGCCGAACTCGAACAAATTGTCGCAGAAGAGCGCAGCAGCAGGACAAAGATGCCCGTATACCCCGGTCTCGAACGATGGGTTTTGCTGGAGAAGATGGGTGACGGTGCCTTCAGTAACGTTTACCGCGCAAAGGATACCATGGGCGAATATGGCGAGGTGGCCATTAAAGTCGTGCGCAAATTTGAAATGAACAGCAACCAGGTAGGACATCGACCTTGACCCTTCTTTTTTCTTTTTTTTTCGCTTCAAGAACCAGCAAAAAAAAAAGAAAAAGAAAAAAAAAAAAAAAAGGACCTCTCGCCAATCTCTCTTCTTCTCTTAGCATGACGCCCATCTTCATCCCGATTTCCGGAAGAAACCGAAAGCTGCGGAGGTGCGCAAATCATCTTATCAATCCCCCACTCACTCCCTCCTCCTCCGCTCCTTTCCTTCTCCGTTCTCCTTCCAGCAGTCAATCCGGATGCTCGCAGGCTTCAGCAAACCCATCCGCTAACAAAATTCGCAGCGCGCCAACATCCTGAAAGAGGTTCAGATTATGCGACAGCTGGACCACCCCAACATCGTCCAACTGATCCATTTCTCCGAATCGCGCCAATACTACTACATTGTCCTGGAATTGTGCCCCGGAGGTGAACTGTTCCACCAGATCGTGCGCCTCACCTACTTCAGCGAAGATCTGAGCCGTCATGTCATCCTTCAAGTCGCCAAGGCCATTGAATACCTCCACGAAACGTCGGGAGTCGTCCATCGGTGTGTGGCCTAGCATCCCTCCCCCTCTTTTTTTTTTTCTTTCCCTTCGATGTGCTAACTCACCTCCTCTCCTTCAGCGACATCAAACCCGAAAACCTGCTCTTCTACCCTGTCCCCTTTGTCCCCAGCAAGAACCCACGACCGGTCCAGCCCGGAGATGAGGAGAAGGTGGACGAAGGTGAGTTTATCCCGGGCGTCGGCGCGGGCGGTATTGGAACTATCAAGATCGCCGACTTCGGTTTGTCCAAGGTCATCTGGGATAGTCAGACCATGACCCCTTGCGGCACGGTCGGCTATACGGCTCCAGAGATCGTCAAGGATGAGAGATACTCCAAGAGCGTCGACATGTGGGCGCTGGGCTGTGTGCTCTACACCCTCCTTTGCGGTTTCCCTCCGTTCTACGACGAAAGCATTCAGATTCTGACCGAAAAGGTCGCTCGCGGCCAGTACACCTTCTTGTCCCCCTGGTGGGACGACATCTCCAAGTCGGCTCAGGACCTCATCTCGCACCTGCTCACGGTGGACCCGGAGAAGCGCTATACCATCAAGGAATTCCTGGCCCATCCCTGGATCCGCCAGACCGACGAAGCGACCGAGGCCGCCGCCGACGCCCCGCCACTCGCCACGCCGCTCTCGACTCGTCAACAAGCCAAACAGCCGCTCGATGCATTCTCCGCGGATCAGGCCCCGTACGCACCGGCCAGTGCTCGCCTGCTGGGCCCGGCATCCGCCAATCTGGACCGCCTCATGGACTTTCGGTCCCCCGGCGCGATCAACCTGCGCGAGGTGTTCGATGTCGGTTACGCGGTCCACCGGCAAGAGGAGGAAGGCAAGCGCCGCAAGAATTTCCGACAAGGCTACCGGGGTGCCAATCCTACCACCGGCTTCCAGTCGGCGCTGAATCCACTGAACGAGGACTTTGACGACGAGGATGACATCACCTTACGGCGAGCCCAGAATGACGCGTATCCCCAGTCGAAGATCCCCAAGGCGTCCCAGCACGCCGGTGATGTGGCCGCTATGGAGGCCAAACTGCGCACGACGAACCTGGGCGCTCCCAGCCATGCTGCGCAAGCTCGGCAGCAAAACCAACCTCGACAGGCGCAGGGCTACGGGACCCACAGCGCCAACGTTGCGGCGGCAGCGAAGCAGAGCATCGGCCGACACTCGCGGCAACCGTTTGAGCTGAGTCTGACCAACGCAACTCTACTTGAAAAGAGAGGCCGACGACAACAAGGACAACCCGTCGTGTAAAACCTCTTCGTTCCCTCTCATCCACCCCTTCTATCCGTTTCCTCCTCCATCCTCTCTAACTTGATCAGCTTCAAGCCCCAACTTCCTCTCCCCATAGAGACCAATGTATCCGGCATGTATAATATTAGGATCATTGAGTACTAATAACCATATGACATTTCCCCGTTTTCCTCTTGACGCGTTCATGTTGTGGGTTGCACTGATCAAATGCATGTGTCATGGATTTACGATATTCAGCACTTGTGTGTGTGTGTGTGTGTATGTGTTTCTTGCTGACTTGCGTTCTGCTTTGGACTGGAGCACACACATCCGTCCCAATCTCCTTTTTCTTTTTTCTGGCTGGCTGGTCTGCTTTCTTGTTTTTGTTTTTGTTTTTTTTTTTTTTAACATATTTCTTTTGACTTCCACTCATGCATAGGAGATCCCTGGGGCTTGTGGCTTATGACCGACAACCCGGAACTCATGATAACTTGAAGCAAATTCCGCCTTACTTTGCAGTTTCCGTCCTTGTTCCAGATCCCAGATCCCATCCCCGGGCAGCCCCCGGTGGTTCCTCAGGTGCTTCCCCTTGGATACTTTGTAGACGCGATGTGGGTTGTGTAGAAGAAAAGACATGCAGAGCGGGATATACAGGTAAAACATTATTTATTGTCTACGGGCCTTCGCCCAGCTCGATATAAATAGCATATGCGCCTTTTGCGCTGAATTCATGTTCTTCAGCAGAGATCATCAGGATATCTACAATAGACCTCTGTAATATGCATCTTAATTTGTCAACATCAGATATATAACAATAATAAACTCTTCTCTCAGTACATCGTCACGCAGGGTATATGTCCAATGTCCAATGTCCAATGTCCAAGGGTAAATCTCATCAACATGCTATCATCAGTCGTCGCTTTCCTTCTGAAATACTCCTAATGTATACATGTATGTATATGTATATATATATAGGGATGCTTATATGTGCAGGAAGCTGCGTCTAGGCGTGTATCGCCATATATCCATCCTCTCAGCCCCAGGGTATCACAGTCCAGGGGGGAAACCTGGTTTTTATATAAGATAAGATAGGAGAGAGAAAAAAAAAAAAAAAAAAAAAAAGAGAGAGAGAGAGAAAGAAAGGCCATTATAGCGACTGCTTTCCCCTCGTCTCAATGGGGAGGAGACACATCGCCACAAAGGACGCGAGGATCAAGCCGCCCGATGCATAAATGGGGGCATTGGGGTTCGCGTCACCGCCGTAGATGGCGACCAGGGGCGCACAGAGACCCGCGATACGGTTCAAGCAGCTTGCGATCCCGGATCCCGTGCCGCGGCTCGGGGCGGGGAAGACCTCCGGGGTGTAGGCGAAGAGGACGCCGTACATGATGTTCTGGAAGAAGGCCTCGAGGCAGGAGCAGACGAGCTGGATATTGGAGTCGGTGGTCGTGGTGAAGCAGAAGAGGAGAACGGCGGTGATGAGGGTGGAGATGACCATGGTACCCTTGCGGCCGATGTACTTGATCTCAACGGTGTAGCAGGCCAGGATGGAGCCCGGCAGGCCGACGATGGAGGTGATGGCGTAGTTGCGGTAGGTCACGTAGGTAGATGTTTCGGTTGCACCGCCGGCGTTCTTGAGATATTGGGGCAGGAAGGCGTTGAAGAGAGGGTAGCCCATGCCGATGGTGGCCCAGCAGAACCAGAGGATGACAGCTGGACACGGGTTAGTCAATTTTTGGTGAACTCTCCAAAAGATATTTTAAGAGGGGAAGACGTACTGGTGAAGCCAAGCTTCTTGGTTGCGAACAAGGGGCGGATGCGCTGCAGAGAAAACTTGGACATGTATCTCTCGACAATCTGCTTGTTGCTGAAGGTCTGCGGCGCGTTCTCCTCGGGATAGCCGCCGATCTCATTGAGGATCTCGACGGTAAGCCAGGTCTTGGCCTTGTTCTTATGGGCGATTCCGTACACGGCGGCAACGGCTTCCTCCTGGCGGCCACGCGAGAGCAGGAACTTGGGAGACTCGTAGAGGTGGAACAGGAAGAAGCGGCAGATGAACATGACAATGGTCAAGGCGCCCATGGTGAGCACCAGGTATCTCCAGCCCATGTTGTTCGACTTGCTGCAGCACTCGACGCCGTCTCCGACTTTGAGGCAGGAAGGCAGGTCATCGGCGCAGGTGTAGGTGGGAATAAAAGCCCAAGCCAGAAGACTAGCTGTTTGTTAGACGGCTAAGAATACAATGAATGAGAAATTCAAGACTAACCTGGCAATGAGCTGACCAATGGGCCACCACACACTCAGCATGGTCAGGAGGTTCCCGGAGGCGAATGGCAGGAATTCCAAAAAGAGAGCACCGTCAACGGGCAGGTTACCACCAACACCCAGACCCATGCAGGCAAACAAGCCACAAACGCTGGACAGGACATATTAGTGTTAATAAACTCAACCCAAATTGTCGACAAGGGACTAGACGTACCCAACCCAGGTAGGGCCACCGGCGGCGGCCAAGCCAAAAGCACCACAGAGAAACAGGGTTATGTTGAAGGCTGGGCGACGTCCAATGATATCTGATGCCACACCCCAGAACGATGCACCTAGGCAAAGGCCCAGGAACAACGCGCAAGTAGTGAAACGAACATGGGTCGCAGAAATGCCAAACTCAGACGAGAGCGGTGTTAATGTCAAGGCAACTCCCTAAGTTTCGATTAGCTTTGGTCTCTGGGGAATTCGATAAGCCTTTTGAGAATCCTGTGTGGCAAGTCCCTTACCTGCAACCAAAGACTGAGCGCGACAAGATATGTTAGTGAGAATTCCAGCAGCAAACGGGGATCGTCAACACAACTTACTTGTCGGCCAACCATCCAAATCCACAAAGAACGAACAATTCCCACTGATAACGGCCCATACCGATATCCTGGATGGCTCGGTTGATGAGCTTTGATTTACCTGTAGGAAAAAGTCGAAGATCAATACCCAGATTCGCTAACCAGAAGTTCAGAGGAAAAGGAACATACGGTCATAGGCGGAATCATGGCCAGAGGCGCCAATATCAGACTCAACCTCGGCGCGAAGCGCCTCCAGAGTCAAATTACTCGACTCGGGAATAGAAGCAGAACCATTTTCCTGGGAAGGGGCTTTGTCGAGACTGGAAGCATCAGTGGTTTCATCGGGGCCGGTTTTCTTTTCAGAGTCAGGGTGCGCATGCGCGGGGGCACTGGCGAGGGGGATTACAATCCCGGGAAAGCTCTTGTGGTTGTGCTTTTTGAACGGATTGAAGAACGGCATCGTGACGGGTGGATTCGGATTTGTTTTCGAGCTCTTTTCGAAGCTACTATGGAACGGGTGGGATTTGGGGCGAGGGTTCGGATTCGGGTCTGGATCGCGGAGTAGGGCCTACTTCCGGCTCGGTTCCGCAGGTGTCGCAATTGGGAAAAGAGATAGGGGTCCAGATGGGCGGTTCCTGCTCGTTAGGACAGATATAGGGGCCAGCTAAGAAAACGGTGAAGCTATTGTCGCTCAGGGTCAAAATGGCAGGCGCAACGGCTGTCGGGGACAGTATGGATCGGACAAGGGATTCTGCTTCAGGGCGCAACCGTGGGAGACGTGGCGCAGTGGACAATGATCCAGGGAGTCCCGACTGTGTATGGGCTGCGGACGAAGGCGCTGGGGAGGGATTTAAAGCGGTGGGAAATCTTTGTTTTTGCTGTTTGCTGCTGATGCTGGCGCTGGAGCTGGAGCTGAAGCTGATGCTGCTACGGCGTATAGCTTGTGATCAGGACGCGGGAGCACAAACGCGCAACAGGATGGAAGAGTAATGGTATATGCAACAAAAGATAGATACTGAGGACTGTCAAGTTCAGTAAGAACGTCCGCCAGCGAGATTATGAGGCCCCGAGGGGTTTCAGAGAAAACGCGGGGTTGTTGTAGAAGGATGGATTGGGTGAGGATGGGGATCAGCAAGAATCAACCGAGCGAAGCTGTTTTGAAGATCAGCTATCACTTTTGATTGCTCCTTGAATAAGTAGAGATGAGGATGGAAGGGGAAAGGGTAAGCAAAGAGTAGAGACAGAAGGAGAGAAAAAGAAGAGCCAAATGAGGGCGCAGAGGGAGAAGTGAAGACTATAAGTATACCAGGGGGGAGGGGGGTAGTACAACTTGGGGCAAGAAAAAGAGGGAACGAGGGTTGATTGACCTCGACCAATCAGCGTAGAGACGGAGGAGTAGTATTATTTGGTAGTACAAGAAGAATAAAATGATGGTAATTAGTATAATCATCATCATCATCATCATCATCATTTCCTTGTGCTGCTTTCTCTCTGTCTCTGTCTCTCTCTCTCTCTCTCCATACGGAGTACATCCAAAAAAAATGATGGGAAAAAAAAGTGTGGTTCTCGTATACCAAATTGGGTTAGACTGGCGTCTTAGTGTGGTTTAGCACGTTCTGTATCTTACCGGTACTGGTATCACTCTGTACTCGCATGGAAGTTAAGGTATTGTAAGCCAAGAGTGACAACCTTACCTTCATTCATACTTACGTACGGATATATCATCTAACATCTTTTTAAATACTTTAATCAATTAGTCTATGCTGTATATCTCTATCCTACTGCATCTCATTACTGCGGAGGGGCAGCTGACAGTCCGAAACTGATGTAACAAAAGCAATGTTACCTGAGGAGGCTGAGGGACGCTCTTCCTCTGCGCTCAGCGGCTGCTTTTGAGTGTGTGGAGCTGCGGATCCTCGATGTTGGCGGCGGAGGAGGCGCTGATTTGATACTTTGGACCTTGGTCGTCTTCAGTATGGGGTTCATGCGATAGGCTCATAGGCTGTAGACTGTACTCTGTAGTCCGTACTCCGTAGACTCGGGAGTCGGGACTACAGAGTACTGGCAGGGTAGGTAGGATTCCCTACTCAGTGACCGAAAAAGGACTAAATCTCCCCCACAGGAATGTCAGACTCCGATCTCTGCTTCACTGTTTCCTATTGGAAATTTCATGCAGATACAACAGCCACGGCTGAAATAGGACTATGAATCCCTGAGCACGGATCACTTAGAGGGAAAGAAGGGTATGACCGTATGAACCACGGAGGACTCCGGAGTGGAGGGTGAAGGTCAGTGTCAGTGTCAGTGTCAGTGTCAAGAGAAGGCCCCTCCCCCAAAGTCCCGAGGCCCCGAGCCGTAGTGCATAATTGATGTGGGTGGGAGAGGCAGGTAAGAGAGAAAGGAATCAAAGGATACCAGAAGGGAGGATGTCTACTATAGGCTCTCTGAACGGTTGGGGTGGCACCGATCCAAGACCCTAAACCCCCTACTCGGTAGGCAACCAACATCGATATCAACGAAGTTCCCGCTCTAGCTGGCTGGCCCACCAGTCTAAGTGGAAAAATTTTGCATTTCTTTTTTATCTTCTCCCTTTTGCTTTTTCTCTTGTTGTTGTTTTTTAAAGCTTGTTGTACCTGGAGGAGACCTCATGATTGATAGTTATTAAGATTCAGCCTTATGCTAAAAAAGTCCACAGAGTAGCAGACCCAGATATGTGATAAACTGGAGTAGTAGTAGTAGTAGTAGTAGTAGTAGTAGTAGTAGTAGTAGTAGTAGTAGTAGTAGTTGGTTACTGGAACTTGGTTACTGGTTACTGGTTAGTGATAAACTGGTTACTGGAAGGGTGAATGTCCACGTGCGGGTCAGATATCCCCTACGTCATTGGGAACTTTTCTCAGCACTACTCCGGAATAGGTTACTCTAGGTACCTAGGTACCTAGGTACTAGTAATATACGGACTAGTCTTGCTTGGTCCTATTGGTCAGTTGTCGGTCCCCCCCCCCCCCCGAAGTCCGAAAGATTACCGTAACTACCTTACCGGATTACCTTATCAGTTTTTCACAGTACCGGGGTCATACAGTATCTTACACACTCAACAATCTACCTCCCTCCCCAAGGTAACTAACTACCTAGTTAGATACTACCTACTGCTATATCTCTCTGCCCAGAGATGGAATCTTCCATGTACTCCGTAGACCATTGTGAATGTCTTACTACAAAACACTGGCTAAAGGCTCTAGAGTCTAGTTAGTAGTTAGTTAGTTAGTTAGTTAGTTAGTACTCGTCTAAATCACCAAGGTGGTTCCAAGCCTCGGTCTTGCCCATATCCGGCATAGACTCCACCCGAGCCGAGCTTCGACGGTCGACTTGTCGAGTCCTTGGCAGTCCAGTCCCTCGAGTCATTAATTAGCAAATCGATTTCTGCATCCGTTGGGTTGACCTTTGGCGACTCCGCGACTCGCGACATCCAGGATTTCAGGATTTCAGGATTTCCCCTGTTGCCCACCGTCGTCATGGCTATTCCGTATTGCGCCAATCAGGCACCCTGCTGTGTTTTACTCTCCTTCCGAGCGGCTGCGAGGTGAAAGCGAAACAGGCCTCATCGGTGCCAGATTGCCAGGTACCACGCATTAATGATTAGGTAACACCGGATGCCATAGTACTCTGACCTACACAGTACTGGCTGAAGAATTGTAGAATCACTCAGCCTCTCGGCAATTCGATATTCGATTCGATCCTGATAGCAGCATAGTTAATTCAATATGGCCTGATCTATGTACCTCGCCTACTACTGCACCTAAGATCCCTGTCCGCCTTGTGAGTTATATACCCTTCCAATCATCGCTGAACCAACCCTACAATGTCTCGATATCAACGTATCTGCTTACCTGAACGGGCAGCTTGCAGCTAAACCTGAGGCATTATCCAGATATGCTCTGTAAGACTGTAAGACTGTACATCGCCCGGCACGTGGCATTCCCGGAATCAAGCAGCACCCGTGGAGAAAACAGCTAAGTATTTCCTCGAACCCGGTTCGGTTCGGCCGAAGAAATGAATGTAGGCTGTAGATCTAGGCGATCTGGATGCGGTGGCCACTGGCCACTTTGGTTGTTTGGTAGCAGTGGATAAATGAAAGAAGAGCTGCTGGGTGTGGCGGTTCATGTTGGAGGGCTTTTAGGCAGGTCATATCCGGATACTTCAGACCGGTCCGCTGTTGACCCGATTCGATTCCTTCCCCTTGATGATCCTGGGTGAAAGTAGATCCACCTTCCCTACTCCGTACTCCGTATGTCTGTCTGTCTGACTTGGAGGGGGATCAATGCTTTGTCTCTCGGTGCCAGCTTAGAGAAGAGATTGGTGGTTGAGGGTTGATAAGACATAATTATTGCATGGGTGATACGTTTTACCTAGATAGGAAAAGATTTGATATCAGCTGGCTTGGACAGATCGCAATACCATCCCCTCCCAAAAGAGGAAGCGTATCCTGCCTTCAGGACGGTTTAATAATATACTATGTATATTAGGTAGGCTGATGGAAATTATTACAGAAAAAAAAAAAAAAAAAAAAAAAAAAAACAAACTTCTGTCGACATTCCTTCATCATCACGCATTATATATGGCCATAAATTACATATATACAGTCGACTACAACGACTCGGTCTTGCCCAGCAGCCACTCGAGATGACGGTAGGTCACCCGAGGCTGGTACTGCGGCTGCATGTGTCCGCTCTGGTAGGTCTGTGCCCACATCAGTCCACGCTCGTAGTGTTGGATGCCCATCACTCCCTGAACATCGGTCACGCCGGCCTCGCCATTCTTCGCATACACATCGGCGTACTGCAGGTCAGGCAGCTCAACGTTGATAGGAGCGCTGGGCGCCGACTGGAAGCCCAGCTGTCCGTTCCAGGTCATGTTCTGGATCGCCAGCAGCGTTCCGTTGGTGAGGATGATCATGTCGTAGTCACCGTTGCCGATCAGCACACGGTTCGTCGCCTCGATCACCTGCGGGAGAACGTGCTCGATCGGGTTGGCCGACAGGTCACCCTCCTGCTCAGGTCCTGCGGAGCCACCGACGAAGACGGGCTGATCCGCACACTCGGCCCACTTAACGCTGGGGGCATGCAAGGCCCGCTTGACGTCCTCTCGGTCAAAGTAGACCGTGGCACCCTCGGGCTGGTAGACAAGTCCCGTGGGGAAAGCCAACACATCCCACGCGAGAGGGCACATCTGGTTGATTTCGTAGACGTCGAAGCAAGGGTTGACCGTCATGGCGGCAGTGTTGATCATGTTGAAGACGTCGCACTCGGCTTCGCTCGTGAAGTTGAACGTCTTAACAGGCTGAACACCCGAGGGAGGGAAAACCAGGTATTCATCGATGTACTCCTCGTAACCACAGCTCGTATGGAGTTTCTCCAGCTCCGCCATGAAGGTGGCATTGAAATTGAACAGATTGGCGTTTTGCTGAACGAAGGGCACGGCAGGCACTTCTTCTTGGACATAGTCGTACTGGCCGATACAGGCGTCATAGACCAGCGCACCTGTAAGAGACAATCACAGTTAGCATATATTGAACAGATATACCCGAGAGAGAGAGAGAGAGAGGCACGACTATCCTCACCTTTCAAATCATAGTGCTCCGTATTATTCTGATCCAGCATTGCCGCAGAGATATAAGGAACATATCGGCCCGCATAACTCTCTCCAGTGACATAGATCTTGAAGTTCTTGATTCCAAAAATATCCTGGAAGTTCTTGAAGAACTTGACGAAATCCTCTGCGATTTCCTCCTGGGAGGTGGCGGTCGGCTTGCCGGTAGCGAAGCCCGTTCCGACGGGTTGATCGACCCTATAAGGATAGAGACCAGGTCAATGACTCGACTTGGATTTCCGCGAGGCTCGGAGTCACGTACCACAACATGTTGGTCAAGTTCACCCACGAGTAAGGGTTCTCAACCGGGGCAAAAGTTCCTGGCTGCCAGGTAAATCTCCCGTTCTCCTGGAAGAAACCCTCCAGAGAACTACAACCTGGTCCTCCGTTGAGCCAGATGGTGACTTCATCAACTGGCTCACCCACGGTGGGCTGGAAGATGAAGAACAATTCTCTAGACTTGTTGCCCTGGTCAATGGGAACTGATCCAGAGTACATTTCGCCGATGTCGAAGTGAACGTCGGGCAGATGCTTGACGAGGTAGGCTGTGATTTCACTCCGGTCAGGGAAGCTCACAATCTCGAGAAGATATTGGCAAGATCACGTACGCTTTGTCTCTTTGCTTAGGAATCGGAAATCCTTGTGTTTTGAGTGCGACTCTGCCTCTCTGGAAACAAGCGGCGAGGTCCGTTTGGCCAAAGAGTCGCGAGCCTTCTGGCCAAATGGTCCATGTTGGCTAGCAGACACATTGTCTACGCACAACGAGAGGGCCACAACGGCGGTCGAGACCACCGACCCGAATAACATCCTGAATTGAGCAGGTAATGGAAGTAAGAGGGGTAGCTTTGTAGGAAAATATGAAGATCGGTTCCAAGTTCATCAGGGGGCAATCGGTTGTATTTATATCATTGAGCTCAGAGCTTGGGGTGTTTACTGTTTCCTACGTTAGGCAAGGTAGCGGCGGGGGAACAGGGCAATTCGACCCTTATCCTGCAGGTTGATGGCATAGAATAGTCGGAGAACAATCGAACGCCGTAGAGCCCGCAGGATCCCTGTCTCCACTGTTGGGCTTTCTTCTAGTGCAACGCAGACAACTCTGTAGTCTGTAGATAGAAGGCGAGCATTCCCGGCTTCGGGAAGTAGTAAGACAACTGACGCATGAGTATCACTGAGGGATTAAGGCGATTAATTTTCAGAACCTCAAGTGTTATCCAATCATGACCTAGTCGGTCCACAATTGAGAGGGGAAGTCAACGGCTGCCATCGGTTGCACAGCTTGAATGAATTGAGTCCGACTCCAAGCCCATGTTGTTGGTGCGGGGGTGCATCTCGGAAGATACGGACGGACATTGCTTGTGAGCTCAAGACGGGAGAACAAGAAGGTCAAGCCTTGGTGGAGTAGGAATTTGAACGGCTTGGTTTGCTAGGCAGTCAGCTTGATATGCAAGCAGATGGATAGGCCAATCGATTTGCTGCGGTTCCTGTTTATTATGCCATCCAGGACTTCTGTCTCGTCCATCGGGCGATTCAAGCTGATCAACCCGAGTGGCTGTCCTCAAGCCTTTCTCTTAGTCTTATCAAATCGATGAGGCAACCGCATTATCCATAGATACTAATACGAAGACGGAGATGAGGTCTGTTTCGGTGACGATCTGCAGCGTTGTGCGGTGTACGAAGTTGGAGAAGGCAAAGGTATCTCTGTTGCTAAGCTTTCTTTGGCGGACGTCCCCGTGACCCAAGACTCCAAGAGTAAGTAGACTACTACATCTCAACTTGAGAGGAGAGGACTGTACTGTCTGCACCAATGTAGCTATTATTATTGGTATCTATTTAGAGACTCGTTTGCAAACCCGAGTGACAGCTTATTGTATAGCCTCAATCTTCAGGCAACTTGAACCCCCCTGCAAACAATCCTTGAAGCAGACCGCCTCTTCAATCTTCTCAGTACGTAGTTAGTCAGGTCTATCTATGTACTCCGTAGTTAGTTCTTCTAGTCGAAATACTTATCAGTGACCCCTCTGGCCGATGTAACCCTGTTAGCAAGGATCCCTGATAAGAGGCAAATCAAAGTACTGCACATTATTGATTCAATGATGAGAAGCAATCAATTTATGTGGCGTCTGGCGTGATTAGGTTGACAAGGAGTGGTAGATAGATAATTACCAACAGGCTCTACAGCAGTCTAGCCAATTAGTCACCCACCCCAACAGTGCTGAATGGTAATGGTCATGGGATTATTCAGCACAGATAACAACAGAGAGTGGAACATTAACCACCTACCTTTCCAGGCCAACACTTTGAGATGATTCTATGGTAGAGAAGTTATAGGGGTTTTGCTTTCAGAAGAGCCCGAGAAAAAAAAAAAAAAAAAAAAAAAGAAAGAGAGAGAGAGGAAAACAGAAAAAAAAGAAACCAAAATGGGCCAGGGAGAGTCATTGGCGGACGAGCAAAAAAGTTGGACTCGCGGGGAATCGAACCCCGGACCACTCCCATGCTAAGGGAGTATTATACCACTAAACCACAAGCCCATCTTGATGACACCCAATTTACCTCGTGCATACATGGGGCTGCAAAATCAATCGTACCTAGAGGATTGCCAAGTCACTATTGCTTCTACGAAAGCGCCTCCTTCGCCAATGCGTATTTAGGACAGGGAGAAGGGCAAGGTAATACTCGGCTAAACCAATGCTATTGGAACATTTGATTCATGTCCTTCGCCTCTGGATATATGTTAGTGGGTATATTTGGTTGGAATGCGCTCATTCATATCTGGTGTGCATTCCCTTGTATATATATCCCACCACCGAGCCTTGCCGCAGGGAAGGAGTATTTATCATACATCCCTAGCTAGCCCCAACGCTCATTGCTCTGAAGTCTAGTACCAAATGCCAGCTTCTCTCACATACACATATAATAACTGGCAAGCCAAGCAACCAAGTGATGGCCGGATGAATGACTAGTTCACGCACAACACCGTAACACATCCATGCATCCAGGTTTAACCATGCCATGGAAGGTGTGCATGTACTTGTTCAAATCCCTGGACCCTTGTCCAAGCCGAAGAACACTATCCAGACCTAGCAAAATAAGCACAACACCATAGCCTATACCACCTGGGTCATTGAATTGGATTGGTCTGGTCAGGTTAGGTGCGGCTTGGTGCTACCTACCCGCCAGTGACTGTCCACGGAACCATTGTATCCAGGCTATACAACACGACAGAGGTTCGACCGAGTCACAAACCAGAGGCCACAGAGCCTGGAGTGAAACCACCAGGGCACCGCAATCCTGGAGCACTTCACAGATATGACACACGCCTTGCAATCAGAGATGCCAAGTACAAACCCAAATACCTAGCCGTAGTCCAGCAGGTATCAGGTAGACCGTCACAATCCCCATGGAGGCCGAGAAGTCACCGCGCCCAGACAACGCATGGGAATCCCACCTACGACAACTACGGGACTAGCCGATCCAAAAATCCAACACGGGGAATAGACACAGGACTGCCACATTGGCCGCCAAACTCAACAGAAAATGACAGCTACACTAGCAGACGACAGACCGTTCAACGAGTATAGAGATGTCCAGAGGCATGGCTAGGTTCGACACCCCCACCACCACAATCGATACCACAATCAATAAGTCAACACGTACCGGGGCGAATCGACCATATGGTGGAGAAGTGTCACACAGGGGACACAGAACTCAGCACTAGAAGACATATATAAAGTCATGTTCTACACGCTGATGTATGGGCAATGCCTGGCCAAAGCTCATATGCATATCACAGGGCAGATACACAGCAGTGCCGACATAGGACCAAGACTAACCCTGACGGTGTTACGGCCATACGGTAGTGCCTATCGAAGCCGAATACCAATGGAAGGATGCTTAAATACCCCTTATTATTGGACTGTTTGCAAAATCAATAATAGCATGCTAATAATGGCATATTCAACAAGGATACGTATGCAAAAATTAGAGTCCGAAAACATCGAATGGGCTTGTGGTTTAGTGGTATAATACTCCCTTAGCATGGGAGTGGTCCGGGGTTCGATTCCCCGCGAGTCCAATTTTTTGCTGATTGCGTCTGTGTCACCTCTTTTTGGTTGTTAAGCTTCAGCTGTCAATCAATGTACGCCGGGAAGTCAACCCCTGTTTTTCATATTAGTTTCCCCTACACTCATCTAAATTATGTATAAGTATGCTAGCTGGATACTAGCAGACCACAAGGCCAAAAGACTAATTGCAGCTTGCAGATCCAGACACATATAGTAGCGCATTAGGTGGGTAGCGAAGGCTCACGATCCTTACATATTATGTCATGGATGGAAGTGTCTTTGGATTCCACGCACAATCTGGGTTACAATATCAAACTTTTGGTCTGGTTCTCAACAGTTGGGCTTGTGGTTTAGTGGTATAATACTCCCTTAGCATGGGAGTGGTCCGGGGTTCGATTCCCCGCGAGTCCATCCTTTTTGCTGATCTGGTAGATTCAACTCCCACTTCACGATCACCACCTGCTTTCTGGGTTCTCTACCAACATCTATAACATACCTCTATGTAGCAGTCTATAATCACTGCTCATCACATTCCACACCCCACGATCCCCAACTGTCCTCCGTATCCCATATATCGACCCACTAGGTGCACCAACGGACCTTACACTGTAGCAGTGACCACCCAGAGACGACAAACCAGCAATATGCCACACTATTATCCCCATATGCACATGCATGATTTTGACAAAGATAGGGCAAACCAAGGGAGCTCTGATACTAGCTCACAAGTCTCCGCGGTAGTGGTCTTTCTTCAGACGATATGCGCCACACGCTCGGAACCGCGATAATAATTATTTGACCTAGGGGAGGCTATGAAATCCTACATCAAAAGACCGCCCCGAGCCTCGCCCAAGGTACATCATGCATGGATGTATCGCCAGTGACACCCCGCGCTGTAGGACAGACTATGAAGCACCTCCTACTTAGTGCCAGTGCTACCAAGTTGTTACTCCTATGAGCAGTTCCCTCTGGCATCCCATGCATCATATTGGCTGAGTAGCCGATGATGTCGCATTGAGTCCCACCAAATGACCATGGGAGCATGTGCCATATGTTGGGATGTACAGTCAATATTCCTTTCATGTCCCTGTAATCATGTCCCCGTAATCAATCAAACAACAGCAAGGGAAAACATATCTGATAGGTTGAATAGTAAGTACTCTATAAGATGATACCAACATCAGTCAGTAAACGCTAATGGGAGTGTCTCAATCATATTAGTAGCACTTGAACAAGCAGGTAGATGTAACCATTATTTCAGGGTATGTAGCCACGAGAAAAGTAAATGGACTCTTTGCCACAAATATGGGTTATCAATCATGCCTCAAGACCAACTCAAACAGAATCATAAGCTGGCAAAAAGAGACTGCCATTGCACAAAGGCACAGCCACATGATTGAACGACGAAAGGGAACCATACAGCGGTCAAAAGCAAAAAAATGGACTCGCGGGGAATCGAACCCCGGACCACTCCCATGCTAAGGGAGTATTATACCACTAAACCACAAGCCCAATAGATGTCACTCAGTTAATTGTTTAGAAATATCACTCAATGCAAAAAGCAACCGCCTGTGGAATGAAAATGGTCTGGCTGGCACCTTGGTAACTACTCATAGTGCAGTGTAAGTATACTCGAAAAGACAGAAATAGAAATAGTCAATACCCCATTGTTCAGATTGATACTCCCAATTTGCTCTCATATTCTGGCGGCCCCAATAAGTGAAGGGGCTTTTGATGCTGCATACCCTTCTCTCGCTACCAGTATTAAGCACCATCGACCAGGGAGCTACAGGACGTTTGATCGGGCCTTTGGAAGGGAAAGCACTATTTCCTCGCTTGACTTTAACAGCTGGGCTTGTGGTTTAGTGGTATAATACTCCCTTAGCATGGGAGTGGTCCGGGGTTCGATTCCCCGCGAGTCCATGTTTTTTCAATTCGAAACTTTTTTTTTTCCCCCTCTCTCAACTGAAAAATTTTTCTTGGATGGATCAATTCAATTGCCCATATCGACGTTGCAGTGCTAAATCGGCGGTCTAGATACGCGTCTCAATTGACCTTCCTGATCCGTCTAGCAACCCTGCAGTGAGCAAATGGTAATAATAATAATCAACCAGAGGACCTGTACGGAGTACGGAGCTGAAGTACTGCAATTAGTATTACCCCTACAAAGCGTTAGGATAACACTGAGCTGCCGCAACAGGTGTATAACTGTATATAGGGAGTAGTTATCTATCCAGCATCAAAGATCTATGCCAAGTGGGACATGACAAATGGAAATAGTAGCTTACTCCATAATCCCATGCTCTCTCTCTCTCTCTCTCTCACAGGTTCCGAACTAAGAACTTCGCCATCCAAAGGATTCCTTGACTAATGTTTTCATCCTTCTATTTGATCCGATGCCCCCAGACTCTGACTGAAACTGGCCCAAGTGGCCCGGTTTTCAAGCACTAAATTCGATTCAGCTTTGACCTTTTGCGTTTTCAATGCGTCTTTACTCTTTTCCATGCTCCATCATCCATCAGGCGTGCCTGCTTCTTCTCTTGGGTTTCCACTATTTAGATTAAGATTCTTTCCTTCTCCTTCTCCCCAAGCATCAACTCGGGGGGAAGATACACCCTCTTCTGAACTTTGTTAGAAGAAGAAAGCGGAAGAAGGACAAGGTTAACCGAGGTCCAGACCATCTCAGTAACCTATACTGACATGTTATCGAATGCCAGATTTCCTGGCTCTGCCATAACAGAGGAAACAAGTCAGCATGGGTCGGACAACTCGGCGAGCCAGTCTGTCTCTCATGAAAAAGACGCCTACGCACACTCCGAGAAGCAACTCAAGGACATTCCCGACACAACTACCGAAGAGCTGAAAGCTCCCTATGCGGAGAAGTCCGCTGAGTCACGAACACAATACGGTCTGCATGATCGCCTTTCATCAACGCAAGACCACCAAGCAGAGCTCGAAGCAGGGGTCCATAGACCGTCCCTCGATGACCTTCGCTCAGATCAGTCATCCCAGAGAAGCCCGATGAGTCGGGTGACTACCGATGCTGATGGCAATACCTATCCCGAGGGCGGCTTGGAAGCATGGCTGGTTGTCTTTGGAAGTTTTATGGGACTATTTGCATCTCTCGGCCTCATCAACACCATCGGTACTTTCCAAGCCTATCTGCAAGCTCACCAGCTGCGAGAGTACACGCCAGGGAACACAGGGTGGATCTTTGGCGTGTACTCGTTCCTGACCTTCTTCTGCGGAGTCCAGATTGGTCCAGTGTTTGATGCGAAGGGCCCACGCTTTCTCGTGTTCGCGGGCTCTGTCCTGACCATGGCGATGACGATCGCACTAGGATTCTGCACTCAATATTGGCATTTCATGATCGTAATCGGTGTTGCCGGAGGAATAGGCGCCTCATTGATCTTTACGCCTGCAATATCCGCAGTGGGTCATTTCTTCAACGAGAGACGAGGTGTTGCTACTGGTCTTGCTGCTACCGGTGGCTCTGTCGGGGGTATTGTCTTCCCACTGGTCCTAGAAGCCCTTTTCCAGAAGATTGGCTGGGCATGGGCCACCCGCGTCGTCGCTCTTATCTGCCTGGTTTTGCTGGTTATTTCATGCGTGCTGGTGAAATCCCGCCTCCCCAAAAAACCAGCATCGCGAGAGAACGTGCTCCCAGACTTCCGGATCTTCCGAGATCCAAAATTTGCCCTCACGACGGCAGGCATATTCTTTGTGGAATGGGGTCTCTTTGTCCCCATCAGCTATATCTCCTCATATGCCCTGGATCATGGCGTCTCGACCAAGCTGTCATATCAGATGGTAGCTTTTCTCAACGTGGGCTCGTTCTTAGGCAGGGCGATTCCTGGTTTTATTGCAGACTTTCTGGGCCGCTTCAACACGTTGATCGTCACAGTTGCTCTCTGTCTGGTGTGCAACGCATGTCTCTGGCTTACTGCGGGCGATAGTGTCCCCCTAATGATCGTGTATTGCGTGATATTCGGTTTTGCAAGTGGCAGCAACATCAGTCTCACTCCGGTCTGTGTCGGACAATTATGCAAGATTGAGAACTATGGAAGATACTACGCAACGGCATACACAATTGTGAGTTTTGGGTAAGTTAATTTGCACTGCAATTTAAACGAAGCCGCGGGATTTTGGCAGCTAATAAACCCACTTTAGCACTTTGACCGGTATCCCCATCGCTGGTGAGATCCTCAGCCGTTGCAACGGAGAGTACTGGGGCCTCATCGTCTTTACGACTTGTTGCTATGCTGTGGGCTTAGCGTGTGTCACTTCAGTGAAGCTTGTCCACGTTGGCTGGCGTCAACCGTGGGTTGTTTACTAAATCTCACCTCCTCCGAGGCCTTGTCCGAGCAATATAACAAGATTTGACAGCACAATCAGCAAATAAATGGCTATTGAGCTAGAAGAAAAAGAAATAGCAACACGGATTGTACTTCAATTTATCAGCTGAAATTCTATGACTGGGCTTGAACCTCTGGGTGCCGAGAACAGATGACTAGAGCATCCACAGCACCCAAATTGATGCTATTCGACTTGAATGCAAGCGACGGCATGACCGGTCCCTACCTTGATCTCACATTACTTACTCGATGACATTGTGGATGATGATGGATGAGATGATCAAGACGTATCAGTGGAAAGCCATTCCGCACAAACTCAATCAGCCAGAAGTTCCTGGAACTAAAGTCGTCCACCCAGGGAAAACAAACAATAGGCCAACAAGTATATCCTGGTATCATAGAGATGTTGCCAGCCTCCTCTTTGACTTCGTTGTCTTTCTGTCCCCATTGTCACTACCACACAACCACGAAAGCTGCCGCCGCCGCTGGTGCAAGTTCCAGACCAGCATACCACCTCTTGACAAACCAATTCGTGCTGCTTTTATCAGATCCATATCACCAGATCTCAGCACCAGGCTGAGAATCAGGATTATGGTTGACTCAACAGCCCGTGGTTGCAGCCCCCCGATGAGTTCCAATAGGACGTCCGAATCAAACTGGCTGTAAGAATCGCGCTGTAGCCATTACATCTGCGTCTGATACCGCACCCTGTGTTGGATGACATACCGACCTCATCATTCAACCGAGACCCGAGTACATAATGATGCCTCATCCCGAATTCAGGGTGTTGTCTTCAAAACCACCAGCTGTCTGAAAGCGCCGCTCATTACCCTCGAGTCGTGTCTTTCGTGTTGGCCTTCCCAACCCCCCCTCTGTGGCTGCCTTTGTTCAAGATGCACACTAGGAGCCAGCTCCTATCCATAGCTGCAACGGCATGGGTGCTTCTCAATGGAGCGGCAGCCGCCCCTAGTCCGGATCACGGCGAAGCCTCGCTCCCGGAGCTCTTGAGATCGGCAGGTCTTGCCAGCGCCGCCTTTTCCTCAGGCTTAATTGCTGCACCCTCCGGAAAAACTGCAATAGCACCAGTTTCAGCTACCGGGCCACCTGAAAGCGCTGCAACTGAATCACCCCCAGCTACCGGATCGCCAGGAACCGGTGCTACATCGATTCCAGGTACAGCACCTCCGGGAGGAGTTGCCACTGAATCACCCCCAGCAATCCCAACAGCTGGTGGGAGCGTCTCCCTCTCTCAACCTATTGTCACCTCTACTGGAGCAGGGGTGCCTCCTGGAGGTGGCGTACCGGGCATTCCAACCGCTCCCGAATCAGCAATTCAGTCATCATGCATTGTTGTGACACATTCCGTCCCCCCAGAGACGAGGCCGACCATCGTCTTGACAACTTCTTGTCCAATAGCAACCGGTCCGCCGGCAGGAACCGGTCCTCCAGGAGCGACAGGCCCACCGGCGGCAACTGGTCCACCACCAGAAACTGGTCCCCCAGCCGCTACAGGTCCTCCGGGGGCAACAGGTCCCCCAGCCGCGACAGGTCCTCCAGGAGCGACAGGCCCACCGGGGGCAACAGGTCCACCACCAGAAACCGGTCCCCCAGCCGCTACAGGTCCTCCGGGGGCAACAGGTCCCCCAGCCGCGACAGGTCCTCCAGGAGCGACAGGCCCACCGGGGGCAACAGGTCCACCACCAGAAACCGGTCCCCCAGCCGCTACAGGTCCTCCGGGGGCGACAGGTCCCCCAGCCGCGACAGGTCCCCCAGCCGCGACAGGTCCTCCAGGAGCGACAGGTCCTCCGGGGGCAACAGGTCCACCACCAGAAACTGGTCCGCCAGCCGCGACAGGTCCCCCAGCCGCGACAGGTCCTCCGGGGGCAACAGGTCCACCACCAGAAACTGGTCCGCCAGCCGCGACAGGCCCTCCTCCAGGAGCGACAGGCCCACCGGGGGCAACAGGTCCCCCAGCACCAACCGGCCCAGGAGCCCCTACTTGTCCACCAGCGGCTGTGTGCCCACCGTGTCCAGCTACTGAGGCACCTTCTTGTCCCCCTTCTTCCACAGTTACAATGACGACTACAGTCACTGAGACGCCTATTTGTCCACCTTGCTCTCCGGCTACAACGACGATTACAGCCACTTCTACTGTCACAGTCACTGAAACTGTCTGCCCCCCAGGTCCTACCGGCCCTCCTGCGCCTCCCGCCCCTCCGGGCAACACTGGTCCTCCTGGCGGCCCTGGTGGCCCCGGTCCCGGTGGTCCAGGCGTCCCTGAAGCACCTAGCGGCGGCGGCGGAGCATGTACCGTCCCAACTGCACCTCCAGGCGGTCCCGGATCTCCGCCTCAAGCTACTGGACCTGGGGGACCCGGTGGTCCCGGAGGACCTGGAGCCCCGCCTCAAGCCACTGGACCTGGAGGACCTGAAGGACCTAAAGGCCCCGGAACCCCGCCTCAAGCCACTGGCCCCAGTGGCCCTAGCGGACCTGGACCCGTGCAACCTGGAGGGCCACCTCCAGCCCCTGTTTCGACGTGCGTCACCGCAACTGTCCCAGCATCCGGAGGCCCCGCTCCACCAGAGACCCAGCCACCTGGCGGAGGTGCTACAGGCCCAGCCAAGCCGCCAGCCGGGACGGAAACCGCTCCTCCCAAGCCCGGAGGCGGAGGCGAGACCACCCCTCCCGCACCCCCGGGCACCAAGGTCCCGCAAGGTCCCGGCGGCGGAAGCATGACGGGATTCCCCAACACAACCGTCCCCGCCGTGCCCACCAAACCGTCAGTCGCGCCCAACATCACCTCCAGCGTAACCAAGCCCTCCGCTCCACCGGTCTCAAACCTCACCACCACCGCCCCGGGAGGCGGCATACATAACGCAACCACAACCCACGCCGTCCCCACGGGACCTGGCGCCGGTGCGCCTAACTCCACCAGTCTTCCCGGAGGAGGAATCCCAACAACCCACCCCGGCGGCGGCGGCGGCGCAGGGACGACTCTCACCTCTGTCCCCGGCTCTACGCCCAGCTCCACACCCGGCGCTCCCGGCGGCGCAGGAACGACTCTTACCTCTGTCCCCGGCTCTACGCCCGGCTCCACACCCGGCGCTCCCGGCGGCACAGCCAGACCAACTGGCCCGCCAGGCGGCGGCGGTGCAGGAACGACTCTTACCCCTGTCCCCGGCTCCACGCCCGGCTCCACACCCGGCGCTCCCGGCGGCACAGCCAGACCAACTGGCCCGCCAGGCGGCGGCGGCGGCGCAGGAACGACTCTTACCCCTGTCCCCGGCTCCACGCCCGGCTCCACACCCGGCGCTCCCAGCGGCACAGCCAGACCAACTGGCCCGCCAGGCGGTGGTGGTGGCGGCGGCGGCGGCGGCGGGAACACTGGCGCCCCCCCTTTAGCGACCGGTCCGTCTGGCACCCACACGACGACACAGGGTCCTCCCGGCCAGCCGCCAGCGGGACAAGCCACCCCGATGATCGACCCAAAAAAGCAGAAGAAGAAGCGGACGATGGAGGAATTCCTTCCCACGAGCATGAGAAAGAAGCCTTCTATGGTTCACTCTCGGGCTTGAGAGTCCGCGATGCGCGCGTTGACTGGGGGAAATAGGAGATGCGTACAAAGAGAGTCGAGCGGACGAGATAAAGCATCTATCTCCTGCTATATTGTGGTAGTGGTGGGAGTGGGAGAAATTGTTGCACGTTCACTGTTTCCTTATTGTCTGACCTGCTTTTCTTCTTTTTCTGTGTGCTGAGTTGTATGCCCTGGATTGAAATGCTCTATTGTCCGAGATAAATCTAATCTTTACCCAATTGGTTAGATCTAGATAGAACTAATGACATAAAAAGTGCTTTCTAGATGCTCCTGTGCCGTTCCAGAGTGAATGACTCGGGCAGACTTCTTGTAAGTGTGCTCTTTCTCTATTGTGACGTGTGGGAGCTTATGCTCCCTTGCGACGAACAATGAACGGTATGTGATCTCAGACTGTCCGTCAGAGAGGGAGCATTTTGTACGTGCCATGTTGGTCTCTAAGAGGAAGGAAGTCATGAAGAGTCAGAGACCCCGGGAAATATCAACTTGGAGCATCCAGACTCCGTATCGATGGCCCCGTGGGTCTCGGCATTGGAATTAAGTACAGTACAGGTAGAATGGAACCGCAAGAAACATGGCTCGACGCAAGAAAGGCGAGAATGATTGGGAATGCACAGGTGAGGAATCAAGGATAAAAAGATGCAGACCCCAGGAGAAATGAGTCTGAGATCTGCAGCGAAACGAAGGATTTCCCGAGGAGAATGCTGGTCTATCTTCGCCACTTCGACTGTCCCATATCGTCTAAGTCTCCAGACCGCAGGTCCATGCGAAAGAAATGCAGACCTCGCCAATGGATTCCATACGCCGGACACCTTACAAAGAATAACATCGAAAGAGCAAGGCCAGAATCAAAACCAAAAACACAATGTGATATGGGCAGCGACAGGAGGAGATGGCTTGCCTTGAACGTTGACACAAGGTCAGCGACAAGTTAATGCAAGGTAGTGATAGAGTTCCGGATTGAGGAAATAAAAAAACGAAGGAAGGCGTATGTCGTGATAATCGAGGATGTAGTCTCACAAGAGCCTTGATCCCTGGGGAAAGCACCTGGAACGGGCGGGCATGTATGCCATGCCAAGGATCAGGGTTTTTTTGCAGTTGCGCAAACAAGAAAGGGTATAAGTTCGCATCAAGGCTATCTGACATCATAAAAAGGAGAAAATGGGAAAGAAATTGTTTCTTGTTTGAATGCCTCATGAGCTGTTCGATCGCAGTAGGGCCTATCATCATAAGGTCATTAATCATGATCTAGAAAGGCAATGTCCACAGGAGCGAAGAACTTACCCTCTCCATTGCAAGATCTTCAGCTTGCTCGCCAGTGGGGCTTGCAAGGCCACGACCGATAGACCCGGAGGCTGTGATAGCCCTCGTTTCCATACCTGGACGTTTCCCATCGGAGTGGTGGAGCTCACCGCTGCTGGAAAGTCGAGACTCCTTGCTCTTCTCCAGAAGCGAACCGCCTAAGGTCGCGCACTTGAGGATTGTCTGCATCATCTGATTCTGCTTCAGAGGTTTCGACAAGTACTCGTCCATTTGAGCCTGGATGCACTTCTCGCGGTCACCAAGCATGGCGTGTGCTGTGAGAGCAATGATGGGCGTGCGGGAGAGACCGGCTTCCCTCTCATACTCTCGGATCTTACCGGTGGCCTCAAAACCACCCATCACAGGCATCTGGACGTCCATCAAGATCACATCGTAACGACGCTGCTTGACAGCTTCCACAGCTTCCAATCCGTTGCCGACAACGGAGACATTGTGATTGTGTTTCTCAAGAATCTTGACCGCCAGTTTCTGGTTGACATCATTGTCTTCGGCGAGAAGAATATCAAACGATCGGGAGTGATCGGTGGTGATCGGGGTCGAGCGTCCCTCTAGAGCGGGTAGCATGCCATTTCCGAGATCGATCGGTTGACAGGGTGTGGTCATGTAGGAGCTGATACCCAGATCCAGCGCCGACTTCAGGCTTACGCAAACCAGCGGACAGACTAAGACGATGGGAACGTACTTGAAGTCATCATACGTCCGCAGCAAGCGAGCAGTGTCTACCGAGTCCACAATGATAACGTCGTAGGCATGACCCGACTCTTTGCCGGAAGGATCCTGTATCTCTGGTGGCGGGACGTGATCTTCGTCTCTCACAATGATAGGCTCCAATTCAAGTTGTTGAAGCATCTTGATGATATTCTCCGCCTGGAAACCGTTTTGTCCCTTGTCGATGAAGAGGACACGGTGATGCTTGTACGGCATGAGCTGAGATGAAATGACATTCAAGGACTGATCAGCAAGTTTCACCACGCAGGTGAAATGGAATGTGCTGCCATGACCATATTCGGAGGTCACCCACACATCACCGCCCATCAGGTTGACGAGTCGCTTGGAGATGGACAATCCGAGACCTGTGCCGCCGAATCTGCGCGTGGTCGATCCATCCGCCTGTTGGAAGGTATCGAAAATGAGATCCAGTTTGTCCTCTTCAATACCAATGCCAGTATCGGAGACGGAAAACTCGAAGGCGTACTCGTTCGGAGCACACTGCTCTCGGTCCGATTTGCGGATGGTCAACTTGACCTCGCCATGCTCGGTGAACTTGATGGCATTGCCAACCAAGTTAAGGATGATCTGACGCAGGCGGAAGGGATCTCCAATGACATAGTCTGGCACGGTATTATCGACTTGATATGTCAGACTGAGGAACTTCTCATTGGCCTTGACTGCCAGCGTCTTCAAAGCGTTGAAGACGGTTCCTCTGACAGTGAACGGGATGCTTTCAATAACCATCCGGTTAGCCTCGATCTTTGAAATATCCAGAATATCATCGATAATGGTGAGCAGGCTGTTTGCCAGGTTGTGCACGACATTCAACATCTCTCGTGTATAAGGCTTCAAGTCATCCGTGTCCAGGGTGAGTTGGGTCATGCCGATGATACCGTTCATGGGAGTTCGAATTTCGTGACTCATATTTGCCAGGAATTCAGACTTGGTGCGGTTAGCCAATTCGGCCGCCTCTCTGGCGGCAGTATTTCGCTGAATACTATCTCGAAGGTTGGAGACCATCTTGTTGATCTTGCGCTTCAGCTCATCCATCTCTCCGGAGGCGTTCACGGTGATAAGCTTGGTGAAATCGCCGTCTGTGGCAGCGTCCGTGATTTCACCAAAGGCTCGCACTTGAGACGTCAAGTTCTCCGCCATTGTATTGACGTCCTCGGTGATCTCCTTCCAGGTTCCGGCAATGCCCTCCACGTTGGCTTGACCGCCCATTTTGCCATCCACACCGACATCACGAGCCACCTTCTTCAGCTCGGTTGCGAACTTCGCAAGCCGGTCCACCATGTGATTGATTGTGACTTTGAGGGTCAAAATCTCCCCCTGCGCATGCACCTCGATTTTCTTGCGGAGGTCACCCTTTGCAATCGCTTGCGTGACGTCTGAGATACTTCGCACTTGAGATGTCAAATTCTGGGCCATGGTGTTGACATTGTCGGTGAGATCTTTCCATTTGCCTTCCACATTGTCAACCTTGGCTTGGCCCCCGAGTGTACCGTCTGTGCCGACTTCTCTGGCCACCTTGCTGACTTCAAAAGCGAACGTATTCAGACGGTCCACCATGCCGTTGATAGTGCTCTTGAGATCGAGTATTTCACCTTGTACATTGGCCGTGACCTTCTTGGTCAGGTCACCTTTGGCGACGGCTGTGGTGACATCGGCAATCTCTCGGACCTGGGTGGTCAGGTTGTTGGCCATTCGGTTGACGTTTTCTGTCAGGTCCTTCCAGGTACCTTCCACATCATTGACAGTGGCTTGACCACCGAGGACACCATCCGTACCGACCTCCTTGGCGATCTTAGTGACCTCTTGAGCGAATTGCCGCAGTTGGTCGACCATGGAATTGATAATATTCTTCAGCTCGGCGATTTCTCCTTTGCAGTTGGCCTGGACCTTCTGGGTGAGGTCACCCTTGGCCACGGCCTTGGTGACCGTCGCAATATCTCGCACTTGAGTCGTCAAATTGTTCGCCATGGCGTTCACGTTCACTGTAAGTTCATTCCACATGCCTTGGACTCCTTCAATCTGGGCTTGTCCACCCAACACACCTTCTGTACCGACATCACGGGCGACGCGGGTGACCTCCGTGGCAAATGTACGCAATTGATCCACCATGGTGTTGATCGTCTGCTGCAGCTCCAAGATTTCTCCCTGGGCCCGGCTTTCGATCTTCTGGCTGAGATCACCGTGGGCGACAGCGGTCGTGACCGCGGCAATCTCCCGCACCTGGTCCGTGAGATTCTTGGCCATGATATTGACGTTCTCAGTCAGCTCCTTCCAAATACCGTGGACCCCGGTGATCTGAGCCTGCCCACCGAGGATACCTTCGGTACCGACCTCGCGGGCGACTCGAGACACCTCACTGCCAAAAACCTGCAGCTGATCCATCATGGTGTTGATTGTGCGCTTGAACGTAGCGATTTCGGGGTCCATTTCCAAGGGATGAATCTGGACCTTCATGGACAGATCACCGTTGGCGACCTGGGTGATGATGCCGCCGATTTCCCGGAGCGCTTTCTGGAAAGCCTCGTTGGCTTGTTGGTGTTTGCGTAGTTCACGCTCCAGAAGGACCACATCTTCATTCTCGACTTTGGTCAACGCTCGCCGCGTGTGCTCTTCCTGTTGTTGCAGCTCATCACGAACTTGAGCGATAATACCCTTCTGGAAGCTGATTTCCTCCGCCTGCTTCTGCACGTGGTTCCGGAGGTAACTGATATCTTCCTCGCGGACCAAGCGGGTTCCCGAATCGATTTCTTCATCGGCATCAGTCTCTTCGTCATCGAGAGCCTCGTCGGCTTCATTGTCTTCCGCCTCAGGGCGGCCACGTCTTGTTTTCTGGCGGCGTCGTGAAGTTTCCTGCTGCATGGCGCAAGAAGAGTTAGAAGCAGCTTCTTCATGAGAGGACAAGCGAGAGAGGCCAAAAGAGCACAGGAAACTATGTGAATCCTGGGCGGCAGACGGAGACGGGTTGGGGAGGATTCGGGGAGATGGTTGATGACTGACAACTTGAAATTCCAGATGGCGAACCCGTCGGATCAAAGCCTCCAACTCATTCTCAAACGCCGCTTGGGCCGGACTAGGATCGCCGGGTAATTTGACGAGTTTTGTGTCGCAGCCATTGGAGGCTGTATGAGAAGCATTCAGGTCGGAGCTCGAAAAAACATCGGGGTCGCGGGCCAGGCCTTGGAGAATAGAAGTAGCGGCAGCGAGCGTCACATCTGCGGCAGCCATCGTGCCTGTTGACCACCTGACGATTAATTTTGGGACATATGGAATGTATGAAGGGGAAGGGGAAGGATAGAGAAGGAAAAAAAAAGGTTGAGCGCTCCGAGTCGGATGACCAGAGAAAAGGGGAGGACGGAATTCGATATCGAGTAAATAACGAGCGTGAAGGGAAGTTGAGAGAAAGATTAGGAGGATATAAATGATAGGAAGGAATGCCAAAAAATTCGGTGAGAAGAAAAACAAGTGATATCAACGGGACAGACTTGAGGCGGACGAGAGAGGGAAGGGAAGGGAAGAGAAGGGGGATCGGGGGAAAAGAGGATGAGGCTTTCAACGCTCCGAAGAGGAAGGATGAATGTGATCTGTGAGAAAGCACAGCAAGATCGCGATCATTCAAGATCAGATTGCTGGTGATGAAGAAGAAGAAGAAGAAAATATTCGAAGAGGAAGATGGGATGGCAATGGTTGTGGGTTCCAACAGGTTGGTCCGAATAATGAATGACCTGGGATCGGTGAAGTGAACTTGGAACTGAAGTGATGAACCTACCAGACGGAAAGCCGTGGGTTACTGACACGAACGATCAGGCGAACCTGCTATGAAGACATGGGGCGTTTGTCGCGTAAAAGAAAAGAAAATCCCCCTCCCCGAGATGGAAGACTTTTCCCCCCTGTCGATTAAGATATATGGACAGGGAATGGAGGATGTGAATGGAGATTTTTGCGAGTCAAGAAACAAGAGTCAAGAATCGAGGGATTCCAGATAGGCAGACACAGAGGGAAAGATGAAAAAGATAGGTAGTAGTTATTATTTGGACGCGGAGGAGGAAATCTGGACGAACAAACTTACTCCGTACCGAGTCAACCTCAGGTAAAAAAAAAAAAAAAAAAAAAAAAAACCGTTGGTAAGGGAAAAACAAAGTGGGTAAGAAAAAAAAAAAAATACGGAACGATGAAAGGGGGGGGCAATAATGTACTCTGGTCGTAGTTCGTAAAAGCCACGAGGGAATCCTCCGTTCGAGATCCAGTAGACTAGATAATGGAAAGGTTGTTTATTTGCAATCCCCTGATGATCGAACTGAAGAGGTTTTCTCTCTCTCTTGAAAGTAAAAGAAGAAGCAGCTTCACTACTGAACGGTGACTGTGCTGGAAGAATGAAATAGAAGAAGAAGAAGGAAAAGAAGGAAACAGGAACTGAGGGGGTCAGGGGGCTGCTGATTGGATCATGGGAGAGAGGGGAGGGGGGGGGTTTGGCTGTCCACTCTAGTACTCTACGTTAGTATGATTCTGCTGATTTGATATACTATGGATTATTATTGGGACGGATTTGAGAGACAGTACTATGTAGTAGAAAGGTGAAGAAAATGGATTAGATTGAGCTCTCACTCTGCAGACTACAATGACCGATTTACTACAGTTGCAGAGCGAGCATCTATTTAGTACCAAGTGGAAGTAGGTACTGTAACTTGTAAGTAAGTGGTGGTTGTATCATTGTTGTATGATACATTCATGGGTGGTAAGGTAATGTGAATACTGTAGTACGGTACTGGTAAACCAGCCAATACATGGATTACATGCCTTGGTAAAAATCTGCAACAATTTTGCTATTTATATCTAGGTCCGAATCTCTTTTATGTATTGTTCAAGTATGGGTCCTCTGAAGCCTACGGAGGATCTATATAAAGTTGTCTCAGACTCTGTAGTTGATAAGAAAATTCTATATTCCTACCCATCTCTATCCCTGTAACTAACTAACCGATGAATGAATTGAACATACTCCAGAATCCGGATGCCATATGATAATCCTCCAGGCTCCATACTGATCTTCATCTCAGCCCCATCCACAGTACTATGTGTAGTTGTTCCTACTCCGATAGTCGAGGACCAGCGGTGATCGCCCCCCCAAGACCTAAACCCCATCCGTGTGTCTCCATCCAATCTTCTAACTTAAGTTCAGTCCGTCTACTAGGAACCATCACATCTTACTGGAGGTTGTCCCTTTGGCATGAGTGGCTTTAGAGACGATCAAAGAAGCTAGCTCTGCCTCATTCCGAAAGAAATACTATCCTATATTGGGATAGTTGGGATAAGAACTCGACTGTCCACTCATCAACTTGAATCCTTACTATATTTCATCCTCTGTACTTTCCATCTACACCGCACCACTGAGCCACTCACATTCTCCAGTTCCTCAACAGTTTGTGTGGTTAACCCAATCCCACTGGAGCAAATGGTTCGACCCTTCGTCTCATTTTTTCGAACTAGTGTCTACCGATCAAACTAAAAGCTATGTTATCCAGTCTGGTTGTACTCCGTTCCTTTGTTCTACTCTTTCTGTGGTCTCCGATGGAGAATTTAGAGCTGCGCCCAAACCCCCGAGGTTCCCTAGCCGAATCTTACCGGCCACTCTTGAGGGTCCGAAGAGACATCCATCCAGCCAATGATCTTGACTAGGGACTGCCCTGGTCAGTAAGGTATTATTGAAGTGTACCTATGTAGGTAGGTAGGTAAAGGTAGGTAAGGTACAGCGGTAAGATGGAAGTTAAAAAACCTGACCTGACAGTATCCAAGGATCCGTCGATATTACTTACACGTATGGTTAGGTATCATGGTATGGAACGGGTCTCATACATCTACGGAGTAAGGTAGATCCCTTTTGCAGGTTTGCAGCCCTGGTGATTATTACTTCTGATTATCACATTAGTGGACAACATATAGATTGCATGAGGCTTGAGAGATGGGACAGATCCAGGGAGTTCAATACATCGGATGGAGGTCTGTCCATCGACATGATTATATCTGTATTCTGTAGATGATCATGGCTTCAACGCTCCCTGTCACGCAGTCGCATGGACAGTCGAGGATGTACAGGCCCTGTCATCCTGCGTGTCCTATGTCTCACCTGCCCGTTGATTCCCTGTTCCTTGGCCATCATGGATAATCTGAATCGTTGAAATGTGACAGTTTCGCAATACGCAGTAGATCTATCGAGTTATCGACGTACGGGTTGTGCTACAGAGTGCCTCACAAGTCACAACTCTCTATCTTTTGACTTGAATCTTTTTCCTTTTGTTTCCGTCTCTCTTTTCTCTCTCATATTAAGAATGTTTCTAATCATCCTGCCATTCGAGCCCGCCTCAAAAACCAAGGGGGAATATTGGATCCATCGCGAGTTCGCGAGATATAGACCGCTCTCATTCCCATGCCAGCTGTCAGAATGGATATGCCTTGGGACCAGTCGCATCTTGACAAGAACAGGGATCCGGACCACCAAGCCAAGACAGATCATGAGAACAAGGCTGTTGCCCAGCTGAGAAGAGGGCTAGATCAGCCTGGGATCCAGATTGTAGGGATGACGCTGCTCCAAGTATTGTGTGGAATGCCCAGCAGGTAACCAGCAGGAAATCAGTCGGATAAAAAGCTGCTTCCGTGTACCTTGGACAGTATCGTTTCGATTATCCCACAGTCACAGACTCACAGTATCGAGCGAGGGAGATAAAAGACAAGACGCACCTAATACTATGCATCATGATGGTCAATAAAACTAAGAAGAAACGGATGATGGCGGGGTAGATCAATCCCAGGTCACGGGATTGCGCTTCTGGTCTGTTGCATCCTCCGTAACAGGGCCCGAAAAGAGTCACAATTTAGTAGTGGGTATTATTATTGCAATAGTGTTCGATATTCCCGAGTCACTGGAAAGGGTTCTCACCACTTCCTCCCACACCTCATAGCCTCTTCCACCACTCTCGCTCTTCCACTGCAGTCCTCCAAGACAGCAGCCATGGCGTCCGATATGACACAACCGATTTTGGACGCCCTGTCCACGTCCGACGGCCCGATTCTCTCCAACGAAGCCTTCCCCTCCACCCCCTCACTAAACGTCAAGAGTGCGCTCGATCGTCTAGCCTCGCGGAGCATGGTCGAATATGAGACAAAGGACAAGGAAGTCATTGCCTTGACCCCGGAAGGTGAAGATATCGCTGCCAATGGCAGCCACGAGGCCAAGGTTTTCGAGGCTGTAGTGGCCGCCATGGATGGATTGAAGATCGGCGATCTGCCTGGAATCGTGGGAAAGGAAAACGCCAAGGTTGGCCAGGGCAATGCCTTCAAGAAGGGCTGGATCAAGAAGGACAAGGATGTATTGCGGGCGACCACCGAATCTATCGTCGACGACACTCGCGAGCTGATGTTGACCATCAAGAAGACTCAGTCGCTGGAGGACCAGAAGGCGATTACAGACCTTAAACGCCGGAAACTGATCGCGCTGCAGAAGGTCATCACCTTCCGCATCTCGAAGGGCCCCAAGTTCGCCAAGGAATTCGTCAAGGAGGAGACTGACCTGACAGCGGAAATGCTCGCAAACGGATCGTGGAAGACAGCCACGCTGAAGCCCTACAACTTCAAGGCCAAGGGTGCTCCTACCCCGGCCGGTACCTTCCACCCTCTCAACAAGGTGCGACAGGAGTTCCGCAACATCTTCTTCGAGATGGGTTTCGAGGAGATGCCCACCAACCGCTTCGTAGAGACGGGCTTCTGGAACTTCGACGCTCTCTATGTCCCTCAGCAACATCCCGCCCGCGACCTCCAAGATACCTTCTACATCGCCGACCCCGCCGTAGCCGACCCTCCCCGCGAGGATCCCTTGAACGACCCCCACCGCCCCAAGTCCGTTCAGCCCGCCTCTGCAGCGACCACGCAGAAGCCCCTTGACTATCAGGAGTACTGGGATAATGTCCGTCAGGTCCACGAGAACGGCAAGTACGGCTCTATCGGATACCGCTACCCCTGGAACAAAGACGAGGCTCTCCGCCTGGTGCTCCGCACGCACACCACCTCCGTGTCGACCTATATGCTGCACAAGCTCGCGCAGAACCCGCGACCCGCGAGATATTTCAGTATTGACCGAGTTTTCCGTAACGAGGCCGTCGACGCTACTCACCTGGCTGAGTTCCACCAGATCGAGGGTGTCATTGCCGACTTCGGTCTTACGCTGGGTGGTCTGATCGGTTTCATGGAGGTTTTCTTCGCGAAGATGGGCATCCACCAGCTGCGCTTCAAGCCCGCGTACAACCCATACACTGAGCCCAGCATGGAGATCTTCGGCTACCACGAGGGACTGGGCAAGTGGGTTGAGATTGGAAACAGTGGTATGTTCCGACCAGAGATGCTGGAGCCCATGGGTCTTCCCAAGGACATGAGAGTGTATGGCTGGGGTCTAAGTTTGGAGAGACCAACCATGATCAAGTAAGTTTCCTCGAACGCTGCGACGAAGTCTCTGTATCTGGCAATATGGGAACTGACAACAATTCTACAGGTACGCCGTCAGCAACATTCGAGAACTCCTTGGCCACAAGGTTGATCTCAATTTCATCGAGACGAATCCTGCCGTCAGATTGGAGAAAGACTAGAAGATGGACTTGCGGGATGGGGGATACTGATACACACGGGAGGCTCTGATAAAAAGAATTGACCTTCGATTCGATACCTTGATATTCTCAATGTCCTCGTTAATGCAAAAAAAAGCAAAACATTCAAAATTTATTGACGTGGTAACGAGTTTGATGGAAAAATGATCATTGAATAGAACATCGAAGTCTTAAGAAGGCTTTTGTATTATTATTGCATTTGCATCAGAATACCTAGCATGTCTACTTATGGTATCATGGTATGCATGTTCCACCCGTATCTGTGCCCCAGCGCATGCGCTTTGCGACAGTGGCTCTTCAGTAGGCGGGATGTGATATTCGGCTGGATTAATTGTCTACCTCCTCGCTCATGGAACGGTGATCCGATGAATATCTTGACGACGCTCAATCCGATCCCGTGGGTGAGGAGGCCTTGATGCGCCGGATGTTATGCAAGAAAACTACGAGGGAGTAGGGCTCCCATGACATGAGACTGAGTTGTCTTGGAGAGTGGTCAAGACGACTCTTCAAACGAGCAACAGCAGACAGAATATTAAAAAGTAGGGCGAAGACACCTCCCCCACCACGAGTCCCTTGTGAAATAGATGGATTGATTGATTGGTTTGGATGAAATAGTCTGCATTGACTGTGGTTTAAGAAAATGATTTTTGAACATCAACTCTCCGACGTACCCCCATCTAATCGGCACGTCTTTTTCCTATCAACAAAAATCAGTACACAACGCTCCCAGTGCGACCTGCCAAACAGGAAAGAGAGACGCAAGACTTACATCCAATCCGACCCGTCAGCACCGCAAACACCAAGGGAAAACCCCTCATATTTACCGCTGGCTGGAGGCGGACCACACGTTGCGGACGTAACCGTCACGCTGGGCAAGGCGGTTCAGGGAGTCATCGCTCTCGCCACGGGCACGGATGAAGCCGCAGAGAGCGTAGGTCTGGTTCTCGCCGGTGTAGCGGCCGTTCTCGTCAACCTGGCCGATGGAGATCTGGACGGAGGCGTGGTCGTTGGCCTTGATGATGCGGTTGGTGGCGCTGCACTTGCGGGGCACGTAGCTGGAGAAAAGTGAAAAAAAAATATCATGTTAGTTTGGAAGTACTCCTTGCAGCATGTTTGGTATATTCCAATATGTCGCTTCTTGTCGTAGGTAACCGGGGAGCCCTAGGAGAAAGAGAAATTGAATCGCGAAAGATTTCCCAAAAAAGGAGGCTGCTGTCTCCAACGCATCGCTGGCCATCGAATGTCGAGAACTGTTCCTCTCATCTCCCCAGCCGATATCTCTGTGTGGCCCCGTGGGTGCGTGTAGAATCGCGATCACAATCTCAATTTCACCTCCCGGCTCCCCAATATACCCGCGGACAAAAAAACCAACTCAAGAGATTTGGGGTTTGGGGGGGGGTAGCATGCAACGTACAGATCGACGATCTCTCCCTTATCGTTCTCCATTTTGGCGGTTGTGTAGAAGGTGCTTGAGGTCGACGACGGTGAGGAAGGACGGAAGTGCGCTGGCGGGTTCAACTGGGCGGACTGTTTCGTGAAAATCCCGCTTTGACGAGCGGGTTGTGTGGGTCATGTGACCTTTTATCGAGGGCTGGCGATTTCGTGTGGCGGTGCGTGGGTTGTGGCGCGGGTGGCGGTATCGTATCTTACGGTTCGGGAATTCAGGTACGGTAATTTTTGGGCCAATTATTCCAGACTCGGGTGCGTCGATGTGTATGCATTATTTAGTGCTGTTGTGCTTCAGGTAGTCATGTTGCGATGTACTATGGAATTAGGTGATGTTTACAGATTGCTCATCTGCTGCTCGGCAAATACATCCTTCTTCCAGCGCACCTCGAGCTTCCGGGCAGTCCCCTTTTTGAACTGTACATACACCACGCGATCTGGCTCCCCTGCCCGATTCGTGCCCTTCAACTCCGGTCCGGGATGGTCCAAGGCCAATACCGTCCGTCCGTCCGAGGACATCTTGAGCATTTTGGGAGAGATACATTTCTCCGTCCACGGTGGGGACCCTGAATGAGCAAACTCAACCAGCTGCGCGCGCCGCTGCGTGAGCTCATTTAGCGAAGGCGTCGCTCGGGGCTCTTTATCCAGGAACTGCGATACTAGATGGAGTAGTAAGAACTGCGGTGGGAACATGATGATCTCTCCGCTTTGGGCTCTTCGCAGCCATTCGGCTGCGGGCAGGAACATGGCTTCTGTCACTTCGACGCCGCCGTCGCCGGTAGGCACCTGGATTTCTTCCCGCTCGCCTGGGCCTGGGATCTCATCTATGAGCGATGTGTTCGACTCGGCTGGTAGAGGTAGAAAGTAGAGATACATCTGTGTCGAGTAGCGCTTCGGGACATTTGTAGGGGTGATCCACCGCGAGAATGGGATTAATGGATCTGTGACTCCATGAGATAAACAATTCGGTATCTTTGTAGAAGATAGTAGGGTTCTCACCAATATCCGGTACAGCAGCGGCCTTATGCTTCTTCAACCACGCGGCGAACGTCGTCTTATTCTGATGGATTTCCCGCCTGCCTTTCTCTCTATCCTCCTCAGAGACAGCGAGCATGGCACCTGTGCTCTGATCTCGCGCAAGCAGGATCCCGCTCTCCTCGAACAGCTCCCTGACGGCTGCATTGCGGTAGCAAGGCGCGTCTTCGTGCCGTTTCGGATCCTCTGCCGCGGGACATTCCCCATCTTGTGCTGAAAGATTGCCTCCGGGAAACACATGGGCCGATGCAAATGACGTAGATGTCTTGACGCGGTGAAGTAAGAGGACTTCGTTCTTGGGTGAAATGAGAACAACGCTGCAGCGTGTAAGCTGAATACTGGGGGAAAAAACGATATCCGCAGTCGAAGCAATTGGGGGAGGGAGGGGGAGGGAAACGCAATCCCATCTCAATTGACATGATGGATGCTTAGACAACATGGCATGTGCTTACCTTGAGCTCGGCCGGGGTATTGCTGGCTTGACTTTGGAACGGTCACCCGTTTTGGCAGGCATTTTCTGTGATTCGACGGACTGTCCTGGATTCGAAACCGAAGAGTATCTTCTGAAGTCGGGCCTGTTCCAATGACAGGGTGTTTGGCGTTGTGTATACCACGAGCGTGTACCTCGGACCAGCTTTAACCGACGGTTGAAAGACACGACAGATCTGGAGATGATCCGAGACGTTGAGACAGCTGGAGGGAATGGGATCATGACCTTGAAGAACAAAGCGCCAGCAAGGACGCTCGGCAATAATGGCTGTCTCCGTTTATATATAAGAAATGGCCTTGTACTTAGCCTGGTGACTGGTTATGATGAACGGGGATAGCTCTGAACCATCAGTAAGGTAACCTTGGCAATGGCCAGTGGAACCTAGGCTTCTTCTGCGTTACCCCACGCAATGCCTAAAGGGCGCCATGTGGCTGCAGAGGGACGATAGAGCCTTAAGAGGATAATGATAATAGATTATGCGAGCGAATTACAAAGGAGCAAAAAGCATATTTTAAAATTTTTATATTCATGACAATGCGAGAATTGTCTCATAAGCATAATTACTTCGAACAGTAACATTGCGACCGAACAAGAAGATCATCCAAGGTGCGTTCCACATCAAAATCCTAACCCATCATGCCCAATTTTTAAATTTCATACCAAGCGTGTATCATCGTGTGAATAGAGCCTGAGTGACAAGAGACAACAGAAAAAGAAAAGTTGAGTTTTGACTCTTTACGAGTAGAGCTTCTTGTCATAGCTGTGCAGGCCGTGGACGTTACCCTCAGCCATAGCACTGGCGCTTCTCATCTCGAAACGAACAATGCCCTTGTTGACACCATCGTGGAGGGCCTCAAGGCTCTTCACACCGATGTCCTGCAGAGAGTGCTGAACACCTGCAGCAAGGTAGGGAACGAACTTGGTGACGGAGCCGCGGTCGAGGACGGAGCCGGCGACACCCTGGGCGATGAGGACGCGGTCCTTCTCGGAGAAGTAGCGAGCGGTACCAGCGTTGCTGGCCTTGGTGTCCTTGTTACCAGCACTAGCCTTCTTGTCCTCCATGGCAGCGATACTGCCCATGCCACGGTAGGCCTTGACCAACTGGCCCTCGTTGCTAACGAAGTACTCACCGGGAGACTCGGTGGTACCGGCAAGGAGACCGCCCATCATGACGGTAGAGGCACCCATGGCAAGACCCTTGACGATGTGGCCAATATTCTGGACACCACCGTCGGCAATGCAAGGAACACCGAACCGGGCAGCGAAAGAAGCAACGCTGCGCACGGCAACGGCCTGGGGACGACCGACGGCCATGACCTCCTGGGTGATACAGGCACTGCCACTGCCCATGCCAATTCTCAGGCCATCGGCACCAGCAGCGATCAGGGCCGCGGCTTGTTCCCGAGTGACAACGTTACCGGCGACAACGTCAATCTCGGGAAAAGTCTTCTTCACCCACTTGATCATCTCGATCTGGTACATGCTGTTACCCTGGCTGCTGTCCAGAATGACAATGTCCAGACCAGCCTCAACAAGCAGCTTGAGTCTGGTCTTGTCCTCCTCGCGAGTACCGATGGAAGCGGCACAGATCAGCTGCTTGGAATCGGGGAGCTTGGATGCCAGAGGGTAGTGGAGGTTCTTCATCAAATCACTGCGAGACAGCAGAGAGACAAGGTGACCGTTCTCGTCAACAATGGGAAGCTTGCCCTTCTTGGAGCTACGAAGGACATTGTTGGCCTCAGCCAGAGTGGTGCCGGCAGGGGCGGTGACAAGGTCGGTGCTCATGATGGCAGTGACGGGATCATCAAGGTTGGGGTAGAACTGGATGTCTCTGGAGGTGACCATTCCAACGAGCTTGGAACGAAGAGTACCGTTTTCTGTGTAAAGTCACGAGTTAGACCTTGGGCTTCCACATAACAATGATCAAAACAAAGAGGCATGATTGTTTGTGGTATCAGATTAATTCTGTTTCTCAACACCGACTCTCGTCGACTCAGTGGAACGAAAGTTATAATAAGAGATAGATGGAAATCATCACGCAAAACAAAGAAGAGGAGAAAATGTAAATAAAGTGGAACTTACCAGTGACGGGGAAACCACCGAATCCCCACTGAGCCTTGAGCTCCTTGGCCTCTCCAACAGTGGCCTTGGGAGAAAGAACAACAGGGTCCAGGATGAAGCCGTTCTCGTATCTCTTAACCTTTCGGACCATCTCGGCCTGATCCTCAGGGGCGCAGTTGTGGTGAATGACACCCAAGCCACCCAGCAGAGCCATGTGGATGGCCATGTTGTGCTCGGTGACAGTGTCCATAGGGGAAGAGAGAAGGGGGACCTTCAGCGACACACGCTTGGTCACGGGGGTATCAAGAGAAACATCAGAAGCAGCGAAGCCTTTGACCAGTATGAGTGAACGGTCCTTTCACGCAAGATCAGAAATCTCTGCGAATGGACTTACCGATGTAACCAGGCAGGATCAGGAAGTCATTGTAAGTCAATGCACCGTGCTTGTCCGAATCAAGCAGGGTATCAACATCAAGGCCATCTCTAGTAGAGTATTCCTTTTCCAGGACCTCCAGGGCCTTGGTGTGATCCTGAATCTCAGCCTTCATGGCGCGGCCCAGAGCGTCACCGTTGGCAATAGGCATTGTGTATATAAAGAGAGAAAACTCCACGGGATTTCTATCAGAACTCGTAGAGATGGATATCAAATGAAAATAATCAACAGATCGACGATAGAAACGTTCTGCTGATGGAGAAAGTCTTCCTTTCCCAAAGAAAGGAAAGAAAGAAAAAGAGAGAAAAACTCGAGGAGAAAAAAATTGCCTTTTGACTGTCTGCCCCACAAGCTAATCCCAGCAGGAATTATACCGGAAGCGGTATGGTCAGGGTGGGAGCTACTGGCTCGGTTGCTGTGATTGGCTGCTAAACGAATACCTTCAAGGCGGTGAAGCCGAGGGGGCGACATCTCGTTTACATAAGCAGCAGTATTTGGCACAGTGACTGTGCGATTATCCCACCAGGGCGTCGACAGGATGGTGAAGGTCGATGAGGGTATAAGGTGGAGGTCAAAGGCGTCTGGCATTGTTCGAGTTGATGTCAGTGAAAAGTCATCTAGACTAAACCGTGGTGTATATGCAGGAACATGCCGCTTTGCGGAATGGCCGTTCTTCTGGTTGACAGTTTTGACACCTTAGTCCATCTTGGCTCCAACCAAGTCTAGATCATTAGATCAACCCCGTAGCAGGTAGAATCTAGGTATCGCTGGATCCGAACGTCTGTAAATGGCGACAATAAGTTCCAGATCAAAATGTAGCTGACTCGCATGCTGCTTGATCGAAGGGAGCGATTGAAGTCGCCGGGTTTTGGACTCGGGCGAGTTGACCATTTCTTGAGTAATAATGACAGAGCAATTGCTGCTGTTATGTCCTTCGAAGTTCTGGCCTGGTGCCAATAATAAACTGATGTCCCGACCATTTGCGACAGGATGACGCCAGAGTGACAGACAATCTGTCTTCACCTTATAAGACGCATCTGATACTTTGGGATTTCTTAAGGATCATTCATCGTAAGACGTTGAAGATTGAAACGACCATCTGCCCTTATCGTGACTAAAACCTTGAACCTTTGTGACCTCCAAAATGGCATCTCCAATGGGTAATGAAGGCGTCTTCAAAGCGCCGCAGACACCGCAAAGTCAGCCGAAGCCAGGGTGAGCATGCCATCTTTCACCTTCATCCTGGGTACAGGGCCATGTAGCTCGACTAAGGATCAAATCAGGTTGGAGAAAAATATGATTCCACCCAGCGAAGCAACCAAGCTCGAGTCGAGGGGTCATTTTGTTGAGTATACGGGCTCAGGCAAACTTGCCGATAAGAAAGTCCTGATTACAGGAGGGGAGTATGTGGGGATCTATACCAGCGCCCTACCGACCTGAATGTCATGCTGAAAAGCCCTTAGTTCTGGAATCGGTCGAGCTGTTGCCATATTAATGGCTCGAGAAGGTGCTGATATTACCATCGTGCATCTACCCGAAGAAAAAGACGACGCCGAAGAGACCAAGAAGGCGATCGAGGCAGCGAGCCGCACATGCCTGCTTTTTGCCGGAGATCTCAGAAAGCGCGATACTTGCCGAAGAGCCGTGGAGGAGCATATGAATAGGTCACCCTTGGTGTTTGTTCTTTCTCGTCTTATGACCGTGACTGATCTGGAAGCAGGTTTGAGAGGCTGAACATCCTGATCAACAATGCTTCAAAACAATACATGTGCAAGGACTTTTCGGATATTGACCTTGATAAAGTGGAGGACATATTCCAGTGCAATATCATTCAAATGATGGCGCTGACGAGATATGCGCTGCCATATCTGTCGAAGGGTGACTCGTCAGTATATCCTTTGCTCACATTCCGCGATGCGGACTGACAAAGATACGCTATCAGCATCATTAACACTACGTCCACTGTGACTTTCCGAGGCTCGGGCAGCATGGTTGATTATGCGGCAACGAAGGGTGCCATTGTCGGCTTTACTCGATCCCTCGCTACTCAATTGATCCCCAAGGGTATTCGGGTGAATGCTGTTGCGTGAGTACTTGTTCGATCGTGGCCCCCATGGATGAGTTTCTTCTAATGGCACTATTCTGCAGCCCTGGTGCAATCTACACACCAATTCAAGCCGATACTAGGAAGGCCGAACAGATGGCCCACTGGGGTTCAAAGGGTCCCCTAGGCCGACCTGGCGAGCCAAGTGAAGTGGCACCGACGTTTGTGTTCCTCGCCAGCGCTGATGCTTCGCTTTACTGTACGTGTTACCTGGGGATTGTTCAACTTGGTAGCGTAGCACAAGACTCCGCTGACATGATGTACAGATGGGCAGATCATGCATTGTTATCCACTGGGTGATTGAGTAGTAGGATCCAAGGGAGCAAAATCCAGAGCACAACGAAGCATATTAGAAACCATTCGGGGAGGCATATCATTTTAATACAGAAGCCATGGGCTTGCCTGTGCAAGCGCCTTGTCCCACCCTTCCTCATTCGTCCATACAGCAAGACTTTCAACCTCATCCTTCCCCAGCTTCAGCCCATTGTAGAGGTGCTACAGCCAACAGTAAGTACGGTGCCGACCTTACGCTCCAATGCAAGGAGAGAAAAAAGTCAGTAAGTAGAGGACGTACCGGGAAAAGCCCTTCACCAGGCCGTGGCCCACACACATCTCCTTCTGGGGATTCCCAGCGGACGTCGGGCATGATACGTTCATATTCTATGCGCAGTACGTAGACGAGCGGCTCCTCCTTGTAGAAGAATTTTAGTGTTTTGGGAACTTGCGCTGCCGTCGACAGATGGATGAATCCTGAATCATGGTCGAGTTGGCTGACGGGAAGACGCTCAGGAAGCGGTTCTCGGACGGGAGATGTGGATGGGATGAGTTTGTAGACGTAGAAGGGAAGGGTGTCCGACATGTCTGCAAAGATGTCCCCGATGTCGAGAGTTTTTTCTTTGAAATTATGCCAAGGTAGGGAACAAAAAGGAAGAAGATATAGGATATAGTCCAGATAGGTATAAATCGACTGAGGACTTCCTACCTAAAGGTCTCTGAATATAGTAGTTACTCTGGAGCGATTCATGATTATCTGTGAATGGACCGCAAGAGTATTTTTCGGTCAGAAAGGCGGGTGGTGGGGCTCTCATCCTCTTCAATTTTTGGGTTGAAGTATAACGTCAACGATGAGGGGTATCGGCGCGTTCCAATGATCGAAGATGAATCCTGAGATCTGGGTAACCATTCATCTGAAGCAAGAAGAATCGAATCACCAGTACTTTTTTCAGTGTTGATACCACATAGGGTAGTCCGTTTGTTTTCAGTGATGCGATTTAGTAGACAAGAGAGCCCAGGCCTGGATGACAGTAATACTCATATTCAATCATCTATGGTCATCTGGATCCTACTGGGGGATAGAATGACTTTTTTCACTTTTATATGTCTTTTTGGGTCTCTCATTAAATCAGCAATATAATGCCTATCCAGGTAGTAGTAATAGACTAATAGTAGTAGTAGTAGTAGTTGTTGTTGTTGTTGTTCTTGTTGATTCATGGTCTTTGTCTCTTTGTGAGACAGACGGATTAGCTTAAAAGCCTATTCGACCAGCCACCGATGATATATATCCGAGATCGAGTTGTACCTACTGCGGACGGGAGAAGATGATCAGGCACAAGAAGAATACATGCGATATTACTCTGAGCCGCACTAGTGATTCCTTCCTCTGGGCCGTCCTCCGTAGTGATATTATTGACAACCTTCTGAGTCAAATAACCTGGCGGTTGCATGGGGGAATCAAGTTGAAGATGATTAGTTGCCCCACTGATGATCCCGATCTGGTGCTCTGGCTTGTATCGGCCATCCCGACCCAGGCTAACAGGCTAACAGGCTAACAGCAACACCCGTGTCAGTCTCGCAAGCAATTGCCGTGGCTGAAGAGGCCAAATGATAGGTCCTATCATGTTATCAGATATTGAAGAGAGTGATGATTTTTGACTGACCACACGTGCATGAAATATTGTTCATGAATCACCGTCCAGATCGTGGGAGGTGGACGGCACGTGAAGTGCCATCTGTGGCTGACAAGTGATGATCGACATGAAAATCAATTGCACGAGAAGAGTGTGGCGCAGTCACCTGACTGAGCGAGCCATACCCAATCGGGAGATTTGTTGTCCTTGTGCAAGAGAGTCTCCCGAGGGAGGGGGGGCTGGGAAATCAAGATTAGGTAGGTACGGACCATCTGCCTTACGATTATGATTATTATCATTGTTATTTACTGCGTGTCATCGTCAGGGTCGGTAGCGCTTTCCCATCTAGTCTGGGAGTGGTCCTTAATCTACGACTGTCTTGCTTACTCTCCTCTTGACTCTCTCTCTCTCTCTCTCTCTCTCTCTCTCTCTCTTTTCCTCCATATCGCTTTTCCTCCCCGCCTCATTGCTGTTCGATCTCTTCTCTTTCTTTTCTTCTTCATTTCCCCCTCCCCTCTTCCCCCTCCCAAAGTTCAATCACTTGTCTTGTCCCATTCTCAACAAGCCTCTTTTCCACCCCATCTGTCTTTTGCATTGGAAACCTTATTGCGCGTTTCTATATCAACCCGGTGTTTCCGCCAAATTCTTGTGGTTGCCATAGGGCAATGCGGCGGTCCCTCCCTTAAGTAAACATTCCCGTCTCTGCAAAAGTACCCCGGTACTCTTGCGCATTATTTGGCTCATATTTCTGCTGCATCTGCGGGTTGAAGCAGGTATGCGGCCAATTGAAGTTCAAGAGCACCCGGTCCTTATATTTTGCGCATTCTGATCCGCAGAACGTCACCAGTGATGTCGTCTCAGCCTATTTCTCCGCGGCGCACACAGACAGATCTTCCGATACATACTTCGAGTCCACTCCGGCACGGTTCAACCGCATCCACAAGCTCATCGGTCTATTCCCTATCGTCGAACTCGTTAGCTCCTAGTCGAACCAGCACCGTCTCATCAAATGCATCTATGGGATCTGCTTCAGGTCTTGGTCATAGGCGAGGAAAGAGTGAACTGAGCTCTGCAACTCGAGGGACAATGGTCAAAGACGTGAAACCGGCAGGAACGTGGACGAGCGCTGCAGCGACATATGAGAATGTCCGTCGCTCACTGCGTCCACTTCAACAGGCTCCCAATGCTACTCCTCTGGTGACAAAGCAATCCGTGTATCGCCATACGAGAAGCCAAACTGTCGATAACCCGCATTATTGGAAGGAGAATCGTCCCGGAACTCCCGAGTCGCACCTTGCACATAACCTGGAGAGTGATCCACCACGCGACAAACAGTCTCTCAATTCCCAAACTCCACCACGAAAGAACTCACTGCAACCGGAGTCTCCCCTCGGCGTTTCGCCCCATTCTCGACCACATGTGCGGCCGCACCATTCCCACAGCTTGTCTAACCCGCATCCACCGCCGCTGACAACCACCCTGTCGACTCCCGAACTGGAAACCTTCAAAAAGTCATCGACAGGCCATCTGCGGACTCTGTCCAAGTTTGCCAAATCTGGGGACACTGAAGAGTTCGCCCTTGAGACTTATAGTCCTTCTGTTGTGGGGCTGCAGGGACGACGGCGGTTGAGGCGTGCAGACTCGGTTGCTCATCCACAGGGTCCCGGCGCCGGTCGAAGGCAGAATGCCTCAGCGTGGGCCGCTGGGAATTGGATGGACAAGCAACGTCAATTCTTACAGGCGTACGAGTATCTGTGCCATATCGGAGAGGCCAAGGAATGGATTGAAGAGATTATCCACAAACAGATCCCGCCCATTGTCCAACTGGAAGAAGCTCTCCGAGACGGCGTAACTCTGGCCGAGGTTGTGCAGGCAATGTATCCCAGTCGTACATGTCGAATCTTCAGAAACCCCAGGTTGCAGTATCGGCACTCTGACAATATTGCTTTGTTCTTTCGATTCTTGGACGAAGTCGAACTACCCGAGCTGTTTAGATTCGAACTCATCGACTTGTACGAGAAGAAAAATATCCCAAAGGTCATCCACTGCATACATGCATTATCATGGTTGCTGTTCAAAAAGGGCTTGGTGGATTTCCGAATGGGAAACCTGGTTGGTCAACTCGAGTTTGAGCATCACGAACTGGAACAAACGCAAAAAGGTCTCGACAAGGCCGGTGTCAGCATGCCGAGCTTCTCGGGAATGGCTGCGAATTTCGGCGCAGAACCCGAGCCAGAGCCAGAACCCGAACCCGAATCGGAAGAAGAACGGATTGAGCGGGAACTGCATGAAAATGAATCCTCGATTATCGACTTCCAGGCTCAGATCAAGGGAGCGATGCTGCGTCTCAAGCTTGGGAATGTTATGAACGAGCTGTGGGACTTTGAACCGTTCCTCATCGATTTGCAGTCGCGATTGCGCGGCGACTGGGCTCGTCAAGTCATTCAATATCGGTTGAACATGCGCCTGTTTGCAGTCGGATTGCAAGCAATCTGCCGGGGGTTTATTGTGCGAAACCGTCAACGGGGAGATAAGGAATGGTGTCAAGCCCAGGAGTTCGACGTTCTACAGCTGCAAACGCTCATCAGAGGTGCGAAAGCGAGGACTGCAGCCCAATATCTCCGCGGTCAGGTACGCAATGAGGAATCCGGTATCAAGCGAATTCAGGCGGCTATTAGGGGAGCGCTGCAGCGAAAAACCGTTTGCGATCTATACGAAGACGCCATTGCCGCAGAAGGCCAAATTACTTCTCTCCAAGCGGCCATCCGTGGCGCTTTGCAGCGAAGTGTGATCTCCAAGCAGTGCGATGAAACACGAGGTGCCGAAGATGGCATTGCGCGACTCCAGTCCTTGATTCGAGGTACCTTCCTGAGGCAGCAGATGAACGTCCAGCATAACGAGCTCAATGATACACAGAGCCACGCAGAATCGCTGCAAGCCGCTATTCGAGGAATGCTAGCTCGTAACAGTGTTGCTCAACTTCGCGAATCACTCGCAAAGGAGACAACCGCTGTCACCTTCATCCAGGCAGCTGCGAGAGCACTCGCTGCTCGGAGACGCCATTCTCAGCTGGTTGAAGCACTTGCCAAGACAAAGGATAGTTGCATCTCGTTGCAGGCTTCCATCCGTGGTGGAGCTGTGCGAGCAAATCTCAACTCGCTTCGGCAGGAATTGGGACAGTTTTCCTTGCCATTTATAGAGATCCAGAGTATCCTGCGAGGCATGCGTGTGCGGGACTTTCTGGAGTTGCAGAGAATCGCCTTGTTGCAAGAGGAGGAAACGATACTCGAAGTGCAGTCTTTAGCTCGAGGTGTCTTGCTGAGGAGACGCCTGGAAGCAGATGCGGAGGCGCTTCGGGCCCAGGAAGACATGATTGTGGAATTGCAGGCCCTTGCTCGCGCCGCTATTCTTAGAATCGAGGTTGGAGGTATCCTTGATCAGCTAGAGGATTGCGAGGATGAGGTTAGTCAGCTACAAGCGCACATACGCGCAATGCTCATCCGGGTCGAGGTTGGTCAGACTCTGGCCGATCTTGCGGCCGAAGAAGACATCATCACTGATCTTCAATCGCGCATCCGGGGACACATCATCCGGTCCAGGTTTGAAGAAAAACGGCAGTATTATCGGGCGAACATGGAAAAAGTGATCAAAGCCCAAAGCGTGATACGAGGTAGAATCCAGGGCCAGGCCTACAAGAGTCTCACAACCGGAAAGAATCCACCAGTCAACACCGTCAAAGGATTTGTACATCTGCTTAACGACAGTGAATTTGACTTCGATGAGGAGATTGAATTCGAGCGACTTCGAAAGCTAGTCGTGCAACAGGTCCGGCAAAATGAACTGGCGGAACAATACATCAGCCAACTGGATATTAAGATTGCACTCCTGGTGAAGAACAAAATTACCTTGGATGAAGTTGTCAAGCACCAGAAGCACTTTGGCGGTCATGTTGGCAGTCTCTTGTCTAATGCCGATATCGCATCGAAGGATCCCTTTGACCTCAAAGCCTTGAATAAGACATCAAGGAGGAAGTTAGAGCACTACCAAGTCTTATTCTTCCTCCTGCAGACACACTCCCAGTATCTCGCCAAGTTGTTCCGCAGGCTTCGTGAGCTCAACACACCGGAGAAGGAATACGAGAGGATCAGACACTTGATGATGGGGCTCTTCGGGTACTCCCAAAAGAGGCGCGAGGAGTACTATCTCATCAAGTTGCTGTCCCGCGCAGCTCGGGAGGAGATTGAAAGTTTCGACTCACTGCATGATTACCTGCGCTGCAACTCGTTCTGGACCAAACTGTTCGCATCGTATATCAAGTCACCCCGAGACCGGAAATTTATGCGCGACGTCCTCGGCCCTGTCGTCAGGGAGAATGTCGTTGATAATGCAGAACTCGACCTTGAAAGTGACCCAATACAGATCTATCGCTCGGCCATCAACAACGAAGAACTACGTACTGGCAGACAAAGTCGGCGGCCGCTGGACATCCCACGTGAAGAGGCCATCAGAGACCCCGAAACAAGAGCAACTTTCATCCAGAATCTGCAAGACCTCCGGGACATTGCAGATCAATTCTTCTCGGCGTTCGAGGAACTTCTCTATCGCATGCCATTTGGAATCCGCTACATTGCGCAGCAGATGTACGAATGTCTTCTCTCTCGCTTCTCAGGCGAAGACCCTGGTTTTATTTTGCAGACCGTCGGCCACTGGGTGTGGAGGAACTACTTCCAGCCTGCTATGATTGAGCCCGAGAAATATGGAGTCATGGATCGTGGTCTCACACAAGAGCAGAAGAGGAATTTGTCGGAGATAGCAAAGGTAGTTGCTCAAGTCGCCTCGGGTAGATTGTTTGGTACCGAAAATGTCTACTTGCAGCCATTGAACAGCTATGTTGCCGACTCGATCCAACGACTCGGCCACATTTGGGGTGACAGTACGTTTTTTTTTTTTTTTTTTTCTTCCCCGGAGTGACTTTCACGTAGGAGCTGACTTGGTATACAGTGATCACAGTACAAGATGCAGAGATGTATTTCGACATCGATGAGTTCAATGATTTGTATGCGAAGACTAAGCCGACACTGTACATCAAAATGGCCGACATCTTCTCCATTCATCAGCTTGTCGCTTCAGAAATCAACTACATCTGCCCACACCCCGACGATATTCTGAGAGAGATTGTTCGCGATCTTGGAAATGTCAAGACCAATGAGAATGAGTTGATGAGTGTCAATTCGTCGGAAATCAATTTGACGTTGAATCCAAAGCTTGCACAAGTAGAAGGCAAGGAGTCCTGCTTCAAGAATGCACCGTTGGACCACCGGCTAACTAGGAAACCCTACAGATCCCGAGGCAGATATCAAGGCTCTCTTCATGGAAACGAAACGTTGCGTTCTCTATATCATCCGAGTGCAGTCAGGTGCCAATTTGATGGAGATTATGGTCAAGCCTCCTACTCCGGAGGACGAGGAGCGATGGATGACGTTAGTTCGGGACGAGCTGACCGCCAATACGAGTCAACGCAGTGCATATTCCGAGGCGAACACTCTGGTTGATATTGCGTCCATGTCATACTCCGAACTGAAGCGGACTGCGCTTGAGAACATTCTCCAACTGGAGCACACCGGCAAGATCCGCCGGGATAATCATTACCAGGATCTTCTCAACGCTATTGCCATTGACATTCGGACCAAGCACAGACGCAGAATCCAACGAGAGCGAGAGCTGGAAAGCGCACGGCTGACCCTGGGTCGCCTCAATGATCAAGCTGCTTGGCTGGAACAGCAGCTCAAGACTTACAATGACTATATTGAGCAAGCCATGATCACTCTGCAGAACAAAAAGGGCAAGAAGCGATTCCTACTGCCATTCACCAAGCAGTGGGATCACCAGCGTGAACTTCAGAAGTCTGGCAAAGTGTTCAAGTTTGGCTCCTACAAATACTCGGCACGGAACCTTGCAGACAGAGGCGTTCTGGTGTATTGGAAGGGCTACTCAGAGCGCCAGTGGGACCGTGTTGACTTGACAATATCCAGTAACGAAGTTGGCGTCTTCACGATTGACGGCAGCAGTGGTCCTATGATGGTGCCCGGGGCCAACGCCCAGGTACCCCTGGACGACCTATTGCAAGCGCAGTTCAACAACATGCAGTTCATGGACTTTTTTGACGGACACCTACGCGTCAACGTCAACCTCTTCTTGCACTTGATCATGAGAAAGTTCTACAACGAATGATGGATTGACATGATGGATCATGCATGGTACTCGGCCATGATATGAATGCGGGCACAACGGACGAAAATCAACGGTCTTCTATGGTTACCTCTTTTCTGTTTCTGTTTCTCACTTCCTTTTTTCTGTCGTCCTCCTTTGCCAGTGATATCCTTTTGCGATTCCGATGACTCCGAGAACGGGGTCGCCTTGCATGCTTCTTTCGATGATAACCCTTTGTACTCCCAGCGATATCCCCTTATGTTTGATTTCTCTCGATTGATTTTTTTTTTTTTTTTTTTTTCTTTCTAATTGGCCTTCATCCACTTTTCAAGACGCTCCATGCTTTTCGCTGTTTCACAGTTTTTTAAGACTTTTGAACCCTTCCCTTTCACCACCTTATTTGATGATTCCCTTCCCTTCTGTGATTGATGATTTAGACGAGTCTTCTATGTATGTATTGGCCCCTTATAGTGTTTAGTAGTATAGGGTATCTCTCTGGCCGAATGAACCCCTTCTCTTGAAGACTATGGGAAAGAAACGAGTTTCTATGCTCCCATCATTCCCGAGTAGCAATGCCAATGCCCATATATTTTGTCATCTGTTGTAGTATGACCTATTGTCCACGTTAATGTTTGTTGTTCGTCAGGGGCTGCCACGTGACTGCGGAGGCCAGCTGGAATCCCCGAACTTCCGCCTCGTTGTCGTTGTCTTGGTGGCTTCCCTCGACCTTGCATTGACACTGTTGCTGCCAGTCATCGCGCCCCCTTCTCTTTTTCATCTCTTCAATACCCTCTATTGAAATTGCCAATCTTCAAGTGACAGAATTTATCTGGAGGATCTGAGTTTGCGCCATGGATTTCTCCAGTCTGAAAGACCAGGTTAGCAACCTGACCTTGTATGATATCAAGGCGGGAGTCCGCAAGGTGCAGAATGGTAGGTACCCAAATGCAGCTTTTGATGTCAACCCCTCGATTTTCTACCGGACCCTCTTGAAATGGGATCATTCAATATGATATCGCATCACGCTTATACCAGCTTGCTAATTTCCTATAGCTGTCATGAATTACACCGAGATGGAGTCCAAGGTTCGTCGTCACCGCCCCGCCACGTTCTCATCCACTCAGTCATGCGCGATCAGTGACACTCACGGGGAAGTAGGTCCGGGAAGCTACGAACAATGAACCATGGGGCGCGTCGACCACGCTGATGCAGGAGATTGCCAATGGAACTCATAGCTAGTCCGTGCTTCCGCGCTTGTCGCAATGATAAACCGTGAGGTGATTGAGCTGATTTGCTGACATTGGTTGCTTCGTTGATAGTCAGCTGCTGAACGAGATTATGCCGATGATTTACAAGCGATTTACAGACAAGAGCGCGGAGGAGTGGCGTCAGATCTACAAGGTGCGAAAAACTTACGGACTGATGTCATATATTTGGAGCCGTGAAAGCTGATGCATCGGTCATCTTGAAATCACACAGGGTCTGCAGCTGCTGGAGTTCCTGATTAAGAATGGCTCCGAGCGAGTCGTCGACGACGCCCGGTCCCACATGTCCCTGCTCCGCATGCTCCGCCAGTTCCACTTTATCGACCAGAACGGGAAGGACCAGGGTGTCAACGTGCGCAACCGGTCATCGGAGCTGGTGAAACTACTCGGCGACGTTGATCTTATTCGCACTGAGAGGAAGAAGGCACGGGCCAATCGGAACAAGTTCGGTGGCTTCGAGGGTGGCATGGGGACCGGTGGCATGGGCGGAATGGGCGGCGGCCTTTCCGGCTCGGGTTCGAGCGGCCGGTATGGCGGCTTCGGGAGCGAGAGTCTGGCCTTTGGTGGATATAGCGGTGGTGTCTATGGTGATGGCGGCGGTTTCGGCGGTGCCTCGAGCGAGTTCCAGGACTCCGAACGGAGGGGGAACCGATTCGACGAATACGACGAGTATGATGAGGGTGATGCTAGCCCAGCACGGCGCCGCGGACCCAGCCCCCCTCGTGCGAAACCAGAAACGAAGAAGCCCGAGCCCCCCAAAAAGGCACCCGAGATGGATCTGTTCGATTTTGGCGAGGAGGAGACCCCTGTGGCTACCACCTCGACGGCCGCTGGCAAGAAGCCCGCCGGCAGCAGTGGTCTCGATATCCTGGAGTCCAAACCGCTCGACGACGACGATGACTTTGACGATTTCCAATCCGCGACGCCGGCGCCGCAGCCCACCGCGAACCAGTTCGCTATTCCTGCACCCGCATCCACGGTCAGCACGACCTCGAGCACCCAGTTTGCTGCGCCTCAGCCTGTCTCTGGCGTGCAGGCGCCGAACCTGAACGGTCTGGTTGGATTCTCGTCGGTGAGCCCGACGCCGATCTCGAGCACTGTCGTATCCCCTGCCCTGTCGCAGAGCTCCATGGTGCCACAGCAGCAGAACCCCGCACAGCCCAAACCGTCTGGTTTCCAGGCGGCCACCCCCAATTACTTCACCTCAGTCTCAACTGCAGCACAGCAGCCAGCTACCACTACTTCCAACCATCGACCAGGCATGCCTTCGACTTCCTCTTTCACCTCTGCGCGCAGCGCCTCATCGACTGGAACCAAGCCCGCGGCAGGCAAATCGTCTGGTGACGCATTCGGATCGCTCTGGTCGACCGCCAGCGCCAGCGCAGGTATCCAGAAGACGTCCATCAATGCAAACAAGGGCCCCAACCTGGCCAGTATGGCCAAGGAGAAAGCTAGCGCGGGGATCTGGGGTGCACCAGCACCGTCCGGCGGGTTTACACCTTCCATGAGCTCGTCGACATCCCAGCAATCGGGGGCAAAGACCGGCAGCTCGGGGCTGGACGATCTGCTGGGCTAGATGTCCTGAAACGTTGATGAAGTCATTTATTTGTTTTGTTTTCTTTCTCCAATACTTCCCTTCTCTCTTGCAAGAACATTTCTGGGCGAACATTCTCATTCTCTCTGTGATGCGAGTCTTCTTCGCTTCTTCTCTTCTTCATTTCTTTCTTTTTGATAGGCAACGACATCTAGAGTCCCTCGGTCAATCGCCGAAATCTTATTTTATTTTGAGCGCAGTATTCTTTCATATTCACTTTATGTATGATATGTATGTCTCCATTGGAGGGAGGCCTTCGAATCGTGGGCATTGTACACGTACATGGCGATATCAAGCGATTTCCCTTGAAGAAAATGGTCGGCGAAATGAGATCAAGATGAGGAAGTAGTCCTTCAACGCGAACTTGGGTTCGGGCTGCCTGGACTGGTGCAGGATTCGCCAAGTTGCGTTGGATCAAATTCACGGTTGAAAACGCTGTTGAGCGTGTATTCTGAATGCTATTGACTGTACCTTAGTATTGGATGTTCACTTTCAAATGGATCCGCAAGGATGTATGTACGTCGACTTCACAGGGGGAGGTGGAGGGGGGTGCAATTATTGTCTTTTATTTTCCTTGTTCTTGAATCTCGCAGAGACCAAGGTTGTTATAGAAACAGAGCTCGTACATGGAGTGAGCTGAGCTGGAACAGACAGACTCGAAACGGGGTGGGAAAGATGCTGCTAACACAGAGAAGGACGCCGGCGCTGGATATTCAAAAGATGAGAGAAAACACGCAGAAAATGAAAGGGGGGAGATAAGATAAAAAAGGATGTAGAATTATGTACAAGCTCAAAAAGGAGGAGAACCGCTTCGCTTCAATACCTCCTTCTGCTTGTTTGATTATGCGGGATTGAAAGAAATCCAAATCCCTTTTTTCCGTTGATGATGATATCGATCGAAGCTCCATAATCTCTCGCATTTGCATTCGCATATGCATTTGCATTCACTGATCTCCGGAATGTTGGTTGGATGTAGAACTCCTCATGGAGTCTATTTATCATAAAGATGGAGAAAAATGGCCGCAGGTTGAAGCTCAGCAAGCACAGCCGTCCTGTTGGTACATCTCTGCTCGTATTAAAGCAAATATGACCACTGCTTCAGATGATGTATGGGGCGAGAGATCCAGCCCATTCTGAAGACGAGGACGATGTTAGCGTCGATCAATCTCTTTGAGCAGAGGTACAACCACGGCCGTTTGAATGCCACCAAGACAAAGAAAATGGTGGTAGATAGTTCATGGCTAATGCTCATCTGGCCCGGGTTGACCGCCGTGCATAGGACATGTTTCATGTCTTCGTCGTAATGCCAATACGGCTTTCCCTTTTGGACTTGCGCTTCTCAGAAATCTCTTGTGCAATTGGCGGGGCGCTGTCGATCTCATGCCCGTTGCGCATCAAATGTGACGAGTTCGAAGTGGCTTCACCACCTCCGGTGGGTACCACAACCGGGCTTTGTGCCCTTGTTGTGCCATTGGTAACCGGGATTGACCCCCTGTCCGAGCTTAAAGGAAGTTGGTCGTTTTGCGTTGGTGTTAAAGCCTGCTCTGAATCCGTCGAGTCTGGACTCAGGTATGTGTTGTCCTCCTCGGTATCAAGATTGGGATCCTCACTGAGCGATGTCAAGCCACCCTCAATGTCCCGAAGTAACCTCACAAACTCTTCCGGCACCAGGCCGCTCTCGCCGGTTTTCGGGTCCTCCGCTACTAACCAACCTTGACCGTGTCGATACGAGACAAAGATGACCTGTCCCTCTGTCAAAGGAAGCTCATTCTCATGTTCCCGGGTGAAATCGAAGAGAGCAACCGCTTTACCGTGCATCTCCTCATCAGGACACCCAACCGCGAATTGGAACTCGCCAGAGTATCGGTCACCAGAATAGTCATCCTCGGATTCGAATCCTGCATCATGCTTCTGATTATGCTCGTTGCTGTATGATTCACCTCCCATGTGAGAATAACGACTCTCGCTTGCAGGATACGTAACATATTCACCACCCGGTCCATCGTCTGCGGCATCTTCGTCTTCGTCGACATAATAAGTCTCGCTGCCATCCGCGTTCATACTGATCAACGTTCCCCGATCGAATTGCCCGGAAAAGTCGACAGATCGATGGCTACGACCAGGGCTCCTCGTTCTGCGCGCGTTCAAGTGGGTCCCCGTCGATTTGTTCTTCCGATGTCGAGATGCTGAAAACACTGGGCTGTGTAGATCTTCGTCCTCACTATAAGGGGGCCCATCGCCGAATGACATTGCGGGTAGTTGCTGATTTCCGGGACTGGGATCCGTTCCCCACAGCCCCGACGACCACTGGCCACGGGAGGCGTCCCAGGAGGCAGGAGGGTCTGAGAGGCGCCGATGTTCACTTGCAGGAGTGGACACACCGGATGCACGAGGTGGCAGCGGCCCATAATGAAGAGGATGCGTTGGCGGGTACGCAAAATCCCGAACGAGAGCGTATGGCAAGCTGGAATGGAAGATAGGAAAGACGTGTGAGCCGGGACGAGAGCAATTCTGCGAGGCTACGGAGACATTCGAATACATGGACAAACGATCTTTCGCGTACGATGTTGGCCGCTGGCCACTCTGTGTCTTCCCAGGAGCCTCTGTATTGATTGGCGGCAAGACCGACAAGGTCGTGGGAGGAGTATTCAGCACCGACTGTGGTCGGGACGCAGATGTAGCCATGGTTGCCATTCTGTTCGAGGATATGGCAGAATTCCCGTGAGAGAACAAAGTGATGCTGTTGTCAAATTTGTTGGTGAAGGGGATGGAGATCGGTTTGGTGATAAGGCAAGCGTTTAGACTCTATGTGCGCATGGTGTCGTCCACTCGTTGAAGTCGATCAATGCTAGGTTGAAGGAACGCGCCGAATATTAGGAGACAGGACCGCGCGAAGTAATCCAGCCGAGGCAAAGGGGAGGATTCTATAGGAGCGACGGCCGTAGAGGCATGCAATCCAGCGAAGCACTTTGCGGACTCCTTGCTTACGAGCACTATACAGGTATTCGACCGAATGAGGCTGGAAGAGGAGAGACCTCGAGGTTCTCAATGCAATATCGCCAGTGGCAAGTCGAGAAGGACGATACTAGACGCCACCACCCGCGATATTCCCAGGGCGGCGATAGGCGACTGCTGCAACAATTGACGACTGAGATAGGTCCAGTGCGCGGCTATCGATCTCGCAGAGATTAAGAACCCCTCGTTCTTTGCTCGATCAGAGATATATCGACGAATAGGAAAACAAGGAGCAGGCCCAGCCGGAGACTTCGAAATAAACGGGGTAGTTATTCAGGGAAATTTGCGACCAATGACCTCTTCGATTGCTGTCAAGGTAATCTGGTTGTCTTTCTTCTCTGGCCACCAAAGGAATTTTGTCCCGCGTTCTGGCTGTCGAGTCGATGTCGGTGGGAAACTTCTAAATATAGCAGCTTATGCCAATGTCCTGGGTTAATTAGAGAAGAGCACCAATAACAACAACAGACACGGAGGCAGAGAAGCAATGAAGGGGAGAGACAGCGAGAACGAGGGAGGGGAGGGGAGGAGGGGGTTTGCAAGGACGATGAAGCAGAAGGACTAGTTGGTAGTCTACTACAGTGTGGTTGTGCTAAAGTGCTAGGCCCTAGCTCCCAAGTCCCAATAAATGGAAGTCATAATCAAAAGAAATAACACGATTAGGGGACGGCGAATAATGGGTTGGTTATGGATCCAGAACAGGAGGCCGGAGATTACCTTTTCCCTATCTCGCCCACAGTTCGACGCTGAAGAGTCCAAGCAAATCAAAGCGTTAACTCTGGATCATCGAGGCGCAGTTCTGTTCGGTGGTGGGGAGTCCTGACAGTAACTATCAAGCTGCGCGCAACAGTCGATAATTTCCAGATGAAGCAGTGCACTGACTTGGAGGGGATATGAAACAGCGATCAATTCGGTCTCTTGTATCCACAACGACCATCATCCAGAAAGGTCGATAGTTAGTTAAATTGATCTCCTCGTCGCCGCCGATTTTCCTTCGTCCGCAAGAAGGCCAGCCACGTGATGAACCCCATGCACGGACTAGCGTGTTTCAGGAATGGGTGCCTTAATCTATTCCTAGACTGGGATGGCATGCCTGAGGCAGGGGTATCTCCTTGCTTCGACTCTTCATACCTTGACACATCTTCGGACGCTTTCCCAGCTCCTGGTATGCAAAGCCTCATCTTCCTTGCGTGGCTGGATGGAATAGTGTGAGTCTGGGAACTCCCCGGGACGAGGAATCGGAGGCTAGGATTATAGGATAGAATCTAAGCGTCCCAGTGCCAGCCACACTAAAGTTGCCAGGCAGAGGACAATCTTTGACACAGCCTGCAGGCTTACTGAAGAATGGTTGGAACGATATTGCACTGAGCAGGTTTCTATTCTGTCTATGGAAGGAAGGAAGGAATGTACTAAAAACAAGGAAAACACTTCAGTAGGTACAAAACGACAGACACACAGTACCAGCTGTGATCAGAATGACAAGACTCAAGCACTTGGATAACTGTCGATCCGCTCCTGTCCGGCTCGGAACACAGCATCATGCCCAAGAGCGGCCGTCAGCACACCTAAAAGGTATTCATGATCCTACCACCTTCGAGCTGGCCTGGCGAATCTCGGTGTGAAGGAGCTTCGAGTGGAAGAGCTTGAGGTTGAGGGGCTTGCGATAGAAGAACTTGTGGTGGATTGGCTCGATGTGGAAACCTCTGGAGGGGACGAAGTTGGAATGGATCCTGGAGGGGACTCGGATACCACCGGAGTCTGATATACAGTCCTTACCGCGGTGATGAAGGAGCTTGTGGTAGAAGGACTTGTGGTAGAAGAGCTTGTGGTAGAAGAGCTTGTGGTAGAAGAGCTTGTGGTAGAAGAACTTGTGGTGGATTGGCTCGACGTGGAAACTTCTGGGGTGTAGGGAGTCAGCGCGAATTCTGGAATAGATTCGGAGGCCACCGGGCTCGGATATACTGTCGTCACCGCGGTTATGAAAGAGGTCACCGTCACCGTCGGAAGCTCTGTTGGAACAGGACTTGGTGTCATTGATGACTGTGGTATTGAGGACATACGTGACGAGCTCGGAGAACTTCCTTGTCCAAAGATCTCTTCAAACTGAGACGGGATGGCAGCATTGTTCAGGGATTGATCGTCAACATAGCTGGCTGGAACACGAACATGGCTCAAAGGACGGTCAACCATATCCACGTCCATGCAGGTTGTATAGATTTCCTGTTTCCCGTTTGGCAAGCCCGGATCCACCCCCGGCGCCGTAGGCCAGTCCCAAACCCAGTACAGGGTGTACAGTTTGCCGATCGGCACTTTGGAAGGTAGTGCGGTGTCCTGCTGACACCAGAGATCAGCTCCCATGAGTTGATTTGCCTCATGCGGGTACGTGGACTGGCGGTGCTGCGAGATTTGACCGCTGTTGATCTGGTAGCAACGGCCATCGTCAAAATTCTGCTCCGACAGCAGAACGCCGCGCTTGTCACCTCCAGTCCCTTCCTTGTTCCAGACTTTGTGAACATCAAGGAGCTTTTCATCTTCCTTGGGCTCTGTTGTCCCGTACACATAGACTGTCCCGCAGTTCGGGGGTTTGCCCAGCTGGTTCTGAGGTAGCGTCACATGGCCATTCTCCTGGAAACGAAGAGCAATGGCAGCACCAGGACTTGCCTGAAGTCTTGGGCTACCTTCGGTTTGGACTTGCTTCCGCTGCGTGTCCTTGCACAGTTTGTCGCTTGGCAGGATCTGGCTTAGGTTTGCTCGGCCGTTCGGCGGTGTCAGATAGGTCATGGTGTTGTCGTTGAAGGCAGGGTCACTGCGAAGGACATTTCCTCGCGGAAAACCTGGGGAGCCAACGAAAGTCCCATTTGGCGCGATTACTGTGAGCTGCTCTACCCAGGAATGGGCGCTGATAGGGACAACAAAGAGAGTGAGGAGGAGCAAGCTCAAAGCGTCCATCCAGAGGACATGCATAGCTTTCATCGTGTTTTTTTCCAACGCTAAGCTAACAAAGAAAGAGATCTTGAAAGAATGACCATACGCCGACCAGCGGAGTATACCTCAAGAAGTGAGCTCTGTTTGCGCGAAGTCAGTATGACTGTCAACATCTAAAATAGCGGAGGGGCATTACATTTAGAAGCTCATAATGTGGTGCCTATTGCTCTCTCGGTTACGCAGGAAGTTGATCTTGGCTCTTATGTTTCTCGAGACACAGTGACGAGATATGGTCTCTTTCTGTATTGAAACGATTGGAAGCCCTGCTCTTGACAATAGGACGAGGATTGGTCAATTCATGAGAAATGGAAGAGACAATTGACGGTGAAACACAATGTTTTCTTAGGGACCTGTTTTTCCCTCTTCTCGAATGGCTTCTTCCTTCTTCTAATAGTCTTTGTACTCTGTCTAGAATCACCAGATACAATAGCCATTATTGCAAGTCTTCGTTCGAAACACCTGGGTGGGTTCTGAATCAATAGAGCAATGTCAATGAGAGGACAGAGAGAGAGCTCATTTTTTTTTTTTGTTTTTTTGCACGGCGCTAAAGAAAACAGCAGGCTCGTTGTCTGAAGAGAACCTTGAGGCCAATCAATTGAACATTCTATGCTCTCTCTCAGGCAGGTGTTGGTACCAGATCGGGTGATGCAGACATTCCAGTAGATGAGTTGCCGGGTTATGGAGGCTACTATCCACTGCTCTGAGAAATGTTAGGAACCAAATAGAATCAAGCAGCATGGTGTTTCTCATGTCCTTGAGGATATATTCAATCCCCAAATAGTAACAGCGCGTAATGACATCAGGGGACTACCTATGTTGCCCATCGCGTGTTTGAAGATCTGTGAGGATGTTGCAGAGCTGCACGAAATACAAGGGAGGAAAACTGCCGATTGGCTTCAAGCTTCCCGATACGGCGCTTACCATCCGTCTGTCAAGATTGAAGGGACACCAGTACCGCTGACAGACATACCAGAACAACTTTGAGTCTCTTTCGCATGGTATGTCGTAGATACTAGTAATATTTAGACAAATCGATGGCTGACTCTTTGCTGGTTGAGTGACGCCTGTGGTCCTCCATGCACGTTTATATAAAACAGCAGATGGGCGCTATGTGCACTAACAGCCAACCTAGCCACTCCAACAGCCCAGCGCTTGCCAAATATATACTCTCTCTACGGTATAAATCGACTCATCCACGAGTTCGAATACCTTATTACACGAGAATATACACTGTGGTTGTGTACGGATACGTTTCTGCAAGCATCCTAGATGGATCACTTACTCCGTAGTTCATCGATCCACTCCGTAGTATACAGAGCACAGAAACACCATTCAAGGGATAACCGGAGGAACACAAGACTAGCTCCCCTTTACTCATCGAAAGTGATCTTTGTCTGCTTTCTCTGAGGTTGCTTTCCTTGTGATCAATTTCTCGAGCGGACCTCCCTCATTACCGAAAATTCCTCCTCTTCTCGGAAATTTCCGATTCGGGCACTTTCACGGCTTATTCTCCGGAGAGAAGATGGATAGATACTATCTTCGGATCTTACTACATAGAAATATCAGATTCAGCACGGCTGAGAAAGCTGACATGTCGGAATGGTTTCTGCATGTTCTGAAACGACCCCTTCCTGGAGAACAGAACCGGGTTAAAAAATTTCTTCAGGACACTTGACCATCCGGATTCCTCCGGACTCCAGCAACAGCTCTGATTCTGAGCCCCCAAAATACCGAGAAAGTGAACCGCTACCGGAGCTTTTTGCCTGGCATAAAACAATCTCTTAGAGATCCTAGAGACATTGTACTGATTGATTAGATCAAAGAAGTGGGTATCGTGTTATCTCCGGCGGATCAGGAATCCTTAATGGCCCTGGCTTTTTTCGTCCAGTGTCCACTCTACCAGCTTGGCCGTTCCACTACGGGAGAAGAAGAGGAAGAATAACCGAAGCCAAGTGCGAGCATATTGCCTGATCTGGGCATGCGGGATCACTTGGATGATACTGTAAGCCCAGGAATTACATAAAAGGTTCAGTTACGATGGGTTGAGTTTGCGGTCCACCAGCGCTGGGATACAGATGAAGTTTTTCGTATTGCTGACTGTTATTGGAAAACAAGCCCTCGTCGAAAGATGTGGGGACGCAATTCGGAAGGATGATGTTCTGAAAAGAAGAGATTTTGCTTTCCATAAGACATTGCGTACTTACAGTGTACATTCAGTTGGGGATCAGGATTTGGAGTTCTGCATAGGGGGAAAGGAGAAGGAGAAGGTCATCAATCAATTGGTTTTCCAGGAAGATAGCGGCATGTAAGGACTGTGGCAATGAAGGGAATATCAACCATGTTGCAATCAGCAGGACTTTGTGGCCATAGGATACCTTGGAGGTGCAGTTAAAACCCCATCAGTATCATACCCATTGGTACTGAAGTATATATCCTTGCATAACAACATGCACATCGGCCTCTGGAAGACTGGAAGAGCCATACTGGTGCATATATATATACCGACTTGGGAGGGTCGATATAGATAAGACCAGCTACTTCGCAACCTCAGTGTCAACATCCTCAGACAACAGTCATTGTTATTGGTTTTTATCAATCATTCTTCTGGCGATATAGAGCATCTCTCTGGATACTCGATATCTACGTAATCATCAACCATCACTCGAGAAACTGGAGGTCAGTTTCCTGATAAGTGGAGCTCATAACCTACCAACTGGTCCCAGCAGCTATTAGAATCCAGGTGGTTATGTTCGGAATATTATTGTCCTTTGGTCTTACTGATAAGAGGACACTGTAGGGTGCCTAATAGTGCCTACTAAGGTATCTGTACATACTAGGATTCTACAGTAAAGTAAGGTAGTAGCCCATGCATGGACTTCCATGGTATTTGGATGATTGCTTTCGATCAACAATCTGATGGTTGGTGCTGGCTGGGTAAAGTTACAATCATACGGGGAGTGTCAATGACATCCTGGATCATCTCTACCAGACACCTGGTTTATGACTGAGTGGTGATGCTCTAATCAAATTTCCAACAACCACAAACCCAGAAAAATTGGAAGGTGATCTTGGTGTCTTTATCCAAAGGATCAAGTATCTACTAAGCATGACTAGTCACTCCCTAGTCTAATAGTAGTCAATAATAATAATAATACCAAATCAGCCCAGGCCCCCAGCGTTGGATTATTTTTCTTTGACTAAAGTACTTGGGTCTATCTAGTACTTGGGTCTCCCCCACTCCCTTATTATTGTTCTTTTCTGCTCTTCCGCTCTTTTCTCTTTCCTGTGTTCATCACACTCCAGTTTTCGCTCCAGAAATCTAACTGTACTGTCGAGTTCAACCTCGCTGGGATCTTCGTTTAGTGGTTTCTTCTTCTTCTTCTTTTTTTTTTTTTTTTTATAAACCCAGGAGCCTGGAACACGCAGCTGCAGTGATCCACGGTGCTTGTGGCGGTGCTTTAGGCCGCAAAATTCAAGTCGGAATTACTTAATTCCTTCGCGAGCCACAGTTCGCCCTTTCACTCCAATCTCAGGGGGGAATCGAAGGCCAAAGAGATAGGCAAGGGAAGAACAGGAAGGTAAAGAAGAAAAGACAAAAAAAAAAGGAGTTACCGAAGACTCGAATTGGTCTTTCTGGAGTCAATCCAACTCCTGTTCAACCTGTGGGTAAGCTACCTCCATGATCTTCCTGAGATATATCTACGTTCTCTCTGTCTGGACTTGGTATCTTGGAAAATTAATTTAAGCTGACCGCATCGAATGTCGTCGTCTTCCATCTAGAGTCGTCCCTCCACCAAACTTCCCGATTTCCCCAGTTTTCCAACTCATGTCACCGTCTTCTTCGCGAAATTGAATTTTTTGACATCATTCGGCCTTCATTGAGCGACGTTTTGTGCGCGAAATTGAGACAGTACGAGGCGGTAATATCCTGCAGGGGTTCACCCTGTGGACGGTCACCTTCCCTTTAAACCGAGGCCTACACCGCCTGTCTCAATTCATCCCTCTCTCTGCACATCATAATGGCGACTTCTCTCATCACAAGGAAGTTTCGCTCGGCGGACGCAGATAGCGATGCTCAGCCGGGGTGGTTGAAGCGTCAGGTCACCGGCGCTCTGCAATCTATTTCCAGCCATGCCTGCCAGCACCCCATCCACACCATTGTGGTCATTGCGTTGCTCGCCAGTACAACCTATGTCGGTCTTCTTGAAGGAAGTCTTTTCGACAGTGTCCGGAATTCTCGAAGCATTGCCGGTCAAGTGGATGTGGATACCTTACTCCAGGGCAGTCGGAGTCTCCGATTGGGAGAGAGTACATCTTGGAAATGGCAGGTCGAGGACGCTTCGGCCGATCAGGATTTTACAGTATGACCTCCTTTCTAGACCTCTTGGTACTAGCGATCCCTAGTTTGACTAACCGCCAATCGCCTAGGCTGCCCACCATCTCGCGTTGACCACCTTCATTTTCTCGGATTCCTTGTCCAAGTCATCTTCGATTGCCCCTGTCGCCGCAGAAGTGCCAATTCCGTCGAATGCTTCTGCTCAGCCAGTGCCGGATACCCCGAACCTGTTCTCTCCGTTCTCCCACGATTCGTCTCTCGCTTTCACTCTTCCATTCGGTCAGGTCCACCAGTTCCTGAAGTCAGTGCAGGAGATTCCCGACTCCTCAGCTGACGGAGTCGACGGAGAACAAAAGAAATGGATCATGCGGGCTGCTCGTGGCCCCGCCTACGGCTCGGGAAGCGCTATCAAGCTTTGGTTGACAGATGCATGGGGTTCTTTCGTTGATCTGGTCAAGGTACGTTTTTGGAGCCTACACATAGGTTTTGCTGAGAGATTTGCTAATTTCCGTAGCACGCCGAAACAATTGACATTGTAATCATGACTCTGGGTTATCTCTCGATGCATCTTAGCTTTGTCTCCCTTTTCTTCTCGATGCGCCGTTTGGGTTCGAAATTTTGGCTGGCCGCGACTGTCCTATTCTCGGGCGCATTCGCCTTTCTGTTTGGTCTTCTGGTAACCACAAAGCTTGGAGTCCCGATCAACGTTCTCTTGCTGTCTGAAGGCCTTCCATTTCTGGTTGTCACCATTGGCTTTGAAAAACCCATCCTTCTGACCAGAGCTGTTCTCAACGCGGCGGTGGACAACAAGCGGCAAGTGTCCAGAACTGGCTCCGGTCGGGCCTCGAGCACAACCAAATCCATTCAAGATTCCATTCAGATTGCAATCAAGGAACAAGGTTTCGACATCATCCGTGACTACTGCATTGAAATTGCCATCCTTGTTGCTGGTGCCTCTTCTGGAGTCCAGGGTGGGCTGAGACAGTTCTGCTTCCTCGCGGCATGGATTCTTTTCTTCGACTGCGTTCTGCTCTTCACCTTCTACACCACAATTCTCTGCATCAAGCTTGAGATCACCCGTATCAAGCGCCACATTACTCTTCGCAAGGCTCTAGAGGAAGATGGAATCACCCACCGTGTGGCAGAAAATGTCGCTTCGAGCAACGATTGGCCCCAGACTGGATCCGATAGCAGCAATGAGACTAGCGTTTTCGGCCGGAAGCTCAGATCAGACAGTGTCCGGCGATTCAAGATCCTGATGGTTGGTGGTTTCGTCCTGATCAACGTGGTTAACCTGTCCGCCATCCCCTTCCGCAACTCAACCCAGAGTGTTGGACTGCCTATCCTGTCCCGCGTCTCCAACGTTTTCGCCCCTACGCCAATCGATCCTTTCAAGGTCGCTGAGAACGGCCTTGACTCGGTCTATGTCTCTGCCAAGAGCCAGATGATGGAAACCGTTGTGACTGTCGTCCCCCCCATCAAGTACAAACTCGAATACCCTTCTGTGCACTACGCCGCGCCAGGAGAGCAACGTACCTTTGATATTGAGTACGCTGACCAGTTCCTTGATGCCTTTGGCGGAAGAGTCATTGAGAGCCTTCTGAAGAGCATCGAAGATCCGATCATCAGTAAATGGATCATTGCTGCGTTGACTCTGAGCATCATCCTGAACGGTTATTTGTTCAATGCCGCCCGGTGGAGTATCAAGGAACCCGAGACTGCTCCTACCGCCCCCCAAGAAGCCGTGATCGAGCCCAAGAAGGAATACCCCAAGATCGATCTGAATCCTGATGCACCCAAGCGGAGCCCGGAGGAGTGCGAGGAGCTGTTAAAAGCCAAGCGAGCTGCCTACATGACTGATGAAGAACTTATTGAGCTTTCCTTGCGTGGCAAGATTCCCGGTTATGCGTTGGAGAAGACTATGGAGAACGAAGAGCTTCTGAGCCGTGTGGATGCTTTCACCAGAGCTGTCAAGATTCGCCGATCAGTCGTTGCTCGTACCCCTGCTACCTCCGCCGTCACCAGCTCTTTGGAAAGCTCAAAGCTCCCCTACAAGGATTACAACTATGCGCTGGTCCATGGTGCTTGCTGCGAGAATGTCATTGGTTACTTGCCCTTGCCCCTCGGAGTTGCCGGTCCTCTGACCATCGATGGCCAAAGCTACTTTATCCCCATGGCCACCACTGAGGGTGTGTTAGTTGCCAGTGCCAGCCGAGGTGCCAAGGCCATCAACGCCGGTGGTGGCGCGGTGACTGTTCTCACCGGCGATGGTATGACTCGTGGTCCTTGTGTTGGTTTCCCCACACTTGCGCGTGCGGCTGCTGCCAAAGTTTGGATTGATTCTGAAGAGGGCCGAAGTATTCTTACTGCCGCTTTCAACTCGACCAGTCGGTTCGCTCGTCTTCAGCACCTGAAGACTGCCCTTGCCGGTACATATCTGTACATTCGATTCAAGACGACGACGGGTGATGCTATGGGTATGAACATGATCTCCAAGGGTGTTGAAAAGGCCCTTCATATCATGGCCACTGAGTGCGGTTTTGACGACATGGCCACGATCTCTGTTTCTGGAAACTTCTGTACTGACAAGAAGGCTGCCGCTATCAATTGGATTGACGGCCGTGGCAAGTCTGTTGTCGCAGAGGCTATCATCCCTGGTGACGTTGTTCGTAACGTGCTCAAGAGTGATGTGGACGCGCTTGTTGAGCTGAACACCAGCAAGAACCTGATCGGAAGTGCTATGGCTGGAAGCGTTGGTGGATTCAATGCGCATGCCTCGAACATTGTCACTGCCATCTTCTTGGCGACGGGACAGGATCCCGCGCAGAACGTTGAGAGCAGCAACTGTATCACAACCATGAGAAAGTAAGCCGTCCCACTTTGCCGGTTCCACACCCTATGTTACTCCTGGACTCTTATGCTGACAAATTGACTTCTTGCAGCATCAATGGCAACCTCCAAATTGCCGTGTCGATGCCTTCCATCGAAGTTGGAACCATCGGTGGTGGCACCATTCTCGAAGGACAGTCGGCCATGCTTGACCTGCTTGGCGTCCGTGGCTCTCACCCCACGAATCCGGGTGACAATGCTCGCCAGCTTGCTCGGATCGTCGCCGCTGCTGTTCTTGCGGGAGAGCTGAGCTTGTGCTCTGCACTTGCTGCCGGACATCTTGTCAGGGCGCACATGGCGCATAACCGTAGCGCCGCACCGACGCGGTCGTCGACGCCGGTCTCGGCCGCCGTTGGTGCCGCTCGGGGCTTGACCATGACCGCTATGAAATGAAGAACGACGTGAACATTTGACGCACTTGGGAGTCTGTGCACCTTGGCATACTTGCCTCGTCGGAGAATGCGGTTAAGGTTTTAGCAATGACCGCCACGCTCGCACCCGCAGCGTGGCTCACAACATTCTCTTCACTCTCCCCGCCCCGTCTTAATGATACCCTCTGGATCTCATGGCAACAGTCTTTTACAGGAGCTTTGGATTAGCTCATGATTGCTTGGAGGGGACTATGCTGTTTGATTACGGTATCCCTTCTCCTCTGCTGCGACAGCCCCTTCATGAGGGGTTGGGAGCGATGAAAACTTGTTGACAAGGAGGCATGGAGTGGGAGTCGGATCTGGGAGACCTGTATAGAAATATCGAGGACTGATCTTGTAATAATTGAAATGAATGAACGAGTGAGCTTTATTATTCGCGTATCGTCAGAATCTCACAGGACATGCAATTCGGGTACGAGTATTATTATTATTACTATTACTATTAATATTATGTATTGAAACGGCACGTTATCATCAGTGGTAACGGAGCCAAGCCGACCGGTCTGGACTCCTAACAGTGTCGACTCCGTAAGGACTAAGCTTAAGGCCCATAGCAATTTTAGCAGCGAGAGTTCGTTTCATGCAGGCTGCAACTTGAATGCCTATATGGACCTGGTTGAGATGAGATGAACAAGAGACAGAACACGCATATATTTCATTTCCCTAGGTAGCATAGACTAGAGATGGAAGTATCTTCTCTTCAGCCATGTATAAGTATGTATATTGGTGCAGGCACCGAGTATGCAAGTGGCAAGCTGACCTGCGGTGTCCTCTCTGTCGTTGAATAAAATAGATAGTTACAGGGGGAAGACACCTTTTGTGAGTTGTGACTGACACGAATGTACTCCGTAGATAGTAGCCTTTTTAGGAGAGAGAGAATCGTGAATCGTCTCGAGCTGTCCCTCTGTCAATCCCCAAAGAGGCAAAGAAAATTATTGTCCGAATTCGGGACCTTTGGTGCCTCAAAATTTGGTCTTTGTTAGGAGTGCCTGTCGCTTCCTCCCCCCTTTTTTTTTCTTCCCTTTTAACTCTTTCTCTCTCTCTTTCGTGATTGTCGTCAAAGCGAGCATGGCACTCACTCGGCTGCTGATTGCCTCCACGTAGACTACTAACTAACTGGATAGATACCTAGCCTAGGCATCGGTTCCTGGGGGCCTGTGGACTGTGGAGAAGGGGATGCTGATTTGGTGTTCCGGAATTTTTACTAAGGCTTTCTGGTGGGAGGCTAGGAGGTATGTTCCACGTCCAGATGATGGCGATAGTGATACTATCAATGAAGACAATTTAATTTATCTTTTTATGCTGGAATACTTCAGTATATCCTTTGATCATTCCAGCATGGGGACTTGAACTGGGCCTGCATTTATAGCTTGCTTCCATTACTGGATGTAAGGTACCTAAACCACCGATTTCAATACGTGTATCGATCCTGCACCGTTTGATACCTACCTTGGCTACCTTAGTAGTACCTTACCTACACTCTGCATCGTGATCACAGTGGAAAGTTACCGGTTCCCAGATGGTACCTGAACCTGACAGTGCTGTTCCGTGGCTCATAACTGTATTTCATCCCATTCGTTGTTTTGTCCTCTGTTGGCCCCGTTTCCTTCTCTCTCCCCCAAGTGACTGACCTAGTACTACTGTACTACAAGTGACTTAGTAGTTAGTAGTATAGTACTACTAGTGCTCACTCTTTACTCTTTACTCTTTAGTCTCTCTCTCTCTCTCTCTCTCCCCTTGAAGAAGTCGGGATTGCTTGCATTTCTCTCTCACGGCTATTGCTTCCACTCGTCTTTTCTTGTCTTTTCTGTCCTTATCATCATTTTTTTTCCCCCTTAGGTTATCATTGTTGTGTTGAAAGGCGGTCCTTTATTTTTTTCTTCTTCACCATCTTCTTCGTCTTTATTTTTCCCTCCCTCCCTCGTGCGCCGAAGGAGTCCAATTCCATTCCTTGCTGCTAGGTCTTGTGCTTGATTGTCGGCCCCTTCTCTCCTTTTCATTCCATGCCTTGCTGCCGTATCTAATTTTCGAGTCGCCTCAAACCTCCTTTATCTGAGCCACGATCGAGGCCCTTATCGTACCTCTATCTTGCCGAGTCCGAAACCACTGTCGACGGTGTATGTTTTTGTCGCGATCGATCAATCAATCAATCAATCAATATATCCGAATACATGGAATTGGCTTCCGTTCCCTTGTTCCTGTCTGTAAAGTACTAAGCCACGAGCACCACGAGCCAGCGCTTGGCAGAACCGACGCGATAACATCCCATCTCGGCCCCATATGAATCCGAACCCAGGAACCATGTCGCCTGTCTCCGTGGACGGCAGTGACTGGTCCGGGATCAACCAATACCAGAAATCCGAACCCCCGTTCTCTCCCACTTTTTCGAATCGCGGAAATCTAGCGACCCCTCCGACATCAGGCGTTTCCAGCGGGCTGGCCCCCAATGGCGCAGGCGCGCCAAATGGGTCTGCAAGCGGTGTGAGCGACTCGGGGAATCCGTCGCCTCCGAGTTCCGTAGCGGCGCGGTCGAGCAATGGAACCCTGGCGGAGGATCGCGGTAAACGCCAGAAGAAGATGGAGGAGTTCCTAGGGCAACACTACGTCGCGCTGAGAAGATTTCTCAATGCGCCTTATCGAGATGACAGGGGGAACAACAAGTCGAATAAGGCCCGAGATAAACTGCTGCGGCTCTCGGCCACCCAGTTCCACGAGCTCAGTACCGATGTCTACGATGAACTGCTCCGTCGACAGCAGGCCATGCCACCTTCTGGACGACCGGGTCCTCCACGTCCCGACGTGCCACCGTTCCTTCCCCCGCGGGAAGATTTTCACGAGAAACGCAACCAAGCACGACAGAAACTCGCCTCTCTCCACCATGGACGGTTCAGAGACTTGGCGACAGATGTCTTCTGCGAGCTGGAACGACGGTTCCCCCAGTTCCCAGCGCGCGAATCTCGCAGGGCGAGTCCTGCTCCAAGTCTACACGGGCGGCCGTCGAACGGCTATCCCCCCAACGGGTACGGCCCCAATGGGTACCCTCCACCGCCAGGCAGTCGGCGCTCCCAGTCTCGGGGTCCACCGGGCCGCACGGGCATGGGATATCCGTCCGGTGGCCCGCCTGGCAGTCCCATGGCTGGATATCCTCCCCGTCAAGGATCCTTGGGTGGGGCATCATCAGTAAACGGCGACTCGGGCCCGCAAGCCAAATCTTTCCAGAGTAATACTATTGTTCCCAACAAGAGCACAATGGTGGAGGATGATGACGATGCGGTCGGCACGGAGGACGATTATGATGCCCGAAGCGATGCGTTCGCTCTAGATGGGGTTTTGCAAAGCAGAAGAGGTACTACGACAACATTAGGCGAGGGAGAAAGGAAGCTTTTGGCAGAGACACAGTCCCAGGCATCGGCATTGCAGGATCATGTGAGCAAGTTAGAAGAGTTGCTCAAACAAAAAGATCAAGAGCTCTCCAAGTATCAGGCAGAGCAGGGAAAGGTGGACAAACTTGAGGAGCTAATCAGGTCAAAAGAGAAGGAAATCTCAAAGTATCAAGAAGAGCATGAGAAGTCGCAGGTAAGCAAAAATCTTGGGAGTCGTACGGACCCCTATGTTGGTATTCTCGGCTTTCTAACACGCGGAACAGGTAACAAGCGCGGAGAAAGAGGAGTGGGAAGCCCTCAGGATGGATCTTCAGAGTAAAATCTCCCAGGCGGAGAATCTGAACAGCTCTCTCCAGCTTGAGTTGGAGAAGGTACGAACGGAGCACGATGCCACAGAACGAGATCTTCGCAGCCAACTCAGCGAGGCATCGCGACAAAGTGTTGGCGACGTGGAGCTCCAAGCCCGTTTTGCTGAATTGGAGGTCAAGCACCAGAGTCTCCAGGCCGAGTTACAGGAACAACAGCAGGTGACAGAGGAGGTCAAGCGAGAAGCATCCGCATTTTTGATGGAAATGAAGGCCTTGACGGAGCAAAGCCATTCTAAATGGGAGCATGAAGAGCGACTGTCAGGCGAGGTTCAACGGCTGGAGGAAGAAGTCAAACAATGGAAGAGCCGGTATGCCAAAGCTAAAACTCAGCTTCGACATCTTCGGGCAGCTTCTGGTGACATATCAGATTCGCATCCCGGCCTTGGCAGAGTGGTGCCTGAGGATGAAGAATTCATGCAGGAACGGGGGTTGGTCAGGGACATACATGTTACCAGGTTCCAGATTTCCATCGACGAGTTGCTCCGTACCGCACGATCCGACGAGCATCAACTTGTCATGAACCAGATCAACGGTGTCATTCTCGCAGTCCGGCAGGTTCTTCGGGATATTGAGATGACCCAAGACCCTGCAGATGGACTAGCTGCTCTGCGGACTAAAGCCACACGCAGGGTGTCTGCGACGGCCAACAATATGATCACTGCCGCTAAGAACTTCGTCCGATCGAACGGCCTCTCACCCGTCTCGCTTCTGGATGCTGCTGCCTCACACTTATCAACTGCGGTCATTGAGCTCGTCCGTCTCGTGAAAATGCGCCCCACCCCGGCCGAGGAGCTCAACGACGAGGATGAAGAGGAGCGAGAACAGTTTTCACAGATGAAATCTCCTGACTACTTTAGCGTTGCCCCCAGTCATAGTCGGATGAGCAATAATGGGTCCATTTACAGCGTCATGAGCCCTCCCTCAAATCATTCTCGAAATGGAACAGCTTCCCATTTTGAGACTGGATTGTCCAACGGCATTACACCAACTCCACAGCGGAAACCTGACGACCATGAGCTTCAGGAATTGAAGGTGAGATAATCTGTGATCCCACATTATATTGGAAGAATTGCCACTAAATGAGCTTACAGATTTACGTCGAAGACCAAACAGACGGCCTCGTCCAGTCCATCCAGGCCCTTGTCGCCAGCATTCGAGCCGAAGACGGAATGACAGCCATTCGCACTCATATCTCCGCCATCTCCTCCGTTGTTTCCAATGTCACCTCATCCACCGAACATCTCATCAACAAACCCAACATGAGCTCGTCTCTGAGAGAGCGCTCTGGCCCCATCCTTCAATCGCTCGGCCACCACCGGGCCCGTCTCATGGAGGCAGCGAACGAGGGCGACGATGCCATTGACATCTCAGAGCTTCGACAAGTCACCAAGAAGTTCCCGCCCATCGCATTTGAGATTGCGAGGGAAACAAAGGAGTTGGTCCACCGACTCGATCTCACTGATGACAATGATTCCGAAGAGGACGACTTCCGGTGATTTTCGATAACGACATAGGCATGTGTAGCTTGGCTTCTCAACCGAGCCTTTTCCACATTCAACTCATCTTTTTTCAATCCTTATTCTTTTGGCCATCTAGCACTGGTGTCTTTCACTCCCGTTGATCGACCCGGCTGCCATCTATGAGCTGTCAATCTTGCAGCTTTTCTATACCTATCATGCATGACAATGAGCGACCATGTGACATGAGATATTCTATTTACTGGAGCCTCATAACTTTCTTCTTCATCTTTCTTGCCTACATCTTATCGTCGCCGACTTGATGTATCATAGTTGATCTGATTGTAAGCTTCACTTCTTGTACAGCGCCTTTTTTCTTCTCTTCACCGCTGTTCTCCTTGATTAGCGTTTTCTTTTCCTCCATAATCTCGTGTCGCATGCCCTCCGGATTTTTTTTTTTTTTTGCCCCTTTCTACAGGTTGTCTTGACGCCCCTGCTGGTTGTTTGTGTTTGGAATCCTATTTATCTTTGACTTCTTTGTATTTAGACATTTATTTCCCCTATTTCTTCATCTTGGCCTGAGGATTTTGCGCAATGGAGAGATTCTCCAGAGAAACAATAATGAATGACAGAATATCGTCATCTTCCATGACACTCTCTAAGCCTAGGTAGAGTGCCACTGTAGATGACTACTGATGTTGGTAATCAGCACGTGACGCAGCACCCAGCTCTCCCCAGACCGAATTCCGCAATCCGCAATCCGCAATCCGCTTCCCTTCCGGCTGTGCTGCTTTCAGGTGGTTGCAGGTTGGATGAGCTCATAATTTTACTCCAGTGAGTGGTAAATCTATAAATTATAAGAATAAGTCATATAATGCTTATATAACCTCAGAAAAAATTTTATCTTACATCACCTCTTTCTAAACCTTATACTATACCACTATCAACATAACTATGGCTTAAATTACTAAAAAGATAATTATTTATTACTTAAAAACTATCTTATTATTACTTAGGATATAGATAGCTAATAGGATAATAATAGCTAAGATATAAGTAGTACTTAGAGATAGTAGTAAAGAGTATATTATAATTACTAAAATATAAGATAGTAAGAACTTATATTATTACTTCTAAGTACTTAGAAACTAATTTTTAATTACTTATAGAATAATAAGAGAAAGATTATTATCTATTATAGAGAGATTTTTTACTATATTCCTAATTACTCTAAGAGATAGATAAGTAGTTATTAATTACTTAATAATTACTTAATAACTATTTATAAACTACTTAATAACTACTTAGTAAAAATATACTTTAATAAATAATCTCTAATCTTACCTATATCTATATAAATTAATAAAGGCCTAACTTAAAGAAGGAAATACTAGTAGCTAGGTTAAATAAATAGATATTAACTAAATAATAAGTATATTATATAATTAAATTAATTTATAAATACTTACTAACTACTTATAAACTACTTAGAATAGTATAATAAATTATTTAGTAATATAAATATAACTTTAGCTACTTTTATTACTATTACTATAAAATTAAATATAATTTTATAATAGCCTTTAAAGCCCCCCCTCCCCTATAAGAAAGATAGCTCTATAAGTATTTTCTAACTATTTATAAACTACTTTCTAAGTAGTTACTAACTACTTAGATCTATATTATATATATAAGATAATAGATAGTAAATCTTAGGTAGAAAGTTCCCTATAGCCCCTATAAGAAGTATAAGAACTATTATAAGGATATTAATTAGTATACTTATTTTCTTCTTTTTAATTATAGAGATTTAATATCTACTCTTATTTATTCTACTTCTATATCTACTTTATTATAAGCTTAGAGACTATATATTCTATATAATAATAAAGATATAGAGGAGACTAAAAAGAAGATAAAAAAAGAATTAAATAAAGAAAGTAATAAAGATAGTATATTATCTACTCTTTCTAATCTTAGTATTAAAGCTAAGAAGGAAGAAGAATATTAGCTAGGATATAATAAGAGATCTAAAGAGATTAAAGAAGCTAAGAATACTAAGAAGATAGAGAATATAGTTAAGACTAAGACTAAGTAGTAATTAATTTTAAAATACTTAGTAATTACTTAGCTAGTTCTTATATTAGGATAATAAATAATAATTATAAGATATAAGAGAGGTAAATTCACTATAAAATATAGCTTTAAAATATCTTATAACTACTTAGAAAGTACTTAGAAAGAATATATTATAAGTTTAATATATTAGTACTAAATTAATAACTAAGATATATAATCTTAATATATCTAAGGTACACTATAACTTAATATACTTAAGTACTTAATAAGTACTTAACCTAATTACTATATCTAGTATACTATAGCTTAATATTCCTAAGTACTTAATAACTACTTACTAAGTACTTAACCTAATTACTAGGAGTGCTAAATTAAATATGATATTATTATTATAGAGGAATATTTAACTCTAATTACTTTTAAACTACTTTAGAAGTACTTAGAAACTACTTAATCTATATTAAGAAGTCTCTCTAATTTATATTTACTACTTTATAAGATTTAGTTCTAATCTTTTATTCTTAAGCTACTATAAGTAAATTTCTTCCTCCTATTTCTTTATTTTAATTTTAAGCTTCTTTAATTTAAGCTTCTATTATCTCTACTCTATATTTATTATATTTATTAAGATAATATAGTAAAAAGAATAGCTAGGGCTAAATACTTAGTAAGTAGCTAGTAGATACTTCCTAAATAATTAAAAAGTACTTATCTTAACCTTCTTATTTAGGATAGAGATTATTAAGAATTAATCTAGGTATTACCTCTTCTTAATTCTAATATACTTTATATTTTAGTAATATCTAAAGAGTCTAACTAGTAGTATTTCTAGCTCCTTAAAAAAGTAGTTAGTAACTACTTTAAAACTACTTAGTAAGTACTTAATAAATATTAATATACTTTCTTAACTTATATAATAGAGGTAATTTACCTTTATATTTAATATTTAATATAAATAGTAAATATTTAACTTAGAAAAGTTCTTATATTATAAGATATCTTCCTAATTAAGCTTTACTAAACTAAATTAAAGTTTAGTACTTAATAAGTAGTTCCTAAGTATTTAGAAAGTACTTACTTCTTAACTACTTCTACTAATATAAGATATTTCCCTAAAGTATATAACTTCTAATATAATTACTTAATAGTATTAGTATAATTTCATAATAAATTAAAATAATAAGACTAAATTTAAGAGTATACTCTATTTAAGCCTATTTTAATTACTTAGCTCTTTTTCTATTATACCTAATTTTAAATATTTAGACTTTTATATTCTAAAAGTAGTTAGTAGGTATTTCCTAAGTAGTTAGTAAGTAATTTATAACTAATTAAAAGTTCTAGTAGTTTATTATAGTCCTCTTTAGATAGATAGTCTAGAAGACTTATTATATAGCTCTAAAGAAGGCTTCTCTAGCTTCTTATACTAATAGTCTTTAAAATTAAATATTAGAAATAGATATAATAAAATAGTAAAATATACTCTAACTACTATATTACATCCTAATATAGAGAATTAACCTTAAAGAGATATTACCTAAGGCCTAAGTACTTAGTAAGTAGTATTTAATTACTTATTAATATATTATTTTAAGTCTATATCTATTATAATCTTATATATCCTAGTACTATAGAGATAATTAAAGAATATTAACTATCCTAGAATACTTTCTACTAAGGAGAAAACCCTTTTAAATAATAGATAATATTCTTTAATAGAATTAAAGCTTATAAAGATATAAAATAAGATAATAACTAAGAGAAGTACTTAGTAAGTACTCTCTAACTACTTAGAAAGTACTTATTTTTTAACTAATTAAATAGAAATATTATAAAAAGGACCTTATTTATCTCTTTTAAGTAAATATATTTAAAAGATATATCTACTTTAAAAGAAGATAGTATTATAAGTAGTTAAATTTACTCTTTATATATATAAAGAATTATAATTTCTTATAAATTATAGAATATCCTCTAGATATATATCTAAGAGCTATAAATACTTAGAAATTACTTTAAGACTACTTATAAAGTACTTATCTTTATATATAGATTAATTCCTTAGAGAAATATTAGACTATTTATATCTTATCTATTTAGATATAAAAGAAGCTGTTACTTCTAAATAACTATAGTAATTTAATCTTTATTATAGAAACTCTTATAAATATCTATTAATATAGAAGTATTATACTTCTTATAGAAGGCTTTAAGCTAAGGATTTTAAAGAAATTAAGCTATTAAGTACTTAGTAAATACTATATAAGTACTTAGGAACTACTTACTAGTTATTAAGCTAGGGTCCTAGATCTCCTAGATAATCTATCTTACTACTTATAGAATATATTTAGGAGGCTTAGTAGATAGGGGTAGAAGATACTAATAAATACTATATAAGATAAATAGAATATATAGATATTAGGAAATATCTATAGGGACTAAAATATTAAAGATAATATTATAAGGAGTATACTTTAGGTATCTAGAGCCTTATAGATAATTATAATCTAAACTAGTTAGAAAGTACTCTTATAGGAGTTATTAAGTACTTAATAAGTACTTATTATAGAACTTTTACTAAGATACTAGTAGCTTAAAGACACTATATTCTTTAGACTAAGATATAATATCTTTATTAAAAAGCTTCTCTAAGAAATTAAAATTAATAGAAGTATATTCTTAAACTACTCTATAATAATATTTTATTATAATATTAGCTATTTTATTTATATATCTAATATAAGGTATATAATTTCTAAAAATATTCTAAAGTAGTTAGTAAGTACTTAGTAAATACTTAGAAAGTGCTTAAACTATACTAATTATTAATATTTTTTAAATATTAGCTTATATAATAGGAGCTATAATATATAATCTAATCCCCTCTTAAATAAGCTAAGTTTAGAGTAATAATAGCTATTAAGTAATTAATAAATAATTAAGAAGTACTTATAAACTACTTATCTATAGATATTCTATTTCTAAATATTAGATTTAAGAATCTAGATTAATCTCTAAGATTCTTAAATTCTTTTCTAAATACTCTTATCTACTAAGGTATAATAATAAGAAAGAAGAGATAGACTAAGATATTTATAAGCTAGAATATTTAAGTACTTCTATATTTATTTTTTTACTAAATATAATAGGAAAGATAAATAAATATTATATTTTCTCTAGCTAAAGATCTGCTTCTAAGTATATTAAATTTAAGTAGTTTATAAGTAGTTTATAAGTAGTTAAAAAATACTATATAAGTTAGTCTTTTTATATCTCTTATATTATTTACTTTATTTTATTCTATGTATATTATATAACTAGAATAATATATATATAACTAAGAATATAGCTAATAGGATACTTAGGGAGATTATTAATATACTTAGTCTTTAATATTATAAGAGTAGAGATTTTTATATTAATAAGAGAAATTAATAGATATTAATCCTAAGTAGTTAGTAATTAGTTAGTAACTACTTAAAAAATACTTATATTAACTATACTTTATTACTTTATATTATATCTTCTAGCTAGTTAAATAGACTATGATTTAGTATAGAGCTTAATTAAATTAATACTATATTTATAGGGTTAAGTCTTAGCTACCTCTATAATTAATAAATTAATTATGAAGTAGTTACTAAGTACTTAAATAAGTATTTAAAATATTTACTATACTAGAATTTTAGATAGAATAGTAATTTATTATATAGATTATATAAGCTATAAATACTTATTAATAGTCTTAGTAGTCATATATACAGGGTATGGCTTATATAAGCAGTCCAGACTGCTCATGTGAGCTGTGTACACTGCTTTTGGTTACCTCTCTTTTAGCCTGTCATTACATAATCAAGTTTTCCGATCCATACCTCTTTCGGCTCCTGCCTGCTCTAGTTTTTCTCTCCCTGTCTGCTGTTGTATCTCAAAGCTGGTTCTAACTGCTCTCCCATACAGCACGTCACTATCCCCGGCTCTCATCAGCTTTCATCATCAATTCAACGTAAGTAGCACTCCCTGACTTCAGAAAGGAACATCCAAATCACTAGGAGGCTTGATTGAAGTTTGAACGAGCTCGGTGTATTCCGGTGCTGGCCTGCTCGGGGTAGCTCGAATGCTAGCTACCTACCTCAAGAGAGCTTCCTCCCTGCAGCGGAGTGCATTTGTGAGGCCTGAGGCCTGCGGCCAGCGGCTCCCGGAAGGGATTACCTAATCGGCAAAGGTGCGCATTTGGCATGTTTTGGCTGACGGACTCTAGTCCCGTGACCTCCCCGTCCGGCTGCCGTATTGTCCCGCGTCTGCCCCTCCTTTTAGTTCCAGCAGCGAAAAGCAACAATGTTCTCCCGAAGCCTGAGGTCAACAATAACCCCACCTTGCTCGTCCTTCTCTTCTCGTCCCCTCTCCTCCGTCCTCAATTGCAATCAGTCCTCTTTCCTCTCCCTTCGCCGATTTTCCCAAGCTCCATCCGCCATGTCTCAGGTCTTCTTCGACGTTGAGTACGCCCCCGTGGGCACCGCTGCGCGTAAGTTGATGCCATCTCTTTGCTTGCTTGGTTGTACTGGCGTCCTGGATCTGGGGTACGGCTGGACTACTGGACTATCCTCTCCATCCTCCATCCTGTAATTTCAGTGTTGGATTGGAGGTTCTTTTTTCTTTGTCGCTCAGCCTCATTTCATGTCGCTACCGGTGTCCATATCCATTGCCTTTACTTTGTGGTTCGGTTTACTAACGTTCTATCGTTCCGCGCCTATAGCCAAGACGGGCCGCATCGTCTTCAACCTCTTCGATGATGTTGTCCCCAAGACCGCTAAGAACTTCCGCGAGCTCTGCAAGCAGGCCCCTGGCCAGGGTTTCAAGGAGTCCACCTTCCACCGCATCATCCCCAACTTCATGCTCCAGGGTGGTGACTTCACCCGCCACAACGTGAGTTCCTGCCATTGACGGCTTGCCTGTCCCCGCTGGACCGGTTACTCCTCACCGGACCATTGGGGGCGATTGCTTTGTCTCTCTATCAGAATTGGGATCACGAGTACTGACCGGTGGTTATCTCATTTGCAGGGCACTGGTGGCCGCTCCATCTACGGTGAGAAGTTCGCCGATGAGAACTTCAGCCGCAAGCACGAAAAGCCCGGTATCCTCTCCATGGCCAACGCTGGTCCCAACACGTAAGTCAAACCCGCGACTCTGTTTATCTTTTTATTGTCTTCCCGGGCAAGCTTAAAGAATTGCACTAATGCATGGCGTAGAAACGGCTCCCAGTTCTTCATCACCACCGTCGTGACCTCTTGGCTCGATGGCAAGCACGTTGTCTTCGGTGAGGTCGCTGACCAGAACTCGATGCAGATCGTCAAGGAGATCGAGGCTCTCGGCAGCAGCTCCGGTGCTGTCCGCTCCGCCACTCGTCCCAAGATCGTCGACTGCGGTGAGCTGTAAGCGAATAATAAAGGGGAATTAGCGATTTCCATTCAGCGGGACCCCCGAGGCTCTGACGACCAGAAGCGAAGCTTACGGCTCTCCTTCACTTTACTAAACCAGGCTTCGGGGATCTCGTCGTCTTCTTTCTTGCGTGGTGTAATCTAGAACTGTTTCCGATGTCTTAGCCAAGCATGCCTCTTTACCATTCCCATCTCCGTGCAATGCAATGCATCTGTGCCTGTAATCTGTTCAATGTTTGATTGCCTATATGCTGGGTCATATCTTGATTGTAATTAAATCTCCTGCTAATCGGGGGCGCAAGAATCGTGGATGACAGAGCAAAAGGAAGATCAGCAGGCTTAGTCCGGGTTCGGATTTAAGCAAGCCGAGAATTGGTCCTGATGATGATGGACCCGGGATATCTAGATATGCTTCCACGGCCGTGGAGCGACTCCCAAAGCCACTTGTCATTCTTGCGGACGATGTGATATCATTAATCTAAGGACATTAACTAGAACTATTTCCACGAGTCTCTCGAAGATCTGTCGTGCTCCCCCCTCCACTCTGTAGGTATCATATTTAGTGAGCAAAAAGATGCAAGCCGCTTGCAACCGCAGCAACAAAGATTATTCAAATCGAGGACTAAAGTGGACCACGGCTCAGCTCAGATGAGCAGCACTGTAACACACCCGCCCCGTATCGGTTCCGTTGTACCGTCGCCATCTTCCCGTATGTACGAACGCAATACAATCTAGCCACAGCACTTGGTGACAGTAGTTGCATCGTTCCTGATTCGCGGTAGTGGTTAGCGGCGAGTCTCTGCGAGATACACTGAGGGAAGGGGGGGGCGGGGGAAGACGTACTCCTTTTGCAAGTTCAGCGGCTCCCAGGAGAAAATGAACGAGCCCAGGAACGCGCCGATGAAGATGCAGATGAGGATGTAGCCGTTGTAGTACATGGCGAGCAGCATGACAAAGTACGCGATTGCGAACTGGAGCATGTGCAGCAGGGCGCGGACGAGCTGTTCGACTACCGTGGGGCGGACGGGGGTCTGGTCCTCGAATGTGCTGCAGGTGGTCTGCGCCGCGGCCTTTGCGGGGGCGCCGTGTGTGCTGGAGCCTTGGTCGGCCGCGGCAGCGGCGAAGGAGTCGGTTGCTGGGTCTGTGGTGGTGTTGAGGGCTTGGGACGAAGAGGTTGCGGAGAGATATTGCTTGCGGAGACGGGCGCGGCGGACGATGAAGGCGTCGTACTCGCGGCCGACGCGGCGGAGGAATTCCAGGCAGAGCACGAGGCAGATGACGCCGATGCAGGAGCCGGCGAACATCCCATTCGAGGTGATGCGCCATGATCTAGCGATGAAGCCTGGAAAGGGGTGCTGGTGTTAGGAAGGCGGATAGAGCAAAAAAAGAAAAAGTGTGTCTGGGTTGGTAGGGGTGGAGCTTACAGGAATCGATAGTGTACCAGTTCCACAGCATCTGCGCGGTTGATGACGGTCAGCTTATCTTACAGACATTTAAAGTAGTGACTGCGTCAGAGCCCCGCATACCGAGATCTTGCAGGCGTTCCCGCCCATGCCTCCCATGCCCCCCATACCCGAGGGTTTGGCAGTGCTCATGGCGGCCCCAGCGGTAGAGGTTGCAGTCATCACCATGCTGGTGGCCATGGACATCACAGTGTCCGTTGCATGGTCCATATGATCCATCGTGAAGTATAGAGTGTAAACACAGAGCTCTTGATAGCTTGAGAGGTCTTCAGAGGCACTCGCGGCGGCAAATCAGTCAATCCCTGAACTGGCGATTAACAGGCAAAGGGAGGATGAAGAAGAAGGAGGAGAGAAAGACAGGGGGGAGCGAGAAAAGAGGAGAAAGAAGAAGAAAGGTATACAAGCGGTTAGATAGGTCGATGTGCCACCTTGGGAGACGGTGTGAAGTTGTACGAGGTACAGACAGGGTCCCCACGGCATCTCAGCTGGTGGACCAGCCATCTCTCTGGGCAGTGAGCTGATTTTCTCCGCTTTTCCTTCGTTTCTTCTGCTTGATTGCCTGTGATTGTCTGATGTGGTGATCCATTTAACAAATTTGTGTTCGAATGGCCCCAATCTGGTCCCTGCTCAGGAAAGCTGGCTGCAGAGCCAAGCGTTTTAGGGTTTGACTGCGAGCGGAATTGAGCACATTTTGTTTTTTTTTTTTCTTGGTCCAGGGTATAAACGAGCTGCAAGGCTGGAATCCTGTACTTCCCTGTATGATAATGATTTAGTTGAAGCAGGAAGAAAGATACGCAATTTGGACAAGAAAATAACAGATGAATTGAAAATAGCAGTAAAAGACAGGAACATCGATACAATCATACCACCCGCACTCCGTCTACCATAACCAGTACGCCCAACAACACCCTTAGAGTAGGCAGGTATAAATGCAGGGTATAGAAAAGAGAAAGTTCAATCACCATCTCGGGTTTGAGCACTTGCACAGTGCACGGTTGCGAACGTTTGCGTAAAATAGGAACTATACTCCCCGGCTCGATCCTTTAATGACTCCTTCTAAGATCTCGCGGATTTGCTTGCATCCATCAATTCCGACAGCAAGCATCGTCTCAAGATATGTGCAGTGAACCTTGGAGTCCATCACCAGCATAGAAACCTTCATGTCGTCTTCATCGTCGTCCATCGCATCTTCACCCACGGGGATGGCGGTCGTTGTCCCCACTGTCAAGAACGGAAGCTCCTGCTCTTCGGGCAATGATAGGTCCAGAAGAGGATCCAAGAAGTCGTTTCGAGGGTCACGTGGCGTCGAGGCACTGCCGCTCATGCCGGATGTGCAGGCAGAAAGAAGACCCGGCATTGGGATACCTGCATCCACGAGCGCCAGTGTGCAGGCATTGACAGCTGCCGCGAGAAGTGATCCGTCGGATGATAGGACAGAGACATGAATGCTTATTGTGCTGTGCGGATAGAGGTGGGTGTGAAGATGCGACTGGAAGGCAGAGCGCAATATCGTCGCAATTCGCGAGGATTGCCTGAGTAGAACATGTCAGTATGGGACGGCCACAAGGGCATGATGATTCCCAAGCCATTGTAGGGGTATCATTCATACCTGTCGCTTCCTCCCGCCCGTCTCTTGCGGTCGACGCCTGCAAACCCGGCAACGTTGACATCCACCTCGACGATAGCCCCCGCAGAACCCGCGGCTCCTCCTGTCGCATCTCCTCTCTTGCCTTCTGCCGGACCGTGAACAGAGCACATGATAGATGTATTTCCCATGGACAAGAAGGACGACCCAGAACTGGCGGGGTTCGTGGAAATCTGGGCGGAAAGGAGTCGGAGCTCGTTCCAGCGGCGGCCATCGAGGCGCAACTTCGTGAGAGGATATGTTGTAGACGTGTCGAGAGGCATTCTGAAGTCTTCAAATTGCCAAAGCGCGACGGTTTGTTGTTGAACTGGGCAACTGCTTCCCCGCACTGTCTGTCGAGAGCGCAAGAAAGAAAATTTCTGAAGAAGTTCCGGTGACGTGACACTGAGGATATAGACCAAAACAGCTAAGAGAGTTTTTTATCGAGAGAAGAGGAATTGAAATTTAGTTCCAACCGAATAGATGTTAATCAACGGCGTAAATCAAGAGAGAGTGACAAACGGGGGATGGAAGAGGAAGCGGACAGATTCAATCTGCAGAACAAATTGGACAGCTCTTTTCCCAGTCAGGAAATCCCGTGCTGATAACAGGCCGACAATCTGATCTCCGCATTAATATTCCGACTCTACTTTTCTACGCATCTAGACACAACAGTCCATCCGCTGCGATTCTTCTCCTCTTGGCCATCAAGATGGGCGGAGACTGGGAGCTGCAGGATACGGATGCCTCTACTGTTGATCCTTCCGACGACGATGATCTCGAGGCGACCTACATTTCCCGACCCTCTGTGCCAAGTTCCTCTCGGGGTATGCTTCTCCGCATCTCACACTCCAGACGGGGCTATGAGATAATCTAACGGCTTGCAGGCACAGATCATGTCGCGAGGATCGATCCAGATACACCTCGTCCCGCGTCTAGAACCCCAATCAAGCAGCCTTCATCGCCGGCTGAAGTTGATAGCACCTTGATCAACATCACCGAGTCGGACAGTGGTGAAGACTCATTCAACGATGGCGAAGCCACGTATAAGCAGTTCAAGGAAAGGAAATCGTTGAAACGGAAACGGAGCGCAGCAAACCTACGAAGGGAGAAGAAACCACGCGTGGCAAACCCAGAGTCCTTCGTTGGTCGAAGGCCCAAACGAGACGAGAATACTCCACGATCGAGACCAGTTCTGAGGAAATTAGAGGAAGAAGCCTACTCTGACGATGAGCTGATGGAATATACTCTTCCTGATTACTTACAGAAGCGCCGGGCACATTTCGATCGGCGGATGGAGCATCTCAAGCAATCTGGTCTGAAACTGCCACCGGACTTCAACGAGGTGGAATTCTCCGACGACGAACAACTTGAATTTCTGAAAGAAAGACCTGCTTTTAGGAATATGAAACCTTGTGGAAAGTACGAAGATATCACTCTCCCATACTCCCTCGGTTTAATCCCAGCCCCGGTTGCGCAGTGGTTGCGCCAGTACCAGGTTGATGGGGCTGCATTTCTACATGAACTCTTTGTCTATCAAAAAGGAGGCATTCTCGGGGATGATATGGGCCTGGGAAAGACGGTGCAAGTAATTGCATTTCTTACCGCTGCTTATGGAAAGACAGGGGACGAGAGAGACGCAAAGAGGATGAGGAAAATGAGACGAAGTGGGCAAGACCGGTGGTACCCGCGGACCTTGATCGTGTGCCCGGGGACTCTGATCCAGAATTGGAAATCGGAGTTCAACCGCTGGGGCTGGTGGCATGTGGATACATACCATGGCGACAACAAAGAGCTTGCCTTGCAAGCGGCGAGGTCCGGTCGCGTGGAAATCCTGATAACAACCTATGGTACGTATTTGCACAATAAGGATGCCGTGAACATGGTCGACTGGGACTGTGTCGTTGCCGACGAGTGCCACATCATCAAGGAACGAAGCTCGGAGACGACTAAGGCCATGAACATGATCAACGCACTTTGCAGAATTGGATTGACGGGCACTGCCATTCAAAACAAGTATGAGGAATTGTGGACTCTTCTTAACTGGACCAATCCTGGCAAGCTTGGCCCTGTCACGACCTGGCGACGAACTATTTCTGAGCCTCTGAGAATCGGACAGTCCCACGACGCTACGCTCTATCAGCTAAGCAAAGCTCGCAAGACGGCCAAGAAACTCGTAGAGAACCTTTTACCTCAGTTCTTCCTCCGACGTATGAAGACCCTCATTGCGGATCAGCTTCCTAAGAAGAGCGATCGGGTCGTATTCTGTCCGCTTACCGACACCCAGGCGAGTGCGTACGAGAATATCCTAGACAGCGATATCATTCAGTACATCAAAGCATCTACCGACAAGTGCGATTGTGGCTCGGGAAAGAAGGCTGGCTGGTGCTGTCGCAAGTTTCTTCCTTCAGGAGGCCAATGGCAGAACTATGTATTCCCTGCCATTGCCATACTCCAGAAACTCAGCAATCACCTTGCAGCTCTCATAACGCAAGGGTCAGACTCTTATGAGAAGCAGGAGAAGGATAAAGAGATGCTGGAGATAGCAGTGCCAGATCAATGGGAGCAGCTCTATCGAACACGGGATTCCATTGTGAATTATGCGAACCCCGAATTCTGCGGCAAATGGAAGGTTCTCCGCAAGCTACTCAAATGGTGGCATGCAAATGGGGACAAAGTTCTAGTCTTCTCACACAGCGTCCGTCTACTCAAAATGCTTCAGATGCTGTTTCACTACACCAGCTATAACGTCAGTTATCTCGACGGCTCGATGAGCTATGAGGAGCGGACTAAAGTCGTTGACGATTTCAATTCCGATCCCAAGCAGTTTGTCTTTCTCATATCGACTCGGTCTGGAGGAGTGGGATTGAACATCACATCAGCTAACAAAGTCGTCGTCGTCGATCCGAACTGGAATCCCTCCCATGACCTTCAGGCCCAGGATCGAGCGTACCGTATCGGCCAGTCACGGAACGTCGAAGTGTTCCGCCTAATCTCAGCGGGGACGATCGAGGAGATCGTCTACGCCCGCCAGATCTATAAGCAACAGCAGGCCAATATCGGCTACAACGCCAGCTCCGAGCGAAGATACTTCAAGGGCGTCCAGGAAAAGAAAGACCAAAAAGGCGAGATTTTCGGACTCAACAATCTCTTCGAGTTCCAGAACAACAACATCGTCCTCAGAGACATCGTGAACAAAACCAACGTCGCCGAGAGTCGGGCCGGCGTCCAGGTCATGGACATCGCCGTGGATGAAAACGGCACAAGCACCACCATGCCGGAGAAAACCAAAACCAAAGGCCAAGACGACGAAGTCATGAGCCAGCTCGCAGCCATGATCCGCGGGGACACCGCCGACGCCGACAACGCTGACGACACCGCCTCCAAACCCGCCGCCACAATGACACCTCAGAAACACGATCCCATCCAGGCCATCCTCGCCGGTGCCGGGGTCGAATACACACATCTGAACAACGAAGTCATCGGCTCCTCAAAGGTCGAAGAGCGCCTCAGCCGCCGCGCGGAACTCGCCGACGAGAAGCTGGGCGACGTGCAGGTCTTTGGATCCTCGCAGGGTGGGACGGGCCCTCAGCGCGTCGCAGACCGGGACGGCCGGCCGGCCCGGTACAAGTTCCATCCGCCGCGTAATGTGATGAAGCGGCAGTTCTGTAGCATGGCGAAGCGGTTTGGGTTTGCGAATGCGACCGAGTTTGCGCTCGTGGTGGAGGGGATGACGCAGGCGCAGAGACGAGCGTGTCTGGATCGTTGGTATACGGAACGACGAGAGATTCTTGGAAGGGGCACCTGATGGTTTGATTTTACGAATATGGAGTATGGATACGGAGCTATGCGTTTTGTTTGTGTGCAAGATACCCCTGGAGTTTGGTTTTGTCAAATTTGCTTATACATAGTTTAATTGGGTTGGCAATGTTATGTTGTTTTATGGCAGATTACACAGTATGAACATAATGTTGAGCAAGAAATGCAAGGTCAAATGGTGGGTTATATTGTGGGGAGGTATCTACTGCTACAGCCAGGACAAAGTCCACAAAGCTGGCAAGTTAGGCCACGTCTCTTGCCATTGAGCAAGTATGTCAGGAACCCTTTCGTCAAAGCTCCTCCGAGCTTCGCCGGTACCGTTCTCCCAACCCTCAGAGCCATGCGCCTTGCGTTCTTGAGTAGCAGCATCATTAAGTCTGCCAGCAAGATCGAGGATAGCTTTCCCTCCAACCAGAGCCTCTTCATGATTATCTTTGATATCGACATTGAACACATGAACGGGCCGGTTGAGAACCGCGCCCTTGTTCATGAGATCGTCGACAACGGCATCCCAGCACCGCTCCTCGCAGGTGATGATGACGTCGACAGCGCCTCCTTCTGTACCCAGGGCACCTTTGTCGCCTTTCGATACATGGTCCACACGCGGCATCCCCGGAACCCAGTCCTGGAAGCGCTCGGGGCCCCATTTCAGGTTGCGGTTGCGGTCGAGCATGTTTAGAAGTCCATTGTTACGGTAAAGCCGCTCATCCTTGGATTGGAGCTCATCGTACATTTGAGAATACGAGGTAGTGTTGAAATGGTAGACATTAGGTTGAGTGATGGTAGGGCCCGGCAAACGGACCAGAGAGCCTGTCCCGAATGAGATAACGGGGTAGGGAGCGGTTGAGAGCCGGAGGTGAGCCTCCATCGACCGATTCTGGTTCGATGCACAGACAGTACAGAACTTCAACTTGAACGATTCTGACTGCCCTGGTACGGCTGCTTCTGCGGCCTGCGCCTCGCCAACCCCCGCCGTCGAGGACTCCGGTGGAGGAGGAGGCGGTGGGGGAGGGGGATTGGGGGTGGCAGTGCCCGCACTGGATAGTCTTGGACCATGAGCCATGTTGATAGACAATGGCAAGATATTTATGAGATCCCAGGTAAGATGTGTTATTCTTGGTAGGGCCAAAGAGCCGACTTGGCGTGGGAAAAATCAAGGAGGCTGGAAAATGTTTTCACTTATTCCTTGCAAGAACTATTTCTGTTAGCAATGCTCGAGAATTTGAGGAAATCAAAGCAAGCAAGGCAGAGTATTGAGAATATTTCAGTTATAAATGCGTATGTAAAGGTTGTCCGCATCATGTAGCTAGGACAGCTCCAATATATAAAGAGTTCATCATAAAAGGGTATCGCGTGGGATAGTTTGGGGGATCATATCTAGAGTACAGTGAGTACATACCTTGGAAATACCTCTCATTATCCGTATTTCAGGATGAGACTGCTGTACTGTGATTTAGGGGAAGATAGATGATGAATGGACGAGGGCCGCAGCCCTGATAACGGGGAGTGAAGAAGTTTGAGTGTGTTTTTGCTTCACGCGAAGCTTTTGGTGCTAGTCTGCTTAGTCAGTAGAAGCTCCATCCAGTCGCTAACCACTTCAGTATCACGTGATTATACTGTGTAGTACTACGAAGTAGGAACCTATGATTTTGTGTGCCCGAGAGATACTGGCATACTTACTATCATACGGCATCAATTTACAGTTATTTGCTTTGTGGATGTAAGGATAGATACCGTTCTTCCTTCAATGGAAAGGAATGTCGTCACATGATTTCTGTACTAGTCCCTCTGCAAGCAAGTTGTATATCTACCTGACAACATCCATCACCAGTTCCACAAATCTGATACTCTACAACTTCCCCTCGTTCTCTATTCTTGAGACTATGCTGATTTAGGAGCCAGGTAAGGACGCATTTATTCCAGAAACCCAGGGCTGTCGAGCGACTCAGACGACAAGAACGGAGTTACCACCAGAAAGTGACTGGCTGCCAGAGAAGCAATATCATTGAGACATCTGCACCTACAACTGAGGGGTACAAAACCCAACTTCAAGATGAGAGCGGCTTTACTAGTAGTAGACATGCAAGAAGACTTCTGTCCACCAGTAAGCGATACACCCACCACTGCATCTGTTCTTCTCCTACCCATGGACCCAAAACTGATCGTAACAGGATGGGTCACTCACAGTTCAAGAAGGTCGTGCAATTGCCCCAATAATCAACACTCTGCTCGCCAATCCTGGCTTCGTGATCCGCGTGGCATCGCAAGATTACCACCCACCAGACCACATTTCCTTCGCAAGCAACCACACCCCACCCAACAACCGCCCCTTTGAGTCATTCGTCCAGATGGCTAATCCAGCACCTGGTAAGCAGGCGGAGACCAAGGCTCAATTGCTCTGGCCCGTGCATTGTGTTGCAGACACCAAAGGCGCCTCAATCATTCCCGAGATCGATAGTAGTAAGATCGATGTGCATGTGAAGAAGGGGATGGATGCGCGCGTGGAGATGTACTCCATGTTCTCCGATGCGTTCGGAAACCTTGATCCGACACTCACTGCTCGGTCGGTAGACGTTGACATCAAGGCAGTGCTGGTGGAGAGAAACGTCACGCATGTGTTCACTGTTGGGCTCGCGGGGGATTACTGCGTCAAGTGCACCGCCATTGATGCCGCGCGGGCAGGCTTCAAGAGTTACCTCGTTGAGGATGCGACTCGATGCGTTGATCCTGGTGCGGGATGGGAGGCAGCCAAGCAGGAATTCCAGGCGGCTGGAGTATCACTCATTCGATCGGATGGGCCTGAGATTGCGACACTCGTATCATCCTGAGCGCTGTGTCATCTGCTAGTTTTCTGGAGCAAGGAATAACTAATTGGTAATAGAAGAATAGAGTTGTTGAACGATGGAGTTTCATCTTGGCGCATATTCTTCCACGTTTCGAGTGCTTGTACTTTTATTTATCTAGAACCTGTCATCCCCCTTTCACGTTGAATATGACAGGTTTGAATATGACACTTTCTCCACTGCGGAGAACTTCGACACGATATTGGTACGGATAAGTAGGCTTCCTTTCCTATGCTGAACTTTTTTTTTCAATGTTCTATCGCTAACATCCAGTGGCAATTATTGCATGAATTTATACAAGAAGTCTCTCATCAGGTCTTTGAAAAAGATCTCCAATGTACTTCTGAATATATGTGTGGCAAATGATCTGAAGACAGATGACCACCACAGATACCATCAATGGTTCAACGGCTCAACCCCCCTATAGTATCATTATCTACTAGATAATGGGCCTGCGGGTCCTTTATCTGGCGATCCTTTCTGATGATCAATGACCAGTTGCCACGCGGATCACCACAGCGAGCTCTCCCCTTGCTTCAATCCAGGAGCAAGCCAATTTCGACTCTGAGAAGGTTCATCAACGGCCATAAAGAATGCATCGTTCCTCTTAGCATGTCATTATCACCACTATTTTTAAGTTTAGTCTACTGAGTGGAAGTTCTCCAACTGCTATATCTGTTTCTGCCCCGAACAATCTCTCTCTCTCTTTGAACGTAAGGGAGCCAACCATACGCCATGTCAACGACGACAGGATTCTCAACACCCGCCACCACCTTCGGTGAGAGGCTTGAGCTGTTCGATGTCAGCAGATCAACTGCACGTCCGAATGGAGGTAGCAATCTGGCCAACACTCTTCCGTATTGGCTGGTCAATGTGCCCCGGACCCAGTGGCCAGCTGACTGCCCTGCGTTTCTTCAAGATCTGCCGGCAAAGTCTATTGCAATTTTGTCGACGCCAGACGAGCAGTACAAGCGGCAGGATTGGGAGACCGTGAAGGAGATAGTTAGTGAGTTAAATCGCGGGGAAGGAGCGGTACCTATCCAGTGGGCATATGCGCTGACCAAACTTTCCAGGAACCAACCGGATCGACCGGTTTCAGCGGCTTCCGAGTGACCTGCGAAAGTATCTAGAATTCAAGGCGCATGTTGTCGCCAAGTACGGGTCGATCATGCGTTTTGTGGTCAAGAAGAGGCTCCGCTGGGGAGAAGGGTACGCGGAGGATCTGAAGCCGAAGGGACGGCCGTTTGAGTGCGATGGTGAGTGGATCTCTATACATCAGCGTCTTGTAGCGGGATTTGGCTGGTTGAGCTAGAGTCTGACAAGGGAATGCTCACAGATGACATCAAGATCCTATTCAATGACTGGCCGTATGGGGTTGAGGAAGGCATTATTCATCTTGTGGTATGGACCAAGTTTGAGTTGGAGGATGATCCTGTCACGGATGATTTGACGCCTCAGGCGAGGAAGGAGATCGATGACTTTGTGAAGAAGAATTTCTGCTCCAGAGTACCAGCGGAACAGGTATGCTTACTCTTTTTGGTCCGGGGGGAGCAGCAGAGGCTAAAATTTGTGGACAGGTAATCTGGTTCAAGAATTGGAGATCACTGAAGTCAGTGCATGCGGTTGAACACTTTCATGTCATGCTCTACCGGCCGGACATTGAGTTTGTAAAGGAGATCACTCAAGGAGATGAGCCTCTCCTGATCAAGGCGTGAACTGGGAATCAGTATGCTTTGTTTCTCTGGGATAAGCCAGCTATTCTCTATAGATGGTCATACTTTCTGTGGTACAAGACAGGGAAAACAGGAGGGCAATAATCGGTGAGAGGGCATCAGACTAGACAGACATCGCGAGAACCACATCTAGAATAGATTCTATAGCAAACATGATCTAGCATATCCATGGGTTTTGGTATGCAAGCCGAGGTTTTCCCAGTTAGAATTATACGAGAGACCGCCACTGTTGGGACATCTGTAGAATCGTCCAGAGCCTGATCAAGGCCAAGGCAGTGCTTGGCCCTTGTTGATGTACAGAACTAAGCCTAACTGAATGTGGTATGAGCAATGATCAGACAGAAGTGGTATATCTAGATGACCAACAGAAATCACAAAATCCTAGTTAGTTGGTGGGCTGTGCATGTAGCGCCCTTTACTCAGGCCTTTGGCAGGGATAGTCAGAAACAACTGACGTGGTTCGTGGTATGGAGGCAATATGACATCGCTTATGAGTCTTTGCCATGAGCATGAGTCAGATTCTCAGGGCCCAAATGAGAATGTTCTAGGCTTAAGAACAAGGCTGCAGCGCCCACTTGATAAAATGTATTGTAAGTAAGTAAAGAAATCATCGAGACCCACCGTTATTCTGATATCATACATCAACATGGGCTGCAGCAGAGTGAGTATCTACAAGTCCATGAAAAAACGCAGGAGATATATATCCCAATCACACATATCCAATCTCGCAGTGCACAGAGCTAACAGAGCGATTCCAGATTGCCCCTGAGTTCCTGAAACGCATGAAGCGCGATCCCTCTGGCAAAGGGTTCACCCATCTTGGCAAGGATGGCGTACTGCGTACCATCTCGGGTGATTATGAGGTTCTTGACGCGCGTGGCCTTGACCCTGAGCAGATCAAGTTCTTCTTGGATTGGACGCCTGACGAGCTGGTCAAGAAAGAGGAGTTCGATAACGTGGATGGTACAAAAGTGACAGGTCACGAAGCACTATTCCATCCAGCGCCGGGGATCTTGCTGAAGAAACCCGAGGGTCTATAAGCATTAAGCAGAATGAGGGGAAGAAGAACAGTGGAATCTTTCCGCTGTCGGGGGTTCTCTCTATGTGCCATCATCCAGGGAAGATTCAAGTTCTGTCCGAAGATATATTCATGTTGCCACACATCGCCTCATACATGATAGCTTGAATGTTATTTAGATGGTCATGGATAAAAAATCTCCTATGACCCTGAGAAGTTAGTATTAAGAGGGGGTAACAACCAACAAGCCTCACTCCTAGGCTTGATTTAGTGAGTAGACTGATGCCATAGTAACGACATGGTTATTTTAGTGGGATCGTTGGGCATAGAAACTGATTGGTCGATCCTTGCTTACTCACCGCTCTGGCTGGTAGACCCTGGCATAAAACAGTGTAGGTACTCCGTATACAAGATCTTGTACTCCGTACAGCAGGAAAGATGGAGAGACAGAGACTCGTCAAGAATGAATATATAAATTCATGAAACACCGAGCATACTGCTCCGGATGCTCGCAGCGTCTATCCGGATTTTTGACACCTCCTAAATATTCCGAACCAGCGGCTGAGTTCTGTAGTCGGCAACGTCTCAGTTGAAGTTCTCCACTCCAGCACTTTTAGTACTTAGTTGTACAGCTATCTTGGTGTATAATATTGACTTCTACTAACAGAAATCAGAATAGCATGGGCATTAATATGAGCATTAGGTCAAAAAAAGCTGTAATGAAAAAGTATGGATGCCACAATACTCAAGCGAGAAAAGAAAAAATAAAAAATAAAAAAGCTGTTGATCATATAATTCTTGCCCCCCAAAGCATCCAAGCATCCCAGCGTCCAACATTTAGCATTCAGCATTCAGCATTCAGCATTCAGCATTCAGCTCCATCGGTAGATCTTCATCGCTTGAAGCTTTATAGCTCTAGAGCTTTACGGCCCACAGTCTCTCTCCCCAAAGCAACCACGAGACTCGTCAGCTGGTTTCGCCTATATATTGATTGATATTACAGAAGAGAAGAAGATTAAGACACCTGGAGAAGAAGAAAAGAAAAAAGAAAAGAACCCCAAAGCGACATTATTATTCTAAGACCCTTTCTTCTTTTTCTCTTCTGGCTCTTCACGTGGTCCCCTCTCTCTCTCTCTCTCTCTCTCTCTCTCTTTTGCTCGTCGTCTGCCCCTCTCCCTCTCTCAACTATCGATTCTCCCTACGCGACAACCATACTCTCGTCACCGTCATCATTCCTATTGCTCTGACTTCTTTAAAATACTACTATTACTCCAGTAGCACCATGGCCATATCTGTCCCGCTTATCCGCCGCCGGTCATCAGCAGCCACTGCCAGTGAGTGCGCCAAACAATACCGAGATTATTGTTCCTCTTTATGAAGGATGATGACTACTTATGCGTCTTTTTATCCTCCGGTGCCCCACGTCATTCCTCCTCTTCCTTTCCTCCCGCATGCGCTTTGGTTACTACTGTTATCTTTATCAGCATCTTCTCTCCCCTCTCCCTTTTTTTTTTTTTTTTTTTCTCCCCCTTTCTGTGGTTTGCGTTGCATCTCATAAATATATATAAAATAGTCATCTCTCCACGAGTACACCTTGGATTCCATCATGTCCACTGACTGGGGTTCTTTTTTCCATTCTTCAGGTACACGATCCTCCATGGATGAGCCTAAGCCGGAATCCGGCAGCGGGGAGGATGAGATCGTTGAGCCTGACCAGGGTAATGGTATGTAATTCAATAGCTGTGCAATAATCGCAATAGGCAGAGCAACAACCGGAAGAAAAGTCCTCTCTATAAACAAAATTCTAACCACTGTCCTTTAGTGCTCTCTCATATTATCTCCCAGCTCCGACCGGGCGCCGACCTGAGCCGGGTTGTACTGCCTACCTTCATTCTGGAACCTCGCTCCATGTTGGAGCGAATCACCAAGTAGGTCCCTTGCGGTCTCACAGATAGATCCTCTGCTAATTTGCGAACGTGATTGGTAGCTTCATGGCTCATCCGGAGACCCTTCTACCCATGCCTGACATCGATGATCCTATCGAGCGCTTCGTGTCCGTCGTCAAGTTCTACCTGAGCGGATGGCATATCAAACCTCCGTACGTACAGTTACTGTGTCCTGTGCATTTAAAAGAGAAGATAGATCGGTTTTGACACGTATTCCGCAGAGGGGTCAAGAAGCCGCTGAATCCGATTCTCGGAGAGACATACACCTGTTACTGGGATTATCCCGATGGCACAAAAGGATACTACATCTCCGAGCAGACCTCGCACCATCCTCCCAAGTCGAGTTATTTCTTCATGGCCCCAGAACACCACATTCGCATCGATGGGACACTGAAACCCCGCAGCAAGTTCTTGGGTAACTCGGCCGCGAGTATGATGGAGGGAGTTGCCATCTTGCGTTTCTTGAACCGTGGTCAGAATAAAGAAAAGGGTGAACGATAGTATGTAGAGCCCCCGCATATCATCCTTGCAAAACCTCATAAGGTTGCAATTTTAGTCAAACCAATTGCTGACTGAACTTGCGATAGCATCCTCACACAGCCCAATATGTACGCTCGGGGTATCCTCTTCGGCAAGATGAAATATGAGCTCGGTGACCACAGCTATATCCGATGCCCGGAAAACCACCTGGTGGCCGATATTGAGTTCAAGACCAAGGGATACTTTTCCGGCACCTACAACGCAATTGGTGGGACCATCAGAAACGAGAAGACCGGAGAGGTATACTACGAGCTTTCTGGACTATGGAATGGAGAGATGCACATCAAGGACGTCCACGTGCGTAATATCGATTTCGAGTTTTGCTCCAAGAATCAAAATGCTGACAACGGCATAGACACATAAGAAAGACCTCTTGTTCGATGCCACACACGCAAAACATGCACCCCCCTTGACTAGACCAATTGAACAGCAGGGAGAGCGCGAATCACAGCGATTGTGGCAGAGCACGGTCAAGGCGATCATCGCTCGCAACCATGAGGCGGCAACGGATGAAAAGACCAAGATCGAAGACCGGCAACGCGAGGAGGCCGCAAAACGGGCCGACGATGGTGTGGAATGGCATCCAAGGCTCTTCCGTCCTGTCGAAGGAGGCCCCGGAGGCCCGGATGAGGGAGAGGAAGACCTGGACTGGATCATCAGCGCGCATGTGTGAGTTTAACACCATCTCCCCTTGCATTTTTGTCGTCTTCAAGGATAGAAGTCAATCGCTAACTATTACTAGCGACTCACACAATCCCGAACTCGCCACGAAGCAGATCCTGTCCATTGCTCCCATCCTAGACGGTCAGAAGGAAAACAGTCAGTTCCAGATCCCCCCGCACGCACCAAAGCAAACGAAGCAACATGTTGCCCCCACATCCGAAACTGCCAACACAGAGAACGGTGGCGCTGATGCTGTGGCAACCCCATCAGACGCACCCCACCCCACCAAAACCCAAGAACCCGTGGAGCGCAAGGACTCTCGAACATCGGAAGTCGACGAGTATGTTGACGCAGAGGAGAAATAAAAGACCGGGGTTATACAAAATCCACGTAAACAAAATCATCTCACGGCCCAATCCTCTACTCCTCTTCTGTCACCTTGAGGAACGCTGTCCGCATCCATCTCGCTTCCGCCTCACCCAAGCAAAAGCTGAACCTCAAGCAGTCCTTTCGCCGGAGACAAGCAGATGATGAAACCATGCCATGGTAGTCAACCTGCCAGGAGAGAAAGAAGGAGTTTAATGAATTCCCCACGACCCTCTACAGCATAATCCGACGCGCAGCCGACGGGATATCGCCCTTTCTTGACTTTTATGTTTCAACACATTCCATTCCAATCTTCTTGCTAATCTTTTTTTGTTTTTTTTTCACTTTCTATTTATGCTGATTGAATGCGTCGCCTGTCCTGGGATACCCGATTTGAGATTTTGTGAAGTGACGATGGAAACATGGTGTAAGGTTGGAACGGAAAGCAGGCTGCGAGCAGACAAGACGGTGATGGACGATGTTTTAATATGACGTGCATGTAGGTGGTGAAATTCTTTAAAAACACAACAACAAAACGGACCGCGGGGGGGGGGGGGGTAGGATAGGGAGGATTTAATGCAGTAATATAGGAACTCAACTCTCTACAGTGATTCAGGGAATATCATGCCATGGACAAGTTGGTTTTGTTTTTATTTATTTTTGGATTCCCGAGTCTGTCTCTGTCTATCTAAAGCAGCGGTCGAGTTCATAGAGTATTATACAAGGAAGTGTACAAAGAGAAAGAAAGAACCACAGTATCTGTTCTGGGATATCATTAGACCAAAAGAAAGAAAGAAAAAAGAAAAGAAAAGAGGTCAATGGTCAACCCCCAACGCCCCGAGCACCCAGTTTCCCAGTCCCGACCCAAATCCCGAATGATAGAAAAAGGAAATAAATACCAAGATGATGGAGAGGCCAACCATCATGCATACAGTTCCCCACGGGTCCCCAGACCCTTCTCGAGCTCCCGCCGTCGACCGGCCTTGGCCACTGTGCCGCCGGCGCCGTCCCGCTCCTCGCGCTCCTCTTCAAGCATGGCGGTGGCCTCCTCAATCTCCTTCTCCGTGTCCTCGCGCAGGCCCAGAATGTCCGGGGGGATGAAGCTCATCTGCACGCTGGGGGCGCCCTTGATGTAGCGGAGCTGCTCGTGGACGGTTTGGACGAGGCTGGCGAGGTACTGGCGGGTATTCTTGTTTTCGAGCTTGCGCATCTCGGACAGGGGCGGGAAGAGGGAGTAGTCTGGGCCGAAGTGGTTGCGGAAGGCGACGGTGTCAGGGATGTTGGGGTCGATGAGGTCCTGGGCGTCGATGAGGATGGAGGTCTCGTGGGCCCAGGCGCGGGACACGTTGCGCGGGGTGTAGCCGCCGCCGCCGACGACGAGCATCGGGAGGCCAAAGGTCTTGACGAAGGCGACGCAGGCGCCGTGGGCGCCGACGTTGAGGTTGAAGCAGCCGAGGCGGTCGCAGCCGAGCGAGTCGGCACCGCACTGCAGGACGATGGCGCCGGGATGGTAGGTGTTGATGCAGGGGCCGATGACGTCGCGAAAGAGCTGGATGTAGGACTCGTCGTCAATGCCGTCGTTGAGGGGGACGTTGATAGCGTGGTGGGCGCCCGGATTGAGCGGGTGGGTGGGGCCGTTGCTGTCCAGAGGGCCCGTGCCGGGGAAGAAGTTGTCGCGGTCGTATTTGTGGAAGGAGACGGTGAGGACGCGATCGGTCGACCAGAAGGCCTGCTCGACGCCATCACCGTGGTGCACGTCAATGTCGATGTACATGACGCGCGGGTGGTGCCGCAGCAGCTGCAGGACGCCGAGGACGATGTCGTTGACGTAGCAGAAGCCGCTCGCCTCGGCCTTTTTGGCGTGGTGCAGGCCCCCGGACCAGTTCACCGCGATTTCGGACTGGTTGTTGCACAATTTGCGTGCCGCGTCGATGCTGCCGCCCGCGTACAGCGAGCAGTAGTTGTACAGCCCGTTGAAGATGGGGCAGTCGTCGCCAAAGTTGAACCGTGCGACATTCTCGCTCTGCGCCGGGTTCTCCATGTCTCCCGGCATTACCTGCTGCAGGAAATCCAGGTAGTCTGTTGTGTGGAAATCAGCCAGCTCCTCGTATGTCGCCGCCCGGGCCAAGTAGAGGTCCATCGCGTGATGCATCCCGTACGCCATGACGAGTTGTTTCGTGAGCGTCAGCCGCCAGGGCTTCATCGGATGCGACTGGCCAAAGTGGTGTGGCTCCACGGCCGGGTTGGCGTGCCAGGAGACCCGGTAGCCTTGCGGACGAGGAATACCATTTGTCTGTCGCTCAAGGGAAACCTTCTGGTCGAGACTGAGAGTGGGCGTTGTTGTGGGAGGCGGATTATACTCCTGGACAATGGCGGAGCGCGCCATGAGGACGGGAAGGCGTCGGTAAGACTTCAAGAAAAGGAATAAGAAGGGAGGATCGTCGGGATAAAGAGAGTAGAAGGGAAGAATATTAGGATCCTCAGATGTTCATCGACGTACGGACCATGCTGTGGGGGAAAACCAAGCATGAACGATGGCAGACAAATAGTTCGATGAAGCTGGAGAAAGAGTGGTCAAGGGCAAAGTTCTAGACGGACGGCAGAAGAAGCCCGAAGCCAAGCGGTGGCGGTCACTCGGAGATCCATGTCAGTACTTACTATCTAGACTACTACTACTACTACTACTACTACTACTAGACAGGTACCTGCATGCATTAAAGTGCTGATTATTCCCTACCATGCTTCTGAACTACTGCGAGCCAACAGTTCTGATTGATATCTTTCTTTTTATCTTTGTGATAGCTGGCTATACAATCCACCCAATATGGAGCTCAGAAAACTCGAATCTTTTACACACAAAAACCATCTCAATTGTCTCGAATGAACCCCCGAGAGCTTAATAATCGACTTCGGATCTCGGAACCGTGGCAAATCAAGACTTGCGATCGGGTCAAAAACATAAGAAAGAATACAAGAGAAGAAAAGATGGATTCAATCCAAACCCCTAGCAGAAGCCAGCTGTCTAGCAATCCGGAGACTTGTGGCCTGGGGTGACACTACTGTGCGCTTCAGTGCGACCGTCGAAAAGTCAACACATCGCCGAATTCTTTCCACTATACATTTAACGCTTTGCTGAAGCCTTATCGGATCCTCGTTGCCTTATCGCAAGCGCCTTAGCCTTCATATAAAATCCTCCATTATGCCCATTGTCACGGCAGCCACAACTTTGCGACGGTCTCTCCAAGACCCCAAATCATTCATCGTTGCGCCGGGTGTTTACGATGGTCTTTCGGCTCGGATTGCCTTGTCCGTGGGCTTTGATGCTCTGTACATGGTGAGTGCTTGGCTCTCCGGGATCACATTGTCAGTCTCTATAGGCATTCCCAGTAACAGGTTCAGACTGGCGCAGGGACGGCTGCCTCGGCGCATGGTCAAGCCGACCTTGGCATCTGCACCCTGAATGATATGCGCGCGAACGCGGAGATGCTTGCCAGCATCTCTCCATCCACCCCTGTGATCGCGGATGCAGATACCGGGTACGGCGGGCCGATCATGGTCGCTCGTACAACAGAGCAGTATTCGCGCTCAGGCGTTGCCGCCTTTCACATCGAGGATCAGGTGCAGACCAAGCGCTGTGGGCATCTTGCGGGTAAGATCCTGGTGGACAAGGAGACATATGTGGCGCGCATCCGGGCCGCGGTGCAGGCGCGGAAACGCATGGGCAGTGACATCGTCGTCATTGCGCGGACCGATGCTCTTCAGGGTCACGGGTATGAGGAAAGCATGGCGCGACTGCGGGCGGCCCGGGATGCGGGTGCAGATGTAGGCTTCCTTGAGGGGATCACGTCAAGAGAGATGGCCCGACAGGCGGTGCAGGAGCTGGCGCCATGGCCTATGTTGTTGAATATGGTTGAGCATGGGGCCACACCGTCGATCTCGGCGGATGAGGCCAGGGAGATGGGGTTCCGAATGATCATCTTCCCATTTGCAGCGATTGGGCCTGCTTTGACCGCAATCCGGGAGGGTATGGAGAAGCTCAAGAGAGACGGGCTGCCAGGCCTGAGCAAGGACTTGACGCCGCAGGTGCTGTTCCGGACATGCGGACTGGACGCAAGTCTCAAGGTGGATGCAGAGGCGGGGGGAGCAGCATTTGAAGGTGGAGTGGACCTGGAGGATAAAGAGTAGGAGTAGTTTTCATGGCGTTTCGTCCATACGTTTCAGTGTGACCATCAAGTTCTTTAAACCAGGAAGATGACGGGATCTGTATCCTGACTTCTGGTAACGATGCTATACTACGTAAGTCTTCCGAGTTCCAACTCAACTCTGACCTCGTGATTGAGGATTGCCCAATCCGGCAAGCCCATACGCTATGCTTGTTTAGAGATAGCGCGATGGATCACATGACAGCGGTCGATTTCCACTGTAGGATCCGTATTATTTCGATAGAGTTGGATTTTCGCACTGCTTGTCGATGATCATCGGTCGATTCCTCGTTGATTACGAATCCTTACGGAATAGTGTCTGGCTGGTGAAAGCATCATGATTTCTATCTACAGTGTGCTCCTCGTGATCGGGGAGCCAGCACTTATATCGTGTTGAATCGCAAGAGTAGCATGTCTAATGCCAAGATCATTTTAAATGACTGCAATCTCCAGGTTCATGGGTTCATGGTTGAAATTCTGTGGTTCCGCAGTCAACCATAACAGTCACTCCCAAGGATATCATGCTCACTTCGGCACTGACAGGATAGATCTAGATGCTGAAGGACCAATCAACAACAATCCTGTTATTCCACTGGTGCTTCGTATAGGGCGCACAAATATGCCGTGAAGGAAGACTTTGTCTTTGAATCGAGACTGCTGGGAAAAACTCAGCTTGCGTGTTTGTATAGTCTAAGCTTTTGCCGGAATCAACATGTACCTCTGGTGGACATATCCTATATGTCATTGTTACGAGTCACAGCCTCAGGGACGATGACCCCTCTCTTACCAGTGGATTTGCCCATGCGAAAGTGGACTGTTTACAAGTCAACGAGCCTGTGTACCTGATTCCCTGCTGTGCCGTGATGGCCAGATGTGGCAATCCAACCGTGGACAATGGACACGCAGTGGTGGAGTTGCCTGTAGTACTCTGTTACGGTTGATTTGCTTCCAATCCTCCAATATGATTCTAGAGTTTCTGGGTGGATTAGCAACATCTTTTCGCAAACTGCATTGGCTAATGAGTCTTCTGGCCCACATAGATGGGGGATCATTCAGAGGACCATTTGGATGATTAGACACCAGCTATACAGTGGAAGCCCGGAATCAATCCAAAGCACTTTTGTCAATGTACCATGATTCGTTGGAAATGACTGGGTATAAAGACCATGGTATGGAATTGGTGTAGAGTTGGCTGGAGAAAGAGTCGAACTGATTAGTAGTCCAGTGTATCACCAATGTTGGGTGTTGGGCGGGCGACTTGGACTGTCTGTCAGGTGCCAGGAACGTGGCAGCATTCCAACCATCTAATCAACTGGAATATGACATCAGATCTCTGTGTGAAGAATGCACCGAACCGACTGACCGTTTCAGTTCTGAGATGCCGATGATGCATCAAACCCTCTGAGTTGTCCAAGTCTGTCTGCTTGTTCATGCTGAGATGAAGCTGACTGGGCCGCAGGTACTTTCTTTCAGGTACCGACTGTCGCCCTGGCCCGTAACCATACAGTACTGTACCGTAGAACGAATCAACGATCCGTGGACAGGTTTCAAGGATCCAAGGCCTCGACCGCTGCAAATGGTGGACCCTAAGAGCTAATATGTCCCAATCAGATTGCTCAAAGCAACCGCGTCAGGAACCGTTCCTCCCCCGCTGTCCAATCAGGCGTGCTGGTGGCTGCTACTTCCCCTGATCGCCCCCTTTTTCATTTAACACGCTGAATTTGATTGCGAGACGAGACTTCCTGGTCTCTGTGTTGGTCGTAATCTGGCGCCTGTGCATCCTGTTTATTACGCCCCCCCCCATCCCCTCTAACTCGACTTCTCCTTCTTCTTCCTCTTCTTCTCCTTCTTTCCTCATCGTCTGTTTATCTCCCACACTCCTTTCGGGTCTTATTCACTCTCAATCCAGTGAGCATCGTCTTTGTGTCGTGCTCCTAGTCATTCTTTCATTGTCAATAAGACGCTATTGTCCTTGTTGCGTTTCTCGGGCTCGTGCCTCTTAGCAGCGTGATACCCCTTTGCTTATAAACAACAACAACAACAACAACAACTCCTTCAATCTCGAATCAATTATCTCTTCATCAACCACCAACACATCCAATCTTCAAGATGCAGATCAAGAACTCGATGCTCTTGCTCACGGCGCTGGCCGCTGGCTCTGCCGTTGCCCGTGTGCACGGCCATGAGCGCCGTCACCTTCACCATGCCGGCCAGAAGCGTGCCGTCGGTGACACTATCTACGCTAACATTGATGGCGTCTTGGTCTCCTGGGTCAACGAGTGGTCTGGCCAGGCTAAGACCGCCGCTGCTGCCGCTGCTCAGCCTACCGCCGCCAGCCTCGCTACCCACCCTGTCGTTGTTGACGTTCCTGCTGCTGCTACTTCCGCAGCTAGCTCCACTTCTTCCTCTTCTTCTTCTTCTTCCTCCTCCTCCTCTTCTTCTTCTCCCTCTGGCGGCTCAGCCACCTGGACCAACACCCCTGCTAAGGGCGAGTACTGCACCGAGGGCTTCGGTGGCAAAACCGAGGCCAGCGGCGAAGGTATCTTCTACAAGGGCAACGTTGGTATCCCATGGGGAAGCAACATCATTGAGGTTTCCGCCGACAAGGCCCACAAGTACAAGCACGTCGCCGAGATCGTCGGCAGCAACACCGATCCCTGGACTGTTGTCTTCTGGAACAAGATCGGCCCCGATGGTGGTCTCAACGGCTGGTACGGCAACTCCGCTCTGACCATCACTCTGCAGGCCGGCGAGAAGAAGTACGTTGCATTCGACGAGAACTCCCAGGGTGGCTGGGGTGCCGCCAAGGGTACTTCCCTGCCCAAGGATGCTTTCGGTGGATACTCCTGCACCTGGGGTGAGTTCGACTTCGACAGCGGTATCAACGGTGGCTGGTCCGGCTGGGACGTCTCTGCTATTCAGGCCGAGAACGCCAAGCACGAGGTCCAGGGCATGAAGATCTGCACCCACACCGGCGAGCTTTGCTCTATCATCACCAAGGGTCTCACCAGCGTCGTTGATGCTTACACCGCTGCCCTCGCTGCTGTCAACGGCATCGGTGGCAAGGTTGTCCCCGGCCCTACTCGTCTGACCGTCAGCATCGACTTCAGCGACTAAAACATTCAATTTGCTTATGTTTTCGCCGTTCTCTGCTTAGTCTCTGGTTACCATTCTGGGTAGAAATCGGGCGATGCGTCTCCGGACCTACTGCCTGTTGCCTTGTTTCCTTGGTCTTCCTGCAAGGCTTTCTTCCAATATCCTACGCCACGTCGAGGGATAAATCTACCCAGTCTTGACGACTTCCTGCATTCTCTGTACATACCTTACAAACCACTGCCGACTTGTGTTTCATTGTTCAATCAATTTTGACAAATACCCTTTAATCTTATCTCCACACTTTTCAACTTTCTATTATGTCAGTCCTTTTGCTCAGCACGAGTTAACCTCCTTGTAACAAAGTAAATACTATGCCCGGGCATCCCGTCTCCCCGGGTATCCGCATCCTGTATCCGGAACCTTGCCTCACCTGGGAAAAAATCTCCTTGGAAATCAAGTATCTAAAAGAGGTCTCGGCTCTCCAACTCTCCATTTCTCGAGTCGAAATTCCTCCGTATCCCACGCCGATCTTTCCCACCCGGCATCCAGATCCCGAAGCTCGAACCCGCGGGCTGTCTAAGCGCCGCGCCGCCGCCTAATGAGTAATGACCATGGGGATGGGATTATGGAATATGGAATATGGAATAGGGATATTGGATGGATCCCCATCCCCCAGTCCCGACTCCGGAGAACCTGAAACTCACTAAACCGAATCTAAAAATAATCGATTCCGTGAGCCGCGGGCCCGCGGGCCCATAGATACTCCATCGTCATCGTCATACGAAGCCTGGTCTAGATAGATAGTAGATACTTAGCTAGTCCTTGCTGATCATGCCATATGTCGTATGGAGGATGGAACTCTTGTAGTTGTAATAGTCGTCTGATCTCTATTCTTGAGATTAGATCTATCTTTAGATCGGTGCGAGACGGATTACGAGTCTGTGCTTGGCGGCTAGCAAGGAGTTTGGGGGGTTTTTTGTGGATACCGTGTACGTACGACGTTGTCGTACTAGGTACGGAGTATGGAGTACGGGTTGGTAGGTATGGGATACAGCGTAGAAACAAGACGAGACGAGACGAGACGAGACAGGCTGCGGAGTGTAGACGCTCAATTCAACAAGTCACCCCAGGTATCTTCTAGATAGTAATACAGGGCGCCCTGAGTTCAGAAATTCAGAAACTCGGTGGCGCTTAACGACTCCGGAATCCCAGCTATTCCTCCCTCTTGCTGCTCTTCTTCCTCCTCCTCCTCCTCCTCTTCCCATTCCTCCTCGTCCGACCCGTAACTTATTTGGAGGAGGCCCACGTGCGCCATGTAGCCGAGCAGCGCCGCGACGCCGCCCACCACCGCAGCGACGGAGACAAGCACGTCTTTCTTCTGGCCGGTGGCGTAGGCGGAGAGGGCGTGGCTCTCGACGCGCGAGAGGCCCGAGTCCGGCGACTGGGCTGCTTGCCGAAGCCGTTCGTGCGCGCGGATGTTCTTGAGGATCGGGGTCGCGTCGGCGAGCGTGTTGAGCAGCGTGCTGCCCACGGTGACGGCCGTCGCGCGTGCGGGCGCCAGCCAGGGCAGAGGCGAGGCGGCGTCGGTGGCTGGCCGGCTTGGGCCGTCGAATGCGTGCGAGACGTCGACGGCGACGGCGCCGTAGCAGTGCTGGCGCAGGCGCTCGGTGTATCGCGATAGATTCGGGGCTTTGATTTTCATGGCGTCGCGGAGCCAAGGGTACGGCAGGTCCGGCACGAGGGCTAGGGAGAGGTAGCCGAGGGCGAGACAGTCGGCGGTGGCTGGCTTGTCGCCTGGGAAGAAGTATGATTTCTGTCCGAGCATCTCCTCGAGGGGGTCGAAGAGCTCCGCTGTGAGGGCTTCCAGCTTGAACCGGTTCTGTTGCGCGGTCTTACCCAGGAGGCCCGAGACCGTGTCCCGCGGCCGCTGGATGAGGTTCTCGGGGATCTGGCCGGCCGCGACGGCGGCCGAGTGTTCCCGTTTCCGTTGGTCTTCCATCGCTTGCAGGTCCAGAGATGATAGCCCCAGAGGCTCTGTTCGCTTTTTGGCGGCCGAGTGCAGTCTCGGCGGGATAATCCACTGGTTCGGCCATTGTAGAATCGCGCCGTAGGCGGGTGAGGTTTTGTCGTAGTAGTTCTGGCTAGTGATGTAGAGGGATAGGTCGATGAGGGGCTGGCCGCGCGATTCGATAAACGACGAGAATCTGCGAAATCGTTAGATCTAACGGGCTAGAACGTGTAATGTGATCCAGCTCCAAACTCACGCAATGTTATCTGCCCGGTCCGTCCCGCTCAGTACTTCATCCAGATCCCATTCCCCATTCGAGTATTGGCGCAGGTAGTCGACGATATTCCGGAACCGGCTCACCCAGGCTTTGCCATTCTTGAGGGCAGGGAGTTCATCTGCACCAATGGTCAGTATTTTTCAGGCTGAAACAATGCTGTTCTCGAGGACATACTAGTTGGAGACACGGAAGGGTCGCTGCTTGCAATCAGCACCCACGCGTCCTTGGGCAGCACGAGGGAGAAATAGGCAATGGTCGCCAAACACTGCGGATCAATCGATGGCAATCCAAATGCCGGACCCCAGACATGAAGTTCCAGAACCATTGTGCACGTCGTGAGAAGACCGAAACCGCCTAGATCATTTGAATGTTGACGAGTTGGGGATGAGGTAGATCACGTGTGGGGGGAAGAAACGTGCGTGGATTCCTGAGGCAGGAAGGCAGCGACAATTGCCGAAGATCTCGGCTGCCAACTCCGCCTGAATCAGGAAATTGGGAGTGCTCCATACCCCTGGACAATGAAGCTCCCTGAGTGCAGGAGGTTGTCAGTTGACTCATTGGAGTCACCTTTTTTTTTATTTTTTGTTTTCTTTTTTTTTTTTTTGCTCAACAGTACATGAGACCTACGCGTCATCAACCTACAACTTGGAGTCTGATCTCAGTTTGCGTTATCTCACGTTGACGATGCTTATTGATCAGCGCGATAAGAACACCGTATCGTCTTCTAGCTAACTAACGGGAGGACAGAAGCCACAATGCGAGATGTATGGGCATTGGACAACAGTGCGTTGGAGCCTCAAGCAAAATTTTAGGCTAAAGAAAAAAAGAATGATAAGATGGTGCATGTCAATGAGTGATTCGTCAGTAGTATCACTGAGATGCCTCGAAAATAAACTCTATAGATTTCAAGATGTTTGAGTTTAGAGACAAAGCCGTTAGATAGTGACTCAACCACCATTCTCTAGTCTCTAGCATGTGCTTCATCATGTGGACGGGACTATTCCTCGAAAACATGAATCCGGCGAGAAAAGCGGAATGCCTGGAAAATAATAATTAATCATTACAGATAACACCATCGGAAAAGTGAGAATAAGCCTCTCTCATTATTGTGTCAGTTGACCAGCAAGACAAAACCCAAAAAAAAACCCCCTCCAATAGTCTAAATCAAGGCAAGGCACGCCTAAAACAAGGCACGGGCTACCGCCTGATTCAGGGATTCGACGGAACTTGTCTCCAATAGACACTTTGAACATATTGGCCGCCTAGTAGTTTATCAGTCAAAGGGGGGATGTACGATCCAATGGTACTAAGACAGAGGTTGTCCAAATGCAGTCCATCTCGTCATTCCCTGCTTGTGTCGTACATATGCAGGTAACATGGGGCCAGAGGGAGGGAGGGTACTTACTACTTACAGTTTACACAAAGGAAACACATCAGAGCTGAAGATTGTGTTTGTATGGCACGGTGCCTGGCAAGCATGTAGACTTGGCGCTGCCAACGAACGAGGGGAAAGAGTTTGAAGGCTGCGCGGAGACACCTTCAACTCCTCCAGAGCACGGACATGCCGAGATACGGGCGTACAGCCCAGATGGCTGAGTTGACTTCTTGAGGAGATACGGGCGTACAGCCCAGATGGCTGAGTTGACTTCTTGAGTCTTTCAGTTCCATGGGAATGAGATGAGCTGACATGTCTGGCTTAACATGATTATGAATGTATTGCGCCACCAAAGGCTGAAGATACTGACTCTCCCCCCCCCCCCAATAAGTCTTCAGCCCTCATGAGCGAAGGATGAGGATGTTAATATCAGCCTAGCGATAAGGATAGCACGCAATCCCAACTTGCAATGCATTATTATGCAATCAACCTAACTACTACTCTGACTTACCGTAGTAGAGTGGAGGGGGAGGAAGATCGAGTCATCCATCGACCTTGTGATTCGATCAATGAATAGAAGTGGTGCCTATTGACAGGGAATAATGACACTATTGAACTCACCAGCCTTGCCTGTTGCCCGGACCAATGAACCACTAACCCTCCTAGTGAAACTTAGGGTACCTACTAAGTACTTGATGATTAATGTTTAACAGCTCAACCGCATTAATGAGATGCTGTCATGATGAGACAACAAGAGAAAGTTCCTGGAGAGGGTCATCAAGTCATCGCACGGACACCAAGCTACTGAGCTATAGTAAGAGAGTTGCAATGTGAAGCAGCCAGGTATCATTATTAACTGTATCCAAACACTGGAAACAATGCGATGTGGGTATATTAGTCTATAGTACATGCCATTGGATTTAAAAAAAAAAAAAAAAGAGTTCCCATAGTATAGAACAAATGAGAAGCATCAATCACAGAAGAGAGTAAAAAAAAAAAGATATTAAGAAATTCAAGGTTGAAGAATGTGATCCTGCGCATGGCAATCGAGGCACCGAAGACATCCTTGATTATAACGCATTGATGTTAGGATGCCAGGGCGATCAGGAGATCCAAGCTTCCGCATTGGGCTAGACAGGCATTGGACGAATATTTTCTCCGAAATCTCAGGCCCAATTTCAAATTTCAGACACCCGTTGGACTTATGTCGTTTCAAGTTCCGACCAGCCTTTTAATGGTGTCTGCCATGTTTTCGTTCTCTTTGCGGGGTTTGCAATCTTGCCGACGATGCCGCAGAAATCCGCAAAAAAGAAGTGGGGTTTCGGAACGATCTTCCAACGCATGTTGATATCATTGCGATGTCAGATAGTGATCGATCAGCTATCCGCGCAACCTGATACGAATGCGATTGGCAGAAATATCGTGATGAATGTCGAATCACCAGTACAGGGTAAGAGCAAACAATGCGCCGGCGCATGTGCTCATCAGAAGAAGTTATGCCGGAAATAAACTCCCGCAACGGTCATTGTTGCAGGACGTAGGCCGAAATGGTTCGGAGGGAATCCTCCTCCCATGAATTAAAATGGTTCAGTATTGGTCGTCGAAAGAAGACGGAGAAGGGTTGGTTGACTAAAAGGGTGTAGTTGGAAGTGCAATCGAGCCGAAACCGAATTGAAGTCGTGATATCCATGCCGGAGGTTGTAGCTCCTGTCTCATGAGCGCCTCGAGTCGATCCGCTCTAGTATCCATCCGTGCGGGTTTGGAATCTGTGACGTCGTGGATCGACCGCTCGAGTGCGCTGAGGTCATCAAGTTCGTGAAAGGGCGCCAATATCGGTTATTTGGGAAGAGGAGGCAGAGGGCCCTTGGGCGGAGGACCAGGGCAGGGAGGGAATTGAGAGGCGGTACCACCGATGGAAGGCATGTTGATGATGTGTGGGTTGTGGATGGTGAAGGTCTTGGGAGTATCGATATGTGAAGTAGTGATAGAGCTTAGATGGTGGTCTTTGATACTTTGAGGTTTAGAATAAGAAAGCGAAAGGCAAAATTCGAGGACGAGGTCAGGCACAGCTTAATATAGGGTTCGCAATCAGAGATTCTCTCTTTTTTTATTTTATTTTTTTTTTTTTTTTTGATTTTATATTCCTTCTTTTTTTTTATCGGAACGATTGGCATCAACAAAAAAAAAATAAAAATAAAAAAAAGTGAAACTACTAAATAATGAAATCAGAAAATCAAATCAATAAAAAAAAAATGGAAAAAGGAAAAAGGAAAAAGGAAAAAGGAAAAAGTCAAAAGTCAAAAGTCAAAAGAAATAAAAAAGAATCAAATCCAAGACCATCCTGGCATGAACAGGAGCTGAGCTCCACATCGGACGGTCAGATTATTCTGACGTAGTTCGTTTTTGCGATGGTGCTTACACTAGCTCCATGTAGTGGGCTGCCAGATGGTATCACTGTTACCCTGTACTGTACCTGGAATGTGGGTAAACTGCCTCAACTTCCTCAAGGGGAAATTCCAGGGAAAGTTTCTAGAAGCTCCTCCCGTCCGGTTCCACTGCTTGTCTTCTGGGGATTTGCTTCACCGCCAGGTTTTACCCCTTTCCCTAGTCCCTCCCCGTCCCACTTCTCCGTGCGACTGGTTGACTGGTCCAATCATGGAACACATTAGATGCTTTGGAAACATCAAAAGAAATGAACAGAAAGGAAAGATAAACCAGTGGCAAATTCAAGAGTCCACGCGCGCTGTTCTATTTGGTGGTTGTCTGTCTGCTTTGCCTGTTCCTGAACTTCTATTTTCTGTCCGAGGTTCATCCTCAGATACATCCGATTACTTGATCATTCTTTCATCATCATCATCATATTAGCTACTAATTATTACGTAAATACATACCAAGGACATCAGGTAGGTATCCAGATAGAGAAACCGAATATGCGCTTCACGGTTCAAGAGGCTTCAACCCCGGGAATTGATGTCAGGAGGCTGGTGGGATAAGAAGATGAGCATCCAACGACAATAAGACGATTCGATTCTCAGGATCAAAGCCCCGTCTGCGCAGTCAGCAGCTGCCTCAAAAGAGTCCAATCCCCATGCATCCGTCAACATGCAACTCGTATCGTATCTAAGACCTAAGTGGTATGTACAGGTCTCACAGACACTTGCTGCAGGCCTGCAGCAAATCATATTAGAACTCCAGACTAGGAGAAAATGCAGACACGTGGTTAGTTCGTAGATCGTTTGGGTCTGAGGAAGGGCAGAGAATCCTGTTGGTGATCCCAACATCGAAGTCAAGAGCATGTCAGTGTTGAGACTTGGAGACTTGATCCTTCTCAGCAAGGCTGTTGCTCGAACAGGTAAAGCTCGGCATCTCATCGCCAGGCAGCCAGGGCTGAGTCCCTGTTTATCGCACCATATGATTTCACCCTAGGAGCATATTGGTCAATAATATGACTGCTCCGTCTGGATATCATCAAGTCATCATCGACTCATACCTAGTCAGAATGTCAGAGTCATAGGCTCATAGCATCATAGCGATAGGTAGAATTAGCCCTCCACCCCAGTTGAAATGCCGGGGATCAAATCCAAGGCCCAACTCCAAGCCACCACAACTTACAAGTCCGCCCCTCCCTGCACACCCCTCAAAAAAGATCCAAATGTTCTCGTCCTACATCTCTTGATTCTAGGCTCCTGTCGGTTTTTTCTCTCGCTGGCCTGATCGTTCATGTCTAGTATGTGCGACTCATCATTCCGTCTGGATAGACAACCATTGACTCCTTGCAGACATGATCAGGGGGTTCAATCAAAGTTAAGGGTACCTCGTACCTGGGTGATAGACAGATTTGACAGATCAACTGGCCCCAAATTTGGCGTGCCTACCTTAGTGGTAAGTATGACAGATTCCTTTTGTTAACCTAGTTATTCCTAGGTTCTATCTGCTGTCTACATAGGGACTCGGAGAAGAGTGGCAGGACCGTAAAGGTGTAAAGATACGGTAACCTGTATCATCAGCCATACCGATTACAGCGGCCGTAACAAGACAACTAGGTTGTTTCAGGTTTCAGGGGCAGAAGCGCCTCATCCAACACTAACCAGATCGGATTTCTCCTTGCAGATGATTAGTGAGCCTGTGTGAGCGAGTAAGAGTGTGACACCGTCAGTCCGTCGTCATCCATGGGAGTGACGGGCTTAATGTGCCTGGCTTTTCCATGTTTCGATTCGAGATGTTTCGGGTACTCCAGGTTCGCTAAAATTTGGTTTAACGGCTGCCTGTCATCATTAGAGTGTCATATTTGTGATGCTGAAAATATCATGGTATATTGATAGATATGGTAGACTACGGTACGACCGAATCGCTGGTAACTTGATTCTCATTATTGTGGCTGGTGCCTGGGACCGATAGCTTATAAATGGAGTATGGCTCCTACTCCTAGACTACCCCCCTTATTCGACGATCGTACAAGAGATGAGGTATCAAACTCTAAGATATCCTGAGGAAAGATGAACAAGAGGACACATCTACTCTGTAATTTTGAGTATGGGAATGTCAGGACATTCCCACGGTATGTGTTGTCCTCCGAGTGCAATCTATTTCGCTGCTCGAATGCCCAACGGCGCGCTATTCCTAATATCAAAGTCTGCAGTCGGTATGTACACTCCACGGCCCCTTTGGTATGTAGGAGTAGGATCATGTAATGCAACATCACTAGATCCTCCCCGAGTCGACTGACAGACATCCGTGCACAACATACTCAAATCAATAAATAGTCTTAGGACAATCTTCATGGGTACAGGACTACTAAATACAGGTTAACATGTCAAGGCAACTGACTCTAAAAAAATTATCCCTGCTAAGTGGTCAATCGGGCGACCTGAACCCTTGTCTGCAAGACGGCACAGGGGGGGATCTTCGGCAGCATCTTCACGGTTCGCCTTGGAGGTATGGAAAAGGGAATAGTCGCACCTGCACGTCTATATTGCGGCTTCTGCACCCAACTCATCCTAATTCCAGAGGAAGATTCTTGACCTTGTCCTCTATTGATCCGTGATCTGTATGGCGGTCGGTGGTTCGCTCGTCGATCCCCAATCGATGTGCGGTTTCATCGCCGGTGGTCTCTCGATTTTGACTCTATATGAAACGAAGGGTTCTAGGTACCTACTGTGCTGTGCTTAAGCAGGTCTCCTGCAAGCATTGCTTGGCTGCGCCTGCAGGTTGCCACTCGCATGCATGCATGTACGGTTTAGTCGTCCCTACAGTAGTCTAGTACCTACTACCTACTACCTAGGTACTAGCTCAAAGTCAATCAGGTACGGACCACGGAGTAATTTATTGTGGATGTATTCCGTCGGGCAGAGTCCAATCAGTTTACCGGTTGGTCAACCAGAGAAAACAAAGCTCACAGTCACGACTGACAGCCTCACCTCATCCTCAACGACTCCGGGGTCTACAATTGGAAAAGTGCTGTTGAGCTCAGAACTTTTTTTTTCTTTTTTCTTTTTTGGAGTCCCCGACTTTCTGGTACAACGTTGTAGTACTGACTACTCCATAGTAGGCAAATCGCCTCATCCTAGTTAAAATCCGCTTCTCAATGTCTGAGACAAAGACTGTGGCTTGGCTCTCTAGTGGACCCCACACACAAAAGAGGGGGAGGATGTTGTAGACTTGTAGGGAAAGAAAACACAATAAAAAATAATGAAGAGAGAGAAGAGAAAGAAAAAAAAAAAAAAAAAAAAAAAAAAAAAAGCGACCGGAGTACGGAGACAGCGGACCGATTCTTTAGCAGAAAAGGGAGGAGCAACTCTGAAAAACACATGGCAAAAACCGAGTTTCTCTCTTGCGCAGGTGGAGTTCAAGACAAGAATAAAATGAGATCTCCACTCGGAGCGCAAAACTTGGGGGGTTCATTCCGCATCGTTGAGAGTTAGATTGACACTGGGATCAAATCCGGTGTATTTCGTTCGCCTGTTGAGGGCTGAATGGGTTAGGCCTGAAGCTCCGAACGGGTCTACTATGGGACTGTCCGTATTGCGTAAAGATTGCTCAGGAAAACCCATCAATCAAGCAGGAGCAGGTCGCAACATGGGATCTGATGGGATACGACGGGATGTCGGCTATTGCAATTCCTGGCCTATGCAGACACCTACTAACTCGCCACAGAGGGTAACCAGCCACTATAAGCGAACAATCTGTCGTCACTGGATGGAGTACCACGGCAACTTCGCGAAATCAGCGGGTAGAAAGTGTTTCGTCGGAATCTACTCTGTATCTCGTCGATAGAACTCTCATATCAACTCGGTAGCGAACGTGCTAAGCGCTAAGTGCTAAGTGATATGTTCCTAACACTCTAACAACCTTCAGTTTATCCTCGCGGCTAACTTAACAGGCAGTAATTAGGGCTATCTATCTGATATCGTTTGTCTCAATTAGCAATTGAATAGATAGATAATGACAAATTGTCATGGATTCCCAAGCACTTTTATTGACTTTGAAGGCGCCATTTATACGGTTGAAGCATGAATACCTTGCAACCGACTACCGAGTCATGTGTCTCTTATTTGCAATTCCCCGGTATGAATTGTGGAGTGGAAGAATTGATGACAAGATACCCATAATTCCACCGAGAATGGTGGAATAGATAGTGTTTGGTCCCCCGATTTTCCAGATCTCCCATTATTCCATTATCCATATTTTTCCCTTTCCTCCTAGAATGTTTCTGGAAGCCTCTGGTTCCATGGTTTACTCTGCGTTAGTGACTCCGTAGTCCGTACCGCAGAAACACACGGCCAAGTCCGTTCGGTTCCGGCGTCTCTCTTTGATTCTCCGAAGATTCCTCAAACTTAGCGCTCAGTAGTCCATACTCTGGACGGAACTATGGATATAGAAATAGAATACTCTGTACAGAGTAGTTCAGCTTTTAGTCCGTAGTATGTCAGTAGTCACCCCAAACGGTGCTAGATGCCAGGCTAGCTATTAGCTGCTGCGTGCTAAAATGCTAATATTATGCTGATCACGAGACTACCTAAATTCTACAGAGATCCACCCGTGACTCCATTTGGAGGAGATGGTTGTGTAAGAGTTTCAACTTTCAAGAGACGGAGATCACGGATGGAGTATTTCGATTCCTGTTTCCATGATGTCAAAGTGGGAGGTTCAGGCTTCTGCAGCTTGTGCTTGCAAGTCGCAATAGCTCCTGCGTCTCAACGATTTCCTAACAGTGTACATCGTTCTACAGTTTGAAATATAGGCGTTAATATCATCCTCAGAACCCCACCATTCTTCCTCTGAGCAACGGAGACTCAGGATCATCAGAGGGAGATTTTAGGTAGATCCCGTTATCGGCAAACCCCATTGCCAGGATTGGCTACTGGCCGCAGTTGAAATTCTGGGGACTTCACCGACTTGGCCAAGAGCGACAAAACTGGGTGGTCTACCATCTTGTTCTGCCGCAGTTGTTACTTGTTGAGCACAACGGTTCCCTGTTGTCATTGGGATTCCAAATACAGAGATTCACATATCCCCCTTTTCTCCACATAGACAGCGACAGCATGATGATACAAATGTTGACTAGCTGTCCTAGATCAACAGTGTGGCATTCAATTAGAGAGTCATCCTGGATTAATTTGACCTGCGATCAAAGCACAAAAAATTTGAAGGTCAATGTCTCAAATCTCAAAGTTGACTTAACCCAAGCCAGGAGTCCAAACTTTAGTTCTGTTTGGTCAGGGGTATCAAGAGCATGGCTGTGGATGGCATCCATGGCAGCAGACAAGCTTTATCTCGGTGATGTGGCTTGACATGGATGAAACACGGAAATATCCGGGGTTCCAGGAGGCTTGGGAACCTACTAGTCTATGGTACGTTTGACTGTTTATAAGACCACTGTGAACCCCTGTCTGAAACTCGACCAACAAATGACCATTTCTGTGCCACACATTAAGGTGACCAGCTGCAACCCTGTCTGAAACGATTCCGCATCGAGGTTCATCATCCCTTAAGTGGCGGCCGCTCGACTGAAAGGTTGGTCTTGGTCTTCCGACACAGCTGAAATTGCCAACTGAAGTAGAGAAAGCGCAGCAAAGGTCACGCTTCCGTCGTGCAATGATGGCAGGTCAGGAATCATGAAGATCTGCCTGCAAGGGCATACGGCGTAACCAAAATGTCGCACAGGAACTAAGTAACCACCTGACACGCCTGAAGCTACTGGTCTCTGATTTCAACAAATGTAGGTTCCGGCCGTAGAAGCCTCAGCACACTTCAATGGACCTGATCCTGGCTGTTGGACAACAGCAGGCAGGTACCGAACGATATGTGTAGCCAAGGTAACGCCACTGCCTTCATCGAATTTTTCTCGTACGAATCGGTGGCGGGGAATGACAGGGGCCTGCCCTCGATACCTTCCACTGTCAATACAGGTCCCAAGAACACGATTGTGTGAGGTATGCCTCGGTACGAAGGAAATCCAGGAAGTCACCAGACGCACTTCATTCTTCATCCACGTCTCCTTGCGCCTGAGTGGAAATCCACTCCTCCATCAGAACCTGTCGTGAGATGCCCGAGTCAGCAGGTCTGAGTCTAGCTCTGGCCCCTTTCCGCGTCACCAGCAGACACAGGGTCCAGCCGTAGATGTTGAATCCCTCGTACTGTGTACGGAACCGTAACTTCTTGTCATCGTTGCCACCTTGTGGCGGTTCCGGTGTCTGCTCATTTTTTCGCCGCTTTGATGTCCGGTGGCTGCCTGGGCTCTCGATCTGCTCACTCATCTCACGACCACGCTTGGCACTGCCCTCCCCTCCAGCCGCTTGAGGAATATCACGCAGATTCGTATCAGCTTCGCCATCGCTCTCGATTAGGATTTGTGTGTCTTCTTTCCCAGATCGGTTGGTTAGGATGTCCGATTCGTTCTCAGCGCCCTCGAAGACCTTCTGCCGAGTCAGAAGCGTGTGACGCGTCCGAGATTCGCGAAGGAATAAAGCGACCTCGAAATCGTCTGTAGAGTCAGCCAATGGCTCCGCGTTCGCCCAGCAAAGCACGTCTTACCCTCGGCTATAACATCCTTGACTGGCTTCCCTTTCTTCTTCGCGTAAAGTCTCTCGTTTTCTTCGCGCAGTTTTGGCAGAATCAAGGGGCGGATTGCAGCGAAGATCCGTGGGAGGACGGGGTCTCGGCTGTCCAGCAGCCACCGTGTATCTGAGGGATTTTCGAGGTAGATGCGACATTCGAGGACCGAGTATTTGCTGATTCGAAGGTATCGCCGAATAGGTGCCATGTTGTGTTCAGGAGGGATTGACGTCACATGCAGGTGTGAGCTTCTATGCTGGGATGGGTTGGGATGACCGCTTTGGTGACTAGGGGGAGGGAGAGGGAGAAAGAGAGAGAATGATCTCTTTCCTGCAGGTAACGTATGATCAATATGGGTATTTTGAGCGGATTGATTCTACTCGCAAACTTTGTCAAGGTGATGTACTTTAGCAGAGATGGGTAGGTTAGCACGTAGTCTGACGGAGGTTAGAGTGGTTCAGTGCCAAGCCATCTTCACTGAGGAAGCTCTGGCCATGAATAAATATATTGTGAGCAGTTCCCTTCCAAGCTACCAATGAAGATGAACAACCACTCGGTAGTGGTAGTATATCGTAGTCGTGTTTATTAGACTCTTACTATTGCCCTTAATGCCTATAGGATCCGAGAATGATTACTTATCAAAACTGGCTATTCCCTCTAATCGACCACGCACAGGCGATGGTCTGATCCTCATAGACTTCGATCAAGCGAGAAGACGAAACCTATAATCGACTATCAGAATCTCGCATACCCCAGCCATGCTGCCATTAAGTCTACGGAAAACTCAGTTGTAATCTTAAGAACCTAATGAGCTCATGAATCTCTTTTCCGTGTAGATAGATACCAAAGGTAAAAAAAAAAAAAACATACAACAGCCGGGATTCGCTGGTGGTCACCCACCCAACTACTAACCGGCCGGCGTGTGGCTTAAGTACAGCTGAGCGGACGGGAAGCCCTGTTCTCCACACCCTATGGTCGTATGTGCTTGATACTTTAAAAAAGGACATTGTATAGTAATAGATAGTGTTAGATAAAGATGGAGGGGTGGTCACTGGTCCCTTTCCTGATCAAGGCGCCGCTGCTTGGAGCCTTGGGTTCGTCGGAAGATCGAGAGTCTAAATCAAGATGCATTGGCCATGGTGTCTCCATTATTACCGCCATAACTCGATGGACCACAAATCTCTTGTGCCCAAATCTCAAGGCACTTCCAGTAAGCTACTTGACATTCTTGATACGCGAAGACCGTGAAATGAATAATGTACTCAGATAAGATGACGATTATCTCAACTCGGCGGCTACTTATTGATCCCAACCCCTCCATTTGGCCGCACACCGCCTTTCATACAGCCGCCGAAGTTGACCCCCACGTCTCTGGTACACATTTCCCACTGACCAGATCACGACAGTTGGTCTGACAACCTCAGATAATTCTCAGGATGTTGCCTTGTGCCTAACCCCTTGGCAGCCGGGTAGAGAGAGACTTATACTCCTTGCATGCCATTCTTGTACCACGTTTGCCAGCATGCGACGATCTGAACAGCTCCTTGCAGCGCAGAAAATTACACGTGACCGAGGCCCATCTCGCCGCAGCTCCTGGCCAATCAGACCGCGTGGAAATGGCAGTGGACATGCTCCCAAGGTCCTCACGACAGAACGAAAAACTCTTTCTGAGTGGTTCGGTCCTGACGTTGTTTTGTTCGAAGCGGCCCTTGGTGGCATCTGCCCTCTCTCCCAAGGTCCTCATTCAGGACCCCTCTGCTGGGAGGAATTCAAGCAGAGATGATTAAGTGTGATGTGGGAGAGTGTCTCTTCCCCCCCAATTCTTCGTCACCATGGACTGACTCGACTTATACCCATTACCTATTATCTACCCTCACCAACCATCCATACCGTTATTCCCGAGTGCCTGTCGACTTTTCTTGCTATCAAGCTCCCATTCTCACAGGGTTCCCGTTTGGTCTCTCCGGTAGATCGTAAACCAAGCAGACCGTGAAATCGCGCAAACACATCGCAATCTAACTATCTACCGTGAGACATTGCAAATCCAGATTCTTTGAGGTCTCTCAGCAGTTTTGCTCCAAAGGTCCTCAACTGTGGACACTAGATCCCTGCTACCGTCTTGCTCGCCAGTACACCCACAACAAATCACCTAGACTGGCGTCGCTCTCATGACAGGCTAAGCAACCCACGCACCTGCTTTGACGTGGATCTTGTAGGGACCTTGAGGACTGTCATTTCCGACTCCTGTCACCTTGTTGGCGCCCTGTTCGCATAAACTGGCAGTATAAAAGAACGCCAGCCAAGGAACCACAAGACGGCAGTTCAGAGGAATTGAGCACTCGGATTTGCTTTGATCATCGCAATCTTGCACGCATTAGTCGTTGACAGGCATTCAAGCTTTCTCCCACGTGTTTTCTGTCTCAAGATCATCTGTCCAACCTCTTATCTATCTACCTGAAACTGATTGGATTTCTCTCCCGGTCAATATTTCCACCGCAGTATTTATTTGATCTGTGCTCCTTCCTCTTTCGTTCAACTCGTTGCACACCTCAAGGCTGGTCCGTGCTGCTTTGAATCTGAGATCGTGAGACGACATCTTTCTCGATTAGATTCATTTTAGCTGATTCGACATCACGAGTCACACAAAACACAGCCATGCAGGCCCTTCATACTCTCCTCGTGCGGGACCCAGAGACGGGTGCCACCCCTTCTTGCGATACCGGAAACGAGTATGATGGTCGGATGGGCCTACGGATATCGTCCATCTTCGTGATCATGGTCGGTTCGATGTTCGGTGCTATCTTTCCAGTATTTGCGCGAAACCTCGGCAAATCTGGATTTCCCAGATGGGCGTTCTTCGTGGCTAAATACTTTGGCTCCGGTGTCATCATTGCCACGGCCTTCATCCATCTTCTGGCCCCTGCGGAGGAGGCATTGACCAATGAGTGCCTGACGGGCCCCATTACTGAATACTCTTGGGCGGAGGGCATCATCCTCATGACCATCGTAGTGCTGTTCTTCGTGGAGTTGATGGTGATGCGGTACGCGCGCTTTGGTCAGGGGCATGCCCATGAAATAGACCACGACCATCCCTCGGATCATGGTCTAGATAGTCCCGCGTCGACAGTGGACCCTAAGAGCCACCTTCCGGGTGAGGATCATCTGGGTCACTCCCGCGAACATCCTGACCCTGAATCGGGCAAGAAGGACTCGATCGAGGACTACGTGGCTCAGTTGACATCTATCTTTATCCTGGAATTCGGCATCATCTTCCATTCGGTGTTCATCGGCTTGACCTTGGCGGTATCCGGAGAGGAATTTGTCACTCTTTACATTGTCCTGGTCTTTCATCAGACCTTCGAAGGCCTGGGTCTGGGTTCTCGACTAGCAATGACACTCTGGCCACGATCGAAACGCTTCACCCCCTATATTTTGGGATTTGCGTACGGTATCTCCACACCAATTGCCATTGCGATCGGCCTGGGTGTGCGCAAGAGCTACCCTCCGGAAGGCTACACCACTCTCATTGTCAACGGAGTTTTCGATTCCATCTCGGCCGGTATTCTCATCTACACGGCCCTTGTGGAACTCATGGCGCACGAATTTATGTTCAGCCCTTCGATGCGCAAGGCTCCTATTCAAAATGTCCTTGCGGCGTTTGGGCTGTTGTGTCTGGGTGCATTGCTGATGGCGTTGCTTGGAAAATGGGCATGATCATGGTTCGGGTTAACTAAAGCTTCATGTCAATCATATTTTATCTGTCTTTATGCATTGTATATAGATTCTATTTAGATAATATAAAAGCTCTAGCTGGCAATATCTATCTATTCCTACGTCCAGTCTGATTACTGCGAAGTACGTCGAGCCAATAATAACGTTGTGCAATGCCTTGTACCCCTGACACTCAACATCCCGTCTGCGGAGTAGACTTACAGCCTACGGACTTATCTACGGAGTACCAAGCCCCATCTCCGCATCCATCCATCTAACCACGTTTCTTCTCAATCCATCTCTCAACAATTCTACTCCCTACAACAACATCAACTCCGCGACCGCAATCCCTGCTTCCAACCGTCCGCCTCACCAGACCAAACAAAACGCACCCGAAACAAAATGCAGCTCCCTCTCCTCTCCACCCTCCTCCTCTCCCTCACCACCCTCGCCCTCTCCGCCGAGCTCGGCATCGAGAAAACCCACGAGGTCGAATGCACCCGCAAGACCACCAAGGGCGACATGGTGCAGATGCATTACCGCGGCACGCTCGCCTCCGACGGCTCCGAGTTCGACTCTAGTTACAGCCGCAACTCGCCGTTGAAGTTCAAGGTTGGCGCGGGACAGGTTATCAAGGGGTGAGTGCTTCCCTCCCTCTCCCCCCCCACCTTTCTCTTGTTTTATTTGTCGGATATGGATGGGCATTGGGGTGCTGATGACGTGGGGACGTGGGTAGCTGGGATCAAGGATTGCTGGATATGTGTGTGGGTGAGAAGCGGACACTGACGATCCCGCCTGAGTATGGGTATGGAGACCGTGGGGTTGGACCGATCCCCGGCGGTGCGACTTTGATTTTTGAGACCGAGTTGGTGAAGATCGAGGGCGTTAATGATGAGCTGTGAGAGGCTGGTTTTGGGCATTGTCTATAGAGTATACTTCGATTGGTATATTACTTCATGCTATTCCTCTTCTATGGGTATCTAGTTCAGCAGGGTAGGGAGGAATTCTAAGCCCGAGTCCTCTGCCCCCCCGGCGAGTCTAAGAAATTGTGTAGTATGTGCAAGTAAAAACGAGAAAGAGAACTCAATCCATCGCGTCGAGATGGCTCTCGTCGGTGCTCACCTCATTCCCCGAAACGAGTATACCCACGAGACATTCCCCAAGGATAGCGTCCCAGTTCACCCACGGGTGGATCTCCATGAACAGTTTCGCCGAGTCCTTGCCCGCACCCCGAAGCAGCTCCCCCTTGCCGCCTGGATGGAACGGCAGATACCGCGTGATGTTGTACACCTTGCCTTGGTACGACGTCCACGCATCGCGACCCTTGCGCCCATTCTGCGCCTTCAGCATCGACGGTGTCACCCGAATGAGCGACGGGGGCAGATTCGCTCCGCGCAAGTTATTATTCGGGTTCGCTGTGAGCGCGGCCCAGTCGAGCGGCGAAAACCCCGGCTCCAGCACAGCCTTCTTCGCCGCCTTGGAGGGTTTCAGTGTGAGGGAGATGGGCGCGAGGGTGTTGTTGCTTGCGGGGCGGCTACCCGGTGGCACGCGCAAGGAGGCGGCGGCCGATGGTGGCGGAGAGAGTGAGCTGCCTGCACTGGGACGTGGGGGGAAGCGTCCGGGAGATAGTGAGGAAGAGGAGGAGGAGGAGGATTGTGCTTGCTGGTTCTGCTGTGTGGAGGGGCGTAGGCGTGGAGGGGGAGGGGGCGGCATCAGGGAGGAGGTGCTGGCTGCGGTGCTCTGTGGAGGCGGCATGGGGATCGATTTTATTCCGTTTGAGGTGATAGGTGTAGAAGCTGACAGCGGTTGCGCCGAGTTGTTTGTAGTTTGCTGTCGGTCATTTTGCTTTTGTGTCCCAGTTGCCTTGTCAGCCTGGTCGTCGTCACTGGCAAGCTGCAGGGTTGGGACATCGAGCGCGGGCGCATTTGTTGCTGACGCCTTGGGGGTGGACTGCAAATCTCCTGTATCCCCACTTGCATCCTTTGACGCCTCCGAAGCATCATCTGGTGTATTCACATCTTCTGAGGAGGGCGTTGTGGGCGTCGCACCGGAGGTTGATTCCGGCCGTTGAGGCGGAGGGATGAAAGATTCTTGGTTCCATGCTGCTGGAGGATATCGATAAAGCAAATAGCATGCGGTCGCCAGAAGCGTCACCACTCCTACCCAGCCCATACCGGAGGATGAAGGTCCAGAACAGTCGAAGGAAGGGATGCGTGGATGTGTCCGAAGATCAAATAGGGAGCAGAGACAAAATACTGTATGACGGCAGAAACATGTGGGCAAATCACTTGGGGAAAAGAAGTGGCTCGTGCTCCACCGCGGTCGACTATCGGTTGTGGATTGATCAGACCAATTTACCATTGCCAGCATATTTGATTCTGGATCTAAAAAGAACAACAAGGATCTTGCTTTGAGCAGACCATCGAATGTAGGAGACTTTCTGTGTTTGTTGCTATCCTCAAGCTCTTCTGTATAGGAATTTTATGGTCACTCATGGATTACGGCCGGTCTTTTTAGTATCTCCCCCAATGCTAATGGCTCAAGTATGCCATCGTTTCTTTGAATCCTAATCCCACGGATTGACAACAAGAGTGGCCATTCAAAAATGAGCATGATATGACGGCTGAGCAATGATTGATACTAAATGGCCTCATGATGTCAAATCTCCATCACTTGGCCGGTAAAGTCCCAAACATTGGGCACAGTTTGTCCGCCTGAAAGATGCCAGGGGATAGATGTCATATTACAAGAGTAGCTATCCAAGTGCATATCTTGTCTGTTATCCTGATCCAGGAGTTCTCGCCATAAGTTGGGAGACTGTGACACCAGATGTTCCGAAATACTATTCTGTCCACCTCAGATGCGCTCCTCTTGTTTGATGCTGGAGCAGGCCAAGTAAGAGGAACCCCAATGCTGTAAGGTTACCCTTGTGTGGTAGCTAAGAATGCGACTTTTAGTCTCAAGGAGGTCGGCCATCCCAGGAAGATCGTTGCACGTTTGTTCTACCAGATCAATTTCCTTCCCAGACAGATGACAAACTCACCTACTTTGCGGTCTATGACGGGCAGTAAGGATCCCAACGGTGCCAGGATAGGGAATGTAAGCTTATCCTTGATTAGTGGCTCCGAACTTGTCTCAGAACATGCCAGCCGGAACCTGCATCTGTTACTCGCAAAACGACCCGAATTCGACCAGGGCAATTATGAAGCGGCAATCCGAGGGGCGCTGGCTGACGAGGACGCCATACTACTGGAAACCTTCAAGAACCAGACCACCGAACCTGCTATGTCTGGGTCCACAGTCGCGCTATGTTTCGTTAATCTCACTAAGGGGGATCTCGTTGTAGCCAATCTTGGGGACTCTCACGTCATCCTGGCCGAACGCGATATCATATCCGACCATCCATATCAAATCGTGCGTGAGAACAGCGCAAACTGCCGATCTTCGAGTTAATATCAGTAATCGTGCTGACTGCGGTACTAGCGACGACTCTCGAAGGCTCACAAACCTGACGCTCCTGATGAACAGGCTCGAATTGAAGATGCCGGAGGTGCTGTCAATATGAGGAGTGGGACTGCACGCATAGGTATGTGATGGTTTGCAGATTGTTCTGCCCATACAGACAGAGTTGCTGACCGTCGGCATATGGAATCATCCCTAGGTACTTTGAATATGTCCCGAGCACTGGGCGATCTCCAGTATAAGAACCCCATCAATAACGTTAATGACGAATATTCATCCTTGAAAACCCGACGGGCGTCTTCGAGCTCATCAGCGCCAGAAAGACGAGGGAATTTCTTGTCCGTAGAACCGCACATGACTCGAGTGTCGCTCTCAGCAGATCGACGCTACCTTGTAGTCGTCGTGTCGGACGGCGTCAGCGACCATGTCGATGATGCGACGTTGATCCATCATGTGATGAAGCTTTCTATGCGTGGAATGAGAGCTTGCGACATCGCTCAGGAAGTCGTCACCACTGCTGCATCGAGGAAGACCAAGGCGGGCAGTGATAACGCATCCTGCATTGTCGCTCTTCTGGACGGTCAAAACTCCTAGAATAGGATCCGAGCCTGGGAAAAAAAGTTTGATGGAGGTGGGAAGATCACATGCGCCAAAGCACATGCTAAAGATATTCTACTACTGACATTACTCTGCACATGGAGGGATCATGAGAGACTTTGTGTATGCATGGGACTGGATCAACATCAACATTGTGACAAAAAATGGAAGGAGGGTTGCATCTCGAAGACACTAAGCGTAGATAGATTAAATAGACAGTACTCCGTAGGAGTTGGTTGCATTGCAAGATTGAATAGCTTGAGACCAAATGCGAGATGAAATCCCTGTCAATATCAATACACTGGACATATATCGCAGTATTACACACACGATAATAGTGAATAGCCCTCATTTCGACTGCGCTTAGAAAGATGCCTGAGGCTCTATTCCCAAAGAAGCAGGTGGTTTCCTGGTCACTATCGTTGTTGACCTATTTTCATTCTTCGCCCCAATCAGACGCTCCAGCTATTCAAGACTGCTGAGCCTTCACCGAAAGATCCCGGGCATGGCTCTACAACCACCCGCATATTCTTTATAAACAGAAGATGGATGCATCATTGCATGGCTGTCTTCTACTTACTACTACTAGGCCCTCCTCCCCGGCGGGCTGAGAAACCCATACAGATCAATTTCCCATCAGTGACAGCGGGCCAATCAACTCAATGGTGCGGTTTTGTAGCACAGATTCAGCCAATTTATTGACCTCTTTATCCGAATTGTGTCACCATCCATTAGATATGGAATAGGGATGATGGACTCAATCGCGGGGATATTTTCAGATTGCAACTCGCTAGGCATGTGTGATTGGACCCTTTTCGGCGGCAGCTCCCCGGCGTCAGCTCTTGAAGAGTCCACTGACCCAGGGTTGCGTGGATGAGGCCCTCTATCACCTTCCTCTCTGGTACAAAACCCGTTCGTCCTAGTCCTGCTCCCGTTGGACCATCTTCTCTTCCTATCAACTACTACCACCTGCCTATCCAGTCTGCTAATGTCTCAGCTTTTTCTTCTCTAGGTCTGGAGCTCCGTAATTTACGGAGTAGTCGCTGCCAGTGTTGGATTTCCGGTTGAGTGGAGACTCGGATTGGCTAATAATGGCATCAAAATCACAATGCGTCCCCTGCGTCTTGTCGGAGGGTGTGGAGGCCAAGAATGACTGGAGTTGACATATTTCTTCTCCTCCCCGTCCATGGTCTTCCTGACTTTCTCAGAGCTGGGTTCTCCTCTTCGTTCCTGCTATCTGTGTGGGGGAAACTCAAAATTGTTAAGGCTCAGCAGCTTTTTCTTGGTGGCGGAAATACTCCATTGATCCACCACCTTCAATCAAGGACAACATCATGAAGTTAGAAATCACATCGGAATGCCGGTCAAACCACATTGGACGCAAGAACGGTCATGCACGGTGGTCGAGAAGTATCTCCCCCGCGCTAACCATCGCCTCGGGGGAGATAGTCACCTTTGACACGATTGACAGTAGCAATGGCCGGATCTGTCGAACTTCCGACGCGACGGTGATTAGCTCTCTGGATATTGACGATGCAAATCCTGTCTTCGGTCCAGTTTATGTCAAGGATGCGCAGCCAGGCGACACGCTGAAGGTCGAAGTCCTCGCATTGGAGACGGCGGACTGGGGATGGACAGCTACCATTCCTGGATTTGGACTCCTGGCAGATGAATTTCCCGAGCCATCGCTGTACATTTGGGACATTGACAAAGCACAAGGGTGTGCATTTTTCAAAAATAATATACGCATACCTTTGCGCCCCTTCCTGGGTTGCATGGGTCTGGCGCCCGCAACATATGAAGAGCTATCTACTGTTCCTCCAACAATCGCCGGAGGAAACCTTGACTGCCGTGATCTGACGGTTGGGTCTATCGTGTACTTGCCTGTACAAGCGACCGGGGCTCTATTTAGTTGCGGTGATGGTCATGCTGCTCAAGGTCATGGGGAGGTATGCGGGACTGCGATTGAGACCCCGACCAAGGCAACACTTCGTTTTGAAGTGTGCAAGCATATGGCATGGATAACATCACCACAATACGAGATCCCCGCTAGCGCGCGGTCAGCAAGTTCTGTCTCCCAGTTAGGCCAATACGCAACAACTGGCATCGGTCTAAGTCTTTACGAAGCCACTAGAGTCGCCGTTCAAAATGCCATTCAGTGGATGGTTGCCACCAAAGGGCTGAGCCGAACTGAGGCCTACATGCTAGCTAGTGTGGCCGGAGATCTTCAGATAATAGAGGCAGTGAACATGCCTAATTTTGTGGTGTCGATGAGTATTCCCTTGGGGATATTCGGTTGAGTGAGGTCTCGGTCATTTTAATAGCGTAATGTCAATTCAACTTATGCTGCCCTCGTTTATTTCAAGGAAGTCATCTTACGTTTTGTTTGTGCCCCTGTGCTACTATGTATTTCAGAGTGTGATACCCATTTAGTTCATTGATTAATACACCTTACGGCCCATGGAAATATTATATAGACAATTGTCTTTTTCAACTGCCCATATTGCATCCTACACGACTTACTGATAGTGGTAACAAGTACGGAAAGCTATGATATGTGGTGCTTTGGGACACATATCTGTCACATGACTTCGTGTTGCAGCGTGTCTTGACCCGTCGCGATGAGGTCCATGCAATCCGAGTAAACAGTACGCCCAACACTTCAGACCACATGGATTCCATATTGGATGGCTTAAACACCGCTCAAAAAACTGCAGTGACCTCACCTGCCCATATATTACAAGTTCTCGCCCCTCCAGGGTCGGGAAAAACCAAAACCTTGACGTCGCGCGTCGCGTATCTCCTATCGCATTATGGATACCAGCCGCAAGATGTCATTTGTTGCACATTCACTATCAAAGCAAGCCGTGAAATGCGCGAGCGGCTTGCAAGGCTGATAGGCGATGAAGTGCAGAGTAAGCTGGTACTGGGGACCTTTCACTCAATATGCCGCCGGTACTTGGTGACCTATGGTTATCTGATCGGCCTTCGGAGAGGGTTTGGAATCGCAGACTCTGGCGACAGCTTAGCAATCATCAAAGTAGGGACTACTCTGACCATGTTTCAAGTTATTGGGGTTTCTGCCGAAGCAGTGGTTGCTGATCGAAGAGATTCTTTTTATAGAGAATACTGAAGCGTCTGCGGTGCAGTATCCAGCCAAACGCCGCTCGAGCACGCATATCTCATCAGAAGGCGCACGGTATCAGTCCGGCGGAGGCTGCAGCGAAGTATTCCAGAGGTGCAGCAAAGTCGACTGAAAATCACGAGTTCGTCCAAGTCTACCAGGAATATGAGATTTACCTTGCAACGTCCAATCTGCTCGACTACGACGACCTTCTTCTACGATGCGCCGATCTACTGAGACGACATCCAGAATGCGTCTCGAACGTCCAGGCGGTCCTTGTCGACGAGTTCCAAGACACCAACCACATACAGTACGAGTTGATGAATCTATTTGCGTCTCAAAATCGTCGTATCACAGTCGTGGGAGATCCTGACCAGAGCATTTATGGGTTCAGATCTGCGGAGATCAAGAACCTTGGACGTATGCAGCAGCGGTATAAAGATACATCCGTGATTCTATTGGAGGACAATTATCGCTCGTCCGGCTCCATCCTCAGTTCGGCGCAGGACGTCATCGAACAGGACTCCTCCCGGCCCGCAAAGAAGTTGCAGCCGACTCATTGTCTAGGTACTATGCCTGTGCTTCGGAAATTGCCAACTGCGGAGGCCGAGGCCCAATGGATGGTGCTTGAGATCAAAAGGTGCATAGCGATGACGGGGAAACTGCTTGATTACTCGGACTTTGCAATTTTGCTCCGATCGGCTGCTCTCTCACGTCACATCGAGTCTGAAATGGGGAAGCAAGGCGTGCCGTATAAGATGGTGGGCGGCCTGCGATTCTTCGATAGAATCGAGATTAAAGTACTTCTGGACTATCTGCGAGTCATCAGCAATCCGGGGAACAGTGACGCTCTGCTGCGCATCATTAACGTCCCAGCGCGGAAAATCGGCGAGGAATCCGTTAAGATGCTGATGAGCAGTGCAGAGGCGGCGAAAACTACTCTGTGGAATTTCGTTCGGGATGTAGCCCAGGGACGCCGGTCGACTGAGAAGAGCTTATCAAAACCCACTGACCAGGGACTTTGCACCTTGGTCGGGATCATTGAGTCTTCCCGAGAAAAGCTACTCGAGTGTACGGACAGCTCTGCACCTCGTAAGCTTCTTGAGTTTGTGATCAAGAAACTCAACTTCCGAGACTATCTCACAGCGATGTACTCCCAGAATGAGGAGAATCGGTGGGCAAATGTCGAAGAGCTGTTGAGTCAAGCTGGTGACGCTTCTATAGAAGAGTCGGTGAATGATCACGATGACAGTCTACCTGAAATCCAGGGTCTCACACAACAGGAGGCCCATCGCGGCGAGGAATCACTGTCACGGTTCCTGGCGAATGTAGCATTGTCGACAGAGATTGTCTCTGAGGAAGGGGATCAGCCGCAAGCAAAAGTCACCATCTCCACTATTCACGCAGCGAAAGGCCTGGAATGGCCAGTAGTGTTTGTGCCGGCCGTGTACAATGGGATCATCCCTCATTCGCGGGCGGAGGATTCGGACGAAGAAAGACGATTGCTTTATGTTGCCATGACCCGAGCGCAGGCGCTGTTATACTTGAGTTATCCGCTAAAGCAATCCCGCAGCGAGGAATCGACCACTAGCGTGACCAGTTTTCTTCCGCAGAAAATTATCGAGCGACGTTTTCGATCACTTGGACCGAGTCTGCAGGAGAAGATTGTCTATGGGATCGCTGATATCCTACGGCGGCCCAGACCTTCTATCGAAAGCATGCTCGCGGCACATGAATCACTTCCTTCGCTGCGGGATGATCAGTGGACGGCCGATGGCCAAGAGGCTCCCGATGCCGTGATTAGATGGGATGGCTCGAGGGCTTTCGGCGAAGAGCCTGACTCTAAGAGGCGGCGACATAATCATGAGCAGTCGTCAACATCGACCATCACCACGACCTACATGTCATCCTCCACATACAGCATGACTAGTTGTCAGTTTCCCGCACCAACAACGATGTCTCTCGGTTTCTCAACAGCGCGAGAGTATATCAACACTGCCCCTGTTCCGGAAGCAGTGCAACCAGCTGGCGTCAAAACCGACAGCAAAACGAAAACCCACGCCGCAGTCGCAGTCGGTCGTAAGGCAGTCGGACTGTCCCAAGGGAACATTTCGCGATTCTTCGGGCAGTCCTTGGCAGAAATCAAGGACTCCAAAGAATCTGAGCGCAAGACGAATCGTCAAGCTCAGATTGGTTCTCGAGGTCTCGCCGGACACCCTGGGCAGGCCTCTTCGTCGAATTCCGCCTTCAAAAGCGCCATCCCTGCACGGTTCTCGTCGCATCGCCCTCAAACACAACGTTTCCGACCGCCTCGGCCGATGCTCGAGTCCTCGGGTGCCAATGAATACAATTGGCTTGCCACTTCTTCGAGGCGCACGGAGACAGGGCCTCCATCCGGGGGTCAGGAGAATCAGGAGGCTCCGAACGTCAAACAGGGAGCAGTTACTGAACATGGAACTGATGGCAATAAGAAGACTTTGGGCCAGACGAGCGACATACGACCGGTGACCACGTTTCACACCACTACGATGTCTATGGTGCAACAAACTGGGCGAAGGACACTGGGGGTTCGTCGCAGCATGAATGATGGGTGGGCAGATCGATGGAAAAAGGCAGGCAATGGGCAGTCATGATAATGAATTAAGGGGGCGTTTATTTTAAATGGGGATTTGAGGTCATCTTCTATGGGATGATTCGGACTGGGGGTTTCGGATGGTTGGGCACAAAAGACAAGAGCATGGCGTGGCACCTATCAAAGATGATCTCCGAAATGTTCTACTATCTAGTAGTCTACCATAATCCCTAGCATTTCCTGGTTAGACATGCCACGCATGTATACCTGGCAGTACATATAACGCTGATATCGGGAACCTTTCATACATATTCTCCATTTGTCACTAGGAAACGATCCAGTCCGAATTTGTTCTACCCAGCATGGAACAAGACACGATGCAGATTGGCAAGAAAGACATGGAGATACCGCCATCCATAACGAAATTTGTTGATACTCAGGGGCGATGTATGAGACTATCCCCCATATCACCCCAGATACGACTTGGATAAATATTGATTCTATGATTATCATCAACGAAAATACCATCATCTGACCATACAGCATGGTTCTTAAGTGGGAATAGCCTGGAGGTGTCGGTCAAGACAGCCCCCCGGCTCCCAAGTACTCTAATGTTCTTGAGCAAGTACTTCCTGTACCATGACTTCTAGGGATTCAATCAAACCAGAGCCCTTGAGCATGAAGCCCTTCAAAGCTCTCACAGATATTCCCCATTCCGTCTCCGTACCTGGTAGCCAGGTAGAACCAACCGCCCGAAAACATGCACATGGACGGTTTCGGAGCAGTGCGTATGTAGATACCTAGTATCAGCAAGTAGATACAGTATATTGGCTCAGGGAATCTGTTTCTCGCATCAAGCATGAGCTAGGTCCATACGGGGGTCCTCTGTTCCGGAGACCACAAGCTCACACACCGCAACTCTGATAGAATGATTGTCCAGCGGTGGGTTTACGAAGCGTCTATAAATCTACATAGAGGGTCGAGACACAGAGTCTCGTACTATCTGTACAAACTACAAACTGGTTACTGGTGATGAAGTACATAGTACCTAGTTACAGAGGTACCTGTGCCAGTTTGGTAATTTGAATCTTATGTCCCGTAGCCCGGACGATGATGGTGAGCTCCAGCTGTACCCATCAGGAGCTGGAGTATGTGAGTCTGTGTTGACTTGGACTATCTGGCTAGTCTAACTAGTGTCAGTTTGATGGATTTGTCTCTGGTGGAGCAGAAACTACATAGTACTTGGTAGGTACCAGCGCACTATTGCTGATTCAGGTCTAGTTATTAATAGTCTGATGATCAGGTGATTCGATCCACTTCCAGTTAGCCCAGCTTAGTAGTCTCTCCGTTTTGGTATCAAAACAATAAATACGCATAGTTAACCCATTCAAAGCTGGATCTTTGGTGTATCATGTGTAAGGACACGTATCGAGGCACCTGATAATGCTGACCTAAGGTATGGCATGGATGGACGGCTCACCATATCCCCCTACCTCTCACTACGTCCTACGGCAGATCCGTAACTTCTAACAATAATGAATAGGTCATCTAGCAGCATGTACGAAGTACGCTGGCGATGCAAACAGACCAAAGCCAGCCAGAGTAGAAGTGACGGAATAGGAGGCAGATACCAGGCTCCCTGGACAGCCTCAGCCCTTGGACAACAGCCACATCACACGGCGGTCAGGAGTCAAAGATACCTACTGACCCATAGACATTCGTACTCTACTCCATACACATCATCAACCCCCATTCTTCGTCATCAGGGGGTGGTTATGAGCCCAGCTCAGCTTCATGAGGCTAAGCCGTGATGCTGACTGCTGAGTGCTGACTTGTGGTATGAAGGAGTGAGAGAGTAGTAGGAGAAAGGAATGTGGCTAGTGAATTGGGCTTGGCTTGTCCGTAGATAGTACAGACAAGTCAGTGTTGAAACAGAAAGAGAGAGAGAGAGAGCATAGGACAACGTTGGTGCGTTGGATTGGTTGATGGCTCCCATCAATAATGAAACAAATCGTGTATCAAAGGGCTCTGTCAAATGGGTACTATTTTCTGCCATGTTCGAGAACCTGGATGGATGCTTTGACAGAGAGAATGAATGGAGCACAAACATGCCCTGTAGGATTGGAGTATGATTATTTTAGTGCTTTCACAGCCAACTATAACCCAATCGACTAAAACAGTTGATCAACCGCCATCTGCATCGCCCTTTTGTGATAATCGATTCCGGTTTGTCGCCTCGTCTTTCTTCCCGCTGTTTGGCTTTCCCTTTGGCTTTTTTTTTGCCCCTGGCAGCTCCAGTGGAGCCAAATGAGTTGCACCCGAGCATCGCTGAATGGAGACAAAGCGTGTCTTTCCCCGGAAAACAAGAACGCCTTGTCCGTATTCTTGCTTCTCTGCAGTCTGCATCGCTTTTTTTGGGGAGAGTTCCTGGGCTTCTGGATGGATGAGGAAATGTAGATGACGTCTCTGCTGCTCCAATATGGCTGCCGTGCTTCATACCTGTATCGCCAAAAGAAAAAAAAAAAGAAGAAGAAGAAGAAGAATGTCCTATCGTACTGTTGAAGTGATTGATCCATCTCTTGCATTGAGGGTCTTCCCACTGCTATTTTAGTGTGGCTTGATTTGGGATTCATGTAGAATTATTTCATTTCAGTTTCCATCGTGTTTTGCATTATTCTCCTCGCTCCTCTTTCTGCTGTATCAACCGTCCTATACTTCTGTTCTATTCCTCTTTCGACCGTCATACCTATCCAGCAATCCAGAGGCATACAAAAGGCTCCTCTTCGTCCCCCATCTCATCTGCCCTTCTATCTCCATCTCAATCAACCATCATCAACAACAACAAATCTACTGTTCATCGACAACGCTTCCTCCTATCACCCCATCCCATCTCTATCTATCTTCTTTGCTCCAGATTCTCTTTCTCTGCGCGGTGCTGCCTACTGATTTACCCATCTATTTGCCCTACTCCGCCACAGATCCCAGCAATCTATATAACGCTTCTCCATCCTCTTCATCTACTATATTTTCCATTGCCGATTACTATTCAACATACAATCAACTTCCATCAAAATGCCTCACAAAGTCAATGATTCAAATTCCACCCTAGCTAGCAGTGCTAGCAGTACTAGTGGCGATAGAGTGGTTGTCGCAGACCTCCGAGGTATGCTCCAGTCCATGATCTGATGCATCTTTAAGAAAAAGTCGCGATCCTCTTTGAATCTAGAATCCGTCACTAACTGGGTCCCTTGTTCTCTGCTTCCAATAGGGTCGAATTCTGTCCCTCGCCGAACCCAACCCGCGGTAATCATCCACAACCAGGGTGGACAAATCTATGACGAGACACGACCCTCTGATTGGGACAAGCAGCGATGGAAGTAAACCACCATCGCATCCTTTTTCCCCAGCTTCTCACCTAAGAAACGGGGAGAGAATGGAGAAGAGAAGCGAAGAAGGGGGAATGAGCAAGGTACTACGCGAATTCAGGCTCTCCCCCTTGGCCCAAGCGCTGCTGGCAGTTGCTGCTGGGCGGGAAGAGCGGCTGAGCTGGTATCTGGCTTGTCTGCTGATTGTTATCCGCGCGGCTTCCCTTCATTCCTTTTAGGAAAGGAAAAGTGAGGCGGACGATCGACACCTCCAATGAAGACCGTAAACGACTCGGGGGCACTGTGTGTCTCTGTCTCCCATCCATCCATCCATCTATCGGGTTTTATCTCGAACTTATTTTTCGGCTGTCGACGGATGCCTTCCCTCAACATTCTGGACTTTGCTCTTCTCGTCATGGCCCACGTCCCGATCCGTCACCGCAACAACATCACCGATTATGATGATGAGAACAACCACGCACCCCCCTAATGTCTGAACCGAATAATGTCCGCTGCCGAAGCTCAGCCAGCTCCAGTCCATTTTGGAATTACGACCTATCCACGCCTCGGCCTTTCCATTGTTCCTTCCCAATATCATACCGCCTTGCCCCTTTTCGCTTCCCTTCTCCCCTTTTTGTTATACTATTATCATTCATAGATGTACCACTGTACTTTACGACCGGAGTTACTTGTCCCTTGTTGTTTTGTTCTGCTTTCCCTTCCCTTTCTATTCCTTTACCGCTTTTTCTTTCCTTGTCTTCTCTTTGTCTTCCAAGTCAAACAGCAGCACACGTGTGACACTCCGACCTCCGCTTCCAACTAACAAACAACAATGAAGTCCCCCTTGGGAGTGGCCCCATCCTTCAATGAAGCATGAGGCCTAACTCTAAACAACCCTTGCATCGACATCATCATCGTCGCCACGCCTGTTTCCCCAGGTCAAGCAAGCGGTCCCATCAACCCCATACTTCATTGGTCGCTGTCCTCGCTAGCTGCTGTGTCCCTTTCTTCTTCCTTCCACCAGACTGTATCATCACACATTGCCGTCCTTTATCCTTTTGCATAGCGTGGGGTTGGGTTGTATAATGTTCTGCCATCTCATTTCATTTCTGGAACTGCTGTGGAACCAACCGTTGGGCTTTTCGATTCGATTCGATTCAGAAATCCAACTGTCCCCAGTGCAGACCAACGCTCCTTGATGAATTTCTTGTTTGCTCATGACCGTTCCATCTCACTCTGCTTGTCGATCTCCGTTGAGATTCTGATGTTGATCTGTACTACTATCCTACAGCTACTCTACTATTTTCGGGTTGACTTCCACGTCTACAAGTGCGGTTGACTGACTACTGTATCTCCGCGACATGGCCCCAAGGTCGTTGCAATGCAAATAATAAATAATTCTCGGACTTGGCCTTCTCCATCAATCCATCTGAGTAGTAGACTACCTTAGATTCAAAGCAGTAAATTTAGTTACTTCGTTTCTCCTTCAGTCTTTGTGACCAACAAATTCCCGACGGTGGAATTGGCCCCTCGTAGAACAAGAAACACGATCCATGTATCCCGCAACGTGGCATGCTTCCTTATTATAATCATCGAGGTCTTCTCGTCCGAGTAAATACCATACCAAAATAAGTCACTCCCGCAGAACAAGGAGCATACGCTCTGCGAGCTGCAGCAAGTATTCGGTAGAGTGCCTATGATGATTCGATGATTGTCTAGATCAACATATCGCCGTGATATCGGGCTGAAGTCTACTTGAATTTAGAGGTCCCTACTTCATGCACTGAAAAATACTGGCATAATAGGATATCATTCATGTCACAGGACTAGCAGATAATATGTATGCAGGTATGTATGGAATCAGTGATGTCTTTTACCCTGATCCATGGTATTCAAAATCTTCCGCCAACCCTATCCCTCGAAAGAGAAGAGAAAATAAAAAGAGAAAAGGGAACAATGACGGGAGATCTAATGACAAGAGGGGGAGAGTTCGATGGGGGAGGGAAGGTTGGGCAAAAGCTCAACCTCGCCGGGTTCAACAACAGAAAAAGGAGCCGCTGCTGTTTTCGTTTCCTTCTTTTTGAGCTTTTCCTGGTTTTTTTTCTTTTGTTCTTCGTTTTTTTTTTTTTGTTTTTTGGAGGGGCGCTCCTGTCTCCTTCCGCAGAGAGAAAAGAAAAAAAAAAAAAAACAAATCCCGAGCCCTCGGTGAAGATCGGTCCATATGTATATTGTGCACGGGAGGCGAGAGGCAAATCCACATTAGTAGTTTGGAGAGGGATGTGAGGGGATGAAGGTATGATAAATGCTAGATGAGGTGGAAAAGGAAAAAGAAAAAGAAAAAAAATATGAATGCCAATCGCTACCACGACAGGCCGCCATCTAGGAAGCCGCCGGGTGGATCGGTCTGCAACACTTCGCACATGAATTGAAGATGAGGCTAAAAAGATGTGAGCAGACAAATGCAATTTGGACTCGAACGGCTCGCGCTTGCAATGCTAGATGTGAGAAAAGATGACAGAATGCAGATCGGAAACACCCAGGATATGATATGTGAATAAACACAAGGAAATGGGTATGCAATTTTAAAAATCAGACAACACGCAAGGAAATGAGAGGATGTTCAAACAGTCATGTCGGTCGACTGTAGAACTGCGATTTAGTTCAAAGATAGACAGATAAATCAGGTCAAGCAGCTGTTGCATGAAAAAGATGGAGATCATGCGGAAGTGAACGGACCGATGTTGTCAAGAGACACCTCTAATCGCTTTCATCCAGTTTAGAAACTAGCAGTGAAGCTCATTTGAGGTTGCTCGAAGGCTTGGTGTGCATACGCAGCCTCTGGATTGTATGAATGGCTGGACGCGAATTGCACGCTGGGAGATGGAGACGGCGAAGGAGAGCAAGTGCTGGGTTCTGCCACGTCCTTAACAAAGTTCGTGTTGCAGGCACCGGCGAACATCTCATTCTCCGGTGTGATGGGCGGAGTCGGATAACCATTTGCCATGTTCTGGACCGGAGTCTTTTGCGGAGTAGCAAGTCCAATTTCCCCATTGTAGGGCTTGGATTCCGTGTGTACATCGGCTGGCGGGCTGGGCGGCGTGTAGCTAGTGATGGAAGCCTGTCGAGCAAGGAATTGCTCCAGAATCTTTGCAACACGCGAGTAATGAGCCGAAGAGTACTTCCTGGACACCACTTGAGAAGGTTGGTGAAGCTGCTGAGAGAGGCCCACTAGGGTCATCGAGTCGTACTGCGATGCCCACTCCGTGTGGCGTGGTTGAGGTCGGTTCAGAATGCACCGTGCAAGAGCCAGGGCAGCTCTAGCAAGATCGGAGGACAATTTAGAAACAAATTCCCGATGGAAGAGAGATATTTCCAAGACATAAAGTGCCAGATGTTCCACCTCGGGATCATAAGGAGTGTCCAAAACGGCCATTTGAAGGAAGCTATCAACGGTCGGGTGTCCAATGGTCCATCCCAGAGTTTGAAGAACATGCCATTCCATCTGGATGAACATATCGTCATCGTAGAGAGAGCAACACATCGATTTGAGCTCCTTGATGGTTGGCACACGGTCTTTCTTGTCACCGTACTTTGCCGCAATGAGGAGTGCCGCACACCCAACAAGTTGATAATGTCTCTTGTACACGACACGCTTGGAGCAATATCTATCGAGCAAGTTGACGGTCAAGAAGAGCGTCGCAGGCAGGAGCTGGAAGGCAGTGTGGGCTTCAATCAAGAAATCAAGCAGGTAAGGACGCATGAACCACTGAATCTCTGTTTGAATGTCAATAGATTCAACATCGGGAACGGTGGCAGCCTAGACGGAGGGATATTGGCATTAGCTGATATTCTCTGAGCAGGGTGGTTCTCAAGAAGTATACTTACATCCATGTCCAGCATGTGCGCCAGGATGTCATCACGAAGTTCATCACTGGCGGCTTTTGATAGCTCATCTGCAATAGCGTACTGACGTTCCCGAGCAACAAGCTTCGCATGCTCCTTTGGTTCCATACGGGGCGCAGGGAAATCATCGTAAGACTCCACGAAATAGCTATCGCAAGGCTGATAGCTCGAAGGACGTTTGTGGTAAGCCATTTTGTCGAAGGGGTCACAGTTTCACTCCGAAATAGTGTTTTCAGAGCTGCGTATTAAAAGAGTGGACCTGAGTAGAAGCCGAATCTATCAGGAAACGACGGGATCAAGAGAGCGACAGTCGTCAAAATTAGTTGCGAGTAATGAGTGGAAATCAGTTGGAAATATTAAAGAACGGCCAGTAAAGAGACAATAGTCTGAGTACTGGGAGGTTGAAAGATGGCCAGGTAACCGGAACAATGCTTTCGTGGCCGGAGCTGAAACGAGTGGACAAATATTAGTATGAGCTATAACAAAGAACAAAAAGAAAGACGAAAGAATGAAAAAGAGGTAAGAAAGGAACGTCGAGTGTGTAAAGACTGGAGATGAATGAGCGAGCCAGCGAGTTAAGATAAATGAACTCGGACTCGTGAAGGGCGGAAGACATGAATAATAAATGCATCAAGCATGAAAGGGAGCCTTCTTGGAGAAGCATACTAACCCAGATAAGGCCTTCGGGCAGAGGGTACTATGCAACCCTTACCGTGACGGCGAGTCTGGCATCTAGGCTGGGGTACAGATGCAGGAATGAATGGTTGAGTTGGACTCGGGAGTTCTGAATACCAATCCTAGAAATGAAGGACGACTGAACGTCTTCACCCTAGGAACAGGCGCTTGAACTTGCGGGCCTATGGCTCTTCCGGAATGTGGAACAGGGTACACAGGCACAAACCCTATGTAGGGATAGGGGAGATGTCAGGGGGAGGGAGGAAACTCAATGTGCAAAAAAGAATGAGCACAACGTACAATTACAGCAGTGCAGTTTCTTCTGGCGATTATCTTTGTACAAGCAAGATCTCGTGAGTTTGGAGGAACGTTCCACGACCAATTTCGACATATAAGGAATTGAGGATACGTCGACGTCAAGGTACTGGAGGATGGGGAAAAATTGTCTCCTGGAAGTAAGTTTGACAGAGTCAGCGGGCCAATATCTCTGGAGAAAGAGAAAAAAAATAAAAAATAAAAATAAAAATAAAGAAAGAAAAGAAACAAAAATGGCATTGGGGCTTGATAGCTCGAAGGTTTCCCAGGTATGATCATCTTCAAGCATACCATTCCATTGGAGACACCTGGGGGTGGCCCCTTTATTCAGTCCAAGGTTAGAGAACAGGGCGAGCTGTCTGGTTGGCATCGACTTTAAGATAGCAGATCAATTCCGGCAGGCTCAGAAAGCAGCAGATTCAAAATCTTTTTTCACCCATGCACTTCATAAATCCCAATCTGCCCGAGCCATTGTGAATCCGTCCTGACCAACCGACCCCCTCTGTTGACACCAAATTTTCTCGGACCACGAAAAATTATCATTTCCAATGTCGATTTGAGCATAACGTGTTCCAGTGGGGGCGTTTTGACCCTCGAGACCTCACAATGGCAGCGGAACCACATCTCCACTGTCGACGGTTTTCTGATTCCACTCGGTTTGCAGGCGTTTTTATTGATTCCAACAGGGGCATTTCAGCCAATTTTGATTGCGGGAATGGTTGAGGGTGGGTGCAATTGCCGTTCGAAGAGACCCATCCCAATTATACGACCGAAAAGCCGAGGATGCATCGAAGGAGATAACAGCAAAAGAAAAGAAATTTGCTCACCTCTCAAGAAATCACGACCGAGATGAAATCATGTATAGAGAAACGATAAAGAAGCAATGAGAAGGAATCCCCGTCTTATCGCTCTTCTAACCGGCAGAAGCAAAATTAGGGGGACCTAACCGTCGACGTCACGGAACAACGAGGGCACCGATGGTCAGATTAGGGGGTAGGAGCTCGCCGTTTGAGTTAACAAACGTCGAATTGAGGAGGACGTCGAAGCAAGAGCTGACGGACACACTGGAGAGCTAGTACAGCGGGCTGAAGACAAAGTCGGCTGATATAACACAGTCGACTAGATCTCTTTGCCTGTAGACCAGTCTCAAGATCTCTCCGAGGAATTGGCGGGAGTCTGGAAAAGGGGGAGGAGAGGGAGAGGGAGAGAAGGGAGAAAGAGGTAGAAGAATGGAAGAAAAGGAGGAGGAGAGGAAAGTGAGGAGTTGCTCTCTCTCCAGACGGGTGTAGAAGAGGGAAAAGAAAAAGAAGAAAGAGTAAGAGAATGAACGGGACGAGAGCCGGAAATTGAAGTCTCGAGAGATTCACTCCAGGCTAAGGTAACTGCTTGCCCACTGTATCGTAAAGCGTAAAGCGTGACGATATTTCCTGTACTGATGTGTCGCAAATTGGTAATGGGCCGGACTGTCAGGTATTACAACTGTGTACCGGGCAGAGAGGTTAGGTAAGTATACTCTGTATGTTCCATTCTTGCCTCAGTAGTCAGTATCTGTAATCCTTCAGAAGCTCTATATACTGAGTGACGCCGACTATCGAACATACTGCCAGTCAAGTATTCATTCACTTCAATCTCCATCTATTCAGGAGGCATAGTCATCCTCTACTGATGTGAAACAGCAGTGTCACTGAGCTAATGGGTGATGCATAGTTGATACGCACTGACTGGAGTATTCTAGGCTGTTGTTACCACCCCCTGTGGCACTATTGTATGAGACGATCAAGTCAGAGTGAATGTTACTGGATCATACGATAACTTTCAGCTGGACTTGTTCGCGTCGAAGTGGAATTATTACTCAAGAACCAACTATCATAACTGACCATGACAGCAATCATACTTAAAACTTGAGGAAGACGCTTGCTCCTGTTGAAAATTCCAAGCCCATCCACTCAATAATATGGTTACTATGATTTATGAGACCTCGCACGCAAAAAATACTAGCAAATGATCTCAACGCGGCCTGAGCCCTTAGGTAAAGTCAGCCCTTACTGCAAGTGAGAAAATCAATACCTTCGGCTTAGAAGTGTGGTACTACAGCTGTGTGTGTAAGGTTGTGTAATGATAATACAATTCTGTATGGCTCTTCGTCCCTCCTAAACTCCTGTATCCAGTGAATTTACTCCTAACGCTGGACCAGCCATGGGCTTTCCCTTCATTTCATCAATAATCGATCCCTTTCTTCCATATTGGGGGAGACAGATGATTAGGGATGAGTGTTGTATCTCTCACCACGCGGTTTGATCATCGAAATTAACCTTCATTCTCCAGTAGACTCATCGATCTCTCTCAATGGCTCCTCTTTGGCTGTCGTCCTCTCTTCTTCTCTCTGACAGCCTTGCACAGCGCTCCTTTGGTGGGCTAGTTAGTGGGGTGATCTCCATTGCTACTAACCATTCTTCATCACCCTTTGCCTCCCGGCTTCGGACCAGGAACACCTCGGGTCCTTGGCAGAGTAGTAACTAAAAAATTGCAAACTGAAGCGGAAAAGCGGTAGTATTTAGTACAAACCCGACAATATGACACCAACTATCTACTCCGTAGTAGGTAGATTACTACTTGTAAGTGGATAGGAGAATGGAGGACGGAATACGGAATTATTGACTAGAACAAACTAGATAGATACTATCATGGCTTCTGGGCATAATTTATTGTTCACTATGGAATACAGTTACTCCTTGAATGTAAGCATATATCAAGTGGTTTAATTTCTAAGGCAGGCTATGGTTTGATCACGATGATCCTATGTAGATAGTTTGTAGGTACCTTAGCCAACTTGATTCTTCTTACTCTGTAGTACGGAGTAGTACTGACAGTAACAGCGATAGTACCTACCTCCACTGAATAGCATCATCGAATGCTCAACGCTTTCAAGGACATGGTTTGTGACTAAGTATTATTGCCCAGATGTACTCCATAAGTAGAAACTGCATTGCATAAGTAGTTGCTCCTCCTGACCTAATACATACATACAGTCATGACCTACATCTGCTCACACTTACTTACATACATACGTGCATACAACCGGTCGCGTCCCAGGTTCTTCTACCGCCAACATCGACAGCTGAGTGGCTCAGTCACATCGCCCTTACCTCCGTTGATTCCATCGCGTGTCTTTTGCCGCAGCCATTCACAGCCGGCCGCTGCGATACTCCAACGCCATGGATGCCAACTTCCTTTCAGCCCGCCTGCTGTCTGTCGGTCGGTCCTTGACCAGTCGATGTTCTCTTACGGTCTCTTTGTCTCAATGCTGACAGGGATCCTGCCTGAAAGTTCGACAAAAGGAGAGATAACCAACGATTCATACTGTTGAAAGCCGAAAAATTGAAACCCAATAGATTCCCTCACCGGGCTGAGTCGTGGAACACGAATTCAATCCAAAGATTGGAATCATTGTCGGTCGCACTGGCTAAGGCAATAAAGAAGCCCTTATCAAACGACTAAGATTGAATGGACCTTTTGAACATTGAATTCGGTACCCTAAATCCGATCTCCTCATCATCGCCATCTTGATGCTCAATGTGAATGAACCCTTGCATTTTCGATAGGTTATACTCTGTACTATGGCTTGGGAAACCAGAGCTCATCTGAGGCTCAGGCTCCAATCAAATGGACATTGTTCGTGTCTATTCCTCGTCTAGCTTTCATTCATGAACATCACCCTTTATCCTGGAAGAATCACTGAGGACCAACGTGTAGGATCGGACTTGTCTTCTGGTGTTCAACAACTAGTGTCGAGAACCAGGTGTGAACCAATCCAAACACCGGCGGTCGAACCTGATCGAGAAGTAACCGCCACTTCGCAATTGACTTAGTCCTTGCACAGAACACATGTCAAAAGAAAGTATGAGTGCATGCGGACCCACTGTGGCATTGGTCTCCTCAAGGATGTTTGCGGAGATTGGCGTGATGGTACATCTTGGGGCCCTTGGAGGTTGGGGATCAAATCAATGATATTGCTTCAATCTTTCTATTTGGTTACCAACTCAACGACTGGAACCATGGTTTGCTGCGATTCCGAACACCTATTGAGAGAGCATACACCTAATGCGAGGTCAGAGGCTTGATGGCATCGTTTGATCAATGTGTCAACTAAAACAATCCCAACGAGTGTCCATAAGTTGTCATCTCGCTCATAATGAGCATGA